CCAAGTTTAGGTTCAAATTAAAATAAACTAAGCTAAAAACTTCATGGAGAATCTAAAAATGACAAACAAAAAAATTGGGGTTTTCATTTAAAAATCTAAAGTTTAACGCAAAATCTTATTTTTGGATCACCCTATATTGTACGGCTATAGATGAAAAGATGTTCTCCTAGAAATCAAAATTGACGCGTTTTTCCCAAAATGTATCAGGAGAGTCACAAATATACTAAGTGACATATAAATCCGAACACCCAGTTTAAATGGTTTTATTTTAATAAAATTTTGTACTTGTACTTAATGAAGCATAATAAGTAAATGATAAAAATTTCAAAATGATTGCACTGCTTTAAAGCCCTTTGACCTTTAATAATGTGTGGATGCACCCTGATGTGCTACGCATTCTCCAACGCGCCTAGGCATGCTTCTGATCAGGTGGTCAAAGTCCTCCTGTGGTATCTCATTCCAGGCAACCACCAACTGCTCTCGAAGTGCTTCTAGAGCCTGAGGAGGACGTTGCAAATTGAGCAATCTCCTACCCATCATATCCCACACGTGCTCAATTGGGGATAATTCGGGAGATCTTGGTGGCCATGGTAACAATGTGACATCATTATGTTGAAAGAAGTCTATTGTGACTCTTGCAACATGTGGTCGGGCATTGTCTTGTTGGAAAGTTGGATCTGCCAGGGTGTCAAGATAGGGTAAAATATGGGGTTCTAGAACTTCGTGGATATAACGCTGCGCGTTCATGTTACCTCTGATGAAGATTAAAAGTGACCTGGAACCATAAGCTATAGCACCCCAAACCATAACTCCAACAGTGTGATGAACATGTCTTTCAACAAAAAATTGTGGATTCCATGCCAATAGGTCTTCCGTGTTCTGCAAACCATTCATTTGCAATGGACCTGGTAGTGGAGAAACGGTCCCTTAAGGCCAATAATCCTAGGCGGCGATCTTCACGGTCTGTTGTTCTACGGCGGTGTCCAGTGCCCCTTGCTCTTTGCGTACGGCCTTCTCGAAGCCATGCCTGACAACACCTAACCACAGTGTCTACACTTCTTTGCACTCTAACTGCAATTGCCCGAAAAGAAAGTCCAGCTTCCCGAAGTCCCACTATACGGCCCCTATCAAACTCACTAAGTTGACGAAATCGTACAGGTCTCCCTACTCTAGGCATCGTAACCGATCGTAAAGGATGTCAAGAACCAAAATCCGCCAACGTTGATTCTTTACTGCGGCTGAAATATTCATCTTTTAGAGCGTTAGTGAATTAAAAAAAAGCAGTATAAAAACCGGAATGTCCAACTGAAAAGTCTGAAAATTTTTTCACTTGTTATTTACAGTAAGATAAATACATTCACCAACTTTAATTAAAATAAAACCATTTAAACTGGGTGTTCGGATTTATATGTCACTTATATAACAATTTTTCAACATTTTCCGCTAGCAAATTTGACTTTTGGTTTAAATAAATTTGCCCGAAGACACCTGAAAATATATAAACCTAGTTTCGGTGTCAGTTGAGGATGTTCTGCCAAAACCGAAAATAAACCGAAACTCTGATTTTAGGCCGAAACCGAAAGTTCGGTCGGACACTATAAAAGATTAATATTTAGAACGAACGCACTAAATGATTTTGACTCCGTTAACATTTCTTCCCGATTCTCATGTAATGTTTCTTCCCCGAAGCGGCAGTTCCAAAAAGTCGCAGCTTCGTGGTTACCCATATCTGAACAGATGGAAATTCGCTGGTATCATTTATAAGGAGACAGAAATCCATGATCGGGTCAACATCCTTGATCGAATTTCTTGGAGGTACCCCAACGCATAAAAAATGAGACGCCTGCTACTTATTTTTAAATGTCTGCGGTTGATATATGATGACGTCAACAGTCTGTGTCTACTTTTTCTCTGGCAAGGCTATTCGGATATTCGCATTATCATCTTATTTCAGATTTCACCGTGGCTGGCGAACGACGTCCTTTCAGTTGCGTACGCTAAGATTTAGATTTCAGATCACTTGATTACAGTGGCTGAAAGTCTTTTTACTTCCACGCTAGATCGAGAATTGCAAATTCGAAAATGAGTCACAGTTCTTGGCGGGTCAAAGTAAGTCTACCAGTATCCCTTTATACAGGGTGTCCCAGAAGTCGACGTCAAGCCGAAACCGGGTGATAGGCAAAGTCATAACAGCTATCAGAAAAATATTTAAAAAATTTTATGTATGTGTTTTGAAAAATATAGGTCTTTGAAAAAAATATAGAAATTTCACACCCTACGGCAGTCTGTCAACTCCTGTTACTACAAATATTAACTTTTTTGGATTTTATTTTTTCAATGTAATGATGAATAATGCATCTTCAAACTGGTGTCTCAACCTTACTGCCAACTTTTCTCATTCAGGAAAAATTGCCACTTATTTCCCAACCAAGTATTCCAAAGTAAAACTTTGCTCAACTTTAACTGGCTGTACTGGAAAAAATGTACTACGAGAGTTTGGCAGTAACCTTAAAAGTTGGCGCATTTAATAAGGATTCCAAAATGGTATAACACTTAGAAGATTACTCGTCAACTTATGCACAATTTTTATTTGAAGAAAAACTGATGAAAATTTTTCAAAATTTCCTTATTAAACAGCGATTATGAAAACGCACAAGGACCCTTTAGGATAACTGTTTGCACAACAGTGGGCGTCAAAATGCTGCTGATGATGATTTACCTTTACAGCAAATGCTCAAACTGTTTTCCTTCAGCCGCAATACACGCTCGACATCTTCTTAGAAAAGATCGGGTTATTAAACGCGCGAATCCACGGTTATTAACAAACTCAGCTGCTTCCAATAGTCTTTGCCGTAGCTCAGCTACATTTTGAATCGGCTTGAAATACACTTTTTCTTTTACAGTTCCCCAGTAAAAAAAATCTAACGGATTCAAATCTGGTGACCGGGCTGGCCACGGTATTGTACCAGACCGCCCTATCCATCTGCCTGGAAAGTTTTCATCGAGATACTCTCTCACTGAGAGTGCATAGTGCGCTGGGCAGCCATCATGCTGAAACCACATGTCCCTGTAAATACTTAGTGGCACGTCCTCCAATAAATTTTCTAAATGATTTTGCAAAAAACCTAAATAAACATCAGCAGTCAAAGTCTCTGGGAACTCAAACGGACCGATTATTTTACCATTTAAAATTCCTGTCCAATGGTTTATCTTGAAGCGATATTGAGATTTATCTTCTCTCATCAAATGTGGGTTTGCTACGTGCCACTCGTGTAAGTTATGCAGGTTCATGTACCCATCTTTCTTAAATGTGGTCTCATCCGACCATAAAATTTTTTCAAAGAACTGTGGATCTTTCCTGTGTCTTTCTAACATTGTGCGACAAAAAGCAACTCGGGGCTCATAATCCCGGGGCAGGAGAGGTTGAACACGTTGTATGTGGTATGGATGAAGCACTTCCCTTACTTGCTATTGCACACTTTGATACCGATCAGTAGGTACTCCTTCGTTTACTGCGCATCTTTACATGTTCGTGCTTGATGATTTCGTACTGTTACTAATTTTGGATTCGTGAACTGGACTGTTGATCGCTTGTGATTTGGATTTATACTGTTTAATTGCTCTTCAAAACAACATTTGCTTTCCTTGGAATATCTTTGATAGTGTGATTGTGCAGTGCCGCTATGTCCGTGTACACCGTACAAGAATATGCTTACATGCACCTCATTTATGGGGAATGCAGATGGAACGCTAGTGCTGCAGCGAGCCTTTCTGTGAGAGGTACCCGAATGCAGCTCGTCATCCAGATCATCGAGTGTTCACAAATGTGCACCGCTTCCTTCCTTACGAAGACGTGGTGCTAGGAGCTGTCGAAGAAGACCCGAGTACTTCAGTGCGTGCAATAGAACTAAAAAAAGGTGCGCCCAAAAGTACAGCCCATAGAATCTTGCAAAAAAACGTGCTCCATCCATACCACGTACAGCGTGTTCAAGCTCTTCTGCCCCGGGATTATGAGCCCCGAGTTGCTTTTTGTCGCACAATGTTAGAAATGAAAAAATTTTATGGTCAGATGAGACTACATTTAAGAAAGATGGGTACATGAACCTGCACAACTTACACGAGTGGCACGTAGCAAACCCACATTTGATGATAGAAGATAAATCTCAATATCGCTTCAAGATAAACCATTGGACAGGAGTTTGAGTTCCCAGAGACTTTGACTGCTGAGGTTTATTTAGGTTTTTTGCAAAATCATTTAGAAAATTTATTGGAGGACGTGCCACTGAGTATTTACAGGGACATGTGGTTTCAGCAGGATGGCTGCCCAGCGCACTATGCACTCTCAGTGAGAGAGTATCTCGATCAAAACTTTCCAGGCAGATGGATAGGGCGGTCTGGTACAATACCGTGGCCAGCCGGTCACCAGATTTGAATCCGTTACATTTTTTTTACTGGGGAACTGTAAAAGAAAAAGTGTATTTCAAGCCGATTCAAAATGTAGCTGAGCTACGGCAAAGACTATTGGAAGCAGCTGAGTTTGTTAATAACCGTGGATTCGCTCGTTTAATAACCCGATCTTTTTTAAGATGTCGAGCGTGTATTGCGGCTGAAGGGAAACAGTTTGAGCATTTGCATAAGTTAACGAGTAATCTTCTAAGTGTTAAACCATTTTGGAATCCTTATTAAATGCGCCAACCTTTAAGGTTACTTGCCAAACTCTCGTAGTACATTTTTTTCCAGTACAGCCAGTTAAAGTTGAGCAAAGTTTTACTTTGGAATACTTGGTTGGGAAATAAGTGGCAATTTTTCCTGAACGAGAAAAGGTGGCAGTAAGGTTGAGACACCAGTTTGAAGATGCATTATTCATCATTATAAAAATAAAATCCAAAAAAAGTTAATATTTGTAGTAACAGGATATGTCACTTAGTATATAATCGATGCCACCTTATGACGACTCTACAATTGATATGGATCCAACAATTACGTTACTATTAGCAACAGTCAAAACCAGTCGAAGTGCTATGCTGAGGTGCCATTGAAGTAGCGAAGGATGTTCGAAAACAAATCAAATATGGATGGGTTAAAAAGTGGACTAAAAGGCGAAAAAGAATTGAAATTAGAAGAGGAATTCAACAATTTTATGTACAAAGTCAACGAAGTTTCCAATATAATGAAAAAACTAACATCAGATGATGAACGTGAGCAAGAGATAGGTGACCTGGAAGCAAAAAAATATCTCGGAGAAGATAATGAAAAAGTCCTTGAAAATATCAATGAAGAGGAAATTGTTTTAAGTGTAAAAAGTAACAAAACTGTCTTAAACAAGAACATTTGTAGAAAGGAGAGTAAGGATAAAACTACTATGTCACAAGGTTTGTTTATAATTTTGGAGCTGCTACCAGATTTTAGTAGCATCATTGGTTAACACATTTAACCAGAAACTCAAATTCAAGTGCAAGCCAAGCCTGTGTGAAATCGGCAAGGGTATTGCTTACCTTGAAACGTGTCATTTTGTCGTTTTTATTATATAGGTTTTTTGTCACATTATGTAAATGTCTACTCAAAACGAACTAGCTGCTGTTCACTTGATATGCACCCGTTTTGTAGCTGTACGTGTTGTCTAAACGTCATGGTGCTTCAGCTATCAATGTTTGGCTGTGATGTGAGGTAACATCTGCTTCAGAGTTAGCATTATTATACAGGGTGGCGCATCGAAAACGAAACAAACGCATTTACTGGCAGCTCAGTTTTTTTTTGAAAAACGCTCAGACCCGTCGATTTTGTTTTCGAGAGGGACACAAGTTTGGCAAAAAATCACGTTATCACGTGCAGCCCCCTAAACGGGGGTGACACCACCCCCAAAATCTTAAATGGAAAGAGGGGTCGAGTGATACCTTATTTTGAAGGTCTTTCAATTCCCTTTATAATGATATAAAATTAATGTACTACAGTTCAGTGGTTTCTAAGATTTATTGATTTAAAGCTTAAATAAAACTAATACATCATCATTAGTAGAGAGCAATACATTTGGCAGCAAAGTAATTTAAAAATGTGGAATGAACTGATCCGTTAGACAGGTAAATGTTGAAAATGACCACCATGACTCTCCATGCAATAATAAAGATTTTGCTCAAAATGTTGCCGCACATTTTGCAATATTTGAGGAGTAATTTGAAGGCACTCACTCACAATTCTTTGTCGCAGGTCTTCTAATGATGTTGGCTGAGTAGCATAGATTTTGCTTTCTAAATGACCCCACATAAAGAAATCCAAAGCTGATAAATCTGGCGATCTTTCATTGAATGCAATGGCACCTCTTCTACCAATGCATCGATCTGGAAACGTCTGATCTAAATATTGTCGAATAAGTAATGCGTAATGTGGTGGGGCACCATCCTGTTGGAACATCAACCTATTCGCAATGTACCGCCGATCATTCTGATTTTCAATTATGGCTGTTAGTGCAGGATCTATGGCGTCTTCCAGTAATTCCAAATACATTTCACCGGTCAAATTTCTGGGTAAGAAAAAAGAACCAACTAAATGATCGCTAAAAATACCAGCCCAAACATTTAATTTTTGTGGCTGCTGTGTATGAACCTCATGATAAATTCTGGGATTAAAATCAGACCAATATCGGCAGTTATGACGATTTACTACGCCATTTAAGAAAAAGGAACATTCGTCGGAAAAGCAAGTGTTTGAATATAAAATGTTCATAGTTTACAATTCGTTCACTCATATCTCCACAAAATTGTAATTGCCGATCAAAATCGTCTTCATTAAGTTCTTGTGCCAGCTGAATTTTATACGGATGAAAACTATGGGCCTTTAGAATCCGTTGGACGGTACCTCGACTAACACTACACACAGTCTCTAATTTGCGGGTGTACTTAACGTAGGATCTACATAAACTTGCCCTAAAACCCCCACTTCTATTGCTTCGTTCCTTATGGGATTTTCAATGTTGCGTTTTTTATTGGCGACTGACCCAGTTTCCCGAAATTTAGCTACAAGTTCTAGAACATATTTTCGATGCACGTTACTGTTTTCATGTCGCTCATTAAATTTTTCTGCTGTTCTATTAGCGCACTGATTATTTCCGAAAAATATTTCGATAATTTCAACTCTTTCTGCTGTGGAATATACCATGGTTAATTTATGAAATAAAGCGTTACAAGTCATTTTAGCAACAAAGTTTGGTCAAATCAATCGCAAACTATGTACTAAATTCCTATTTAAAATAAGTACGAGATATTTCTTTATCTTTCTTCAAGAAATAACTTTTTGCCACAAAAAAAAACGCTCCAATAGCTATTTTCAACAATAAAATGATAAACCATGGGCGTAGTGGAGAAAAGCATTTACTTATTAAGTAAATTCTTTTAGTCAAATTTCTTCTAAAAGTAGTACAAACTAATCTGATGTACCTATTAAAGTCTACTTTAAGCTTTAAATCATTAAATCTTCAAAACTACTGAACTGAAGCTCATGTATTTTACATCATTATAAAGGGAATTGGGAATAAAGTATCAGTCGACCCCCCTTTCCGTTTAAGATTTTAGGGTTGGTATCACCCCCGCCCAGGGGGCTGCACGTGTTAACGAAAGTTTAAAACGCAAAAAACCGGGCAAAATTGTAATTTATAACTTTGAACATAATCTCTCTTCAGAAAAGACAACACAAATAACCCTCCAGCGCTCAATAAAAGTTGCTATATATCTGACCTCCTTGACCTATTTCCGTGTTTTTGATTGCCGATGGCAAAAAAAGGATCTTTGATTTAAAATAAGGATGACCTTGGAATCTTGATGGTGATGCTCAAGGTCAAATCCAATGACAAAGCTAGTAAAAATCTGACCTAGATCTTTCCCAAAAATATCTTACCGTTACTTTTGTTATATCCCGTAGGTGTCCAAGATAAGGATCCTATGCATGGGGATATACAGGGTGCGCCATCTTTTATCTCGGTATGTAAACATGAAATAACTTTGAAAACGAAAAACTAATTTCTATATAACTGAACGACGATTTTCAATGTACATTGTGACTATTTCGGCGCGTTGTTTCGGTGTAAACCGATTCATGACTAGAATTGTAGTAAATTGACGTTTCAGAAACACGAATAACCAAATTCCTCGGTTGGTAAATATCAAAGTCATTCGATGTTTCAATACCGACATAAAAGTACATGTGGGAGATACAGCTTAGATTCGTTTAGGAAAACGTATTTTGAGGCGAATTTACATGCCGTTCAGAAATTTGGAGGAAACTAAAGTCTGGCCAAATCATTTTTATTTTTTCCGAGTTTATTTTGAGAAATCTAAAAAACTAATGAAACCACGTGATGATGTTTTCAATGTTGTGCCCGACCGTTCGTTTTTCATAAACCATCACCAACATTATTTTTTTACATGGTCCGAAAAAAGTACACCCTGCATCTAATAAAATTTTGTATACGAATTCAAATGTTGGATTTAGTTTTTTTGTTATAAGGAAAAATGTATTTTGATAAGTTTCCTGAAAGAAGACCGCCAAGTAAGTTCATTTTCTTGGAGTTGGCTCGAAAATTAAAAAAAATCATTCAAAAAGCGTGTTAGTCTAGGGAATCTTTAGAGGAAACTCAGAATAGTGTGTTACAAGCAGTTGCTGAGAACTCTGAGATATACTAGGCAAATTGAGGTAATGTAGAAGTAAACAATTCTACAGCACAATTTATTTTGCGTAAAAATAGATACCACCCCTATTAATTCAGGATATTTCAAGGACAGCGAATGGCGCCAGCATTTTCGCACGTCAGCATGTCAAACTTTTCTTCATTGCTAAAATTACCGCCTGTAACAGGTATTTGCGTCAAGCATTTGTTTATAAGGCCTATTTAAATTAAATAAAAAAATCCGAAACAACGAATGTTTCCTTATAACCAAGAAAATAAATGTAACATAAAATGTGATACATCGTTGATTTCATAAAAAAAGCTATTAAATACAGGGTGTTCTTTTTTCGGACCATATAAACAATAAAGATGATGATGGTTTCTCGAAAACGAACCATCGGTACAACATTTGAAAAGCACCATCATGTAGTGCCTAAAAAGTGACAATAGAAAAGTGTCTTCTTTTTTTTTGATAATCCTTAAAATCAAGTAAAAAAAAATTAAAACGATTTGGCCAAATTTTAGTTTTCGAAGTTTCTCAACGGCATGTAAATACGCCCGAAAGATCGCAGATTTTTCATAATTTAACCTAAGCAGTATCTCTCACAGGTTTTGAGATCCACTTGCACAGGATCATTACCTTGCACACCCTGTATATGTCGACCAGCGTCTTCCAACGACAGCATTGCCACCTCATAGACAGTCGCCACAGGATATGAAATAATTTCCTTTTGAGATCTTAGGAATACTTACCAGGAAGATTCAGCTGTTTTTTTTTTTTGGAAGGTTGATACGACATGTTTGCCAACATTGTCTGTGACGATGCAGATCGTATGTGGACCTTCTTGGGTAATACGTTTATTAATGGTGACATAGTCTAATTTTAGAGGCATTTATGAACGAGGTGTCTAAGGACGCAGAGAGAAGATACCAAGACAAAATGATTCGAAAGGAAAAGATGGAGACATTCAAAAAGCGAGCTACTCTTGCGTTCAGGCGTGGTGAATATGAGAAGGCGTTAACATTGTATAATAAGGTTATGCTCTTTTCCATTATAACTTTCACTGGGTCAATTGAATAAAAAAAATTGATGCTTTAACTCGGGAATGATTAAATAAGTACTTAATGTATAGGGGTTAAATACTCGTCATACATGCTGGACCAGACCTAGACTTGTGGCGTTTACTTTTCAATAAATTCGCCCATTTAAGGTATTTTTTGCCAAAAAATTATTGGCATTAACATTTTTCGAATTTGAAAGTTTTTAGGGTCATTGTAGCTTTTTGTAGACCCGTAATATCAGTAACCACTGCACCGATTATAACGAACTTGTTATACAAGATCAATAATGGGAAATCCTAGAATATTATTGAAAAATTTCGCCGAAATAAAATCTTTTCCTTGTCCTAAGTAAAATACTTGCCAGTAAAGCCTTTATTCATTGTATATAAGCATTAATCAACGTATCCAACGTGGTTAGTCAATGAAATAAGTAACCACAAGTGTTTACCACTTTTATGCACCCCAATTTAAAAAATTTACTTCTCACGCCAAATTAGCGAGAAAGTATTGTGGCCGTAAAAAAATCGAACATGAGAATAAAAAGGGGACAAAACAGCTTTGTGGGTTTTGAAAACCGATGTCAAGTAACGGTGGAACTTCGGACAAAAACGATAAACTAAAATTCGCTCAAACTTCCTTTTTTAACGTATCGGACACTGCTGCTCTTTTTCGGGGGTTTACAAATTGGGGGTTGCAAATGTTGCACGTTTAGACGTTATACAGAGTGGGTCATGAATTAGTTGACATTTGAAAAAATCGTATGAAAAAAACATTTAACATATTTTAAAAATTATTTATTCACAAGAAAGCTAATTAGTTGGAATTCATTTCTTGAAAATTATATCATCTAAATGACCACCGTTACGATTTTGGCACTCTTCTAAACGTGTATACTTTATCTGAAGTCACTTGAAATAGCATAAAAACCTTTGGTCGGCGCGTCCTTTGTAATTTCATGACGTATCATAGGCGTGCGGTCATTTATTTAGAACTATAATAATAATGTTTTTATATCACAATAAATGGATTTTACTATCTTCTTATTTTTTTGATTTGGGATAAAAAATACTTATATTGGGAGTTTAATTTATGTTGACTGAAAGTTAAGAAATGGAAAAATTACAGAATTCCAACGTTTGACATAGGCAAATATTTACATAGCAGGTAGGTATATAAAAAGGTATATAAAGACTTACATTATAGGTATTTATATATCATCCTCGCCTTCGGAGCTGTCGCTAGAGTCATCTTGTAGAGGAATTACAACGGGATTTACAGGAGGCAAAACACAATATTCATTTTCTTTTTCAATAATATGCCTAGAACACTGCTTCCATAGGTCTGTGGCAGCAATATGAGATACTGCATCTCTTATTGTGGCCAATAGCGATTCACTTAATTGAGGGGTCTGATTATGTTTTCTTACTTTTTTTTTTAAAGCAGCCCAGACCAACTCAATCGGGTTAAAAATGCAGTAATAGGGAGGTAGACGTAATACTTCATGGCCATTTTGCTGAAGCAGATTGTCAACAACATACTCTTTTTCAAATTTTTGTCTTTTAATAAGATCCAATAATATGGCTTTGGTTGATTTTTGTGGTATTTCCATTCCCTTCATAAAATCAATAATGTCTTGTTTTTTTGTGCCTGTATTCGGAATTTTGTTTTTCTGTCGGGAATGGTATGGCGCATTGTCCATAATAATCACTGAATTTGGGGAAATGTTTGGTATTAACTGCTGCTCTATCCACTTTTCAAATAAGTCGGAGGTCATGTCCTCATGATAGTCGGCACATGACTCTTTGATATTTTTGGCAGATAACAGCAAGACATTAGGTATAAATCCATTTTCACTGCCAGCATGGAGAATAATGATTCGTTTTCCACGGTTGCATGGTGCATTTAAAATGCACTTGTTGCTGTCGTCAACCCAGCCGTACTGCACAACATCATGGGTATCATACCACGTTTCATCCAGGTAAATCAGATTTCTTTTCTGCTCTCTATAGATTTTAACTTTGTACAAAAATTCTTGGCGCAATTCAACGATTCGAGACGACTCCATAATCACCATTCTTTTATCTAATTTTGTGTATTGAAAACCACACAGTTTTACAATACAGTGCAGTGAGTCTAAGCATTTGTAATTATAAAAATCTTCAGGATAATCTTTTAATTTATCCCGTATCATTTCCAACGTGGGCACCAAATTTTCTTTATAAAATCCGTATATTATACGACGAATATCTTCCTGAAAACCCACGTCTATTCTTTTTAATTTGTGCCCTATGCGCTTTCTGTGGAAGGAATGGTTGACTACATCTCCCCTTTTTATAACCCGATAAATGGTAGACCGACTGATTTTTGTCAGGATACAAATTCTGTTTAAAACTTGATTTTGCGAGGAATCTGGATTTTCGTTTTTCAGACAATCATACATATTTAGGATTACTCTTTGGGTCTGTTCCTCTAAATCTTTATGAAAGAATTCTGCCTGCACAGGTTCATCAGCCATCTCCTCGTGGCTTGGAGCATTTTCCCAAGGTCTCCAAAGAGCCATATTTAGGACACACAAGAACAATCAACACAACAATTAAATCAACAAGTAAACTGAGTATTCAAAAGTCAAAAACACACAAACTAATAAAATCTATGAAAAAACACGGACAGTCTAAAGAAAACACGTTTATTCACCGCTACACGGCACTGGCTAAACTGTTTCAATTTTCAGTAGCCACCTGCACTTGTTCGGAGCTCTGAAATACACGCTTTCTCATTGGCTATGTCCACGCATAGGCGTGCTTTACTCCACGTGGACCGGTGAAACTGCCTTTGATCTTATACGGGAGATATTTGCTGCGAAATTTGGCGATTTTTGCAGCCACAGAGCGTGTTAAATATAGATATATAAAACGCACCCGGTATTTCACAGTGTTTCAAGTGACTTCAGATAAAGTATACCGAAGTTTTTGAATACTCGTCGGCATAAAGACTGCGACATCTCTTCGTTGATGTTTTCTTTTAGTTGAAGGAGTGTACTTGGTTTATTGATGTAGACACCACTCTTTAAATAACCCCATAAAAAAAGTCTAGTGGGGATAGATCTGGACTTCTGGGTGGCCATGGGTAGTAGCCTGGTCTGGAAATGAGCTTTTTTTTTGACTCATTGGATGTGTGACACGTGGCTCCATCTTGTTGAAACCATATGTTACGATTATAACCAGCAAATTCCAGTAGCATCGGTTCCAAAAACTTCCGTAACATTTTCACATACTCAGCAGAATTAACAGTAACTGAGTGGCCGCGAGAATCTTCAAAGAAGTAGTGGCCAATGATTCCTTTTGCTGAAATTGCAGCCCATACAGTTACTTCAGGAGAGTAAAGTGGCTTCTCGTGTTTAGCTTTAGGATTCTCACTGCTTCAGTACCTGCAATTCTGTTTATTCAGATGTCCGTTGAGGTGGAAATGGGCTTCGTCAGAAAATAAAAGGCTGTCAAAATTACTGAATCGTTTCGGCATACGACTTGCGCAAATTCAAATCATTAGGTTTTAGTTCCTGCACTATCTGAATCTTGTTTCGATGTAATTTCAAATCTAATCTCAAAATACGGCGTAATGATGTGCGGGATAATCCTAATTCAGCCGAACGTTTGCGCGTCGATAAATCTGGATCACGATGAACAGAAGCGGAAACTTGCTGCACGTTCTCTTCGCTCCGAGCAGTCCGTGGGCCGCCGGTTTGTTTCACACTCAGTGTATATCCCGTCTCTTCGAACTTCTTCACCCATTTCTTTATCAAAGGAGCACTCGGACATTGACTTAAGACGTGTAAATTGTATTCAACGCGGAATAAGCGTCTCACAGTAATGAGCGAACTTTTTTTTATATATACTCCAACTACCACGAAGGCCTAAGGCCTACACACCCATTGTGGGGCTATAAGGGGATACAGGGGAAAGGGGGAACGCCACACAGACTCTGGCGAGGGAACACGTGTGCATGCAACATGCACACATTCTGGCTCCGCCTACGAGATCCGCCGGGTGGTACCTCCACGTTCGAAAGTCAGAAACCGTCTACCACCTACGAAAAACTGTTGTTTAAATAAAATTATTTCACACAGTAAGCGCGTTGCGGCCTCGTGAAGCGATCCATTGCGCCTGAATTTCCGAAAAACGAGCTAGCGACTAGAACCCTCCACGCGCTTCGCGCGGCATCTTTTGCGTGGTATATTAGTATTAGATTCAAATGTTAACGAATTCTTGGCCCATCTTGAATTATTAAGAAGTTTCTGATTTCCGTCAGATTTGCACGTGTTAGGGATAATAATCATTATCACATACATTTCCATGCAGTGGACCCCCGATAATCCGGCCCCTGTCTAATCCGGCGCCCCCTGTAATCCAACATGTCTTTGAATATGTATTACATACATACGTATTTGACAATCTTAGCTAACGCAAGTTTGAACAGGTTACAGCTTGTACCCGCCACCACTATCGTGCTCGACGCGTAAGCATTGTTTTACTTAGTTTGAATTTGACTACTGGTGATAGCGGTACGGCCTAGCGTGTGTTCATTATTTACTATTTATTCATTGTGAAAGCACAAAACATTGACAATTAAAGAAAAATGTAATATTTTAGACCGCTTAAATCGCAATGAAACTTTCAGTAGTTTAGCAAGTGAATACCGCGAAGGCCGATCTACAATTTATGACATTAAAAGAAACCACGAGAAGATCAAGAAGTTCGTGTCAACTACTGACTGCGGGCCAGGCAAGAGACAGACACTCAAGAAAGCGGAACATCCAGAAGTGGAAGAAGCTTTGTACATGTGGTTTCTTCAGGAAAGAAATAGGCATGTACCGATTTCAGGACCCATGTTGGCCATGAAAGCTAAGTTTTTTTATAAGGAAATAACAAAAAAAGATGATTTTGTGGCCAGCAAAGGATGGCTAGAACGTTTTAAAAGTCGTCATGGCATACGTTTAATGACTATTACAGGAGAGAAACTTTCTAACGATGCTACCTGCATAGAGCCCTTTAAATTAAGATTTTTGCAAAAGGTGAACGATTTAAATCTTGACCCATCACAGGCGTACAATGCAGACGAATCAGGGCTTTTTTGGCGTGTGATGCCTAACAAAACTTTCGTTTCTTGTAACGAAAAATCCGTACCTGGACGAAAAGTAAGGAAAGAGCGTGTAACCATACTACCATGTGCTAACGTTGCGGACACACACGCGCTTAAGATGATGGTCAATGGGAAATCTAATAAACCACGGGCATTCAAAAACATTGATTTACCTGTACACTATCACGGACAAAAAAGTGCATGGATGACAAAAGACCTTTTCAAAAAGTGGTTTGATGAATGCTTCGTACCTGAAGTTAGAAAATGGTTAAAAAATCATAATTTTCCTCAAAAAGCGTTGTTGCTTCTTGATAACGCTCCCGGTCATCCGTCTGAAGAAGAACTAACAACTGACGATAAATGCATCACTGCGATGTTTCTTCCGCCAAATTGCACTGCACTGATTCAACCAATGGACCAGAATATCATTCAGTTTGTCAAGCAAGACTATAAGAAAAACCTACTTCTGAGAGCCGTATCAAAAGACCAACCAATAGAAAAATCTTTAAAGAATTTAATATGAAAGACTTGGTTTTTGCTCTTTGTCAGTTGTGGAATACGTTCCCGTCATCAACTATTAAATCGTCTTGGAAAAAGCTATGGCCAGATATAGTCACCACTCCTAGCAATGTTCCACAAATCAGTGTAACTTCAGAAGTTATAGAATAAGTCGCTACTGAAACACAGATAAGTCCGGAAGATTTTGAAATCTGGTGCCGTGGAATGGATAAAGCGGAAAATGTTTTTTATGATATGTCTGACGAAGAGATTATAAAAGAGCTTTCTAATTATACAACAAACAATCAGGAAAATAACGACGACGTGATTGCAACTGCTCCACAAGTCACAGCACAAGACGCAATTAACGCCTTTGAGCTAGGTTTACAATGGGCTGAAGAGAATGGTACATCCTACAACGAACTTTCACTTTTGAGAAGACTGAGGGACAAAGCTCTGACCTCGCGTTAGAACAACCTTAAACAAAAAAAATTGATGAATATTTCCAAGCTTCATAATTTGATAAATTCATTAATGATTTTGATTAATGACACTGATCAACAGCCAAAAAATATCCTAAATAAAATCAACAAAATATTACTATTTTTAATGTGCTAAAACCGGAATGAAACTTATTTTTTCAATATTAGTTCAAGTTTTAGAGATACGGTAATTATATGTGTTCCTGCTGTGACAGTGTTAATATACTGTAATTCACAAGAATGCACGTGCTACATTTTTATATTCGGCAAGGAAAGATGATGTAATCGGCATGATTGTGTTACGTTATACATACGTGTACATTATATTGTTTTATATTAGCCATTTTTTCCTCAGTTGGCTGACAGCGTTCATGCAAGATGTCTCGAAAGTGTATAAACAATCCAGATCAGTTTTGTTACGTGTGTGGTGATGTGACTTTTTGCGTCTATTACTCCACTAATAACAAAGGCATATCAGCTTTATTTCGGTTGTAAACTAGGTGATCAAGCCAAACAGTGGGCACCCCACATCTGCTGTAATACATGTGCTTCAAGTCTGAGGAGCTGGTTAAATGGCAAAAAACGGTCCATGCGCTTTGCTGTCCCAATGGTTTGGAGAGAGCCTACAAATCATATTAATGATTCTTACTTTTGCATGGTACCTTGTGTTGGACAAGCCACAGGTATGTTCAAGAAAAAAAAATCGGTTATTAACTACCCAAACATACCATCTGCGATGAGACCTGTGCCTCACAGTGACGAAAATCCTATTCCAAAACCCCCAGAATCCTACACTTGCGAATCAGAAAACGAATCAGATCATGGCGATCGAGTGATTCGTCAGGAAGAAGATATGCCATCAACGTCAAGAGATCCTGATTTTATACCGAGCACGTCATGCCACCAACCGCACAAAATAACACAGTCAGAATTAAATGATCTTGTAAGAGATTTAGAACTTCCAAAATGTAAGGCAGAGTTACTTGGATCAAGACTGCAGCAGTGGAACTTGTTAAAAGACGATGTTTCGGTATGTGTTTTTCGTAAACGCCACAAAGACTTAGAACCATTTTTCAATATGGAGAATAACTTGGTTTTCTGTAGTAACATTAACGGCTTACTGGCGGCTTTAAATATAAACTATAACCCAGAAGAATGGAGATTGTTTATAGACAGTTCAACATTGAGTTTAAAGGCAGTGTTATTGCATATTGGAAATATTTTACTATCTCTTCCTGTAGGGTATGCAGTTCACATGAAAGAATCATATGACAATATGAAGTACCTATTGACATGCATAAAATACGATGAGCACCAATGGCATATTTGTGGCGATTTGAAAGTTGTTGCACTTTTACTTGGGCTGCAGCTAGGCTACACAAAGTTTTGCTGTTTTTTGTGTGAATGGGACAGTCGGGCAAAGGCACTTAATTACACCAGACAAAACTGGCCTGTTCGTCAATTCCTAGAGCCAGGTCAAAAAAATGTACAGCATATGAAATTAGTAGATTCGAAAAAAATTTTATTACCACCACTGCATATCAAGTTGGGCCTAATGAAAAACTTTGTCAAGGCATTAGATAGAGATGGGTCAGCTTTTCAATACCTGCGTCAGAAATTTCCAAGACTAAGTGAGGCAAAGGTTAAAGAAGGTATTTTTGTTGGGCCACAGATTCGAAATATTTTGAAAGATACACAGTTTGAAAACAATTTAACAGGTATTGAAAAAACTGCTAGGAATGATTTCCGTCTGGTGGTCACTAATTTCTTGGGAAATAGAAAAGCTGACAACTATAAAACCGTTGTCAAAAATATGCTGTCATCGTATCAAAAGATGGGCTGTAATATGTCTCTTAAGATACATTTCCTACACTCACACCTGGACTTTTTTCCTGACAATTGCGGAGCCGTAAGTGATGAGCACGGCGAACGTTTTCATCAGGATATTTCAACAATGGAAAAAAGGTACCAGGGAAAGTGGAATCCTTCCATGCTTGCAGACTACTGTTGGACTCTTGGTAGAGATGCTCCAGAAACGATCCATAAAAGAACAGCAAAAAGACAGCGCATATAGTGATTCTTATAAGTATATGAATCTTGTTACTTTTTTTAATATATCCTTAAAAATAAAAAGTTTTTTTTCTAAACCGCAACTAATTTTTTTATTTCATTGTCATTTTTGGATTCAGCGCCCCAAAATTAACAAAGAAGTGCACTTTTCCCACAAGATACAATTAAAAAACTAAAATTTGTTGCCAAGTGTAATTCTTGATTATTGGTACATACATATGTATGTGCATTTATGCTTAATTTTATAATAAAACGTAAGCTCTCTATTGTTATTTAATTTACTAAATTCGACATACATAAACTGTGTATGATTTGTACTTCAAAGTACATACATATACATAACATATATAATCTTACCATTGGATATGTAATTTGTCGGATTACAAGGTACTCTTTTGTAAAGAATTCCGGACTATAGGGGGTCTTAGGCAGTGCTCTATAATCCGACAAATTCGATAGTCCGGCACTGCCCTGCATAATGTTTGTCGGATTACCGGAGGTCCACCGTACATGCTTTTGCTACTGAACAAAAACTGATTTTCCGCATTTACAAATATGGTGAAGGTGTAAGTAAAAATTCATTCGGGAAGAATCTGTACGTAAGTCATCATAATTTCGATGCCAGATTTTTTCTAATGAGGGCTAGCAGCTACTACACTACAACAGATTATCAAGTAGATTGACTCATCAAGGGCGGATTTAGGAAACTATCTAGAGGTGGTCGCAGCATTCATGTTTAGAAAGGGGTGGGAGGTAGCGGCCAATTTCGATTTTTTAATGCCGTTTCTTACATTTATAGGCTATAGAACAAATCAAAGACTGCTGCTTTCTCTACAATAACAGAGCCTTAACTTGTATCCATTTGAAACTCTATTCAAAAGCTAAAGACGATCTAACGGAGTGGGCGCTCAGATTGAATGAAGATTGTTTGAAGTCATGGTTGCTGCTTGCAAAAGTCCATTATTTAGAAAATAATATGGAGGAATTTCACAAAGCCATTGCTGAGGCAACTGAAAGAAATCCTGAAGATAGTAACTTCATAAAAGGTTATTTTTTCCCTTGTCCATAAAATCCGAGAAAATTGAAGGGTAGATTCAGCACTTTAAAATCATCTAAAGCAGGGCTGTCCAACTTAATGTGGCCCAAGGGCCAAAAAATGCAGTTTGGAGGGCCGCATTATAAAATCTTTCTATACATTATTACTGAGTTTTAATAGGTATATACTATACTATATGGTATACAAAAATAGTTTTTCTATTATTTTTATTTATTCAAAAAATATGAAATTACAAAAAAATCAGTGGGCCATTTGAGGATGTTGGTTTTCTAATACTAATGCATCAATATTAACATTAATATTCTTTGAAATGTTCTTTACAACTTGGAAAAAATGAAAAATCATTGTTTGTAATGAAGACTTGAAAAGCCTAATTTTATTCTTAAACCCATTTATGTGTCCAAATAAGTTGGCAATATTCTGCTGTTTTCCTTGTAGCTTCAAATTCAATTCGTTAAGGTGAGATGTCATGTCTGTTAAAAATGCAAAGTCTGCTAAAAATTGTGCATCTGCCATTTGATTTTCCAGTTCCGTAGTGTCGGACTTCACTTCATTTTTAAGGAAAATAGGAATTTCCTTGAGAAGAGCGAAAAATTGTTGCAAACACTTTCCGGCGCTTAACCACCGAACATCGGTGTGAAGTAACAAGTCCCCATATGTAGCATCCACTTCGGCCAAAAAATCACGAAACTTTCTGTGAGTCAAAGCACGATTGTCCCCTCTAACAATATAAGTTATTTTAACAGCCACTTTCATGACATTTATTTGACGTAAAGATTTTCCACATAAGCTCTCTTGGTGAACAATACAATGTATCATAGGACAGTTGATGCTGTTTTGTTTCAATAGTCCTGCAAATCCAATTTCAGTCCCTGTCATAGCTCTGGCGCCAACAGTGACAATACAGGAACATTTATCAAATCCCCCGTAGTCTGACACCAACTTATTCACAGCTTCAAAAATAGCTGTACCCTTGGTTGTACCATGGAGAGGAATAAGGTCAAGCATCTCCTCTGCTATACTATAACTATCTAAAACTGTAATGACTCATCGATGTTCACGTGAACATCACTTAACTACCAGTAGTCGGCTGTTCATAGGCGGGGTATGAATGTTTAACATGGGTGAACTAGAATTGGCACATGCTTAATAAAGAGTGGTTTGAAACATATTGTAAGTAAAAAATTTAGGAATTACCTTTATTCATCGTCGCTTTCACTTACATCTGACAGTAATAAACTGTCGCTATCGCTTTCCTCGTTGAAATTGACTATAACTGGCTCTATGATGGTGTCGATGTGGTGGTCAAGCTGCCACATTTTTGTCTCTTCCTTCACAACATGACGGATAGCATTCTGCCAAGCTTCGGGCGTTACTAGCTGTATGGAAGTCTCAAGTAAAACCTTAACGTCTGGTAATTTGAAGGTTGTGTTATGGCGCGCAATATAACCCTTTACTTGAGCCCAGATGAGCTCTATTGGGTTCAGTTCACAGTGGTAGGGCGGTAACCGCAGCACAGTGACACCACATTGACGGGCCATCTCATCAGTCACGTAACTAATGTTCGCAGGTTTGTGCTGTTTAATTTTTTCATACAATTCCGCTTTCACACATGAATCGTCAAACGGGATTCCTTTTTCGCGCAACCATTGCTGCATGTCACTTTTTCGAGATCCCATAGTCGGTACACGTTCGGCTCGACGATTATGGTAGGAAGCATTATCCATGACGATCACAGAGTTGGGCTCAACTCGCTGAAGCACCCCTTGAAACCAACTCTCGAAGCAGCTAGCATTCATTTCGTCATGGTAATCACCTCCTTTCTTAGAGACGAAAATCAAGTCACACTCTTCTAAAAAGCCACTATCGCTACCAATATGAGTTACGATCAATCTTTGACCTTTCCCTGACGGTCCACGAAGACCTGTTGACAAACGTTCAATGCTTGCTTGTCGGTTACTCACTACGTTTTTGTCTATCCAGGTTTTTTAACTGTGTGACCTGCATTTACCCATGTCTCGTCCAAATAATAGATTTTTCTGCTTTGTCGCCTATATTCAATCATTTCGCGTAGGTATTTTCGACGCCAGGCGACTATTTCAGGTCTCTCTATCAATACTGACTTCCGATTACGCGTTTCGTAACGAAAATTAATTTCGTGCAGGGATTTCCTCATTACCTCGACGAAGAAGAATGAATGTACGGGTTCGCCTTAACGCCATTTTGCTATCGTCATCCAATTTAACGGCCTTTCGTCCCTTCAAATTAAACTTTGGATCAGTAGTAGCTCCAGTTTTCTTCTTTTCATGCACCACCCTGCGAATGGTCCACTCTGGAACGCCTGTCATACTTTCACAACACGCGAGTGTATCTCCCTGCGACATAGTTCTGTTCAGATAATTGAACACGTTGAGCACGATTTCTTTCGCGTCAGTCTTCAGTGCTTTACGAAGCCGTCTACTTGTTCCCTGGGTTTCAGTACTTCCACTCGTGCCATTTTCACTCTCCATGGTTAAGTATAACCAAAACAGTAACCACAGAAATCACAACAATAACAATCACACAACAATTCTTATAAAAACACACAATATGCGATCGCTCAACGAAACACGTTCCAATGCGTTGCCGACGCCTATGAGTCTGCCGGTCGAGGCGCATCCTTGATTTCATTGGTTCTACCGGCGGAGAACAATCAGCCATTATTTCCATCTCTGTCTGTACTGTTGACCACCGCAAAGCCACAGAAACGACATATGTCGTACGCTATACGACTGTACTGGAAGGAAGCCGGGATCGAGCTCTGATCACGTGTTGATCACGCGTATGAGTCATTACAGTTTTAAATAGTTGTAGTATACACTGAAGTCGTCTTGGTATAGTATAGTTCGGATAAAAATTACAAGCTGGCTAATGTCAGACAGATCAGCGCTTTCATCCAGGCATAGCGAAAAATATTTACATTTTTCAACCATGTCACGCAATTTTTTGGATACATGTTCATTGATATGGTCTTGCAATTGTTTGATGCGATACTGAGACTGTTTCAAATTTTTCGGCAACTTTTAATTCATTGAATTGTTTCGCCATTTCTATTGCACACTTTTTGATAAGCACGCCATCACTAAAAGGCTTTTTGCTTTGGCAATTTCCAACGCTATTTTGTAAGAGGCGGCAATACTGCACTTGTTATCAGAGTCAGATTTTTTGAAAAAACTTTGTTGTTTTAGTTTTGTAGTCCGTTATGATAGCCTGCCTTCGAGTCCCCTGAATATTGCCGAAACGTTTTCTCGTGTAATGTCGTTTCATATTATATTCTTTAGGAACCGATAGTACTTGCATACAAACAATGCACTGAAGTTTATTATTATTGTTTGAGATTAAATATTCTGATTCCCAACGGACATTATAAACTATTATTATATCGTTCGTTATTTTTCGTTTCTGTGAAGACATATTTCACTGAGTATTTCACTTAAAAAGGCTTTAGAGTTGCTGTGTACTGAAACGCGCTAGCACTAGAACAAAACTGCCTGTCCCGCTTGATTCAACCTTCTTATATACGCGCCCGTGGCTTCTCGAATATTCGGGGATGATCGAGAGATCGGTCCAATTTCCAGTAAATTCGCTGCGGCCTGCTATCGGTCGCCAGTGGCGTCACATGTTATTGTATTTTATCGTTAATGTAAGAATTGTGCATATTCGGTATTTGAGAGAAATTTATACATGTGATGTATACATGACCCGTGAAGCGGGCCGCAAGAAAGGAGTTCGCGGGCCGTGTGTTGGACAGCCCTGTTCTAACTTATCCAATGTATTTATGTTTTTTGTATTGTTTTTTCAGTTTTCTTTTTTTTTTTTGTTAAGTGGCAGAGTAGCATTATGCTAAACTTCGCCCCCTAAATAAAGACGATTTATTATTATTATTATTATTATTATTATTAATATGTGGTGACCTGTAAATAATCGATCCAAAACTTTGTACAATCAGTGGACAAAACACGATCGAGGCTGACCTTCAAAGTAGTGGATCGCTTATTTTTTACTTCCCACTTTATTTGAAAAACCATTTTTTTCCACTCGGCAATGCATTTCTTGCTTTTCAGATTATGTGATCCAGTTACAGCAAACCGAAAAGGCATGAAACTTCAATTACAATGTTTATATTTTACAAATAAAACATCAGCTTAGTGTCATATTTTATTCTTTAAAACTGATATAACAAAATCCGTATACAAATCATAAAGCCAGTCTTACATCTAGGCAAGTTTTATAAATTAAGTACAGCCATCCACATTGATACAAATGTTTGAGATACACTGGAAATACAAATATAATTTAATGTAATAACAGATCGCCAGATCGTTTGTCGCCTAGTACACATTTTACAGTTCATGAATTTTAAAAAAAAATGTAATATCCTCCTCCTCCTTTAATCCATTTTTGCAGAATATTATTTACATGGTGTTTTTTAATGCTATGCTAATATTTCAAGGTTTTACTCTTCTGGTCATTGTAAGACTAAATTTGATACCAAACAAGTCTGCATTTTCAATTGCTTAAAAGTTGTCGACATGGCTAGTTACCCATTGTAAAAAGGAGCAGCGTATCTGACAACAAAAACACAAGAGACGATTTTTATTTAAAAAATATACACATAGTGACATGTAAGAGCACTTTTTCTACATTCAGAGTAAAAATATGTGTTGAGATGGTGTTTTTTTATTCATGAGATTGGATTGATTTGATCTTCAATCGTCATAAGATGAACTGGCAAACATTCTCCTTTCTTGGCTATTTACACAGTTCGATGACGTGGTCTTTGGTTGGTTGCCTATGTGGCAGTTGATTGAGTTGGAATTGTTTGAAGTTTCTTACAATCAATTACTCAGTCTCAATTGATGGGCTTAAATCAAAACCCTTGAACGTGGATAGAGGAGTTCCTCAGGGATCACTTTTGGGTCCTTTATTTTTTAACATTTTTACTGCTGATATGTCGAAGTGCTTTGGTGACATAAACAATCATAGATACGCTGACGATACACAGATTCAGCTTTCTTTTGTTAAGTCGGACGCAATTGAAGCGGCTAGGAGGCTAAACGAGTGTTTGGATTCAGTTTTTAAATACTCTTTTAATCATGGCTTGAAATAATAAATCAGCCATAATCTACTTTGGGCCAGCTAAAGATTGGGCGTCTGTAAACTTGGTGGTAGCAATGGATGGTGTGGCAATACCGGTTGTTGAGGAATATAAAACTTTGGGCGTTATCTTTGATAACAAGCTTAGATTCCGAAGTCATGTGTCTAGGCTTCTACAAAAAGCCTATTTTACCCTTCGCAATATTTACAAAAGTAAAGATATTCTTAGTTTTAAGTTAAAAAAGGTTCTCTGCGAAGCACTGGTCTTGTATCACCTTAACTATTGCAACTTTGTGTATGGTCCTTGCTTAGATGTATTTACTAAGGATAAACTCCAAAAAGTGCAGAATTCTTGCATACGACTTATTTACCAGCTTAGACGTCACGATCATGTCAGTCATAAACTTTCCGAACTGAAATGGTTGAATGTTTCCAATCGAGAAAAGCTGCATTTTGCTTGCTTTCTTCATAAATTGATTAAAACTAAAAGCCCTCCATATCTGTTTGAAAAATTAACTCGTAGAAATCTGATTCACTCTCGTGCAACACACTTTAATGTACTTTATGAAATACCTAAAATAACTAAAACCATGACTCAAAGCTCATTTTCCTATACATCACTCAAATTTCTAAACCAATACAATATAGGTCAATTTGAAGATATGTCTCCTAATATGTTCAAACGAAAACTGAAACAACTGCTTCTGTGGAGTATAAGTTGTTTATTATTGCTTATTTTCTTTGTATACGTACATCTGTAGTTATTATTGTTCATTGTTGTTATGTAATATTCTAAAATTAATGTAATGTAAAACTTGTTTCTTGTCATATTACTTTTCTTTTTGGCTTGTTGTTAATTTTTACATGCTCGGTTAAGTTAACAGCATAGCTGGGCTTCGCCGAGTTTAAAATAAAGGCGTTTTTATTTATTTATTTATTTAATTACTGTAAACATTTTCATTGATAATTATGGAGACCAAATTTTCTCCGATGACAGTGTATTTCTTTGGGTAAGATAGCATCATCCCACAGTACTCGGTGGTGCTTCTATTTCCAACATGGGATGGCAGATCACGCTTGGACAAATAGAATACTTTGGGGTCACGCTAAGATCTTACGCAAAGAAACACACTGGCATCAGAGAAAGTTCAAAGAAGCGTCATTCTTCATTATGAATGAACGTATTTACAGTAATTTAAGTGTGGAAATAAAACCAGTATGGCAACCCATTGTAACAAACAACTGCAACTCAGCCAACCGGAACATAGGACACGTCACCAAACTGTAAATAGTCGAGAAAGAAGCATGTTCGCCAGTTCACCTGATGACGAATAAAAATAACATCAATCGAAACGTCGTGAATCAAAACACCTTATAGACAATGGAAGTCCGGGAAACAGTAAACAGCAAAATTGTGTAAATTGCTTTCGCAGCTACTGTGGTAAAACGAGATAAAAAACGGATTCGCCCTTTAGTGAAATAAACTATTATCACATTATTAAGAAACACCCTGTATATCATATCTCCACATCAATGACGCAATTTAATACATTGAAATTAAAACCACTGGTCCTTAATTAAGAATCGTTTCTATTTCCGAATTTCCTTCCTTAAGCCATAAGCATGGCACTTGAAGCAACAATTAAAGGTTTACAAATCTGTCTGTGAGAAGGTAACTTTTCTGTTTCTATCATCTAAGCTATCGATATCACTCAGATTTCCATCTAAGCTTTGCAACATAGAACTGGTGAAACTAAACCCGTCTGATTCACCAGATTCACTCATCGTTGAACTGATATCTGCGTCAACAATTTTTTTAGCGTCTAGGAATTTGACTTCTGCAGCTTGTACTATGTACAGACCATGTTTGTTATATCCTGGAAAAAAATACACGTGGTTACCTATGTGCGAATAAGAAAAAATCGTAGTAGAGGTCATTTTTCTAGAGCCACCTGAAGAAGTACGTTTTATTGGTCGCAGTACAGCAAGCAAAGTTATTTGGCGATGACCAATCGAAATTGACTGTTTGCCGCTCGACACAAAGCAAAAATACCACTGTAACAAGAATGAATAGTACTACCAGCGCCATTTGTTGAGAATCGCGCCATTGGTTGAGAATCGCGCCAGGACCTATCTTTTAGCACTACTAGCGACATGTGTTGGGAACTGCGCCAGGGACTCTCCTTCGAGATCGACGCGAAGTGACCGCGAAGATTCTGGACTGCCGCTATGTGGCTCACCGGAACTTTCTCGAACTAATGAGTACATGCGATGCGGAATATATAAGCCGAGAAGCGCGACATAATAATTCGTAAATAAGTAGTCAGACGTAAATAGTGGTGTACGTACATGTTCTATCTAGTTAACTTAAAGTTAGTTGTGTCGTGTTTCACAGGAATTAGTGCATTTCTTCTTGTAGAATCAATCATTTTTAATTCAAACCCAAAAGAACCCAGAACAACGCTACACCACTCTCGTGCACTTTGAGCGTTGCCATGGTGCCTAAGGGAAAATTTGACGGTCTTTGCCAGTCTTTTTTTAAATAACCTGTATCTAACAACAGACATACAAGGTGGCAAATAAAATATTTTTATAGAATATGTTAATGATAATTGTAGTTTATCCAACAAAATTGAAATATACATCAATACTCACCAATATTCCTAAACTTTTCTAAAGGCAACCTGGTGATATCCGTAGACTGCTCATTCGAAGTACTGTTGCAGGTCTCATCGGTAATTTTAAGTATTTCCACGGCCGCGAATTGTACCGTGTATAGATAAGGTTTGCTAAAATGTAAGGCTACAGGTACATGCGTGGACTTTATTTCAGCTTGTCTACTAGATCTTCCGTATTCATCAGCAAACACCGAGAACTCGTTAAAGCAAAGTAGGTACTCTTTCGGATTTTTGTTTATTTCCAAAATGGCGACGGGAAAAGAACGCATCTTATAGCATCTGAAAAAGAAATTTATAAATCTAAATCCTATATTTGCCACAATACCCATCACAACACACGTTTGGTTGTTTGCGTAAGATTTTAGAAATTAAATTGGAATTGAACATAAAATAACATGAATACGATGAAAATATTATAAAATCCTTCTAGTAACTTTCCTCAGATTTCATTCTAAAAATGCTGATGACAATATTTCGCATATTTTTGAAATAGATGAGGCGAATTGTGTATGTTCAAACTGAATTGTTTCAGGTGGAGGTGAGGATTGATTTCCGTTTCTAATAATCAAGCCAAAATAAAGCTGAATATTGGTACAGGCCTTGAATACATCATTATGAATAATATATCAAAACTCCTCATCCTCAGTGATGAAACTGACAACGTAGCGTTCGATCTGGCAACACTGGAGGTGCCGGAAGGGGGACGGGATTATGTGATCCGCCTTCAGTACAAGTTTGAACTCGCACGAGTCAGTTGGTTATCCGTAGCGATTTTTTTTGTGAAACAGTTTTATCAATTGTGTTCTGAAAATGCGTGAGATCAATTTCAAGCAACTGTGTGATATCAGGTTTTGCTTCAGACTTCGGGAAACAGTCGATTGACGATGAACCAGGAAGCGGAAAACCTTCATCTTCAAGAACCAATGAAGATATCGACAAAATCCGGAATCTTGTGCGTTCGGATCGTCGGTTGACAGAATGATCGGGGAAGAGTTAAATTTGACTCACATCACCGATCAACAACAACTGGGTGTTACATCACGATAATGCGCATTCTCACACAGAAATGTCTATAAACGAACTTGAGTCCTTGTGACTTTTTTCTCTTCCGAAGTTGAAAAATCACCTCAAGGGAACTGATTTTGAGACAGTTGAAAACATTCAAACGGCTGTAACTGACCAGGTGGAAGGAGTGGAAGAAACCGACTCCAGCACTATGTGGCTTCAGATGGAAGTTATTTTGAGTTTGACAATATGTAATTGGAATAATATCACAAAAAATCAGTCTCATCACTTAATTTACAGACCTCGTACGTCATTTTATTTGGATAGAAGAGTCAAAAATAATTTTAACGCTTTGTCATATTTCCCTAAAAGGGAAAGATATACAACAAAAATAGGTTATATAAAGATTATAGAAAATACAATTATCTATAAAAGTTGTTCATGCTCTTTCATTACTTGAGTCGCCGTTTTGGCGATTTAGTGATCTGCGGACTCTCAGATAATCGTCTGCTGTTATGCGACGTATATTATGTGTATGCCATCGTCCATTCAATATGAACATATGAGAATATTCGAAAGCATTGAGTGTGCGACTTAAACTAAAATACACGCCACTTATACAGGGTCTGTCAAAAAAGTGTAAGTGATTTTACTAAAAATACATTACCTGACAAACCGGAGGTTTGTATACAGAAACAATTGAACCCAAATGCTTGAAAACTCAAAAAAGAAGGTAATATAATTGATTCGTACCATTCAAAGAAATCCTGGCTTGCTTAAGGTGCGCTCAAAATGAATAAAATGGAAGTCGTATTTTCGGAAAACAATCCTGCCCACTTGAAAATTCCTAGGGACCTTCAATATGTTATTGCAATTAATGTATAAAAGTCCCCAGCGCAAAATTATATATTGGTGGTCACATGTCAAAATTACCATTTATTATATTTCTCTGGAACAATACGAGTAACTAAAAATTAGCTTATACCAAAATTGTAGGGGATCCAACTCTCTATAAAACTTTTTGCTTTTTTTTGTTAGTCACTATTTATGATTTATAGGATCTAAGCTACTGCTACGGCGCATACGTATGTATATATATATATCACTTATACAGGGTGTTTGAAAAATATGCAGGTGTCTACGAAAAGCATCCGCTAAAGGTCAGTTTCGTTTGTTTCAAGTGGGTAAGAATTTTTTCCGAAAATTCGACTTCATTTTGAGTGCGCCAAGATGTGTTTCAGTGGTACGAATCAGTAGTATTGCCTTCTTTTTGGGTTTTCAAGCCTGTCGGGTTGATCTGTTCAGTATACAAACCTTTGGTTGCTCATGGAATAAATTTTTATAAGAATCTCTGACACTTTATTTACACACCCTGATAAGTGGTATGTATTTTAGTATAAGTCGCATACATCAATGCTTCCACATATATTTTCATATCGAACAGAATAAACATATTCAGCAGAAGAGTACCTGAGAGTCCCCAGATCACTAAATCTCATAAAGGCTGACTCAAGGAACAAAAGTGTTTGAACAAGTTTTCTAGATACAATTTTTGTAATGGGGTATTTTTTGTGGTATCTCTTTCCCTTAGGAAATATTTGACATTTCAACCCAACTAAAGGAGGTTTCGCTCCAAGGATATATGGGAAGTTTTGATAAATTATTCATGGTGGGGTGTTTTAGGTGTGTTTTTTACGTCGAAGATGTCACGTAAGCAGAAGCCTCAATGCCAGGACCACGCGGCTGACATGAGGATCCCAAAGAAATTTTGTTTATCCGATTTTTTAACTGCCTAAGGCCTATTTAGTAAATATTTGGTTAATTAAGAAAAATTCAAAACGAAAATTAGTAGAGGCTCAATCCAAATAAAGCAAGGATATATGAGAAATTATATTATTTATAATGATGTATTTAAGGTGTATACCAATTTCATCTGTATGGGAATGTTTGCACTCTTGCAATATTTTTTGCTGTATTTTGTCTGGGCTATAATACTATTAGCCATCACCATGACAAATTTCTGCCTATTTTCAATTTTTCCGGCCTGAAAACCCGCAACGATCGGCCTCTTTCGCCAATATGTAGTTAATTAAAATTCGAAACGAAAATTGATAGAAGCTCAACTTACTTTTCAACCTGCTTCAACCGCACATCGGAAATGTCCAAAAATTCCTCTGCGTCGTACGATTGCAAATCGATCTCAAAGAACTTGTTCGCCCCAACTATGAGCGAATTTTCGGTGAACAACGCGCATGTCGTAGGCTGGGCAGTGTCCAATATTCTTATCACCTGGAACTGATTCGAGTCCGCTTCGTGCTCCAGGATGATCAACTGCTTTGTGGTTGCCACACAGATCTTGTGATGTTTCGAGTGCTGGGATACTTGCATAGTGTGGAAACCGTTCAAGTTCCTCACGTTCACGTCAATGTACTTAAGCGTGGGTTTAGTACATTGAGCACATTGAGTCAAGTTGATCAGATGATTGATATCACAAAAAGCTAAAGTTCTCTTTTTATTCACGATCATTATAGCATTTCCCGTGCTTAACATGAGGGAAATCTGATGCAACTCGTCCAAGCCTTCGATTTTCAAAAGGTTGCCCTCATAGTAAGAGTACATGCCTTGCTCTGTTCCTAAGACTTTTATATTAGGAGTGAGATCGATAAGGCAGTTAGCTGAGATATTTTCCGGCAGCTGAAGGATTGTGTCAAGACGAGGTTTCTCTAAATCGTCGTAGTAAATTTTTTGTAAAGCTGAAAAGGAGAAAAAAATTCCCGTTAATATCGCATTCTCTAGTCAATAAATAGATTATAATAATAGTTTAAGAAAACTAAAAAAATACGCTTTAATAGCAAATCGAAAATAATTTCCAACTATACTAGGGTGTGTATTACTACAATAGAAGGACCAACAATCAAATATGTCTAATTAGTTAGGAATAAGATCAATATAAAATTAAGATATAAACAGTGAATTAATTCAATTATAGAAAAAAGTGTGGGATGCTTGAAATTAAATGTTTGGGTTAATTTTTTAGTTGCTATTGGAGTTATTATGAAAATAGAGCTAATTGCTTTTTACTGTAATTGATTTTCTTGTTAATATCTTAATTTTTATATTGATCTTATTCCAAATTAATTAATCATTCTAGATTATTGGACTTTCTATTACGTACCACACACACTCTCTTACACTTGAAAATTATTTTTAGTGCGATTTGCTATTCAAGCTGGGTTTTGGTCTTGAAATTGGTGAAATTTAAAGATTCTGTTACATGTAGGTCAAGCTAATAAATGCTTCTTCAAAATCATTAACGTTTTGGATGCTTATGTTTTTGCAAAATGCAAATGGTATTAACGTGGCATTCACATGTCGGAATCAACCTAGACGATTTTCTATACAAGCTTGGTTTTTACTTTTTTAAATAATTTATTTTCTGAATTTGTAGTCTGAAAACGATAATAAATTTAAAATACATTATTTTCAAAATTCCCAAATTCTTTTCAAAATTTCTAATCATTTCTTTCAATATTTCCGAATCGAATTTTCCAAATTTCTGAATTTTCCTGTTTATCAAATCCAATTTTTTTCAAATTGCAAAATTCATATTTTTAAAAAAAATCAAATTCGATTTTTTCCAAGATTATTGTATTGTCATCGGCCCTTGACCCCTATTAAAATTTTCAAGTTAATCAGCCCTCTTGAAATTGGTGAAAATTAAAGATTAAAAATCATTAACGTTTTGAATGCTTATGTTTTTGCAAAATTCAAACGGTATTAACGTGGCCTGGCATTCACATGTAGGAATCAACCTAGACGATTTGCTATACAAGCTTGGTTTTTACTTTTTTAAATAATTTATTTTCTGAATTTTTAGTTTGAAAACGATAATAAATTTAAAATACATTCTTTCCAAATTTCGAAATTTATAAAAAAATTACAAAATTTCTAAAAAGAAATTCAAAATTTGCAATCTTCAAATTTCAAAATTTCCAGTTTTTTCAAAAGTTCTAATTATTTCTTTCAATATTTAAGAATCGAATTTTCGAAATTTCTGAATTTAAAAGGCTCCGTTTCATACAGCTAACAAATGCTTATTAAAAAATAAAAATCATTAACATTTTGGCTGCTTAAATAAAAAACATAACACTAAATGTTACAGATACGACCTAAAGATAATTATTTCCACAATACAAAACACGAAAACTTGAGTTGTTTATAGAATGAAGTGGAGAAAGGAAAAGGAGGGGAAGGCTGTGGCCTCAAATGTATGGAGAAAGATGATTTATACAATGGAGTCTGAGTAAAAATCGGCATTGTATACGAAAATATATCTTCAACATTATTTAACCGTTATTCATTATTAAACTTACCTGAAAACCACTTGTCTTTATCCTGAGCTGAAAGAGTGAGGAACACCAAGCACTTTGGAGGCCAACACGTTGTATTTGGCGACACTTCAACTTTAAGAACAAAAGGCAAGTCTGTATTGGCTAAGGGCGCCGCTATTTCTGAAGACAACGGCTCCGAGATCACTTTACCATGCGTATCTTTGGGCTTTAATTCAAAGGTTTCTAGAAGCTGGCCATTTTCTTCTGGAGCCCCAGTGTATATGCTTATCTGGTGGTCTGTTAGAACTGCGAAACGCTTTTCCCAGCCATTTGGCCTGCTAAAAAAAAAATGTGTCATCACACACACAACACAAGTTACTCTAACAAGATTGAAACTGTCTCCAAGCTTCGCACCGCTTTTCTGTTGTAAGATTTTTTTTATTTAGAGTTGTTGATTAGTTGAAGCAGTCTTCCCAGTACCAAAGCTAGATTATTTAAACTTACCTAGCAACTTTTATCCACCCCTTAACATGGATCTTATCATCTCCAACAGACGTAGCAATCACATTTTCTTTTTTCTTTTTTTCTAAACTATCCCTATAATGTTTTGCAAACATTTGTGGCAGCCCACATGTATTTGGCACTTTTTTCGAGCAATAAGAATGACATTGGACTTGGCATTCGGAACAGATCATCACAGAACGTCCTAAAGAGATGGTTTCGGAGCAGCCAGCACATTTTGTGGATGATTTTGTGCAGATTTTCGATTCGTACCTGAAACAATTAAAACTTTACTACTAAGGTGTTTAGTTGTTCGCGCTAAAACTATATCCCGATTGGTATAATGAATGATATGACACAGGGTCGTTCCAAAATACTTCTAATCTCATGCAGAATTGCACTTTTCATAGCTCGAATACAGGGGAAGCCAAATTTGTCTGACGACTTGAGTTCAATGTGTACGAGACAGAAACGCGAGAAGTGTGTATCAGCTCATGTTAGAAAGAGATAGAAGCCAGCTGAAGGGCGAAGGTCATCACCACATTGCCCAGCGACGCTGAAGCATCTATGATTTTCCCCGTTAGTGATAAAATCAACACATCCTGAGTTATTGTTACATTTTGCGACAGCGAGCGGTCAGAAAATATAACAAATACCATTACGCAATACAAATTATCACTGCCTGCGTGTACACAGGTGAAAACCATGTTGAAGCAGCGCGACATTCCTCAATGAAGGTTAGCTGGGTACTGACCAAAATTGCTCATCTATTATCATGGAGGTGGAAACCTTGCTTTGGATTGTACGAGATGCGGTGTTGCCAAGCGAACCAATGAAGCACTGTTGCAAATTTGGTTCTCAGTGTATATATACAGGGTGTCCCAGAAGTCGACGTCAAGCTGAAACTGGGTGATAGGCAAAGTCATAACAGCTATCAGAAAAATATTTAAAAAAATGTTATGTATGTGTTTTGAAAAGTATAGGTCTTTGAAAAAAATATAGAAATTTCACACCCTACGGCAGTCTGTCAACTACAAATATTAACTTTTTTTGGATTTTATTTTTACAATGTAATGATGAATAATGCATCTTCAAACTGGTGTCTCAACCTTACTGCCAACTTTTCTCGTTCAGGAAAAATTGCCACTTATTTCCCAACCAAGTATTCCAAAATAAAACTTTGCTCAACTTTAACTGGCTGTACTGGAAAAAAATGTACTACGAGAGTTTGGCAAGTAACCTTAAAAGTTGGCGCATTTAATAAGGATTCCAAAATGGTATAACACTTAGCAGATTACTCGTTAACTTATGCACAATTTTTATTTGAAGAAAAACTGATGAAAATTTTTCAAAATTTCCTAATTAAACAGCGATTATGAAAACGCACAAGGACCCTTAAGGATAACTGTTTGCACAACAGTGGGCGTCAAAATGCTGCTGATGATGATTTACCTTTACAGCAAATGCTCAAACTGTTTTCCTTCAGCCGCAATACACACTCGACATCTTCTTAAAAAAGATCGGGTTATTAAACGAGCGAATCCACGGTTATTAACAAACTCAGCTGCTTCCAATAGTCTTTGCCGTAGCTCAGCTACATTTTGAATCGGCTTGAAATACACTTTTTCTTTTACAGTTCCCCAGTAAAAAAAATCTAACGGATTCAAATCTGGTGACCGGGCTGGCCACGGTATTGTACCAGACCGCCCTATCCATCTGCCTGGAAAGTTTTATCGAGATACTCTCTCACTGAGAGTGCATAGTGCGCTGGGCAGCCATCATGCTGAAACCACATGTCCCTGTAAATACTCAGTGGCACGACCACCAATAAATTTTGTACATGATTTTTCAAAAAATCCAAATAAACTTCAGCAGTCAAAGTCTCTGGGAATCAAATCATAATCGCTGTTTAATTAGGAAATTTTAAAAAAATTTCATCAGTTTTTTTTTCAAATAAAAATTGTGCATAAGTTAACGGGTAATCTTCTAAGTGTTATACCATTTTGGAATCGTTATTAAATACGCCAACTTTTAAGGTTACTTGCCAAACTCTCGTAGTACATTTTTTTCCAGTACAGCCAGTTAAAGTTGAGCACAGTTTTACTTTGGAATACTTGGTTGGGAAAGAAGTGGCAATTTTTCCTGAACGAGAAAAGTTGGCAGCAAGGTTGAGACACCAGTTTGAAGATGCATTATTCATCATTACATTGTAAAAATAAAATCCAAAAAAAATTAATATTTGTAGTAACAGGAGTTCACAGACTGCCGTAGGGTGTGAAATTTCTATGTCTTTTTCAAAGACCTATAATTTTCAAAACACATACATAAAATTTTTTTAAATATTTTTCTGATAGCTGTTATGACTTTGCCTATCACCCGGTTTCGGCTTGACGTCGACTTCTTATATAACAACATTATTAATTCCAGCAAACTTTTACAAGTTTATAGAGGGACAAATGAAAATACAAACAAGACTCATGAACACCTATTTTTTACATTTGAATTTTTTGCCACATAAATCAGGAATCACAATGGCCCCAAAACCGATCCCTGAGAAACTCCATGAGTGATTTTTCTAGGGGAACTTTCATTACCATTAGTACATACAAATTGACTCCAATCTTGAAGATAATTTTGAAACCATTTCATAAATTTGTAAGTAATGGTTGACAGTATCAAAGGCTCTCATGATAGAATCGAACACATTTTATTATCATCCTGACTCTGTGTCTTGGTTATCAATCTACTGAAGCAGATTCAGTGTCACTGCAGCACAATTTCTGAAGTAATAGTGTTCCACCAAAGTAATTTTGTGTTTCGAGGAATTTTGAAAGTCATATATAACATCTTATTGCCAGGACTGTTTTACTGTGAATCAAAGTATCTAAATCTGCGAAATGGAAACTAAAAGACTAAAGAGAATGAATTTTATGCAATTAAGGCTACAATTAGACATACCTATGAGGGATATTATGATGCATCCTCTGCACGGAATTCTGCCTGTACATATCCTTCTGTTTACTTGGTGAATTTACAATCTGCTGCAGAACTAATTTACTTTTGGGTGACATTATCTCTGATTTGTGCCTATCGACTTTCATTTTATCGGCCACGTTTTTAACCTCATCGGCAATCGTTGCAGCTTTCAATTTGTAAACCTCTTCTTGAAGCTGTTTATTTAACTGTTTTTCTTTGAGAAGTTCTAGTTCTAGATCCTTGTAGTGGAGAGGTAGTGCCATTGGCGGTTGATTTTCTTTCTTCGAGCTGCCAAATAGCACCTCTGTGATGGTGCGTTTTTTGTTGCTCAGCTCATCAATCTAAAAAGTATATTGAAGATTAAAATAAATAATTCAAAAATGGACATATTTCATGAAACATTTTTGGAGGAAGTGCCGAAATAAAGTGCTATAGTAACTATGTGAAATCCACTGTAGATGAGTGAAAAATACATCGTCGCGATACGGTCATGATCAGCGATTCATCAGTTCTTATGATCTGCTATACTTATCTACAGGGTGACTTTGAAGTTGAGTCATTAATTTTCGTATAATGCTTGTAGAAGGAAGATAAACCAAAATATGTGTGTAAAAATAAAAATAAAAATTAAAAAAAAATGTTACCTTGTTTTATAAAGTATCCTCCCGACAAGTATTTCAGTGCGGCCTGTATTTGATCGTGCGGTCTTGGAGCACCGGCATGCCCTCCCCTGTGAGGTCTTAAGTCACCTGATTCACGAGCTCTTTGTACTACATTAACAAAGGCACGAGGGGTTGGTTGCACTCGATTGGGAAACCGATCCGCATAAATCCGTGAATGCCGCGGCAGCATTTTTGTAAAGACCCCCCCAGCATTTTCGTAAACATGTGCCATTTTTTATTTCGTTTGAGCCACGCAACAAACACTCACGCGTTACCGACTGGCACATTGACTGAATACAACAATAAAATTGTAGTAAAAACATCGTGATAAGGCGTTTCAAATTTTTTCGCTTTTTTGTTTCCGATGCGATGAACCGATAAGGCGGATTATATCCGTTGTTGCCAAACACGAGCACATAATATTATTATTGAGACAGGGCGGTACTCAAACTTCTAAAGGGCTATAACTTTGTTACCTTAAGTTGACCAGAAAAATGTTAAAGGAAAAAAACATTTCTTTTGATCAGATCTACTCACTGTTAAAATAAATGACTCAACTTCGTATAATGGATTTCACACTTTTTTTAAGGGCTCCGGTTTTTTGTTGTTTAGATCTACTATACAATAAATATACAGAGCATTTCAAAAATGCCACCCTCGTATTTTTTGAATGGGTCAGGTTAGAAAGCTGAAATTCGTATTAATGAAGTTGATGCATAAGTACTATGTTTCAGCGTAAGGGGAACCACCTACAGGGTTAGTCCAAGGTGAGTGAGACTCACGCCTAGGAGAAGCAGTTTCCCCACTTTTCTAGAACCCTCGTTATTAGAGGGTTCTACCCTCCGGTTTTAGATTAACACATGGGACTTCCTACCATCGGTAGCCGTTAGGAGATAGCCAAGTTATTTAATTTTTAGTTTTTTTTTGTAACGATTTAGCTAGGGGGGTAATAGATACAGTAATGGACAAAAGTATATAGAACTAAATGCCTTTAGAAAACTAATTCATACTTAATAGCTCCATAAACAAATGCGTTATTAGTAGAAAAACTAAATTCCTTGTGTTTACATTATCTGCAATGAACACAATACAAGTCTGAATATAAGCACTTTTTTATGAGGGACAAAAATATGTAGACAAATTCTTTTCAACATTAGTTTAGTACAGTTTCGTGTCAGAAGAGGATTAGTTTTTTTTCATCAAGCATTGTGGAATAAGTTGAGTGATTTTAAGACCTTGCCGCGTGGTCCAGAAATTTCTTTCGATGTGAAAACTAAGATCATTGAGTTATACAAAGATAGTCAACGTCAAGTCGACATTGCCAAAAATGAAGCGTAAAGCAGTTTGGGCATTACTGAACAAATATAAACAAAAAGGTATCTTGGAAGCCTCTAAGAGAAGTGGTCGGCCTAGAAAACTAAATGCTAGATCAGTTAGATTAATAAAAGTAATTTCGTCCAAAGATCCGTTTAAAACCCCAAGATAAATAAAAGCCGAAATCGAGACAAACGGAATTGTCAGTGTTTCTACGAAAACTATAAGTAGAAGATTAAATGATTTGAAGTTATTTGCACGTCGCCCGAGTAAGAAGCCGCTAATCTCGAGGAAAAACCGTAAGGACCGATTACAATTTGCACGGTTGCATCTTGATTGGAGCATCTGTGACTGGAAGAGGGTATTTTTCAGTGACGAATCCAAGTTCAATATGTTTGGATCAGATGGTGTTCATTACGTTAGACGTCCTGGTGGACAAAGATTGAACCTAAGGTACACTTTGCCCACTGTCAAACATGGAGGCGGGTCTATTATGGTTTGGTGGTACTTTTCGGGGTTTGGAATGGGACCTTTACATAGAATAGATGGCATTATGGATAAGTTTGTATACACAGACATACTAAAGCATGTCATGTTACCCTATATGGAAGACAATATGCCCTAAGATCAATCTTCCAGCAAGATAATGACCCGAAGCACACATCAAATCTCGCAAAGAAATACCAGTTCGCAAATGGCATTCACAGTCTCCCGATATACACCCCATTGAAAATCTATGGGAATACTTAGATAAGCAAATACGAGATAAAAATTATTCCTACAAGGATGACCTTTTTGCCGCTTTAGAGCAAAAGTGGAGACAGAATGATGAATCTCATATCAAGAAACTTCTACAATCTATGCCGAGACGATGCCAGGCGGTGATTGATAATAATGGTTATGATACAAAATATCAACACAAACATGGTTGGTTTTCTATAATTCAATGAACTTTGCTTCTTTTTTCTATAATTGTTTTGCTTTGTCTATATATTTTTGTCCTTCATAGTTCCAGTTTTTTTCAATTAATTCTTTATTGAAGGGAGTCTAATGAATTTATTTATGTATAAGTGAGTATTATGCTATAACGAATTATGTATACAGGTTGGTGTATTAATAAAACAAATTAAAAAAGAAATTCAGCACAATGTTAATTTGTCTATATACTTTTGTCCATTACTGTATATTCATTCTTGTTAGCCTGTGCTCCAGGACTTATCCTTAATTTCTTTTACTTTTATTTTTTTTTTTTTTTTGTTCAATAAATGTCTGTGTACCTTGTGAGTGATACTTGTTGCTATTTCATTTCCTAGTTTTTGGATACTAGGTGGCGCCCAAATAACCATTGCATTCAAAAACCAAAGTACAAAGAACCTCACCCTGACGGGGCTCATAGCTACCGACTGAGCACATACTCCATTCGGGATAACAAGGGTACCTACTTATGTCTAAAAAAGCTTGTACATGTGCTGATCTTAATACCAGAAATCTCTGGTATAACACTGACTTCAACATACCTAAATATAAAACTAATATTTTCCACCGTAGCTTCATCCACAATGCTGTGAAATCGTAAAATGGTACTCACAAAAGCAAATGTCTAGTAGCATATAAAAAACCATTAAGTACCATCTTCTGGGATCTGCTATCCAAATAAGTCAATAAAATTTTTATCTTATCACATTACAGTCGAGTAATACCTTTAGCATATTATTGGCCCTGTCTTATTTATTTTTTATTATCAGTAGAACATATTGTGTTATTTTTTTCTTCTGTTAGTGCTCATACATAGTCTCGTTTTCATTCAGCTTATCTTTAAGACTTACCTACCTTGTTAATATGATCTTGTTAGTTTCTTTAAGTGTATGTTAATGGAGTTATTTTTTGGGGTATTCTGTAAAGTGGTAGAGTAGCAAGCTGGCTAAACTTCGCCCTGCAGTGTGGATGAGTCAATAAAGGCATTATTATTACTAGCAGTGCCGAATCAAGTCAGCGCGGGGACCGTAGCAATGTATATCAGGCGGCCCAGGGGCGGAGCTAGAGAGAAATTTAAGGGGGTAGGACAAGGAAAATGAAATGCTAGGCGATTGAAAACTGAGGAGCGGGAATTTTCAAGAAATGATATTTAAGTATAAATCTGCGGATAGTTTCTAAAAAAAACATGCCCAATAGAATCTACCTTGGTCTGCAAATAATCGATCAACTTCACATGCTGCTTAATAGTAGCGTCGTTTTTCATTTCTCTCTGTTTATAATAATGGCTCTTCTCGTCCAAAATCCTTTCTAACTCGTTCAATTTTTCCGCAAGCATAATTTTTTTGTCTCTCAACTCGCTGACTTGATGTTTGTATTTATAATTCGAATCTTTCAATAAACTGATCTGTGTAATGTACTCTGACAGCTCCTCCTTCAGAGCTCTACTCTCGCTTTGATAATCCTCAACTTGTCTTTGGAATACATTTACTGCAACCTCTAACTCGGCAATTTTCTCTTCGGCCAATGTTAGGTCGTCTGATAAGTTTGTTGAATACTGTTTGTACTCCATGCATTTCTGCTTGTAATCTTCGGCTTCTTTTTGAAGACATTCTATATCTTCGTTGAGTCGCTTGATCTTGGTCTCGGCCAAAATCCTGAAAAACAATTTTAACTGTGAAACGTGGACGATGACAAAAGCCAAGAATAGCGGCTTAGGCGTAAATCAGAGTAAGATTTGTGGACCTCCACATGGCCCAAACACAGGTGAATATTCCTTAAATCGAAAGTGGATATCAGGGATAGTAAAACAATCATCAGACCTCAGACCAATCTTTTCCATAATTCCATAGAAAATTATGCAGAAACAAATTTCCCAATATGTCAAAGATAAATGCATTATACCTCAAATCCAATTTGGTTTCCGAAATTCTTGTGAAACAACAACAGCACTCGCATATATCGTCGATGACATCGTTAGTTTACTAGATTGCGGTAAAACTGTTTATTTAATATTACGTTGAAATTATAGAAAAGCTTTTGAAACAACTGAGCACGGAATTTTGTGGCCCAAGCTTAAATATTATGGGTTTAGCTCCACCGTCGTCCAACTTATGAAAGATATACAACAGACGTTCGATAACGTAAACACGGGATAATGAAAACTTGCGCTAACGTAAACACAAACTTCGTTCTATAGGATCAAACGGAACGCGCGATAACGTAAACAATGTGTACGCTCGATAACGTAAACAACTCTCGGCGCACGGAAACAGCGCGACGGTAAAATGCTGAAGCCTCGATGATTTATGTCGGGCGTCGGGGAATCCCCGAATTAGAGTGTAGGGGATTCACCTCTGCGATAAAATACGACAAACGGCAGTCGTATGATCGTTTAGGATACGTTTATACGTACGTATGTATTTCATTTTTGAACTTAAGTGAATACATTGCACGGGTTAATATATTTTACGAGTATGGCATCCACATCCTATAAAAGAAAGTGTTTAAAGTTGAGTGAGAAAGTGAAAATCATAGACGAAGTTGCACTAGGTGCGGGAGTGACACAGTAATGCAACGATAGTTTCTCGCAGATGCTTGAAATTCTTCAAGTTCGTAGGATTCGTACTTCTAAATAACCACAACAAAATTGGAGTAGTTTTTGAGAATTTCTAATTGTTTATCCTAAACGCCTGTTTTCCGGACATCACTGCTAGTTTATTGACTCCCTACTAGTTTATTGACAGGGTTAGTTCAAATTGCAATTTATAGCTAAATACACTAGTTTACCATGCCGATATGAATCGCAGACCATTCGGGAAGATTAATGTTATTTTTGTGCAAAAAGGATAGGTTAAGTTTTTTTTCTAAACAAATTCAAACATTTCGTATTTGTGAGTAATTCGCACACAAAAGATGATAGACACGTTTTTCGAATTAGTTCGATTACTCACAAATACGAAATGTTTGAATTTGTTTAGAAGAAAAAAAGTGGCGTTTGTTTTTCGCATAAAAAGAACATTTATTTTTCGGAATGGTTTGTGATTCATATCGGCAAGGTAAGCACGTGTATTTTGCTTTTAAATGCTCTTTGAATGAAAACCCTCTATATTGTTCAATAAACTAGTAGTGATGGTCGGAAGACAGGTGTTTTGGGAGAAACAATTAGAAATTCTCAAAAAACTACCTGACAAATATGCTTCAATTTTGTTGCGGTTATTTAGAAGTATGAAGCCAACGAATTCGAGGAATTTCAAGTATCTGCGTGAAATTATCGTCGCATTACCAACAAGTGCGAAAATCTGCATTTTGCCTCGTTTTTCGGCCATAACATGTTTGCTATTAGTCGGATCTTTTTACGTGTGGTCTCATTTTGTAGGACTCATAAATAGCTAAAAATCCTATATGAAAAGTGTTTTCGTTCCTGTCATCAATTTCTATTGAGTCCCAAAAAATACGTTTTCACATTCTTTGTTGTCAAATAAAAAGTTTTCGCACAAAAATTGGTGTACCCAATTTATGCGTCCATATTTTGAATACCCCCTTGAACATGCACCAATAAAACCAGACTTGACAATTATTTTGGGGTAATTTGCTTATATGATTACACTACTAGGAAAACGGTTCTTACCTTAATGATTTTTCTTCATTCGCCAATTTCTTTGCTTCTTGGATATCCTCCTTCGCTTTGCAAATATCCTGAACTAGTTTATCAGTATTGCAGTTGAGCACTGACTGCTTAGCTTCATGGGTTGCAATCAATCTCTCATATTCAATCACTTGGTGTTCTAAAAGTGTGCATGCCTCCTTTAGAGCCTCGAAATTCTAGAACAAAAATCATCAATCAATGAATTGTGACAATATAAAATAAAAAAATATTGCAGATTTAACACTTGAGCTCACAAACAAGAGTGAAAGAAGTCGATAAATACAAATTACTATGTGTGGCTTTACAACTAACCAATTTCAAATTATCATATTCTCTCTTGGACTCGTTTAAATTATCAAAAACTTCCGCTTTCTCTCTATGCAACCTCTCTATCTGTCCCATCAATTTCGATTTTTCTTCTTCGTACATTTTACATCTTCGTTCAACCAAGGATTTTTCTTTATAATACTCATCAGATTCATTTTTCAAATGAGCTATCTCTTGATCCTTGCTCCTTAGAATATCTTTCAACTCCTGGATGCACGTTTTGTCGTTTAAGTTCTTATCCTTTTCGTTCTCGAGCTTATCTTCCAAGTTCTTGCAGTTACCTCTGGCCTTAATGAGTTCTTGTGAAATATTTTCATTTATATTACTTAGTTCCAACATCGCTAGCTCGTGCATTTTTTTCGATTCAGACAATACCTTATCAAGATTCTCAAGCTTCTCGTTCAACTGAAATAAAACAAATATGTGAGGTAAAATCTCATCATTATTCAAGACAATAAGTGACCAATATTTCACATGACGATTCCCATGAAGTTTATAAATTCATACAAACATGTGTGGAAAAACGAGGGTTTTCCATTAAGGACAGGATAACTTTCTTTTTAAATAAAACGCGAACCATTTGAGATATCTCGAAAATTTTAATATTGGATTGAAGTACACTCAAAATATTTATGTATGGAATTCGACCTCGTTCATATGTTCACCACGGGCACGTTCGCAGCGATCGATTCGTTGAACACAATTTTCAATGACTCGGCCACACATTTCGACAGAAACGGCCGCTATCTCGCGTTCAATATTGGCTCTGAGCTCCTCTAACGACGCCGGCTTGTTCGCGTAGACAAATGATTTAATGTAGCCCCGCAAAAAAAGTCTAGCGGTGTTAAGTCACACGATCTAGGCGGACATTCGACAGGACCATTTCTCGACATAACACGTTCACCGAATTTTGATTTCAATATGTCGATTGTTTCACACGCTCAGGGGCGTAGCTATCCTAGGCCAAACCGGGGCAGTGCCCCGGGGCCCCGGCTTATAGGGGGCCCCGGCCATGCGCCTCAAAAAAATTGTTTTTAAGCGCTGATCAGCAATAAATTCATTAAGTGCTAATATAACCTAGGTATACTAGAAAGAAAAATAAATAATAAATATAATGATAAATAATGTTTATTTTTTAAAACGCTACATATTTGAGGAAAACGCTTGCGTTCCTAAATGTATGTAGCTATAATCCGTCGGACCGCGACGGGCTTGGCACCACCGCCTTAATATTACGTCTCGTCTTTGGGGATTCCCCGATCTATTTTTTTGATGATTTTAACTACCCAGCGTGCCCTATGTGATATTGATATGTGTCGCAGTCGTGCCGTGGTGCCCGGCGTGGTGTAAAATAACATTACTATATTTGTATTGTGACTATTGTGTCTTGTTATAATAAGGTACCTATTAGAAAAAAAGGTATGTGTAAGTTATATTTTACATAATGAATAAATGGCTCGATTTTGATTTGTGCGTAATTTTGTTTGTAAATGTACATTTGTCCATTACCTTGCTGAGTAAAGGCGCCCGCAGAATTTCCGTAACGTAAGACTTAAGCGTTAAGTTTCATTTAAGACAGATTAAGACTTAACCGCAAGGAATTATACAAAATTCTGATCACGTGATTTACTTAAGCCTTAAGGCATGAGAAATTACGTTACAGCTTAAGGCTTAAGTCTGGGCTTAAGTCTTATGTTACGGAAACTCTGCGGGCACCTTAAACCCGACACTAAATTCGAAAAGCTTCTTAAAGACTAAAAATGATCTATTGACTGTTTCAAAAATATCGACTAATTTTTTTTCTCTTAAGTATATAGTATATCGAACAAATTGTTAGAAATGACGAAAACAAATCCTGTAAAAGTTACAGCTCTTTAACATTTCTTCATTAACATGCGAAAAAATTGTTTTCAACTTTTGAATTTTTTTCTCATTACTAAATTATCATACGGATGAGTTCATAGTTTACTCTTGTAGGGAATTGAATGCTTTACAAAAAAGGTCTCTTACAATTTTCCGATAAACCTACTCGTTCAAAAGTTTTTCGAGGGAAATTGAAATTTTCGATGCGGCACCACTTAATATTAATATTAAGAGCTGTTACTTTTACAGGATTTTTTCTCGTCATTTCTAACAATATTTTCGACGTACTTGAGAGAAAAAAATAGAGGATTTTTTTGAAACAGTCTAATTGATACACAACTATCGAAATATTTAATGCATTTAAAAATGTTTGTGTATTCTTCTCTTCTCACAGAAACGAAAATTGAAATTAGAAAAAGAGGAAAAATTAAAAAAGCATGCTGAAAAAGAACAAGTAACTATGCAAAATATATATTCTTTTTTTGGTTTAAGTATTGATAGATGGGATCTTTTAGCTTCTTTTAACAGTGAATCCAGAACAACTTTAAAAACATTAAATCCAACTCGTTGGTCAGGAAGGATATTGTCTATTAATGCTGTCAAACTTCGTTATATTGATCTTATTAAATCTTTAACAGAAATAGAGTTACAGTCTCATAAAAAAGAAGAAAGGGAAGAAGCTTCTTCCATTAAAAAACAAATGTGTTGCTTTGAATTTGTATTTATTTCAACAATGTTGTATAAAATCTTTACCCAGGTGAACTTCGCCTCAAAGGTCCTTCAAAAGAAAAATATTGATTTAAGTGAATCTGTGACTGTTTTAGAACAAGTAGAAAAGAACCTTACTGACTTAAGATCTTCTTAGGAAATTTTAATGATTGAAGCTACGGAACTGGCTAACACATGGAATATTCAACCGGAATTCAGGCAAAAACGTCAACCTAAAGTTAAAAAACACTTTGACGAACTCTTAAGTGATTTCAGATTTAATAATACTCAAATTTTATTTAAAATAAATGTTTTTAATGTTGTTATGAACCGTGTTCTGACACAGATTTCTAATAGATTTAGGAGCATGAAAAAAATTAATAAATTGTTTGATTTACTTCTTCCAAAAATTATATTAAGTTGCGATGAAACATCCATTAAAAATAAATGTACAGCCATGTATAACAAATATCCTGAAATATTTGATTTAAATAATTTAATATTTCAGTATACCAATTTGTTAAATGTTTGTAAAAGAGACCTTAAGAATGATCTATCAATTAAGGGATATTTCAATATAATTTTAAGTAAGTATGGGGTACTTGAAAGCGACTTAAGTGAAGTTTACTTAATGTTCCTTTTATTTTTTACGATGCCTGTAACTACTGCATTTGTTGAAAGATCATTTATCAAGCTAAAACTTGTAAAACACTATCTTAGGTCTACTACAGGCCGGATTAGATTAAGCGATCTTGCTTTACTCTCTATAGAGAGATGAAGAAGCCCAAAACCTTGATATAAATGATATTATCAACGAATTTGCAAATAGAAAAGCAAGAAAAAGGGATTTTTAATTTTATTATTGCTTGATTTTTGACTTTTTTTTATTTCATTATTTTAATTTGTATTACTTTTTGTTTTTATGACAATAAACAATTTTTTTATTATAACATGATATTTTTTATTCTTAAACATACTCATGAGGGCCCCCAAAAAATGTTTGCCCCGGGGCCCCATGACTTCTAGCCACTGCACACGTTGTGTGGTTTGTGGCATAGACTTGTTGAAACCACATATCATTAATGTCTAGCCCATCCAATTGACCAAAAAAATAATCCCGTTGACTCACTGGTACGGGAACATCCAGCAACGAATATTTGGAATTACATTTTTTTACTAGACTATGAATTGTTTGTCTGCTGGGACGCCAAAAGTTGGCGTTAACGCTCTTAAAGTTGCAGTCACCGACTCGGAATTTCGGCAGTAAATTTTAATTGTTTGTAAGCGTTGTTCGTTCGTGTACTTCACCATGATGAAAATGTTTTCTTTACTGAATGTTTTGACATTGACAGTTCGGTAATTGATTTAAAGGTGCGTTCACAAAGAAAGTTCAAAGTTGTCAAGTCCCTATTGGAGAACCCGATATTAGACACTGTAACTTTCATAAAAGTTTTTCTTCTGGAAGGTCACATAAATGGTTAGAGGGGGTCAATTTATAGCCAGACATGTAATACTAACAGCATAACCAATACATAAAAAAATATTGAGCTTGTGACTACAGTGGCATAGAAACTAGGATAATTTTGACCGCTACGGAACAAAAAAGAAAAGTATTTTCTGCAACACTCTTCTATTAAACCACCTACTGCATTTCTTAATAATTCAATTTTATAAGATTCGCCTTTCTTGACAATGTTTTGTCGGGTTCCTCCTTTAGAAGAAAAATCGGTTTGAATAATTGAGGTAAAATCCACCGAAAAAACCTCAAATTGTTCTACTATGTACTAGGGGAGTAATCCTATCTCACCATAGTGTTATTTGAATATTCATGTTTTATCCAGTGGCATAGAAATTAATGTATCTCGAACACGAAAGCGAAAGCAGACCCGTGCTTATATCAAGTTTTTGACTTGAAAACCCTAATGAATCGTACTTTGAAATATTGGAAATACTCTGTATAAAAAGTAACACTCATAAATAATTACCTGTTTTATTTCAGCCTGTGCCTCTTTCAATTCCCTTTCCAATATCCTTTTGTCAATTTTAGCATTACCAAATTCTTTTTCCATTTTCCAATATTTCGTTCTTAATGACTTCAACTCCTCATTTTCGCTTTTCAAACTTTCCCATTCTTGAAGTTGTTGCCTCAATTCCAAACATTTTTCCCTCTCTTCTAAAAGTTGGCTCTCCAACTCAGCAACTTTTTTACTGTTCTCCAATTTAGTTATAATTTTTTTCAGGTCCTCCATTTCTTTCTTGTACTCTCCCATAGTTCTGTTCTCATTTTGCAGCATTTTGTTCTTATTTTCAAGCTCCTTAACAGTCTTCTGGTGATTATCAATAACTTCTTGAAGTTTTTCAATTTGTTGCTTGAACCCTGGGATTTTTTCAACTTTTCTTTGTAAAACGCTAATTTCTTCATTCAACTTTTGTACTTCAGTCTCGGCCTCAAATATCTTCTTCTGCCATTTATTGAAATCCTTGCCTTGTTGATTAACCTTATCCAGTAGATTGTTTTCTTTTTCTTTCATTTTAGACAAATTATTTTCAAGAATTTTCTTTTGATGAATTTCATCAGACAATTTTCTCTGTAGCTCGGTTATAGCACCCTATAAATAAATTGAAGTGTTTTGATTATCAATTTATGGAATAATATTCACGTTCAGAATAGAAATAGTAGAAAATTCTTGGGAAACTTTGTCAGTAACGAAAAGATGTAATTGTAATTTGTGTAAGAAACTGTGACTTAAAATCGCAGTAGGTTACCACCTCGAAACCTCTTGTTTCATGTTAAAGGGCGTCCAAGAAACGTGCTTATAAAAAACGGCGTCAAGTAGATTAACTCGATAATTCCCACACCTTCGAAAAAACTTCTGGTATAATTTTCCATGTAGTGAAATGACATCACAAAGACGTAGTTTTTTTCAGAACCAGCAATGCACTATTTGGGCTTTTCATGAAAAAAAGTTTCCTCCGATTGCAGCTGTACCTTGATCGATAAATAACTCGGCGACGCACCGCATATGCAACGGATAGGCGTCTGCTGAATATTTTTTATTATTTATTATGTTATGTATATTGATCTTTTGGCACTCGCCTATCATATCTCATTGCCTTTAGCAGTATTATACAAGTCATTTTTACGGCATATAAAACTATACTAGAAGATTTGTTACCTGAGAATCGGTGGTAATTCTTTCCAGTCTAGATTCCAATCCAACAACGCTTCTTCTGTTCATATTATGCACTTTTTCTAGGGATTCTTTATGTTTACTTTCCATCTTCAAAGCATGCTGAAGCTGCTCATTTAATATATTGTTTGTAGTTATAAGTTGGTTGATTTTTTCCTTTTGCTGTTCCAACTCCAAGGAAAAAGCCTCGGACTTTTGCTTCTCGGCAGTTTCCCATTTTTGCTTAGCTGATTTTATCAAGTCCAGTGCTTTCTTTTCTAGCTCTGAGCGTTCTTTGCGTTCTAGTTCTAGAGTACGTTTCAACGCCTAAACATAAATTATAACGTGATTGAAGTTAAGCAGTTTGTGAAGCTTTGCAACTGTAGATCAATGATTCCGGTGACAAAATATTATCGCATCATCGTAAAAATTGTATACACGAATTTTATATTTGTCAAACGGTAGGAGTCACGAATCTTTTTAACAACCCAATGAGTATCGGCTACTTCAAAAGTATTTCGAAATTTTAACGGACGGAAGAAGTATAGATCGTTCCGTCATCTACAAGAACCTTCTACACTCTGTCTCTCGAATATTTCCCTCATGCATACAAAATGCCATAAGAGGTGTGGAATTATCGCAAAATTACAGCAAAAGATTCCCGTTACCTTTTTCCGAAAAAAATCTTACTTACTTTCTCTCGTCTATCCTCCGTCATTTCAAGAATCAACCCCAGCAATCGTTGATACAAGAGTTATGATAAGCAAATTAATAATCTGTGAGGTATCATTCGACTAAGAAATGTATTCGAATACATATTTGTAAAAGTTACATTGAGAGATAGTGGCTATGAGTTACTGAACTCAGAACAATGCCTGCAACATCTTACATTTTATTATCTATTTCAATAATTACTCACCGCGCACTCTGCGATCTGAGTAGCCAACTCTTTCTCCAAAGTATTCCTCCTTTCTTCGACGATCTCCAATTTTCGTGTCTTTTCTTCCAACTTCTTCTCTAGACTATACTTTTCTTGATCAAACTCATCGCTTTTTACAGCCTTTTTCCTCAAACTTGCGATCTCGCTTTTAAGACCTTCGATCACCTCGTCTTTAGTAATCACTTTACGAAAGTAATTGGTCTCAAAGCAGCTTGGATCATGTGTGAAAGTAAATCCGACAAACGGCAAATTTCTCCCAGAAAACTGCGTCCGTTTTTTGAAATTTTCAATACTGGGATTATTTTGACGAGACTGTACATCGCTAAAATTGCTAGTATCTTCCAATGATGTAATCTTAGGGACAAATGGTGGAACTTGGTCCCTTAAGGTCTCAAAATTAACGTTTTTGAAAACATCGTGCTGCTTTATTCCGCCAGATTGCAGCCGTGTTTTCTCGTCCACAAGCAGAGATTTTACAAAACTTACATAAGCTTGTGAAAGGGTAACATCAGGTGGAAATTTCAGGACGTTGGTGTGGTTCATTATTTTTGAATAAATAGAGCTGGAAGTTTGGCCTGTAAATGGTGTATTTCCAATTACCAGTTCATAGGCTAAAATGCCCAGTGACCAAAAGTCACAAGATACCTGAAAATAATTATACCATGATTCAAAACCTGAAAGCGATTAAAATATTTCATCAAATTTCAAACTCGTATTATATGAATTTCCGCCAGTGAACAGTAACCAACTTGGTGAGTAGTCCTCAGCAAGCTGTAAATCTGTACTTTGTCGCGCAACTGAACAATAGTTCATTGTGTATAAAGAGAGCAAAGTGCTACTTTAAACCTCTAGGAATACACACTTAAATTGAATATACCGGTGTGAGGAACATAATACTCGTAATCTGTGCTTATGTACTGCTATATCATACACTACTAAAGAAAAATTAAGAGATCAGGAATAAATCCAAATGTTTCGGTGATCTTTGGCAGACTGTATTTCGGTGAAAAATGGACGTATCGAGACTTTAAGAAACATTTTGAAGCCCTAAGATTCTAGTTTTCAGGCTTTTTCAGCAGAAAAATTTTAGTAACCACGGTTTTTGACAGCGGAAGAAAAATGTATTGCAAAATTTTTGACTTATTTTTAGTCCACGAGCTTAGAAAAATGTTTTTCTGTTACATATGGATCGGATAACCCTTTATTCAGTTTCAATATTGTTTTAAAAATCTGGATATATCATTTAGCGCGGAGATATCCGATTTTAAATGAATATCTCGGTAACCAGTGATTGCACAGAGAATGTAAGGGTATTTCGGAAGACGAATGAATCTCCAATAAAATTTGACTGCAATCTTTGAGGAATTTTGTTTTTGTTTCCCGGACCGTTTGATTAAAATTTGAATGGAAACAAAGTATCAAAATGTTTGTATCACAACATATGTATCCATTTTCAGAAATACCCCTACATTGTCTGTGTGATCACTAGTTACTCAGATATCAATGGGCGATGACCAAAGGATTCTTTTTCATTTAAAGTCAGATATCTCCGCGCCATATGACCCTACTGAAATCTTAAAAACATTATATTGAAGCTGAAGAAACGGGCTGTCAGATCCACATGATGGCCTAACAGAAAAAAAACTCTTTTTTTTTTCAAGACCGTACGCTAAAAAGAAGGCAAACATTTTGCCAAAAGTTTTTCTTGAGCTAGTAGTAAAAATTGTATGATAACCGTTGTTCCTGAAATTTTTCAGTTAAAAAGCCTGAAAACTAGAATCTTGAAGCTTACGATCATTTCTCATCGAAATACAACCTCTCAAAAATTGACCAAAAATTCAGGTTTTTTTCTGAGTAGTATACTAAGTGACATATAAATCCGAACACCCAGTTTAAATGATTTTATTTTAATAAAATTTTGTATAAGTACTTAATGAAGCATAATAAGTAAATGATAAAAATTTCAAAATGATTGCACTGCTTTAAAGCCCTTTGACCTTTAATAATGTGTGGATGCACCCTGATGTGCTACGCATTCTCCAACGCGCCTAAGAATGCTGGTGATCAGGTGGTCAATGTCCTCCTGTGGTATCTCATTCCAGGCAACCACCAACTCCTCTCGAAGTGCTTCTAGAGTCTGAGGAGGACGTTGCAAATTGAGCAATCTCCTACCCATCATATCCCACAAGTGCTCAATTGGGGATAAGTCGGGAGATCTTGGTGGCCATGGTAACAATGTGACATCATTATGTTGAAAGAAGTCTATTGTGACTCTTGCAACATGTGGTCGGGCATTATCTTGTTGGAAAGTTGGATCTGCCAGGGTGTCAAGATAGGGTAAAAGATGGGGTTCTAGAACTTCGTGGATATAACGCTGTGCGTTCATGTTACCTCTGATGAAGATTATAGGTGACCTCTGGAACCATAAGCTATAGCACCCCAAACCATAACTCCAACAGTGTTATGAACATGTCTTTCAACAAAAAACTGTGGATTCCTCCTTTCACCACGTCGCCTTCTAACCCTGGCACGACCATCGTGCATGCCTAAACAAAATCGAGACTCGTCACTAAAGACAATACTGTTCCGTTCCTGATCCCAGAGTGACCGTTGTCTGCACCACTCAAGGCGATTACGTCGGTGTTCTCGAGTTAAAGGGAGGACCCAGTGTGGCCGGTATGAAATCAAGCCAAAACTTCTCATTCGTCGGTAAACACTTCGCATGCCAATAGGTCTTCCGTGTTCTGCAAACCAATCATTTGCAATGGACCTGGTAGTGGAGAAACGGTCCCTAAAGGCCAATAATCTTAGGCGGCGATCTTCACGGTCTGTTGTTCTACGGCGGCGTCCAGTGCCCCTTGCTCTTTGCGTACGGCCTTCTCGAAGCCATGCCTGACAACACCTAACCACAGTGTCTACACTTCTTTGCACTCTAACTGCAATTGCCCGAAAAGAAAGTCCAGCTTCCCGAAGTCCCACTATACGGCTCCTATCAAGCTCACTAAGTTGACGAAATCGTACAGGTCTCCGTACTCTAGGCATCGTAACCGATCGTAAAGGATGTCAAGAACCAAAATCCGCCAACGTTGATTCTTTACTGCGGCTGAAATATTCATTTTTAGAGCGTTAGTGAATTAAAAAAAAGCAGTATAAAAACCGGAATGTCCAACTGATAAGGCTGAACATTTTTTCACTTGTTATTTACAGTAAGATAAATACATTCACCAACTTTTATTAAAATAAAACCATTTAAACTGGGTGTTCGGATTTATATGTCACTTAGTATATATTGTGATGACATCTGATATTTTGGAAACATGGAAGCGTTCCATCGTTGGCCCGACTGAAACCAGTAGGATGCGTTATTGCTACTTTGTCGCTCTAGACCAGAAAAGCTGCCATTTGATCGCAGGAAGGAATGCGTTACGTGACAAACGGCGCAGAAAAAAAAAATACTTTCAACATGTTATATTTTAGAAAAGAGACATTTTTCAATATAATATAAGCTAATTTTGTATTTTAGCTGAAGCACAGTAACAGCTACAAGTTGATTAAGGCTTTATTTTAACCAAAATGTTCACACAAATAATTAAAAATAAAGCTCAAAAGCCAGGTCTGACTACTTTTTGAGAGACCTATAAGGAAATGGAATCGGCTTCACGATGTTTTCAGACTAGAGGAGGCTTTAGCAGGTTCACCTGCTCAAAATAATATTTTAGGATTCTATCTCAAATATTCAAACCTAAATATCTCCAGAACGAGTGATCTGATGAAAAATCACAGAATTTATGGAAAATTGAATGGTATTTTATAAAATACACTACTTTTCTTCGTTTGGAAAGGTTCATCTAATGGTGATCTTGAACGTGACCTTGACTATTACAGTCAATGTCATTTGAACATAAAGACGATTTTCTTAAATGAAACCCTCATCTTTGATACCGGAAATGCTATTTTTCGAGATTTTCAACATTTTCTTACAATATTAAGCTTTACCCCTTCCAAAAAAAATAAGTACCATGCGACTCTCACCGGAGAAACCGGTTTTGTGTAACTAACGTTGCTTGCAATAGATAAAAACGTAGTAGAAAACTGTCAACACTCCATTCCATGAAATCTGGGATTCACCACCAAAACGCCTACCTGCGACTTTGTTTCGCATTTTAAGTAGTAATTTCAAATTGAAGGATTTGCATCTGGTTTCACGAAAATTGTTTCTTTAACAAAGTCAATGATATTTTAAAAATATTAAATTCTCTCTGATTCTTACCCCATAGCCTCTACTATTTTGGTTCTTATTATCCAGACACTGCAGCAGCTCAGGAGCAACATAGTCTGGTGTACCAACAGGAGGTCCAGTAGTAATGAGACCGTTCTTGTCCAATTTGGCTGCTGATCCAAAATCAGCCAGTTTCAAGTGACCACAACGATCTAAGAGAATGTTGTCTGGCTTTACATCTCTGTGTGCAAACCCCATTTTGTGGAGGTCTTCAAGGGCTGAAACCTAGTTCATTGGAAATTTAATAGGGGACATTAATGCCATGTGGACATATGGGACTGGATAACTTCAACATTACATTTTTTTTGCGATATACACTAGAAATATGATCATATATAAAATAAGGCCTTAATGAAGCGGAACAATATGCATTTTCCCAAAAAACATTTTATCATCTCGACTAGAAGAAAAATTTCACAATAACTTATTCCTTCAATATGAAAGAAACGTTGTTAATGTATAGGATTATTTTTTGATTATTTCTTCGGCAAAATATCATTTGTTCAGTAAGTGTGAACAAATATTTTCGAAAAAATCAAATATTTTTTCCATTAATATTTTTTTAGAAACTTACAGTAATGGACAAAAGTATATAGGAAAATTAATATTGTGCTGTATTTCTTTTTTAACTTGTTTTATTAATACACTAACCTGTATACATAATTCGTCATAGCATAATACTCACTTATACATAAATATATTCATTAGACTCCCTTCAATAAAAAACTAATTGAAAAAAACTGAAACTATGAATAACAAAAATATATAGACCAAGCAAAACAATTATAGAAAAAAGAAGCAAGTTCATTGAATTAAAAAAAACCAACCATGATTGTGTTAATATTTTGTAGCATAACCATTATTATCAATCACCGCCTGGCATCGTCTCGGCATAGATTGTAGAAGTTTCTTGATATAAGATTCATCAATCTGTCTCCACTTTTGCTCTAAAGCGGCAAAAAGTTCACCCTTGTTTGAATAATTTTTATCTCGTATTTGCTTATCTAAGTATTCCCATAGATTTTCAATGGGGTTTATATCGGGAGACTGTGAAGGCCATTTGAGAACTGGTATTTTTTCATCCAGAAAGAATTTCTTTGCGAGATTTGAAGTGTGCTTCGGGTCATTATCTTGCTGGAAGATTGATCTTAAGGGCATATGGTCTTCCATATAGAGTAACATGACATGCTTTAGTATGTCTGTGTATTCAAACTTAAACATAATGCCATCTATTCTATGTAAAGGTCCCACCCAAAACCCCGAAAAGCACCCCCAAACCATAACAGACCCGCCTCCATGTTTGACAGTGGGCCAAGTGTACTTGGGGTTCAATCTTTGTCCACTAAGACATCTAACATAATGAATACCATCTGATCCAAACATATTGAACTTGGATTCGTCACTGAAACATACCCTCTTCCAGTCACTGATGCTAAAATCAAGACGCAACCGTACAAATTGTAATCGGTCATTACGGTTTTTCCTCGAAATTAGCGGCTTCTTACTCGATTTCAGCTTTTATTTGTCTTGGGGTTTTAAACGGATCTTTGGACGAAATTACTTTTATTAATCTAACTGATCTAGCATTTAGTTTTCTAGGCCGACCACTTGCCCAAACTGCTTTACGCTTCAACTTCAAATTCTTGGCAATGTCGACTTGACTTGACTTTGTATAACTCAATGATCTTAGTTTTCACATCGAAATAAATTTCTGGACCATGCGGCATGGTCTTAAAATCACTCAACTTATTCCACAATACTTGATGAACACAAACTAATCCTCTTCTGACACGAAACTGTACTAAACCAATGTTGAAAAGAATTTGTCTACATATTTTTGTCCCTCATAAAAAAGTGCTTATATTCAAACTTGTATTGGGTTCATTGCAGATATTTGTTTATGGCGCAATGAAGTATGAATTCGTTTTCTAAAGGTATTTAGGTAAATATTCATATTTGTCTATATACTTTTGTCCATTACTGTATATAATGGTCCTCTATAAGAGCCTCTGAGCTTTATTATTTGACAAATTCATTTTTGCAGTAAGTTTTTTTCTAAAAATTGTCATTTTTTACCAAAAACATTTTTTTTAAAGATAGATTTTCTCCTGATGCTTCATATGCCTTAATTTCTTATTCATATCTGAACAAATGTATGAGTTAATAATGATGGAACAACATATGTATGTTTAAAGGGTAGTTGAAAGTTTTATATGAATGCTTGCTAGCAGATGCGTATGCACAAAAACGCCCAAAAAAGAACAAAAATTCTGCTAGTCAGAAGTAAAAAAATTTTTTTTTATATTTTGTTTAAGGTGTTCCAATTTTTGAATCAGATATTTCGATACTGTGATATAATCCTAATAGTATTGTAAAAAGCAGAATTCATATCTGTTGACACATTTTGCAAAACCACATTGAAAATAAAAAATATATAAAATGTATTGGCTAGTTGGGAGTAACTTAAGTATTTACTTGTTATATAATTTATTATATCTTTTTTAAAGTATACAATGGATGGAAGTTAATTCATGTAAGTATATGTACACACACAATATTTTTAATACCAATAATAATAATAAATAATCTTTATTTCAAAATAACAGTGCACAATTACAATGTAATGTCTGCTGTTAAGTGAAATATACGTCACATAATACCATAATCTAGTGTCTAAATACATATTACAATATTACACAATGTGTGTGTTTGTGTTTCACATTTCTAGATATTGATCAAGCCCATATGGCTCTAGATTCATTAGTAACTGGTGAATACATTTCTTGAACTCTTTTATATTCAATGTGCACAATATATTAGCATTTTAAATAGCACCTATTAAGTTAAATGTTGTGAGGTTTAAATGTCATACAGGGTGTCAAAGAAATAACAGGCCAGAGTGACAAGGGAGGTAGATTGGCTTCAAATCAATCAGATAAAATCAACATGACCTTAGTAAAAGTTTTCTAGTTTTCGAGTTATTGCCACTTGTAACTTTTTTCAAAAAATCTCTGCTTTTTGCTTTTTTTGCCTGTTATGTCTATAAACTACTTCTAAGTTATGATTTTTTCCTGGGCTACCATTAATAGTTGGTTAAGACATTTTATTGAAAACTAACATGCTATGCTAGAAAAACTTGGTTTCAATGTGAAAACCTTCACTAAAGGTTGACTAATTACTGTGAAAAAAAATGTACCAGACTTTGAGTCAGCAAATGACCTTAAAAACTAGCTATTTAATGTTCTTTCAAAAATAGTATAACATTTGTAGTTTTTTTTACAAAAAACTGAATAACTCTGTGTTGTCATTGAAGTCATAATACTTACGAAATACTACAAATAAAAAACAATATTTTTAAAACAGCATTAAATAGGCTACTTTTTCAGATTATTTGTCGATTCAGTCTAGTACATTTTTTTCACAGAAAATTAGTCAAACTTTAGTAAAGGTTTTTGCATTGAAACAAAATGTAATAATTTTTTTTTAACATATGGTGCTAGCTTTCAATGAAATTAATACTCTGTTGTCTCAACCAACTATTAATGGTAGCCCAGGAAAAAAAACATAAGTTAGAAGTTCTTTATAGCCATAACAGGCAAAAAAAGGAGCAAAAAGTAGGAATTTTTTGAAAAAAATTTAAAAGCAGCATTATGTCAAAAATTAGGTAAAACTTTTGCTAAGGTATGTTAATTTTATCTGATTGATCTAAAGCCAATCTACCTCCTGTGTCACACTGGCATGTTATTTCTGGGATGCCCTGTATATGTATGTAACTTTAGTGGCTTAATAATTGATAGTTTACTTTTAGGATAATACTTTTGATCTATTTGTTCTGGAATAACTTACCTATAAGTGGAGTATACATATATTCTTACTTTCAGTTATGCATTATTCACACGTTATAGGTTGCTAATGAAATATAAATAAATAAATTTTACTGACCATGTATTAAATGTGTTAAATATTCATTACTCACCACTTCTGATAGATAAAATGTAGCTGCACTCTCTGGTAAAGTCCCTCCTTGTCTATAAAGGAGCCCCAATAAATCTCCACCAGGATGATACTCCATAATATAATACAAGTATGAACTATCTTGGAATGAATACTGAAGCGATGTAAGCCAAGGTGAATTTGCACACACCATAATATCCCTTTCTTCTTCAAATGAAATGTGTACCATATCATTTTCAAACTTTCGCATAGCTTTCATTGCATATACATCGCCTGTTTGTCTTTCTTTCACCAAATGAACTTCCCCGTAGTGCCCTCTGCCTATAACGTTTTTTATTTCGAAGTCGGACAAGTTTACACGAAGCTGTTTGATTTCTTTTATGTGGTCTCTATACTTTTCAACAAACTGTGCAATGTTCTTATCATATTTTCTCAGGCTCTCTAGGCTACATTCCTCGAATATGGCTGTCAGCACATCGAGTAGGGCTTCTCTGGTCAGCAAAGGGTTATTCGGCCGCGAATTTTTTCCAACGATCTCGGAATTGATTCGGGCTACGCGGATACTTATTGCCTCTGACGAATGCTCCATTTTTAATTAACCGTTGGACAAAAATGTTAAGTAATCACATTATCCTCTCTCAAAAACTATTCTAGTAACGGTGAAATGCACGCACAACCTGCAACAAAACCGTTAACGATCAAAATTTGAAAAGTAAACATGTAAACATGTCAAACAATTGTCAAATGACAGAGTCGCCAGCTCCGAAGGTCTCTGGGGGCGAGAGGCATATAAGTAGAACTAGACTGCACGTCAGCTTCCGTATAGAAGCCATACTAGCATCACAAAACACAAGACTGCATGAACATAGCATTACGACTTTTTATATAAACTGGTGGACAGTTACTTTGCAACATGGAAATCTTGCCCAAATTCAAATCTCGATATTCTCGGAACGGAAAGAGATATCCAGTGACGGTATTCGAGAGGTTCTTGACCGACTCTTTAAGAACACGAACAGGGTTCGATCGGTATATTTCTTTTATTTATCCACTTATACAGGGTGAGGAGTGAGTTTGGTACTATGTCAGATTCGATATCTCAAATTTTTCGAAAGTTGGCTATAACTCAAATTATCGAATTTTTAACTTCAAGCAATAATAGTCTTTCGGCTCAACCTAGTATTTTTTATTTATTTTTTTTATTACCGTCTCCGACTTCGCTCTAACTACCTACACATAAAAGATGCAATTGCTGACAATAATATTGACTGCAGAATTGACAGAACATAACATCTACTTTATAAAAGAAAGGTAAATGAGTGACCTTGACGGCATTTTTTATTTGATAGACAATAATTAGTATACCACAGGGGTGAAACGTCTTATGGGCGAAATGGCAACACCACGGTCATTCTCTCCAGGCAAAATCGAGGAAACTGCATTACCAGCACCACGTGACGTGCTGCTTGCTGGGCTTCTCTATCTTTATCCGAATTTAAGAATATCTAATCTGTTTTGGTTAATATCCACATTATACGCGCTAATGCTTTTAGAGATATTTCATTAAAAAATAGTATAAAATAAAAAGCAACACTACCAGTAGCTGTGATGGTATATATGTCAGATGTATTGTAACTATTGTGGGAGATGTGGAAGTTAAGGAGACTATGTCATAAAGTGCTACAGGTAGGTTGTGAACTTAACATGTGGACATGATGTACTTGGTAGAATATTCAAAATTGTATGTCTGGATTCAGCCTGTTGATAATCCTTGTAGCTGGCACCGATATGTAAAGTATGAAAGTTTTTTTTTTGTACTAAATAAATAAGATATGGTGATATCCGCAGAACATTATAAAGCGAAATTCTGCAAGCAAACTAATTAAAAGTGACTAGGTTATTTACAAAGAATTATAAATAACAATAGTATTTTCTGTATTGTCTCAGAATTATCAAGAAGCAATTCAATGAAGTGAGACTCCTGTGTTTTCCAACTTCCAACGCTCAACATGAATTTGGAATAAATCTATCTATATTTTCATGTAATACAATGTTTATACCATTGTTGACAATGTATTGGCAGCATATGATTATTTTTTGAACTGAATATATTTTGTGATTCATAATTAGTGTTTGTTGGATTTTATTATTCTGAACATTGTTCTCAGCAAAACTACTGAAAGAGATAACCCTTATTGGGGATATTGTATGAATATTTGTTCATGAAATACACCTTCAATATAGGAGATATCATCTTCAGCAGATTTCAAATTATGAACAAACGAAATCCCCGTACACATTCCTTATACCAAGCATTCTTTAGATAGTTCCTCCAGTCCAGATCAGGTAAGTAGGCGGTGCAACCTTCTGAAAAACGTCAACGGTGTTGCTATTGTTTAACGTGCAGCTCCCACTTCTTCAGTCTTACGTGTTTTGTGGCGCTAATGCTGGATTTTCCAGTCGTTCTTTTTGACAGTTCAATATTCATGATGTATTCGTAATTTTGAATTGAAAGTTGCATTTTGTGCGGCGTGGCGGCGTTTTTATTAGTTTTGTGTCGTTGATACTGATATCTATTGAGCGGTAAAATGAATTTAAATTTACAAACTTAATCTTTGTATGGAGGTTTATCGAAAGCGGGTATTTAAGTGCGTGGTACCTGGTTGTACCGATAAAATCAGTTCAAGGTATACATTTCCAAGATATGATGCCGATCTTTTTAACAACTGGATTGAACAAGTGCGAAATCCAGTTTTGAACAACCAAACTCACGAACAAATCTATAAAAGACAAAATTAGCTGTTCCTATATTACATCTTCCTGAACTTCAATCTTCAAGTAAGTAATAACTTTGTTTACATATATAAACCAGGTTCATGCACTGTGTAATCAGTGAATAATCATGATTAAATGATTCGAATATTTTGGTGTTCTAAAAACTTTCACAGTATTTACGGTTTCCACAATTTTTGGAAACATTTACCTAGGGTTATAAGCAAACACAAAACAAATATATACTGAATCAGGGAAGTGAAACGTCTTATGGGCGAACTGGCAACTCCAAGGCCATCCTCTCCAGGCAAAATCGAGGAAACTTCTTTACCGACATCACGTGACGTGCTGCTTGCCGGGATTCTCTATCCTTACCTAAATGTAAAAATATCAAATACGGCGTTTGTTTTGGTTAATATCCAGATTATCAAAGCTGATGCTTTCGGAGATATTTCGTTAAAAATGAGAGTAAAATATAAGTAGCTGTGATGGTATACGTGAGATGTATTGTGACTATTGTGGGAGATGCAGACGTTCAGAAGACTCGTTTCCAGAGTAGTAACTTGGATTTGTTTCTTAAGCTGGCATATTAAATTTTTACTGCACGTCACTAGAGGCAATAATTACCTATTCAAAAGAGAAACCCCAAAAAGTCCCTTTTTTAGGGATAAATTAACACTTTTTTAAAATTCTATAATTTGATTTATAGCCAACTTTCGGAAAATTCGAGAAATTACTTTTTTTTAATATAGTCCAAAGATCAAACAGATATATAGAAAAATTTCCAAGATCAAAAATTGAAAATCTGTCATAGCCCCAAGCTTTGATAACAACCTGACTTCCTTTGCTCACCCCAAATACTGCAACTTCATATCTCTTTCCTTCCGAAAATATCGAGATTTGAATTTGAGTAAAATTTTCCATGTTGCAAAGGAATTGTCCACTGATTTAGTATCCATTGCAATATTATCCTCCGGTTTCTATTCTTCTTGGTCCGAATAAACGTGGGTAGTGGTGGGTTGAGCTTCTCTGTCCGAATCAATATTCGAATTTCGGTGAAGTTTTCTAAGGCTTCGTTCCAACAAAGCCGTGTATCGTACAGTGAACCGTCATGAGCATGCGCAGTACGTTTTTAGTGTCACTTAAAACGTACTGCGTACGCTCATTATGATACGGTAGACGGCTTTGTTGGAACGAAGCCTTAGAAAACTTTACCGATATTCGAATATCGATTCGGACATAGAAGCACAACCCACCACTACACACGTTTATTCGGACCAAGGAGAATAGAAACCGGAGGAAAATATTGCAATGATGGATACAAAACCGTCCATCGTGCTTCCATTTTTGACAGATGACAGACGAAGTTTTTAGCGTTGGTTGCTTATTTGCTTTCGTGCTTAACATTTATCATGTTTGTTTTGAAGTGGTTTTGAAACGAACCGGCAATATTCACGTTGGCTTTACCTTCATTTAGTGAAGAAATTCTAGTTGAAAATGCATAATGATGGTGATGCAGACATGGACGCCGATGATCCGATGGAAATTGATGATACAATCCCTACCGCACGGATAATTGAACGAAAATCCGACGTAAAAGATACATCATCAGATACAACTTTACAAGAGTCTGGAACAAGGCAGCAATCACAGAATGATTCTGATATTATGGAAATTCGGGATGACGACCCTGATAACGGGAAAACTGGAAGCGAAAAAGATGCTGATATTGTTATTTTGGATGATGATGAGGATGATCCACTATCAACAGAAAAACCTAATGGTATTTTTCTTTTATTATAGACGATTTACCAAAAGCAGTGGTTCTTACCAGATACAAGAATACAGTGCATTGTGTCTCAAAAATCTATGATGTTCAAGCACCTGCCTAACACAGTTGGGGCAACCTCTATTCATCTATTTTTGCTTTTGTTAGTGTATGATGCCTCCTATAGAGTTCTAGAAATAGATACTCTCCCCCTGCCTTGAGATTAGCTGCTGCATATATGGTGTCCTAGGTTTGGAGAGTTACAAATAAGAAAAGCTGATATTTTTGATCTTGGAGATATGTTATTCTTAGATGATATGAAATTTAATGTACTTATAATTAATAATTCAGAACTCATAGAAAATTTCCCTTTGATTCCAGCAAACATTGACACCAATATTTTGGAAAAGTAATAACTTTAATTATTTACCCTATCAGACTAAACACTTATAGATCCTCACAAATGCCTTAACCAAAGCGAATGAAGTAATGTAACCTGGTCAAGTTTTCTTAACACTGGCTTTAGAAATCCACTACTTCAACAAATACTGATAGGGTAATTACAGAATAAGCACTGTACTTCCTTATCTTCATGTCCATATTTCCCATAAATGAGAATGTTAAAGTTATTCTCTTATGAGATATTGTTGTTTACAGAAAAACAGCAATCTACCAGTCAGAGTATGGAGGTGAAAGACGTGATTGATCTGGTGGATAAACCACACAGCAGATGTTTGAACAGCAGTTGTCCAGGAAATTCTACAATTATGATTGCAGCTGCTGATTTCTGCTTGTCATATTACAGAGTCAAGAGGAGTAACAATCATAAGGAAGAGATTTGTGAAGATTGTTACAATAAGGCAGTTGAGGGTAAACAATATCTTATGAACAAAAAAAATAATAATGTTTACTGACATAGATATGGAGGCCTTTGACCAATGGTTTTGTTGATTTTTTTCTTTAAATTGTTGTGTAGTATTTGTCATTTATAGAATGAAAAAGCATCTTTTTCATATGTTACATTAGTTCACTGTAGAAGTAAATTTGTCTGATGTCTTTGAATTTAGCTTCTACAGGGTGGCCCAACCAAAAGGTTGCACCCCTATTTGTGACTCTCCTGTGATATTTTGGGAAAAAACGCTCGGACACAACAATTTTGATTTCTAGGGGGACGTCTTTTCATCTATAGCTAGGTGATCCAAATATGACATTGCATTACCACTTTTGATTTTTTAATGGAAACTCACATTCTTTTTAATTTTTAGATTTTCCATTAAGTTTTTTGTAACTTTTGTATAATAAAGCTATTTATAATAAAATTTGACTAACCTAATACTGATAATAATGGAATGGACATCAAAAAATAATAAACATGGATACCAGCACAGAACATTAGTTGTGATAAATATTGAACAATGACTTATTCAATTCAAGAAAGGGTAGAAATAACAAAACAAAACTGTTTAATGCGTTACATCTAGACAAAAATATTAACTATAGGTATGTGGCTAAGTTGATAAGAAATTGGATCTGTGTCTTATTATTTGCCATAATCGCAATCAAGAAAACTGACCATTAAGAAATGAAGCTGTAGAAATAGGGCACGTAGCACTTGACAACACCCAAAGCACTTGTAAACTGGCTACATCTTCAGGATCCTATATGTAAAGATTGGTGGTGGGATAAGTAATCTTCTTGAAAATTATTCATTCCCATGTGATTTTTTATAATAATTGTTCATTATTTCTCCCCATGCTAATATACCATAGACAAGGTAGGATGGACATGGTATAGAATATACAAATAAAGGGTTGTCCAATAGGGACGCAGGAAAGTAAACGTCAATTTGACATAGACGCCATCTTTGTTTTCTGTCACCGACATGTCATTTTGTTAGTTGAATGTTTACCATTGATTGCTATGGAGTCGTATTTGATTGAAGAGCACTACAAAAATGGTGCAAAAATAAAAAACACGTTTCACGCGCTTCGTGAACATTTCGGTCGCAACAACCGCCCAAACGAAACAACCATCGGTCGTCTGGTGCGTAAATTCGAGGCAACAGGTTATGTGGCAAATCTGCCAGGCTCTGGCCGGCCAAGGAGCGTTCGCACATCGGAAAATATTGCTGTTGTGAAGGAGAGTGTGAGAGATGATCCGGAACAATCAACAACGCGTCGATCCCAAGAATTGGGCATTTCGAGAACCAGTTTGCTCCGCATTCTCCACAAGGATTTGAATGTACACGCCTACAAGATCCAATTGACGCCAGAGCTGCGTCGGGCCGACCATTTTTCGCGCCGAACGTTCTCAGATTGGCTCCTTGAACACCGCCAAATTGATGACAATTTTTCATCAAAAATCATGTTCAGCGATGAAGCGCATTTCACTTTGAATGGGACGGTAAACAAGCAAAACTGCCGCATCTGGGCGAACGAAAATCCCCGTGAGTATCAAGAGCAGCCAATGCATCCTCAAAAAGTGACTGTGTGGTGTGCATTGTGGTCAAAAGGCATCATCGGACCTTACCTTTTCGAAAATGCGGCCGGGGACGCCGTTACCGTCAATTCTGAGCGATATCACGTGATGATAGAGGACTATTTTTTGCCGCAACTTGAAGGAATGGATATGGACGATGTTTTTTCCAACAAGACGGTGCAACATGCCACACAACCAACGTCAGTATCCATCGATTGCTGTCCTTCTTCGGTGATCGCGTGATTTCGCGCAGAGGAAATGTGCCATGGCCACCAAGATCATGCGATTTGACTCCCTTGGACTTCTTTTTATGGGGATATTTGAAAAGCAAAGTCTACGTAAACAAACCAGCCACCCTCCAAGAACTCAAAAACAACATCATTGCCGAGATAAATGCCATAGAACCGACCATGTTGCAAAATGTAATTGAAAATTTCGACCATCGCGTGGACGTCTGTAAATCCAGTCGTGGTGAACATTTGCGCGATATTATTTTTCATACATAAATGGTATAAATGAACCTTCAAAATAAAGTACCCAACTTGATTTGAATATCAATCTTTCTTGTTTTAATATGCGTTTACTTTCCTGCGTCCGTTTTGGACAACCCTTTACTTTTTGTCTAACAAATCTTTCACGAAATTTTCCATATGAGCATTCGATTTTAAATTTTGATTGAGTATTATACCTATTTAATTTTGTCAACTGATTGGATTTCTTTATAGTCATTTTTTGTTCAAAATTTGAGCTTACTAAAATTTTCAGATAGTCTTTCATCACTTGAAAATCCTATGAAGCACATTCTTTTGTAATTGATGGCCATAGTTCTCTCTGGAAAGAACTTTATGCCGGCAGTAAAATCGTTTTCAATTTTGGTTGAAGTGCCTAAAAAGCGCCAGTGCAAAAGTTTCATTAGTTTTTTGATATATCTTAAAGTAAAACAAAATAGTGATTTGGCCAAATTTAAGTTTTCCATAAATATCTCGGTAAACCATCAACTTTTACAAGTTTCTGAATGGCATGTAAATGCGTCCCAAAGAACGCAGCTTTTTCCTAGTTTAATCTAAGATCATGGATATTATCCTTGTCTTGGGCGCCCTCTATACAGGGTGTTTCAGAACTATGGGATCCCATAACCCCTTATTCAGTGGAACAGTAGAAAACATTTAAGTATCATTCGATCTTTAATTCCTTGTCAGTGGCACGGGCCTAGGTACACTTGTAAATAAACGAACGAATCGGATATCTTTTCATTTGTAACTATTTGCACAAATACACTACTGTGTGTGTTTCGTTTATTTCATTAGAGTTTTACTTCTAGATTTTGACCGTTTGAGTTTGAAACTGAAAAGCGGCGGCTTACTCTTGACCGAAAAATACCCCATAATAAACGAGACTCTTCAGATCGACGATAGTGATGAAGAAGATAGCGATAACGAAGGTAGCATGGAATATATTGACCAAGAAAACTTCGAGTTTATTGCTAAGAACTTCGATCAGATTTTTGATGAGACTTTAGAGAAGTTCAAACTTGAGAAACAGTATCAGCTGGAAGCTGAGTACTTGAAGGAAGAAAATAAAAAGGTTGAAGGTAAGAATATTGTTAAGCATCTTAGATTCGATGTTGTTTTCTAAAAGAAAAAATCACATACTGTTTCTAGTAAAACATTGAAACAATTTACTTACTTTCAGAGAAATGTACAGAATTGACAAACGACGTCAAAAACATCAGAACTATGTTAGATGGAATACAACTTAATTTATACAACTACTTTAGACCTGATTTTTGTAACCTAAAGGGTCTTACAATCGTGGATGATTGTTCATTATCAGCAAATATGTTTATAAAATCAGGTAAGCAAATTACTAGATGTTTCGATTTTGGTGAGGCTAGGAAAAATAACTCAAAAAGCTCATTAATTTTGGAACAATTCAACACAACAAACATAGGATTTTTCAAGTATATTGGAATTAATCCCTTCAAGATCTGCAATGATCCTGAAACTCTAAATATCATATTGGTTACTTTCACTGACCTAAATCTCTAGCATTGATTGCACACCATGTGATACTTGATGTTCAATTCTGAATTCGGTCCAAGTATAGTAGCAAGCATCAGGCTGGTAGAACATGTACTACTGAAATCCTTCCTTGAAGGAAGAAAGCTTCGGAGCAAAATTAACAATATTTTGTCGACAACCCGGCCAGTACGGGCCGGCAATCCTCAGTGCTCGGTCCTAGGCCCAAACCTTTACTCCAGGACTTTCCCAGCAACTGTGAAGTCTACCTCTGCACTGAAGACACTGCACTTGTTGCCCAAATGTGTAATGTTGATCTGGTTCACGACTGGTTGCAGAGTGCAGTGCAGGAACTGCTACACTGGGCGGAATAGTGTATGATTAAAATTGATCACTCGAAAAAGCAGGCTTCTTATTGTACAAAAAACATCGCGATCCCCGAGTTACGGAAAACGGAACTAGTACGAGGTCTGTAAATTAAGTGATGAGACTGGCATCTTAGCTAGCTTTCGATCTGGCAACGCTGGAGGAGAGACAGGGGAACATGTTATCCGCCTTCGGTACAAGTTTGAACTCGCTCGAGTCATTTGGTTGTCCATAGCGATTTTTTTTTGTGAAACAAATTTTTTTCTATTGTGTTCTAAAATTGAGTAACATCAATTTCAAGCAACGGTGTGCTATTAGGTTTTGCTTCAGACTTGAGCACAGTGCAACGAAAACTCTTTCTAAACAGGCCTACGGAGATAGTGTCTTGCCAGGAGCCCAGGTTTTTCGGTGGTTTAAGACACTTTCAGGAGGGAGAGAGTCGATTGAAGATGAACGACGAAGCGGAAGGCCGTCATCTTCAAGAACCTATTAAAATATCGACAGAATCCGGGATCTTGTGCGTTCATATAGTCGGTTGACAAAATGATCGGAGAAGAATTGAATTTGATCCACACCACACTGTTCATCAGATCAAGAACAACTGCGTGTCGAATCACGATAATGTTCCTTGTCACTCAGTAATGTCAATAAACGAGTTTTTGGCCAGTAAAAACATTCATATGGCTCCTAAGCCTTCTAATACGCCTGACTTGAGTCCTTGTGACTTTTCTGTTCCCGAGGTTGAAAAATCACCTCGAGGGAACTCATTTTGGGACAGTGGAAAACATTCAAACGTCTGTAACCGAGCAGGTGAAGGCTTTTCCAATATTGGAGTTTCAACAATGCTATGAGGAGTGGAAGAACCATCTTCAGCGCTGTGTGGCTTCAGAAGGAAGTTATTTTGAGGGTGACAATATAAATTTGTAATATTTGAATAATTTTTTTTTTAAATTAGTCGATTACTTAATTTACAGACCTCGTATATCATAGGAAATTTCTGCCCAGTATCTTGGGGTTACCCTTGATAAGGCATCTTGTTGTCAGTTTGTTTCAGCTCCAGAGTGCTATTATTGTGTGCTGATATTTTTTAGATAGTGAACCTGCACGAAAAAGTACTAGAAGTCAAAATAAGCCAATTTCCTATGTGGAGCTTGATGATGCATCAAACAGCCCTAAAATTGCTCCTCCTGTTGCAAAACAAGGAGCAGCGAGTAGTGAATCTAAGACATCTGGTGTTCAACCGCCGCCAGATTTACCGCCTTTACTGTCTATTGAGAAACCTGAACTGAAAGTTGGTAAGATTACAATCTATTGTTAATTTATAATACCACAAAATAAGGCCATGCTGGTTGACTTGGTTACCTGACTTGGGCTGCTAATGAGTTTAAATCTCAATAATACATGTACATACTCAGTGAAATTAGAAGTGTTACACCAAATCTTCAACTTGTTTTTTAGCAACATCATGATTATAATTAAAACATGCTGTGGCAACAATGTCAACGTTTGGTCTTTGTTTTTGTTTACCTTTGTTAATATGTTATCTCTTAGTTTTTGTGATGAAAGCAGTTTCTGAGAGCTGAGTATTACAGGTATTTTTAGTTATTGCCCTGTCATTTACTAGTGTTAGGCATAAAAAATGCCTCCAGTTTGAAGACGTCCGAATTATCACCATGTTAGCGACTTTGACAGGGGTAGAATTATTGCCTACCGAGATGTTGGTTTGTCCTATAGCGAAATTGGCCGCGGGATTAATTGTACTGCAATGACGGTAATGCGTGTGTGTCGTGTGTGGATAGAGGAACACGAAGAAAGCCAACTGGTCCACCGAGACGTACCACAGAGCGTCAAGATAGACGCTTCAGACAACTAGCCCTACGAGACCGTTTTGCTACTATACGTCAAATCGCTGAGCAATGGTTTGGAGAATGTATACCTGTTACTGTGTTCATTCTATCGAAGCATTCGAGCCTTTGGACTTTTTTCATACCGTCCACGGTTAGTGCTTCCTTTTACTGCGGACCACTGTCGTCAACGTTTGAACTGGAGAAGAGAACGGCAACATTGGGAGGCATAATGTCATCTTCAGCGACGTACACAGGACTGTTAGAGTAATGGTTTGAGGTGCCTATTGTCTATGGTAGCCGATCACCCATTCTCTTTGTTCGAGGCAATATGACTGCTGCGCGTTATATTGATGATATCTGGAGAGTTTGGTACGCTCACTTTGAAATATTTGAGTTTGACACCAGGCAACTAGATACAGGGAAAACTAAATTCGTCTGACGGCTTGAGTTCAATGTGTACGAGAAGTGTGTATCAACACATGTTAGAAAGAGATAGAAGCCAGCTGAAGAGCGAATGTCATCACCACATTGCCTAGCGACGGTGACGCAGGTGAAAACTATTTCGAAGCAGGACGACACCCCCCAATGACCGCTAGACGGGTACTGACCAAAATCGCTAATCTAGGATCATGGTGGAAGCCTTGCCTTGGCATGTACGAGATGCTGTGTTGCCAAGCGAACCAATGATGCAATGTTGCAGAATTTGTGGCGATCAGACACCTTTCATTTCTAAAATGGAGCACCGTTAGGACCGATCCGGAATCTATCTCTTTCTAACACATGTGTCTAAACACACTTCTCTCTCGTCCACATTGAACTCAAGTCCTCAGACAAATTTGGGTCTCAGTGTTTATTAAAGTCTTTGTAAATGAATTGGAAATGTCATGCTCGTGATGTAAAATAAAATATTTTGTGGTATGTGACGACATTATTGGTCTTGCACATTATGAAGTATATACGTTTCGCGCATCAGGTTATAAAAGTGCCAGCCCAATATCGGGTAACGTCTTAAACTAGGTAAGTCATGTTTTTTGATGAAGAGGAAAATTTGTTGTAGGTGAACTATACTATATTGCAAGGGAGAACGCTCAAGGCAACTGGGTGCGAGCTAGATTAACGCAGATCATCAATCCAGTGCCGTCGAACATGGGAGTATGCTACAAAATGACTGAACTGAAACAACAAAAGGAGAGATTTGTCAACGGTAGGAGCGTGGCATATCTTAACGCGAGCAAAGTGAGACTGCCTGTAGGTACCAGAGTGATATCAGAATTCAAGGAGACGACCGGTTTTGGAGAGAAAAAGCCTAAACACAATCTCTACTATGCAGGAATTGTTGCGGAACAACCATTTGAAGGAAATAACTTCAGGTAGTAGCATTCGTTTTTAGTTTCCATGCATTTGTCGCGCATGATTCTTCAAAATGGTTAAGTTCAAAGCCATAATGTGAATAAAAAATTCAGTTGCTTCAAATCTGTTCTCAAATTGGATCGAAATTTTACTATGTTCACGTGAATAAATTCCCAAATTTTCAGGGCTGCTAAAAAATTGAATCAATTTTCGGTGTTTTTCTACTTTCTGTACAGTTTAGGGCATAGTCAAAAAATTATCATTTGTCAATACGTCTACTTGCCTCCATTTTTACTAATGCCAAAAATTAAGAGCTAGTCGCTTCCTAGACATCTCTGTCCGATTTTTTCTCTAAATGTCCTGAAAATCATCAGCAGTCTCTTAAAATGTAGGCGATTTTTAACAGGCTTGACCTGCAATTTCAAGAAGTTAAATTAACTTGAAAATTTGCGCAGGGGTCAAGGGCCGATTACAATAAATACTGGAAAAAAAATCGAATTTTAAATTAAAAAAAATGAATTTTTAATTTGAAAAAACTTGAATTTGGAAATTTGGAAAATACAAATTAAAAAAAAATCGAAGCTCTTGATTATAAGTACTTTTGTTTGCCTTTTTGTGACTGAAAAATCATTAATTGTAGTAAAAAAAACTAAAAAACACCCTTTACTAGCAAATCAAACTAAAAAGTAGAAAATAGTTTTCTTGTATAGGAGATTTTTTTTAACATTAAATATCAAGCACCTCGCACTTGTTTACTGTAATTGAATTTTTTGTTAATATCTTAATTTTTATATTGATCTTATTCCAAATTAATTAGTCATACTTGCTTGTTGGACTTTCTATTTCAGTAACAGAAACTCCCCTATTTGTGAAAATTATTTTCCACTTTTTAGTTCGATTTGCTATTAAAGCTTTTTAAACTATAATTTATTATTAGTTACAACATTCCGTCTTATGAGTAACTTATCATCTGAAAAAGTTTTATGCAGGAGCCAACGATTACCGAAAGATTGAACAACATCAGACCGACGGAAAAGAGCGACATGTTTTTTTATGACTTACGAATCATATAGCAAAAAATAATGCATAGTATTTGAAAATGTTTTCCAAAGCAGTGCTTTTCTCTTCTGTTCGTGCATTAAGTAGCAACAATATTCGGTTTTATTCTTTTCCAGATACCTGATATTTTTCGACATTGGTTATTCGCAGTATGTCAGCTATCATAGTGTAAATTTGGTCTATGAATCGAGCCCTAAAGTATGGGAAGACGTTCTGATCGATTCCAGGCCGTTTATTAAAAAATATTTAGAGAGCCAAGATAGACCTATGGTTAAATTAGCTAAAGATCAGACTGTACGAGTTGAATACAATGGTAAGTGCCATTCAAATGTTTAATTACGAAATAACTTCGACTTTAGACAGTAGCCTTATGAACGACAGCGAGACTTCCTCACCTTTTCTAATGCTACCTATGAAGCAATTGACTCGGCGAACGATACTTTTGTCAAGGAGAGGCTAAAAAATGCAGATCATCGCTCTTGACTCTAACACTGTTCCTCTTGTATACCAACGACCTCCTTTCTTGTGCGATCAACCCAATCCATAGCTTTGCTGATGACAGCACTCTACATGCAGGAATTCAGTGCGACAAGTCGATCTCTGCCAGTGAGCTGGAAAAAAGACTAGCAGCGACTTCCTCTGTGACAAGTGATCTGGAGGTTATCACTGCTTGGAGACGCAACTGTCTTGTACAGTTTAATGCTTCCAAAACAGTACTGTACCTTGACGAACAACTTGATCCGGCACGAACTTATCTCATCAATAGCGACACCCTTTCGCACCGGCGGGCCGTTGGCGATCTAGCTCTCTTTTACGGCTACATTCGGGCTTTGCTCCTCAGAGGTCTCCTCCACGACGCCGCGCGATGTGCCTGCCGGACAGACCCTCCCATCCTAACCGTGTCGAACTTAGTACATCCAGAACTGGCCGATACGATCGCTCCTTTGTCCCGGGGGTGACGAGGTTATCTAACAAGGAGGAGGCTTTTGCTAGTTCTACTAACCTTACGGAGTTCAAAAATCGGATTAACAAAATCTCTTTAGGATCCTTATAGCAGCCGCGGTGTTCTGGCATTTAGGGTTCTGCCTGCGCGGTTGCTTCAGTGTAAAAAAAGTAAAATAGATGACCTTACGCGTTGGCCAAAAAATTTAACAGTTCAAGCTACAATGTAGTCACCACCACTATAAATGTTGAAGACGGGGAACGCGTTTTTATAATATCATACTAATAAAATCTGAAAACTTTGAAAATAGTGCGTGAATAAACCAAGCCGTTTTTCAGGTAAATGGTGGTTATGTACTGTCATAAAGGTAGACTGCTCATTAGTACAGGTATTTTTTGACAGTTTGAGTAGAACCGAATGGATATACCGAGGTTCCACAAGATTAAGTCCTATGTTTAGAGAAGAGCAAGCGGCTACCAATAGGCATACTGGTTTGAGAACATCTAGGAAGGCTGGTCCCGTAAGTATAAAACTTCGCTAAGAATACCTGATGTAGATTTTTGATTGCTATTTATAAGTTGATCTGTCAAAATTTTTAACAGTAACAAAACTAAAAGTGTGTTCTCTGGCCGATCATTAACAACAATAGAAACGTAAAAAATAAAGAGAGATTATAAAATATTCTACAGAAACAGCAGTCCAAGTGGTGGTGGTAGACTAGAAGAGTATAGATGAGAAATAATGTATTGTAACAGTATTCTTAGACTTAGACAAAAGGGCGTTTGAGACTATGGATAGGGAAAAATTATGATGAAATTACATTTACAAAATTATTTAGTAAATAGAAGTCAGAAAACGGGAAATATTATGTCAAGCATTCAAAATATATCAGTAGGGGTGACACATGGGTGTAAATTAGGGCCTTTACTAATTATTGTATATATAAAAGATATCTTTTAGAACACTGCAAAATTCAAGTATTATCGGACGATACATTGATATATATATATATATATATATATATATATATACATGTATATATACATGTATAGCACATAGACGTTTGGACACTGCTTTAGAACTTTTAAATAGTGATATCAAAAAATTATAATTATAATTGGTTAAATGTTAATACACTAATAAAACAAAATGTATATCAATAGGGAAACAGATGACCGTACAATACGGCTCATGAATAATGATGAAAAAATTGAAATAGTCAAATTATTCAAATATCTGGGTATACGAGGGATGCCTTTTAAGTTTTGCATATGGAAGTAAAACAACACGGTAGGTAGTTTTAAATGACTTTATTGTTTTTCGAAGTATTCTCCACGAAGATTAATACACATCTGCAAGCGCTCGAACCAATTTTCGAAGCACTTATTCCACTCGTTTGCTGGCAGATCCAAAACGGCGTTTTTGAATGCGTCAACTGATTCTTCTGGTGACTGGAACCTGTGACCACGCAGTCTGATTTTAATTTTCGGGAAAGTAAAGAAATCGTTAGGACTTAGATCGGGACTATATGGAGGATGGTCCAATAATTCCACGTTTTCTTCCGATAAATACTGCCTTGTTTTTTGGGCTGTGTGCGAGCTTGCATTGTCTTGGTGGAGGATGATTTCGGGGTTGATTTTTCAAAGCTCGGTGATGACTTTTGGCAAACAAATGGTGGTATACCAATCCACAGTAACAGTTCTTTGCTCATTAAGAGGAATTGTTGCAATATGACCCGCTTTTGACACAAATGTCGCGACCATCTTTTTCGAAACACTTCGAGAACGGATGACTTTTGTTGGCTTTTCTTCACCTTGGAATACCCAAACAGCCGACTGTCGTTTATTTTCTGGTACATAACAGTGAATCCACGATTCATCACCACTAACAATGCTGTACACCTTTTTTGAGTTTCCGGAATTGAAACGGTCAAGCGTTTTTTGACACCAATTAACCCTGGCTGTTTTCTGCTCTTCAGTCAACAGGTGGAGAAATTAATTTTCTTACTCCTAATTCTTCATGTAAAATTTTTTGAATTGAGGTCTTTGAGATCTTCAAGGACGCCTCAATCTCGCGATATGTCACATGTCTATCTTCAATGGTGAGTTTGCGCACAGCATCGACGTTTTCCTGGGTGACTGCCGTTTGTGGTGCACCCACCCTGGAATCGTCACCAAGACTCACCCGTCCACGTCTGAATTCTCCATACCAACGGGAAATTGTCGACTGATGTGGCGCTCCGTTGCGGAAAACAAACAGTAACTCAGCAAGGCATTCTTGTTGCGATAATTGTTTCTGAAAGTTGTAATAAATTAAAAGAGATCCCTCGTAGATGACATTATTCCAAAAATATCAAAAAACATAAATAACTTCTAAAGAGTTTCCCATAATCTCGGAATGTATTAAAAAAATTCTTCCCCATTTTTTATGTTGCTCAATCATCTGATTTAAAGCAAATGAGAACATATTTTCAGAATTACAAATTCTAAAAAATAAAGCTGTGAGAATAATTTAAGATAAAAACAAATATGCTAGGATTAAGTCTAGGTTAGGAGAACTATAGTGGGTCAATGTAAAAAAATTCATATGTTATTTAGTTCCCGTTTTCATATTCAAATTAAAAAATCATTTAACACCACCGCATTTCGAAAACAAAATTAAACAGTCATTATCATAACTATGAAACTAGTGGTAGTATAGATTTTCATCTGCAAAATTGTAATAATAGCATAACTAGCAAATTTGTGTTCAAAAGGGATTATTTGTATTTGATAAATTGAATGATATTAAACAGTGTTCGAATTTAAAAATGTCTAAGGTGAAATTAAAAAAATCACTTTATGAATACTCAAAATGCATAGTGATGTAATTTTCATAGATCAAGAATGTAAAGTTATAGAAAATTGATTCACAAAAATGAGTAAATGAATAATTATACAAAATTGACATTTTAGCATTAATGCTAAATATATCTTAAACAAAGACTTAACAGCATACACATGCTTCAACGGTGCCAACAAAACAATCTTCGGTATTGTGATTGCAAATGAATATGGGCTCATGATATTTTCAGAACGAATCTATGACGGTGGTGCAATACACTCGGCATAACAACTTTCTGCAATCTGGAGACTCTCAAGATCAGAAGCATCAAACTTCCGATCCTGAAAAAGCCCCCGAGCGCATTGACTTGGAGGCAGATGAGGCGCCAGTAGAACATACATCGAATGTTAGGGCTGTAGCAAGGAAGAGCACAACCAGACCCCAACTTAGTAATACGCCAGCACAAAATATTGTGCCTTTCCTACCACCTGTATCTAACAATACTATCAGTAGCAGTGGTCCTACTAGCAAGATTATGGTAAGTAACAAGTAACATTCTAAGGATGTCTTTGTAATTGAATGTGTGATTGGCATGTTTGACAATTGTACCTGAAAACATAGGGATTTTGCGCTTATGCTCACTTTGAACAAAATAAAAAATTCGTTAAATTTGCCGAGAAAATAATGTCTGTAACAAGGATTATTTTCATACATTCAACCAAGGCACTGTATTGACAAAGGCTTGAATGAAATTATTCTGTAATTGGGATAATTATTATAACATTTGCATGGTCCAACTAGCAAAGTAGTGCTATAAGCTTTTGGTAAAAGAACCGTTCAGTCATAAAAGCTCTCTATTGTTGTTGCCTGAACACCAACATGCTGGCTTAATGTTGTGTGGAATGCAGATTTGCTTTCTGCAGCATATTTGCTCTAAAATGAGGTGTTTAAAATATTCTTATAGCATAGTTATAACACACCTTATAGGACAGTGTTTTTACTGTTGCATAAACGTTTATACAACTATTTTATACGGCATATTTGCGTGGTAGTCAAAATAGTTGTGTTGTGGCATCCATGGTAACGTTTATATAACAATCCCGAGCCTTGTTGTTTTGCTGCGCAATACATAAGAAATAGTTTGGTTGCACTAAAGTAGAATTACGTAACAGAATAGTTGTATAGTTGACAAAAACGGAATCTTGCACTGACGCAAATGTCCTATAGCGGCTGCAAGAGGTTTACACTTTTGTTGTATAACTGTTACCTGCAGCCCTTATACAACCTCTTAAATGACTGAAGTGTCCTATTAGGTATGCCCATTCCGCTTGTATAGCTGTTCTAAGAGGGTTTTGCCAATGTTCTTACAGTATACAATGCTGTGTAAGGAATACTCTATAATAGGAGTGATAATGGTTAGTTGGGGGGCTCTTATGAGGATTCCGATTTCGCAGTTTTCTCGTGTTATTATAGCCTTTTCAACTGAAACAAATTTTATACCGGCAGCATCACAACATTACTACAGATGCTGTTTAGTTTTTGAAATAACTTTTAGTTTCCATCATACTAGAAGTACGGTCCACTTACATTCCGATTTGGTTGCTGCTAAATGTATGAGGTGGTACGACCTGATGTTCTTGAGTAAAGCGCTAGTATCACCTTAACGATAACCATTTATTTTCCTTACAGTACTTCACACCTCACGAGAAGGTAATAATAAAGCGTACCTATACACCTCACGACTGTTCGCCCCAGTGTAAGGAGTACCTAACGCATAACTTCAACCAGCTAAGGGGTCACAACCCTCTGTCGAAGCCGCTGTTGTGCGGATGGGGAAGAATGACTCAAAAAGCGAAAAGCGGTAACAAGAAAGAAATCGTATATAAGGCTCCATGCGGAAGGCTACTTAGAAATATTGCTGAGGTTCATTATTATCTAAGGTAAAGTAAAACGGCTACGAAAATCTTTTGTCATTAACAATGAAAATAATGGAAGCGTTTCACTATGCGGGAAGTAACAGATAGGCATAAGACAGTAAGACGGATGCACTTGAGCTTGACATCAACAAAGTTTCTGGTCAGGATTTTATTCCTGTCTTTGTATTGAAGAGGTGTGCAGCGGACCTTGCTCCGGTTCTTTCGCGTCTCTTCCAGATATCTTACGAATCCGGCACCTTCCCAGAAAACTGGAAATGTGCTCATGTCCAACCCATCCAAAAAAGGATCTACGACCGACCCTTACAACTATAGGCCTATAGCTCTGCTTTCTGTTATAAGTAAGGTTCATAAATCGCGAGCTTCTGGACTATCTCGAAGGTCCTGCTTGATTAAGCAACATGTAGTATGGTTTTCGGCACCATCGATCCACAGAGGATCTTCTAGCTTACCTCACTCAATTTGTGGAGTAAACTCATCCAGTCTTATCGTGAGGCTTATGTCGATTATGTTGATATCACGAAAGCGTTCGATCAGCTGTGCCCGCTGTCCTCTTATACAAACTTCCATCCTATGGGCTTCCAGAGAAGCTTTGCAGATGCTTGGCTGACTTTTTCTCTGGCTGCAAGATATCGTCCTCTTCTTCCCACAACGTCAACGCGGGTGTTCCTCAGGATCGGCCTTGGCTCCGACGCTGTTCCTCTTACATATCAACGACCTTCTTTCCTGTACAGCTTTGCGGATCACAGCACTCTACATGCAGGAACTCAGAGCGACAAGCCGATCTCTGCCAGTGAAGAGGAAAAAAAAGACTAACATCTGCTCCCTTTCTGACGAGAGACCCGAAGGTTATCACTGCTGGGGGCATAAGAATCTTGTACAGTGTAATGCTTCTCAAACACAGTATGTACTGTACGTTGGCGAACAAGAAGCGACGTAGTGCTTATTCGGTTTCGATGGACGGCTAGTGGGAGTCCAGAACACCGAGGACTTGATCTGGCACGAACACACCTCGACAATAGCGGCAGCTACTGGGAAAAGATGTGTCGTTGTTGTTGAAGATTTATTTAGCATTAATGCTATAATAACAATTTTGTATAATGCTTAGGTTGCATACATATTTTTGTTTAATTTTGCATTCTTGTCTATTAAAATTACGTCACTAAGTATTTTGATTATTCATAAAGTGATTTTTTAATTTCACCTTAAACATTTTTAAATTCAAACTCTGTTTAATATCATTATTCAGTTTATTAAATTCAAATACTCCCTTTTGAAATATAGATTTAGTATAATAATTGTAATAGTAGCATAACCATGCTACTATTACAATTATGCAGATGAAAATATATACTGCCTCTAGTTTCGTAGTTATGATAATGACTATTTAATTTTGTGAAGTTCTCTAAATGTGGTGGTAATAAATGATTCTTTAATTTGAATATGAAAACGAGAATTAAATAATATATGAAATTTTTCACATTCAACCACTGCAGTTCTAATATAGACGTAATAATAGCATATTTGTTTTTAAACTGCTGTCTTGATCCGGGGCCGTCGTCGGTTGGAATTTCTTCCTAACGTTTCGCTAGTACGAGTGGCAGCTTCTTCAGAGGTCCTTCCATTTCCGATGCTGGATGTAGACTGACGATTTCTCTTGCGCAGGTTGTATTTATCCCGAAGGGTAGGTGACGTGGTTTGTTCCGCTTCGGTTGAGTTCGGGATGTCGATTGGCACTGCTCCGGCGTTTCTGAGGATCGGGTGCCAGATCGGGTTGAGTCTGAGGGTCTCTTCCTTCCTGTTGAAGTTATCTGGATGTTTGTAAATCTCGATAGCTTCCCTGACCAGTCTATTATGATAGCCGTTGACAGATGACAGCAACCTGCAGCTCCCAAAGTGTATCCTGTGGTCCCCATTGCTTAGTGAATGTTCAGCTACCGCAGACTTCTCAGTTTGTCCTAGCCGGCAATTTGCTTTGTACTCCTTGAGTCTCATTCCCATTGATCTTTTCGTGGTTCAATGTATACTTTGCCGCATGAACACGGTATGCGGTTGACTCCTGCAGCTGAGAGTGGGTCCTTCTTGTCCTTTGCCACAAATGGAAGATACGCTTGAGAGGTGGTGGAACGCTGTTCGGTTTCACGTTGCCTGGCTGATCTCGAGCCCATTGATCTTTCGATGTCCCTCTTGCTGTAGCCATTTGCTTCGAACGCAGTTTTCAGGTGTTCAAGTTCTCTTTGGAGGTTCTCCGGTTCGCAAATCCTGCGAGCTCGTTCTGTCAGTGTTCTGATGACTCCATACTTCTGACTTGGGTGATGATTGGACAAAGCGTGCAGGTATCTGTCTGTGTGCGTTGGTTTCCTGTACACTGTGTGACCCAGCTTGTTACCTCGCTTCCTGACTAGTACGTCCAAGAAGGCCAGTTGTTGTATCTCCATGGTAAATTGTATGCTTGGATGCCGATCGTTGAGGTGCTGCAGAAACTCGTTTAGCCTGTCCGTGCCGTGTTTCCAAATCACGAAGGTGTCGTCCACGTACCGGAACCAAATTGCTGGTTTGTTCTCCGATGTCTCAACCGCCTTCTTCTCAAAGTGTTCCATAAAAAGGTTGACTATGACTGGGCTAAGTGGACCTCCCATTGCCACTCCGTCTGTCTGCTCATAACAGCCCCCTTCCCATACGAAGTAGGGATCTAGGCATTCCCTCAGCGGTACCTTAGTAAGGGAGACGACATCGAAGCTCTCAAGGATGTCGTCGGGTTCTTTGTACTTTTGAAAATATGTTTTCATTTGCTGAAAACTAGATGGTTGAACAACATAAAAAATGGGAAATAATTATAGTGTTATACACAATTTTTTTGGAAAACATACTAAGATTATGGGAAACCCTATAGAAGTAATTGATCTTTTTCGAAATTTTTGAAATAATATATTCATAATGTTCGTGAAACAGTAGCTTACTATCCACATGTTTGCCAAGATATTTAAATGACTCGACTACTTCAATTTTTTCATCATTAATCAATCGCCCAACTGGCAACTGAGGATAATCCGTTCAGTCACTTTTGCCATTGTATTCAACTTAGTAACTATAGTTAGCTTTGTTGTTAAGAATTATGTTTATTATCTTTATGACTGGATGTTTTACGTAATTTTTAAGTGATTCCAATTGATTTTAAAACAGAGTATTAAGAATTGAAACTAATCGTACATTTCTTAGGTTAACTGAAAGTGAAATGACAGTGGATCTATTTGATTTTAATCATATGGTGAGATGTTTAGCAGAGTTTGCTGTTGAATGCAACCCCGACCCTAAGGATCTTTCAAAAGGTATTTTGAACCACAATATTATTTTTACGTTTAATGTGGAATATAAAATATTTTGAATGAAGATAAAACAACGATCGGACATATTTTTTCTATTGTGATTCATTATTTTTTCTATGGCTTGGTCCCGTTAAAGAAAGTATCAATGCTTTATTACATAAGTATCATAGAAAACATCTAAACAATAATTTTAGCATGGGGATTTTTTAATTTTACATTTTCCTCATTGTCTAGGTCTGGAACAGGTACCAATACCAGTTATTAACGGTATAAACAATGAAATGTTAGACTTCTGCAACTATAGTATCAAGAGGGTGCCCATGGAAGGTGTGAACTTGAATTTGGACCCTGAATTTTTATGTGGCTGCAATTGTGAAGATAACTGCATTGTAAGTTTTAAACAAAAAACAGTACATTTTATTAAACCACTGTGTACATGCAAAGTTAAATAAATAATTAATACACAAGACACGACACCATCAAATTTTTGGGACTGACCATTGATCATAAATTAGATTTTACTAATCATGTAATTATGGTATAGTTTAGTTTTAAGCTGTCTTTGCCACTAAAAATGATATATCAGGAGACCGTGTGACATCTGATTGGACGTTTTTTTTTTCATTTTTGCAGGATAAAACTAAATGTGCTTGCTGGAAAATGACTATGGAAGGTGCTAAATACATAGGAAAAGATGTAGATCCAAATTCAATTGGTTATATTTATAGGAGATTGCCTGAACAAGTCATTACTGGAATCTACGAGTGCAACTCTAGGTAAGAATCTTTTGTCAGTATTTTCATTTTAATGCGCACAATAGTTGGAATCCAATAAAGCGTCTCTGTTTGCGATTTGAAAACAACGAATCAGAAATTTTGTATCCCCCTTTTTTACGTTTTTAGTAGCAGTAGAAAGATTTATTTAGAACAAATGGCTACATACGAGGGTGGGGTGAAAAGTTTCCGGCCTGACCAATAGATGGCGCCACTAGGAGTGGCGTCCTATATATATAAGTGACATATAAATCCGAACACCCAGTTTAAATGGTATTATTTTAATAAAATTTTGTATAAGTACTTAATGAAGCATAATAAGTAAATGATAAAAATTTCAAAATGATTGCACTGCTTTAAAGCCCTTTGACCTTTAATAATGTGTGGATGCACCCTGATGTGCTACGCATTCTCCAACGCGCCTAGGCATGCTTCTGATCAGGTGGTCAATGTCCTCCTGTGGTATCTCATTCCAGGCAACCACCAACTCCTCTCGAAGTGCTTCTAGAGTCTGAGGAGGACGTTGCAAATTGAGCAATCTCCTACCCATCATATCCCACACGTGCTCAATTGGGGATAAGTCGGGAGATCTTGGTGGCCACGGTAACAATGTGACATCATTATGTTGAAAGAAGTCTATTGTGACTCTTGCAACATGTGGTCGGGCATTATCTTGTTGGAAAGTTGGATCTGCCAGGGTGTCAAGATAGGGTAAAAGATGGGGTTCTAGAACTTCGTGGATATAACGCTGCGCGTTCATGTTACCTCTGATGAAGATTAAAGGTGACCTGGAACCATAAGCTATAGCACCCCAAACCATAACTCCAACAGTGTGATGAACATGTCTTTCAACAAAAAACTGTGGATTCCTCGTTTCACCACGTCGCCTTCTAACCCTGGCACGACCATCGTGCATGCCTAAACAAAATCGAGACTCGTCACTAAAGACAATACTGTTCCATTCCTGATCCCAGAGTGACCGTTGTCTGCACCACTCAAGGCGATTACGTCGGTGTTCTCGAGTTAAAGGGAGGACCCAGTGTGGCCGGTATGAAAACAAGCCAAAACTTCTCATTCGTCGGTAAACACTTCGCATGCCAATAGGTCTTCCGTGTTCTGCAAACCATTCATTTGCAATGGACCTGGTAGTGGAGAAACGGTCCCTTAAGGCCAATAATCTTAGGCGGCGATCTTCACGGTCTGTTGTTCTACGGCGGCGTCCAGTGCCCCTTGGTCTTTGCGTACGGCCTTCTCGAAGCCATGCCTGACAACACCTAACCACAGTGTCTACACTTCTTTGCACTCTAACTGCAATTGCCCGAAAAGAAGGTCCAGCTTCCCGAAGTCCCACTATACGGCCCCTATCAAACTCACTAAGTTGACGAAATCGTACAGGTCTCCGTACTCTAGGCATCGTAACCGATCGTAAAGGATGTCAAGAACCAAAATCCGCCAACGTTGATTCTTTACTGCGGCTGAAATATTCATTTTTAGAGCGTTAGTTAATTAAAAAAAAGCAGTATAAAAACCGGAATGTCCAACTGATAAGGCTGAACATTTTTTCACTTGTTATTTACAATAAGATAAATACATTCACCAACTTTTATTAAAATAAAACCATTTAAACTGGGTGTTCGGATTTATATGTCACTTAGTATATATAACCATTCCTACCAAGCTTGTATGTACAGTTCCAATCAATCGCTACGTTAGTTTGCGTTTGAGAGCACATTGCGCGCGACGCGTCCGTTGTTTTCGTAAAAATGGAAAAATTGGAAAAACGTGCTGTCATCAAATACTTCTATTTGAAAGGTTTTACACCAAAACAAATGAAAGAAGAGATGGATTTAACACTAGGAGACTACTCCCCATCATATTCAACTATTAAGCAGTGGGTTTCTGAATTTAAAATGGGTCGTGTCAGCACCTCTGACGAGCCTCGCTCAGGATGGCCCGTTGAGGTCACAACTTCAGAAATGATTGAGAAAATCCATAAAATAGTGTTGGAAGACCGCAGGTTGAAAGTGCACGAGATAGCTGAGACCTGTAAGATGTCAGCTGAACGTGTGTGAAATATTTTGCACAACCATTTGATCATGGAAAAGCTGTGTGCAAGGTGGGTGGCTAACGCTCGATCAAAAACTGCGTCGACAAACCATTTCTTCCGACAATTTGGCGCTGTATAGGCGTAATCCAAACGAATTTTTGCGTCGATTCATAACTGTTGATGAGACTTGGGTCCACCACTACACTCCTGAAAGTAAAGAATAGTCCAAACAGTCGATTGGAAAAGGGGAACCAACTCCAAAGAAGGCAAAAACAATTTTATCGGCAAACAAGATTATGGCTACTGTTTTTTGGGATGCAAGAGGAATTAAATACATTGATTACCTTGAAAAGGGTAAGACTATCACTGGTCAATACTACGCAGAGTTATTGCAACGTTTGAAGCACGAGGTGCAAATTAAACGACCTCATTTGGCGAAAAAAAAGTTTTGTTTTATCACGATAACGCACCAGCGCATTCGTCGATTATTACGAGATTGCCCCTTAACAAACATTTTCAACATGTTTCGGCAAGTCGTACGACGAGTCTTCTGCTCTTTCGTCAGACTATGCGGTACCCCGAGAGAACAAAGTTCCCTTACGTAAATGTAAATGGTCATGCGGAATTAAATGAATTGCTGGTGCATGAAGGTGTAAGGTCTCCTCTATCTGTTGGTATGTCACTCTCCGGTCTTCGTCAAGCATTTTCCTCACAGCAGTAATGTTTTCCTCTGTTCCTGTCCTTCGCGACCTTCCTTCCTTCTCAGCGTCATTCACAGTGAAATTGCCCCTTTGGAATCCTCTGTACCACCTTAATATAGTCGTTCGATGAGGACAATCATTCTTTAATGCAAGGTTCTTTTCTTTCAAGCACTGGTCTATACTTAAATCACGAGTAAAGGTATACCGTAAAACTGCCCTTATCTCACTACGTGACCACGATGACACAGTCCGTACTTTACACTATCAATACAATGAACAACTAAATCAACAGACGTGCAGCTGGCGGCTACTATGCTCTCATGGACATGTCTCAACATGCAGTAACAAGCAGCCTCGTGCGTCCGTTTGTTGATTCATTTTGCAAAACTTTTATAGCACCCTTGTCAAATCTATAATCTTTGAAAAACGGAATCATTGGCCAGATATAAAAGATTTGCACTATACAAAAAACGTGGCAGTACAATCGTATTATAAATGAATTACTTTCTGTATAGAGTTATTTGTGATCAATATATAATTTAGTTCAAAAAACAAATTACTGTCAACAAGTACGCCAAGGTATTTGAAAGAATCTACAAAATCTATGTTTTTGCCACTAATATTTACGTATAAATTTGTAATATCATTATTCCAATAATTATAGTTTTTGTTATCTCTTTGTCTAATTTTAATTTGCTAGATATTAGGCATTCTGATACAAGTTTTAAATCACTGTTAATGAGGCAGATACCTGACTGAATATTTTGAGTGTTTACATAAATTAAAGTATCATCTGCAAAATTTTGGATATTCCAATTTTTTGGTATCCTGGAAAAATCGTTTATATACAAGATGATAAGAAGTGGTCCCAGGATACTACCTTGGGGAAGCCCTAAATCATTTTCCATCTTTGATGAAATGTTATTTATTTTAGTTACTTGCATCCTTTTGGTCAGATAACCTGAAAAACATTTCAATACCTTTCCAGATATGTTGATTTTAATATTTATTTAGCATGATTTCTACAATTTCATTGTTAAAAAACTACAACAATTGCAGATACTTAGAAAAACATAATTAGCACCTCTAAGAATGTTCACTGTCCATGGAAAATTCCTTTAATTTTCTTTTGAAAATCTTCAAATCACAAGTAGACTTTATAACATTATTTAGTTTATTAAATTCAGTAATCCTTTCTCAAATATGTAGTGATTTGCTAGTTATATTACTATGGCAATTTTGGAAATGAATTTCCTCTTGCATAATAATTGTGATAATGATTATTCAAATCTATTCTAAATGTTGTGACAAAAGATGATTTTTTATTTTAAATATAAAAATAAGAACCAAATATTTTTTATATTCAACCACTGCAATTCTTGTAACCCACATTTTATTTTGGTGTACTTATTTTTATTCAATATTATTTCATAGCTCTATTTTGCAGGACTTGTAGTTTTGCGAATATATCTCCGATTTACTTAACAGTATGCCTCTATCCATTATTCCTAATGCTCTCTTTAAGATTTGCGTTATTTGAGCGAATAAAAAAATGAATTTTTGCAGGTGTAAGTGTAGCTCTACTTGTTTGAATAGAGTAGTACAAAATCCGATGAGCTTGAAACTGCAAGTGTTTAAAACTCATAACAGAGGATGGGGCATTAGATGTCTCAATGATATTCCGCAGGGTACCTTCATCTGTATATATGCAGGCACTTTACACACAGAAGCTATGGCCAATCAGGTAAGCGGAAACAATCCTAAATGATTTATAGTTTGGCAATAGAGAAATATATTTTGAGAAATTTTATTCACGAAGCTTATTTTACGTTCGATTTTTTTCAGGATGGCATGGCATATGGCGATGAATACTTTGCAGAGTTAGATTACATAGAAACAGTGGAAAAGTACAAAGAAGATTATGAAGCTGAGGTTATGGAAGATGAAGACTATAGAGAAAAGAGTCCGATAGAGGAAGAAGAAGAGGAAGAAACCAAGAAATCCAAGAAACGTAACAGTTACACTATCGATAACGATTTTTCATTGCCGATAAAGGTTGATGTGAAGCAAACCAGCAGGGAAGGTATCAGGTGAGAGTTTTCGAGATTAGTTTCTCGTAATAAGAACTCATGTATGGTGTTCTCGACACATTCCTTTTAAGAACCAACTTCTCAATTATTCATTTTGTTATTGTAGGACTCGACTAAGAGCGAGAAACATCGATGATGATAAAACGGAACCCAACGAAACTAAGGAACAAGAAAAACCAAAAGTTAAAGAAGAACCCAAGCTCACTGTTGATCAATTGTCTGGCAGTATAGAAACTGTTACTATAAGCGATGAAGAAGATGGTAAGGAAACTTAGATTCAAAATTATTGTTTTCTTCAGAGCCCGCTTTTAGTTTTGTCGCCGCCAAGGTGTCTACGGTTTCGTTTTTAATTTTTTCCTAAAATGGTAATTTTAATTCTCTCGTTTTCAGAATGAGATATTGTTTTTTGTATATTATATGACATGTACATACATTACTGATCTGTTTTTGTGTCTGTCCGCTAATCATTGACCCATCTATAACTTGGAAAGTATTGTCCGAATTTAGATGAAATTTTAACACAAGGTTTTTTGAAAATCGGTCCAGAGGCAGCGGAGAAAAGGGCCAAAGACGAAAAAACAAAGATCTTTCAACGTTGGTTTTTTGACATTTCAGAGGAACCTGATCATTTTTGAAAAAAAATAGGGGTGAAAAATTAGACGGTGGGGGAGGATATCCTATTTTTTTTTGCAGCAGTATATACACTTCCAGCCCCCGTAATTCTGCACGCCTATTACCCATATTTCACAGATGATAGAGTTCTCCATATATTTGTCGTTAAAACTTCCTTAACAGCATGTTGTTTTATTTCAGAGGGGCGCGAAGTGTTGAATTTCGATTCTAAAGCAAAAGGGCTTGATGATAAGTCCCTACGGTACACTTCCGTTAGGGAAGTGTTTGGGGAAGACGAATGTGTCTATGTGATGGACGCCAAAAATACTGGAAATATCGGAAGGTTTCTTAATGTAAGTAATAAATTACTAGTTTTGTTACAAATGATTGCCCGAAAGGGCAGATTACTTGTAGTAGAGCTGGGTCGGTTCTGAACAAGTCCTTCTAAATTAACGGTACCTTATAGGGATGATAGAAGTTTCATGATATTCAGAATAAAATAACCAACAATATGTAGATCAAACAGTGAAAAATTATCGATTTATCTCTAAAAATTATAAAGTCTACTTTCAAAGCTGCGTCCCTCAGAAATATTTTGTTTCTGTCTGAGGGTGATGTGTGACGTCACTCCATACCTAGTGTAACGGCTGTCCTAGCACGCATATAAAGGGTTTTCCATTATGGATTTGACAACTTTCTTTTCAAATAAAACTTAAACCATTTGAGATAACTCAAAAATTTTAATATTGGATTGAATTATACTCGAAACATTTATGTATGGCATTCGACCTCGTTCATATGTCAACCACGGGCACGTTCGCAGCGACCGATTCGTTGAACCCAATTTTCAATGACTGGCCACACATTTCGACAGAAACAACCGCTGTATCTCGTTCAATATTGGCTCTGAGCTCCCCTAACGACGCTGGCTTGTTGGCATAGACCAATGATTTAATGTAGCCCCACAAAAAAAAAGTCTAGAGGTGTTAAATCACACGATCTAGGCGGCCATTCGACAGGACCATTTCTCGATATAACACGTTCACCGAATTTTGATTCCAATATGTCGATTGTTTCACCCGCTGTGTGGTTTGTGGCACCGTCTTGTTGAAAACACATCATAATCCAATTGACCAAAAAAATAACGTTGCACCATGTCTCTGTAGCGATCTTTGATGGCCCAACGACACCACCATACAGTTATTTTTTGTGGACGAAGTGATGTTTCTTGAAGCACATGAGGGTTTTCACATGACCAATAATGCATATTCTGTTTGTTGACGAAGCCGTTTAGCCAAAAATCGCCTCATCACTGAAGATGTCTCCGATTAAATTGGTCATTTTCTTGCAACATTTCTAGAGCCCAATTCGAGAACGTGCGTCGGTTCATATGATCGAACGGCTTTAGTTCTTGAGTTAACTTGATCTTATAAGGGTGCAGTCCAAGATAATCTCTTGCCAAAATTCGTAATAGTGTGGTCTGAGCGATGCGCAATTCTTGATAACGCCGTAGAATAGACTATTCGTTTGCGAACGGCAGCAATATTTTCGGCACTTCGACCAACCCGCTGTCTCGCTATCACGGGAACATCCAGCAGCGAATATGTAGACTCAATTTTTTTCACTATACTATGAATTGCTTGTCTACTGGGAGGAGAATTACGACCAAAAATTTGCGTAAACGCTCTTAAAGTTGCAGTCACCGACTCGGATTTCGGTAGTAAATTTTAATTATTTGTAAGCGTTGTTCGTTCGTGTACTTCACCATAATGAAAATGTTTTCTTTACTGAATGTTTTGACATTGACAGTTCGGTAATTGATTTAAAGGTGCGTTCTCAGTAAAAGTTCAAGTTGTCAAGTCCCTATTGGAAAACCCGATACGTACACCGACATGTCGTAGTGGCCATTAATCGTCGTTTGCTCAATTTGTTTTCCAAGTTGGTTATTATTGGCGGAATTACAATAAAAAATTAATTTTTTTAAAGCTAAAAATTGAAAAAAACATTTTTCCGGTTAGAAATATTTACAAATAAAAAAATTGTAAGTGCCCATTTACACTGCATCAAAGAACCGAGTATACCTAGCTTTAAAAAATAATGTTCCCCCATAGTGGCTCTTAGCCCTTATCTCAGTCCCTTCAGGTCACAACAACAGGTATCCTATGTCCATCTAGAAGTTCTAATCTATATATAGGGTGTTTCAAATTCGACCTTCACCATTGGATCTCGGAAATTGTGAGATACAAAGTCGTTTAAATGGGGGCAAAGTTGCGTATTTAGGTAATCAACAAAGTACCGCTTAGAATGTTTCGAAACTCAAAGTACTTCCGAGGAGAGACAGAAAACCAAATTTTCCCAAAATAGTTTATTTTTTCTTTATTTGTGTGGGATTTCTAAATAAATTGCACAATAACATTGCCACTTTTTCTCCTCCCAGCAACCACATCGTTTGCTTGTGAAAGATATAATTTTTTTCGATTCCGTAAATAAAACTTCATCACATTGTATCTCGGTAGAAGAGCATCTTCGAACCCATATCTATAGGATCCTTTTTTGTTATTTTTGGATGTACTTTCTACCCTAGAAATATTAGCACGTCCTTCTGAAACACCCTGTATCTAATCAAATTATTATATTCTAGCATTCCTGCTCGCCGAATATATTCGTCCAGAACGTCTTCGTGGACACGCATGATCCCCGATTTCCTTGGGTGGCCTTTTTCAGTTCCCAGTTCATCCGAGCTGGCACTGAATTGACCTGGAACTATAACTACGATATTGGAAGTGTACCAAACAGGGTGTTGTACTGCCTGTGCGCTTCCCTGGAATGTAAAGGAAGGCTGCTTTAAAGTAGGATTATTTGTAATTTAGAATGTGATCTTCAAAAAGAATTTTGTAATATAAGCCGTGAAAATTAAAAAAAATGTTACAGTGTATCCATTTTTTATCTTTGCAAATTATATGAACAAATCTGACAGTTAACTGCTAGATAGAGATAATTGTGAAACTGGTGACAGTTTTTGACGATGCATTGCTGCCTCCTTCAATTCGTCCAGAGTTCGGGGCTTATGCTCGTATGCAAAGCCTTGAGGTGTCCCCATAGGAAAAAATCGCGGATGGATAAGTCTGGGGGCCGAGGAGGCCAATGAACATCACCAAACCTGGAAATAAAGCGACCAGGGAAGAGCGGGCGAATAACGTTTATCGTTGCTCTAAGCGCTTCCATCCTACGTGCGAAGTTCATTCATTGTGCGTAATCTTCAAGCTGTAACTGTTGCACAATGGCCAATTTGTAGGGGTGAAAGTGGAGTTCCATATGCAAAATACACCAAAGCGAAGTTCAGAAGCATGTTGCCGAGCAGATCGAGCGAAGGAAGGCTTGTCGAACGCTTTCCACATTTTCAGGGGTTCGAACCATTCGTGGAGCTCTTGTTGATCAGTACACCACGTGTACGAAGTGACTGAACCCAACGAAGGATGGTGTTTGGAGAATGAACAGCTCGATTCCGATGAATATTGAAGTGGCGACGAAACTCGCGCTGTACAGCCATTATGTCGGACAAAACTTGTACGCCGTGCACGACCGTCCACCTCTCCATAATGTCTGCTGGTAAAAATGCTAGAAACACCCGACTCGAACGGCACTCTCCCCACCACTCTCGCCCGAATACGCCAACTTTTTAAGTAATCGTTCACTGCAGTTTTTCGTGTGACATCCTGTATGTAGCAAATATCAATTCAGATCCAGGTAGGGATAACTGAAATCAGCTAAATCTCACCTGGCAGTTAATTGTATGTATCCCATGTGCCAATGCCAAATGTATCTGAAGATATGACTAGACCTAAATGTGGCAAAATAAGGCAATGGGAATAGTGTGAACATTTGTTTAATACTTTTGTAATTAGAGTTTATCTTACAATTCAAGATTTTTACAGGGTGAAGCAAATTCATTATTCAGGGTAATAAATCTTTGTATTTACACATCACCTATAATAAATACATCACAAACCTAATCTACAAAAAGGCATCAATAAATTGTGATACACAATTTACCTATAAAGAGACCACTAAAAATATGTATTCAAAAATCACAAAAAAGATAATTCACACTATGAACCGAAAACGAAAGAACGATTACCGCAAAATATAATCTTAACATCAGTCTTGAACAAAATTATAGTAAAAAGAATTTAAAATTTTAATTAAAAACTAATCTTCCTCATAGATTTTTCGCTTAACCGGCCTTTTCTCAGGAAGCTGTCGTTCTAAGTCATAGAGATGCTCTCTGTTTTTCATATCACTTGCATATGACTGAAAAGAGAAGTGGAGGTATTAGAAGACAAACATATATGGGATCATTTCAATGTACCCCCACCACCGTCTTTAGGTGCCAACATTGCCACCTCTGTTGGTGCATGTTATGGATTTTCTTTTTCCATAGTTTAGTCACCTTGAGAATACGAAATCTCGAAAATAATCACGAGCGAGGTTCATGGGCGCCTGCAGAAAATTTGCCAAGGCGCGCAAATCATCGGCAAGAGTTTTTTGTGACAGTGTAATTATCCCTTTTTCAAAGTGTTTTGTATCTTTGTACCTGCCTCAGTATATTATAATGACCCCCCATGGCTTTATTTCACAATAATCAGAAAATTAGTGGATAATCAGGCATGCATCTAATAATAGCATGTACTTTTGAAATCAATAACAGCTAAAAAGTCAAGTATATATCTATGCATCCTCAATCACCTTAAAGTGAAGTGGCTTACATGACTATTTGTAATCTGACTGAAAAGTCAATATAGCGAAGTAAACATATCTAGTACCTAAACATCAATGCTTTCTATGGTCTTTTCCTCGATTCGACTACACTGCAAAAAGTGTTCATGTAAGAGTATCTTTTGTATTTGTTGTCATTTAGCAGTTCCTCAAGAACACTTCTCTGATTACTCAAACACTTGTGTACGAAGCATATTAAAATTGAAACTTATCCTATACTGACTAGCTTTTTGTGAATGCTAATATTTTGAATATGATAGTGATGCCAGATTATCCAAAACAAAGAGCTATAATAAATGGCGGAGGTACTGCGATTCCTATTCACAAAATAATACAAGAAGCTCAAATGCATACCGCCCGCCTGAATATATTGGAGACTTGTGTTAGTAAACCGCCTGATTTCTACTTTGAGTGTTATACCCCATTATTACCTTTTAGACAAATATGCTGAACAAAGATAAATATTATTGTAGAGAGGAAAAATTTAGTGGAGAAGAATAGCACTCTTCCTCTTCCTTGTGACAATAGTAAGAAGTTACCTCTGCAGCCATGCCTTAATGCGAGTTATTCTTATAAAGGGTGTTCAGATAAGGACGCTCGAAAGTTAAAATGGAAAAAAAGGAAAAAAATTTAAGTCAGCACTAAAAGTCTATATTGATCGTAAATAGCATTCGACGACATTATGTATGGAAGATTATATCGTTTAAATGGCCACCGCGACTGCGCTGTACAGCGTGCTTTCGCATGGTCCAATTTTCGAGCACTTTTCCGCACATTTCAGCGTCTACCTGTCCGAGGACGCGAATGATGTTGGCCCTTAATGCTGCAATTGTTTGTGGCTTATCCGCATACACTTGAGACTTCACGTAGCCCCACAGGAAAAAGTCTAAAGGCGTTATATCGCACGATCTTGGTGGCCAGTGCACATCGCCGCCGCGCGAAATAATGAAACCGTTGAACTTTTCATGCAGTAAATCCAGCGTTGCGCGTGCGGTGTGGCACGTAGCGCCGTCCTGCTGGAACCAGATGTCTGTTAGATCCATATCGTCCAGTTGAGGCCACAGGAAATCATTAATCATGGCGCGATACCGATCTCCATTGACCGTAAGCGCGTTGCCCATAGCGTCCTCAAAAAACATATGGACCGATTACGCCGCCAGCCCAGAAACCGCACCATACAGTCACTTTAGCAGGATGCATAGCAAATGAGCAAGTCACTTCAGGATTTTGGTCAGCCCATATACGGCAATTCTGTTTATTGACATACCCATTCATCCAGAAATGCGCCTCGTCGCTGAAGATGATTTTTCGTGCAAATGCAGGGTCGACTTGCAACTGCTCTAGAGCCCATGCGGCAAATGTACGGCGCTGTCCATGGTCTTGCGGTTTCAATTCTTGCGTCAATTGAATTTTGTACGCGTGCAATTTCAAGTCTCGACGCATAATTGTCCATGTTGAGGTCTTTCGAAGGGCAAGTTCTTGTGCACGTCGCCGCAATGACTGATTCGGGTCTTGACGCACGCTCTCTCGCACAGCAGCAATATTCTCGATTGTTCTTACTGTTCGTTGTCGTACGGGTGTTGTTTGGTCTGCCACTGAGCCAGTTCTCTCAAATTTATTGAGCAGACGTCGAATAGTGGACTCAGCAGGACGGTCATGCGCACCATAAATTGGACGCAATGCGCGGAACGTTTCACGAACCGAACATCTGTTTTGACGATAAATTTTCACAATTTCCACGCGTTGTTGAATCGTGTACTGCTCCATGATTAAATGTAAAGACTAACTTAATAACCTCACAAAATTTGACAGCTGCGCGCGCCGTTCAAACATCGAGCGTCCCTATCTGAACACCCTTTATAATGAACGTGCAAAATTGAAAAAACTGCTATGAATCCGGGCAATTTTTTATAAATAAGAACAGTCTGGGAAAAAGGTACAAAACATTTGGTTAAATTACAACGTGACTACACTCTAGAAGAATATGGATCGTGCCAAGAAAGTCTTGCATATATTTTTCATTAAAGGTCTTTAGTATTTTTTATGTATATATTTTATTGCTAATGGCATGTAACTAGCATAGGTTTTCAACCCTCAAGATCCTACAACAAAAATTTTCTAATACTTAAAGCGAACAAAAAATCTTGAATTATTGCTAAAAAACCTGTAAAAATGAAGCACGTCAGTAATTTTTTATTGATTTATATTCACGCGATAATGACCTCTAATATCTTGCGAAATGTACTGACACATTGAAGAAACAATAAATTTATCATAAAAGTATATTTGATTTCCCTTTGTGTTACAATTTTTCAACAAAATAGCATTATTTCTCAAAATTCATCGTTATCACTCGAGCTTATACTATTAAGTGTTGGCAGTAAAATATCTATATGAAAAAAGGCTTATATTTCACTAATGAAAAATAGATGCGTCTTTTTGTCCTGGCACGACACATTGCACGATATCCTCCAACGATTTTGCCATTTTTTTAGACTATATTGATCCAAAAGTAAGAGAGATTCCAAATGGACAAATGTGGGCATATCATATCTGAGTGTGGCCTCTCCGCCCAAGTATTTTAGCTCTGAAGAATTAGTAACTAACTACATACAAGAAAACGAAAAGTTGAAATGCTACAATAATCTACAAACAAAAACTTATGGCCAATAGTAACAAAAAACATAGACTAAAAATTTTGTTTGTATAATTACTTTTCATTTTCTCCTTCTTTTTCCTTGTGTACTACTCACCAACTTGCCAAGTATGCGTTTAGGTATACTTTCCTTCAGACTAAACACGTGTTCCCTTTGTAACACGCATTTTGATAGGTCCTCAAATATCACCTGTAAAAATGATAATTTTCTGTTGTTGTTACCATGTCACTATATAGTCAACGCCAAACAAAGTGGCGTGCACGTCATCACGATAAAAATTCCCCGACCTAATGCCTAGGTTTCTATCACAAACAATTGCTCTATTGCAGTTTTATATTAATGTGATATATAAATTGTAAAATGGTCATTACTCTCTTATTATGGTTAATAGTCATATAAACATTGTTATTAAAATATCACATAAGTTGCTTTCTGACAAATTTAGACGCATTATGCGAAATAAAATGTTTTGCAAACGCTCCAATCACTTATCGACATGTAAACGCACTAAACCGATTTCGCAGCGTTGACACATTGTCAACTTGAAACTTATTTAAACTGGGAACTGACATTTGTATTAATTTTGACACTGAATCAATTTGTGGCATTTCAAATCTTTATAAATCCTTTGGCCCCGCATACTGTAAATCAACAACTGTTTGTTTCAAAACAAAATTATTCATTTTACGAGTAGATAAAGGCAATTTTGGTATATAAAGATGCCCAAACAGTTAAATAGTCGGTGTAAGGAACTCGTGGCCTCGTTAATGCACTACTTTGAGCAAGAAAGGGACAACAACGGGCCTTTGTTGCCTTTAAATGCTGTTCAAGAGGTAGGTTACTAATAATTATATGTAATGTATATTAATAATAGTGAAATTTTATTTCATTTTTTGTAACGTGTTGCTGCTGCTTTAAAAATTAGTTTAAGGACAGTTAGTCGTATTTCCGAGGGTGTGAAAAGTGATGCAAATTTAGAATCGCCCAAGAAAAAGCGGAGTTATATTAAACGTGTAACCAACACAGCGACATTGGATACAAGTGCCATTCGAGAAGTGATCTATAATATGTATCACAAAAGTAAGATCTTATTATAACTTATCAGAAATTTGCATTAATTTGTTAACTAAATTATAATGTCATATTACACATGGTTTCAGAAGAACAAGTTACGATACAAACTTTATGGTCTCGATTAAGAGATAGGACATTATTTGATGGTAGTGCCACGTCTTTAAGGCGGTTGCTTAGAGATCTTGGATTTAAGTGGCTTAAGGACAATCCGCGACGAGGGCTCATGGAACTACCAAGTATAGCTTTGAAAAGGGTGGAATTTCTAAGGCAATACAATCAAGCCAAGGTTGAGGCCTTATACCAGTTTGTCTTCCTCGATGAAACTTGGATATTTCAAAATGGGACCATAGGTCGCTCTTGGCAAAATGGAAACCAAAAAAGCGTGAAAGCTATTAAAACAGATGGTAAAAGGTATGTACTTTTACACAATTTGAACTATAAAATTTAAAACTAATATATTTTAGATACATTATATTACATGCTGGAAATGAAAATGGGTTTATTGAGGGTAGTGAAGCGATATTTTCTTCGAAAACAAAATTGAGCGATTACCATGGAGAGATGAACCAGGACAATTTTTTGAAATGGTTTCAACATCAGTTATTAGAAAAATTGGAGAGTCCATCTATGATTATACTGGATAACGCCCCTTATCACAGCATGATATTGAACAAAGTGCCCAACAATGCATGGACAAAAAAAAATATCCAAGACTGGTTGACAAATCAAAACATACCATTTTTAAACACAATGTTTAAAACAGAGCTATTGAGTATTGTTGCTCGGTACATAATGCTTCTTAATTATATATATTTTGGTCGACAGTTTATATTTCTTTTGTTTATTCCTATTCTTAAAATAACTGCTTTTTTAGAAACAAACCACCTAAAATATACGTGATTGATGAATTGGCGGAACAACATGGGCACAAAGTTCTTCGTCTGCCTCCTTACCATTGTATATTTAACCCTATTGAGTTAATTTGGGGCATAGCAAAAGGTTACTATAACAGACATATTGGTAGAGATGGTAACAGTGAAAAAGACTGTTTGGATATGTGGAACGAGGCTCTAAAAACGGTTACCCCAGACATGTGGAAAAATAGTGTTCGACATACTGAGCAAGAAATTTTTAAATGGTATGAAAGAGAACGAATTTTTGATCGACCAGACATCGAACCTTTAATAATCAACTTTGAGAGTGATGAAGATTCAGATTCAGACAGCGCTGAAGAAAGAAACTCCGACTAACTTTATTGTACAGAAAAAGCTTACACCAGTAGCTTACCTAATTTTAGAATGCATTTTTCTGTATGAATTCTGTAAAATAAATACCATGCATAAAATTTGGAGGACCCCATTTGGATTTTTATTCAGTACCTTTAAGCTATCAATTAAATATGGTAGTTTCATAGTGTCATCTGATCAATAATTGTCATACTTAATGATTATGCAAGTACAGATCTATAATTTTATTATACTATTATTTTTGTTCTCATTTGAGGTTAATATTGCTTATAAACCTAGATATGTAAATAATAAATTTTATTATTTTACAAAAAGTTTGGCAACAATGTAAATTTTTCGACACACCCACCTTGATGACGTGCACGCCACTTTGTTTGGCGTTGACTATAGTCTACAACATAAGATATTGAAGCCGGCTGAAGAGCGAACGTCATCACCACATTGCCTAGCAACGGTGACGCAGAAGATTGTGCAATCTGCCGCGTTGCCAATATGTTACACCAGAAAAAGTTCGCACAGGCTTCTACAATAGGTTAGGTTATTGTGAAACCCAAGAAGATCTGTTCGAACATTTAATTTAATATTTTGTTTTCATTTTGATAAAAACTATTTATATCAATTAGTGTTTTATTTTAGAGTCATTGATTTCCATCGATGGTGATAAAATCAAAACATCCGAGTTATGGTTACATTTTGCGACAGCTAGCAGTGGAGGTGGAAGTCTTGCCTTGGAATCTGCGAGATGCGGCGTTGCCAAGCGAACCAATGATGCAATGTTGCAGAATTTGTGACGCACAGAATAAACTAACATATTGGCAACGCGGCAGATTCAGCTAAAATATGTGTCTATTCACACTTCTCTCTCGTACCCATTGAACTCAAGCCGACAGACAAATTTGGTTCTCAGTGTACGTATGTTCACAAGGTATTCGAGACGGATCTAAATAACCAGAAATAAGAGGCCTCCAGTTAAGGACAATCGGATTTGAATGAGAACTGAAGAAAAATCTGCTGCAATAAGAGAATTTGACACCTCATTCCAAAAAAAAATTTTCACCGGTTCCGATCACACTAAGTATTGAAAACGTCACCAAGATTGGTGCAAAATATTCGTAGTGGCGTGGTAATAGTGAATTTGCCTCAAAAAGTTGGTCCTGAATCTTGGTTGGTAGCTGGTGCTGTAGACTAATTGGTTTGTTGTTGGAATTCAACTATTTATGGAAAACGCACTCACCGTGTAAATATATTTCTCCAGCTTGCCGATATAATCAGCATCATATACATATCCGTCAACCCATCTTATCTGTAGACGTTGGCCGACAGAGGGCGGTTCACGCAGCTGGTCGAAATCGACGATGTCGCTCTCCCGAATATCCTTGGAGAAGCTTTGATCCAGGGGGAAGAATACGCACAACCTGTTCTCCTTTTTCAATTCAGTCACCGTGGCTGTGTAGTAACGGTGATTCTTATGGCGCGCCCATACTGTGTCGCCAACTTTTATAAGCGCTTTCTGAAATAAAACAACGGCATCAAGAAATTGCTGTTCTAACGAAATCACCGTTTTACTGTTTAAAGCAGGCCTCTCCAACTCGGGTGAGCTCAGTTAGACGGGGCGCATCCTTCCAGAAGTACCTGTCACACCGACTTACGACTTAAAGATTCAGCGTGACAAGAGAATGTCACTGTCATCACCGAATCCAATGAAGCCTACAAGGTTTGATGGAAATTGTAGGCTCATGTGAAGAAGTTTCTGTCGTACCGACTGAAAGCTATAGCAGGCATTGAAAAATACTTCAAACTCCTGTGGTTGAGACCTTGCTTTCTGTAGAAATTCACACATGTTATTACTACATCCATAATAGATTTGAAATTACGGAAGGTTTTTGCACATAGTTGTTCCTGATGTAATACGCAGCGTACCGATGATATCGGAGGTAGCCCAGCGTCGCGTACTTCTATTTTCATTCGCCCAGTAAAACCTTGTGCTTCCGATAACATTGCTGGCGCTCCATCAGTAACAACACTACGCAAAATTTTCTAGTAGTATACCCATTTCATTCATTGTGTATTCTATAGCTTCAAAAATATCTTCTCCGGCCATTGTATCTTTGAGCGGGATAACGTCTAGTAGTTCGTCGGTGATAGCAAAGACTATTTCGACACCTCTAACGAAAACAGCTAACTATGCTGTGTCAGAAATGTCTTTACTTTCATCGAGAGCTATAGAATACTGCACAAAATGGGCACATTTTCCCGCAGTTGTTCTTTTAAATCTGCACCAAGTTCAAGTATCCGACGAGAAATTGTTTGCTCGGACATACTAATTGTCTGAAAGTTGCGTACAGTAGTTGGGCACAATATTTCTGCACACTCCACTAAGCATTCTTTGACAAGTGCACCGTCAGTAAACGGTCTCCCACTTTTTGCGATTTTGAAAGCAACAATATAACTTTCATTACGACACCATTAATAATAATCAACTACGACCAAATTAATAATTACCTCTGGCCTCAATACCGTGTGACAAATTAAACATTTTGCTTTTCCATCAGTATTTACAAAAAATAGGCTTCTTCCATGCAGGATTGAATGACATCGTTTAAAAAAAGATGCACGTTAAGACGCCAAAAAAACCTGTCCACTTTGTCTTGTGCTATTGAAAAATGGCCCGCGCCCGAGATACAGTCGGCTTATATGTTTCTCTCTGTCGCGACGGCTGTGCGGTCGAGGTGGAGGGGGAACGGCACCGGTGCCGCTGGGTTCAGCACCGGAGCGCACCAGCACAAAGTGCGCGAGTTGGAGAGGCCTGGTTTAAAGTCTAATTTATTACTCTAACACTAATTTGTAACACTTCAAAATAACCTATGACAAGTTTATATAACCATGCAATGGTGTATAGTTCGCGAACGAACTAGTTCAATCAAACGCTTCTTATGACTGAACTAAATGAATTCGTTTACTACGAACGACTGGTATTACAGGCCCCCGATGATCCAATAGAACTAGTTATGAGTAAACGAACGAGAACGAGATAGGAGAAAGAAGTATAATTGGTTGCCTGTAAGTTATGAAGAAGACGATCAATGCTATTAGTTATAAAAAATTAAAAATGAGTTAACTTTTATAAAAAAAGATAACTTATTGCAGCTCATGAAGAAATGATAATGTAAATTAACTACAAATTTCCATTTAAAAACAATATTAACTTTTTCGGCTTCTAGTCTAAAAAACCGTTCTACATATACCTAGGGTTATCTACGTTTGTATTATTTATTGAAAACCTGAAGTGGTGAGATCAAAAACAAAAGTGTGGACCACATAACCTAAGCTGAATAGAAAGTAATCTATTTCTTACCTTGTCGGCAGACTGTTTCTGCCTTCCGGTATGCCTGCCCTTAATACTTCCAACTTTTTCCTGTAGTGGCACTGAGCTGACGTTGAACAAAGTCAGGCCGGACAACAGGTACTCTTGTACGTCTTTGCTGAAGTTCTTCAACACATCGACGCACGCAACGCGGCATTCTAACGGAGTAAAGTTTGCTTTTTTATAACGTAAATATTTGCTAAGGGGAGCCTTCGGATCGGAAGCAGCTTGAGGAACGGTGGAGGGGGAGAAGTCGAAGCGACGCTTGAAATCCTGCAACATCTCGCGGACGACGGACAGATTCGATTTTGGCAGACGCCGACTTTTCTTCGCGCCTGTAGAAAAAAACAGGTTTTTCAGTATTTTGTTTATGGTTGAACCACCACGAAGGCCGAATGCCCAAACATCCATTGGGTACCGTGGGGCTATAGGGGGATACAAGGGAAGGGAGGGACACCACACGGACTCTTAAAGATCCGCTGGGTGGTACCTCCGCGTTTGACAGTCAGACCGTTATCACCTACGGACGGGCATCACAACATCCATATCCAAGAGAAAAATTCTCTTGGGATGACATTCGAACCACTACACCACCACTGCTGCCTAATGTATGATCAACACTTGAGCACATTGGGAAACAATACTATACTATTATTGAAGGCAGCTATGAGTAAAATACTTAACGGTTGGAACAAAGTGTTGTTCCAGGTAGCCTGTGCTTTATACCGCTTTTGACTACCCAAGCGCCTTCCTGTTACATCCAGACCTAGCATTTTCTCAATAAAATAGGGCAACTTGCTGTGTTTTGGAAGCTGGCTGTTGAATATCTTCTCCTATCTATCTATACAGGGAACACCAAATTTGTCTGACACCTTGAGTTGTGTACGAGAAAAAAGCGCGAGAAGTGAGAATCAACACATGTTAGAAGAGATAGGAACAAGCTAAAGAGCGAAGGTCAACACCACATTTTGATCAGAATTATTTATTTCAATTTGCATGCGACTTAGTGTTTTAATTTACTTTGGAATTATCTTTGATTGCCACCGATAGTGATAAAATCAACACATCCTGAATTATTGTTACAAATATCATTACGCGATACAAATTATCACTGCCTGCGCGTGCGTAGGTGAAATCTATTTCCGACGAGGACGACGCTCCCCAATAAGCGCTAGATGGTACTGCCCGAAATCCCTCATCTATGATCATGGGGGTGGAAACCCTGCCTTGGACTGTACGAGATGCGGTATTGCCAAACCAACCAATGATGCAATTTACAAAATTTGTGGCGATCCTAAACAGATTCGACACAATTTCTAACATACAGGTTGTCCCAGAAGTCGACGTCAAGCCGAAACCGGGTGATAGGCAAAGTCATAACAGCTATCAGAAAAAAATTTTATGTATGTGTTTTGAAAATTATAGATCTTTGAAAAAAATATAGAAATTTTACACCCTACGGCAGTCTGTCAACTCCTGTTACTACAAATATTAACTATTTTTGGATTTTATTTTTACAATGTAATGATGAATAATGCATCTTCAAACTGGTGTCTCAACCTGACTGCCAACTTTTCTCGTTCAGGAAAAATTGCCACTTATTTCCCAACCAAGTATTCCAAAGTAAAACTTTGCTCAACTTTAACTGGCTGTACTGGAAAAAAATGTACTACGAGAGTTTGGCAAGTAACCTTCAAAGTTGGCGCATTTAATAAGCATTCCAAAATGGTATAATACTTAGAAGATTACTCGTTAACTTATGCACAATTTTTATTTGAAGAAAAACTGATGAAAATTTTTCAAAATTTCCTAATTAAACAGCGATTATGAAAACGCATAAGGACCCTTAAGGATAACTGTTTGCACAACAGTGGGCGTCAAAATGCTGCTGATGATGAATACTTGGTTGGGAAATAAGTGGCAATTTTTCCTGAACGAGAAAAGTTGGCAGTAAGGTTGAGACACCAGTTTGAAGATGCATTATTCATCATTACATTGTAAAAATAAAATCCAAAAAAAGTTAATATTTGTAGTAACAGGAGTTGACAGACTGCCGTAGGGTGTAAAATTTCTATCTCTCTCCCTCCCTCTCTCTCCCTCCCCCCCCCCCCTCTCTCTCTCTCTCTCTCTCTCTCTCTCTCTCTCTCTCTCTCTCTCTCAACACTGCGAGATGCACTGTTTTATGAGACAAAAAAATGAAATTTAAAGGGTCTCGAAAAATGTTTGTAGTGATGGGCGTAGTTTTCACCCTTCTCCAACCCTCCGTGTTTTTTTTTGTAAAAGTCAAGTATTATTACGTCTAGCAAAACGTGTGTCCCAAATTTCATTCAAATCGGACTATCGGTTCTTAAAAAACTGACTCCCTCTATCGTGAAAACGAAGCACTTTTGCATAGAGATAAATCATGTACAATCGACTTTTGAGTCTAAAACGTGGTACTTCTATGTCCAAGGAATATTGGAACCCCCTGTATAATTATTAAAAAGAACTTACCTACAGTAATCTCGGATAAACACCTCCTAGATTTTTGCTTCCCAATTGCTTGTTTCATCGTAGATTTCAGGGCAGTGGACGCTGTTTGATTCCGCCTCCTGTTCTTCGCCTTAGCCAATGCTGGATACTTCGAACACTGCTTCTTCTTCAAATTACTCCGTACGTTTTCTTTATCTACAGTAACAACATCAACCTCTTCGTTATCTACTTTCTTTGAAATATTTTTTTGATGTTCTTCATCTGAGAAATTTGAGCCACTACCATTGCTATCATCGTCGCTGCTATCACTCGACGAATCACTAGAATCCGAGTCGAGTTCTTTCTGTCCTGTAACTTCGAGTTCAAGACCTATGTGTTGAAAATTACATTCTTCTAATGATGTGATATTGACTGATACATCTTCGGGTATGTTTTCTACTACGACTTTTTTATTGTCTTCGATATCCAACGTGATAGGCGCATACGACATAGGATAGAATCTGTAAAAAACAGATCGATAAAACATTACGAAAAAATAATTGCGTAACATTTCCAGAATGGAAGAAGTACACTAAGCTAAGACCGTGTATCAAAGAAAACGAAGGGGATCTATATTTTATTTTCAACTCTGCGATTGATGTGTGATAAATCTATAAGGTTAACGTAAACGTTGAGAATACTATTTTCACCCGGCTGCCAGAGAAGAAACGTTATGTTTTTGTCGCGGGCACTACACAACCATGAATTATAGTCTAATCATATTGGACGAAAATACCCCTGGTTTGCGAAACAATTGTAAAGTCTGGTTTTATTGCTGATGCAGATGCAGATATTTGAGATTCTTCAATTTCGTAGGATTCGTAGTTCTAAATAACCATAATAAAATTGGAGTAGATTAGTCAAGTAGTTTATGAGAATTTATGAAGTACAAAAATTCATAACAACATACAGCCGCAACCTCCCCTCTTAATACGACCCGAGTACAGATCTGTTGTCAATTAACAATATGGGGTATTCTTTAGTAGTTTATGCGGTATTTTTGAGAGCCAAAACACTATGATTTAGGGCCGTTCCTACAATATTGTAGAACGCCTTTATAGCCTCCTTGATTCTCATACTTTTCTACCGTTATGAAAAAAAATATATATTTACCTATCAGGATTGTCATAGATCATTTTCGAGCAACTGTTCACAGTGAAATACTTCTGGCTATTCCACAACATGCTGGGGTTATAATTGTTGGGAGGAGAGTCAGTAGCAGTGATGAATGTGTCACCTTGAACTGCCAATTGGGGCATTTGGTCATGTTCCACTCCGGAATTGGACGGTTCTGGCGGTGTCAGTTCTGGCATTCTATTTACAGTTTGAATATTTTGTTGGTCCAGTGTGTTATACACTGCACCAAAGTGCTGTCCAATGACACCGCCACTTGTATGCTGGAGGTTTACATCTGTGTTGTTAGTCTGGAATACATAAATCATTTGTGATACACAGCGTGACTCTCAAACAAGAGGCAGATATTCAATGAGTTATTGAAAATCTGTTGGAAAAAATTGACTTTTGTCATTTTTTACAATTTTATTTTCGCTCAATTCTTGCGATTACTCTGTATTATTTATTAATTATAAAAATATCGAATAAAGTCCATTAAAGTAGCCTCCTTTTGTAAGGAGAAGTTACAGATCGTTTGGTAAAGATATATAAATATAGGAAAATCCATAGGCTTTTATCGACCTTCTGTGGAAGCTATTTTTTACGCAAAATTTGATGTTTTTTAAAAACGGTTGGAGTTAGGTATAGGATGCTATACAATACTCAAAAAAAAAAAATAATCCAAATGTTTCGGTGATTTTTGCAAGGCTGTATTTATAAAAATACATTTTGAAACTTTAGGATTCTAGTTTGATCTTAATGGCATATTGTCGTCCATATAGGGTAACATAACATGCTTTAGTATGTCTGTGTATACAAACTTATCCATAATGCCATCTATTCTAGGTAAAGGTCCCATCCCAAACCCCGAAAAGCACCCCCAAACCATAACAGACCCGCCTCCAAGTTTGACAGTGGGCAAAGTGTACTTGGGGATCAATCTTTGTCCACTAGGACATCTAACGTAACACCATCTGATCCAAACATATTGAACTTGGATTCGTCACTGAAGCATAGGGTTCGAACGCTCTTAGAATATCACCGCTACGTCATCGTGGGCGGGTCCGCTCATCACGCGGTCGTGGACAGAGCGCAGTGGCGTTCTATTTTATTTGAAGTATAAAATAAAGTGAATAGGTTGTGTAGACATTGATCATTAATTGATTTTTGTATTATTATATTCATTTAGTATGCGCATTAAGTTGTTCGGAAGCAAATTTGAATTAGAAGAGGGAGCAAACTAAAGACGGTTATAATTCAAATTATATATTATCATTAAAAAATCTAATCGCTATCAGATGATAGTGTGTTTAGCTTCAAATCTTCATCTGAGTCGCTTTCGTCACTATCTTCTGATGATGACCCTGTGTTCACATTGAATTGATACGTATCCATTTGATCGTCGAGAAGATGTTCTTTTTCCATTTGTGCTTCCTCATATTTTTTCACGTGGTTACAAATTTTCTTCCACTCATCTGCTCCAATTTCTTCAAACCTGCTACGGGTCAGATGCTCCACATCAGACAACCTAAATGTCACATTTCGTGGAGCAACCCAGTTTTTTACGAGAGCCCAAATCTTCTCGATTGGGTTTAGCTCCGGATGATATGGAGGCAGTCGTAAAACTTTATGCCCGTGCTGTTCCATTAAGGCATCTAGCTTGTATTTGACTGGAAATCTTCTTTTATTTTCCTGTATTTTTTTATATAGTTCGGCCTTAGTCAATGACTTTTCACTAGGAATTTGATGTTTTTCTAGCCAGTCAATCATCTCTGATTTCAGGCTAAAAGACGTTACATTTTTTTCTTCCAGGACATTGTGATAAGAAGCGTTGTCAACTACAAGCACAGAATTTTCAGGCAAATTTGGGATCAATTGGCTTTCTACCCATTTCATGAAGTTCAAATGATTCATGTCGTTGTGGTAGTCCCCAGATTTTGAGCCTGAAAATAAAATACATACATATAATCCAGTAAATGTAAAAATATATTGGAAATATTTTACATCATTGTAACACAAATAATACCTGATTTGAATATCAACAAGGCGTTAGGAATAAAGCCGAATTCTCCACCAGCATGCACAATAATCATTCGTTGTCCTTTTGATAAAGGCGTTTTTAGTTCCTTGTCATAATTGTCATCTGACCATCCTTTTTTTGGGGTATGACTAGAATGTATATATGTTTCATCCGCATAAATTATGTTCCTGTTCTCAGCTCTATATTTCATAATTTGCTTCAGATATTCGATTCGCTTCAAGCGAATTTCATATTTTTCCATGAGAGCTCTTTTATTATCAGTAGTTCTTTTCCATCTGTAGATATAAATTATATTTATAGCGTTGTAAATCGAAAACCTTATAGTGTGTATGAATACTGACCTAAATCCCATTTGTTTCAAAAGTTTGTTCAAAGTCGTTATTTTACCCTCAAAATTAAGTTGTCGATCTTGCATTTTTTGGTAAATACCTAAAAAGATCTTAAAATGAAATATGACTAGATGCTACGGTTACAATTTTAAAACTTACATTTCAGCGAAGGTCTTCTTTTCTCCAAAATATAAAAATCGTATATGATTGCTTTCATTTATTCAATTTGGCCTGCAGTCACTTTATCCACAACAGGTGATTTTCGTTGCCGCTTTTTAGATGGGGATGAAAATGAAAAGTTGCTTGAATATATTCCATCTCTGCTCTCTTTAGCTATTTTTTGATAAGTACATTTACTTATACCCGTGGCAGCTAACACACGTTTCCTAAATGGGTTAATCAGTTTTAATTGACAATAATTATAAAAATCTTTTACATTCATACATACCGGTATTGTTGAAGTGGAAACTTTAATCCCTCTACACTTTCCTGTACCATGAAGTTATTGACATTGTTGATAATTTCCTTTCCTTGACTCCCAATCGCCTTTCCTTTCACGCCAATCTCTTTCACAGACATTGTTTAGATCACTGGTTCAAAACTATTAATAATTTAAATTTGATCAATAGTAAAAATTTCCACTATATTGCAATCTATTTGACAATTTTTACACACGGTGCCTTGTTCAAATTAGTTTACAAACTGAACTTATGACTAACGGACAGGTTTATATATCTGTTGCAGGTAAAATAAATGTGATTGATTAACACTCATCCTCTTAATGCTACTTAGGAACGAAGGGATTTAGCAACCGGGAATTATTCCAGGTAGTTCAATTTTACACTTGTTATTATTAGATTTGTTTCTACTAATTTTGTTTACCTACGCTTGATATTGGTATTAGCCTATTTATCTAGGTACTAATGATGCACTCTAGGAAATCTCATGATTGGTATAGATATAAGCCGATCACAGTCTTAGGATTAATTTAATTTCTTTCAGTTGTTTGCCAACTTTGGGGTTTTACCCTTCAATATTGTGTCTATTATATGTAGGTACCTGTTCACTATTTTAAATTTTGATTTATGGATCTCCATCAAATATCCACAAACCCCATAAGATTAATAATTTTCAACACAATCAAATATAAAATATGATATGGTTAATAAATAAAAAAATAAATAAGTCGAAGAAACGTCTCATCAGATCCCAATTGTGTCAACAATCTCAACTGACTGAAACTTGCACTAAAAAACGTTCCGCCTATGGCTTTCTGAGAGTGGGATGTCCCTTAACAGCGTCAACAGCAACATAATTTCTGGACATTGAAGACCACATACATTTTTAAGCTTTCTACGATATAAATATTCGCCACGATTAGTACTGGACCACATTAAGAGGGCGGTAACAGATGTCCATAAATCTTACCAGAGACTGTCACAACAATTTTCTATATTCTTATAGGGTACAATCGACGCAAGGGAGAGGGTATAAAGTGATGACGTAGCGGGCATAACCTTAGGCTGTTCGAACTATACCGTCTTCCAGTCACAGATGCTCCAATCAAGATGCAACCGTGCAAATTGTAATCGGTCCTTACGGTTTTTCCTCGAGATTAGCGGCTTCTTACTCGGGCGACGTGCAAATACTTCAAATCATTTAATCTGCTACTTATAGTTTTCATAGAAACACTGACAATTCCTTTTGTCTTGATTTTGGCTTTTATTTGACCTGGGATTTTAAACGGATCTTTGGACGAAATTACTTTTATTAATCTAACTGATCTAGCATTAAGTTTTCTAGGCTGACCACTTCTCTTAGAGGCTTCCAAAATACCTTTTTGTTTACATTTGTTCAATATTGCCCAAACTGCTTTACGCTTCAGCTGCAAATTTTTGGCAATGTCAACTTGACGTTTGACTGGACCACGCGGCATGGTCTTAAAATCACTCAACTTATTCGACAATACTTAATGCACATAAACTAATTCTCTTCTACACGAAACTGTACTAAACTAATGTTGAAAAGAATTTGTCTACATATTTTTATCCCTCATAAAAAAGTGCTTATATTCCGACTTGTATTGTGTTCATTGCAGATAATGTAAAAACAAGGAATTTAGTTCTTCTAGTAATAACGCATTTGTTTATGGAGCAATGAAGTATGAATTCGTTTTCTAAAGGTATTTAGGTAAATATTCATATTTGTCTTTATACTTTTGTCCATTACTGTATGTAATAAACTTACCGTGATGTAATTTGTGCAATCCTCCTGTCCACCAATGTTTCCAATAATTTGTTCCAAAATGCTATCTTGATACTCCACGTTGCTATGATTTGTCTGAAGATGTTGTCTAACAGTTTCTGTGCTAGTACTCGGCGCTTGAACTCTCTCTATTCTAACGCCCGTCTGTTGTTCTATCAGATTATTCAACAACGGCGACATATTAGCAGAAAAAGTATGATGCAATATCGATTTTTTAGGAGATTCTGGCGTGGAAGCTCTTGAACTATTACTAAGCTTTGTACTATTTAACGACAGTGAGCTACTTCGTGGACTACAATTCCCTGGACTAGCGGATACTTGTACTTTGGGTGTTGGCGGTTTTGGTTGAGACTTCCTGCGAGCCGCAGCAGGACCGGCTGAAAATGGAAACAATGTAAACATGTCAGGCGTCAAATTTGTTTTCTGATAGCTACAGAACGAATACATACGAGAAGATCCTGGCAAAACTATTAACAAGATAAAGATATCATGAATAAGATTATAGTCTAATCATATTAGACGAAAATACCCCTGGTTTTATTGCTGCAAGTTGTTCAAGGGGGTATTTAAAACATGGACGCATCAAATGGGTACACCAATCGTTGTGGGAAAACTTCTTATTCGACAACAAAGAATGAGAAAATTTGTTTTGCTAATAGCAAAAAAAGTTATGGTCGAAGACCGAGGTAAGATGTAGGTTTTGGCACTTGGTAATGCGACGATCATATATGAAGAGTTTTTTCGTTCCTGCCAACACTTTCGATTGAATCCCAAAAACACGTTTTCTCCTTCTTTGTTGTCGAATAAAAAATTTTCCCACAAAAATTGGCATATCCATATTATGTTGTTATTGTTTTTTGTTTTTTTGTTGAAGATTTATTTAGCATAATTATTCTTTTACACATTTTTTTTGAACCAACTTTCAGCAATTTAACATTCTTGTCTATTAAAATTACATCGCTATGCATTTTGAGTATTAATAAAATGCTTCTTTACTTCACCTTAAACATTTTTAAATTCGAACACTGTTTAATATCACTATTCAAATTATTAAATTTAAATACACCATTTTGAAATTCATAGTTAGTTATGCTACTATGACAATTTTGCAGAAAATGACTTGTGTTTAATCTGGTGACGTTCTCTAAATGTTGTGGTAATAAATGATTTGTTAGTTTGACTGTGAAAATGATATAATTTTTTTACATTCAACCATTGCAGTTCTTCTAACATAGACCTAATCTTGGTGTATTTGTTTTTATTTAAAATTATTCTCATAACCTTATTTTGTAGAATTTATAATTTTGAAAATGTTTTTATTTGCTGTAAACAAAATAGTTGAACAATAGAAGAAATGGGGAAGAATTATGGTGGTATACACAATTTTTTTGGAATTCATGCTGAAATTACGGGATACTCTATAGAAGTAATTTATCTTTTTTGATATTTTTGAAATATATACCCAGACATTTCAATGATTCGGCTATTTCAATTTTTCCATCATTAATCATGAGTCTAAATGTATTGTCACCTAAATGTTTTCATATTGACTACATGGTACTTACCTGATGCTCCTTTGCCCTTGACTTTTTCAGATGTCCCATCTTTATTTTTGAGGAAGTTCAAGAAAGCATTTTCATAATTCGTTTTGACGGGTGGTACAACCGGTGTTATTTTGACACTGGTGTCAGGCAAATATTCGGGTATTTTTGGTTTGGTTATTACTGGTGCTGAAGATCCAACCACTGTTATTATGCCTAAATGAAACATGTATTAAAAACTACTCAACCATATAAAAAAAATCATATTTCAACAAAAACTGAGCTAAGTGTAAAAAAATTGTGATCTAGTTAATACGTGCAGAAAAAATAACGAATCGTCAAGCCAACCGAAAGGTTTCTTTTTATAGCAGCAGCACAACGAATTTCGACGAACAAAAGAGTTTTTATGATCACTAAAGTGACAGTAATCTGAAAGTATTGGAGCTAACCCGAAAATTTCAGCATTGAAATATTTTTTCATAGAAAAGTTTTGGTAGTACACTACATTTGGCCATGAAGGGGCAGCGGTATGCCGACAAAGAGGCCATCCAAAAGGCGTAGACGACCATGTTAAAGGAGCTAAAATCATCATTTGAAAATCCTTTGGTCCGTGCAAATCGCTGTATTAGCTCTAAAGGAGACTATTTTGAATGAAATAAATTCGATTTTCCGAAACAAAAAATGTGTGTTCATTTTTTTTGTCCTGTTTACGTTGCGATAGACCTTGTATAACAACAAACATGACAATTCAACTTATTTAGAACACTGCCTATTTCTTGCAATTATTTTTATCTGTAATCCAGCTTTACAAATTCCGGCAACAGGGCTTAATAAAGAAAATATAACCTTACGAAATAAACCCTCCTTATTTTGTGTAACTCACGGAGCTTTTTTATCTCGTTAACAGGGGATTGTTTCGCTACTGCGCAAAATCGAAATAAGAAAGATATTAAAGAAGCAGCAAAACAAGAGCACTAAAAATATGTAAATATCCAGAAACTTCTAAAAAGTATCCTAAAACTATAAAATGCCCGTCTTTGTTATAGTGGTAAAATGATTTCCAAAATCGGATGTTACTTTTTGCATTACAGGAGGTGAAAAAGGTCTAGTAAGGTCAGGTAGAGCATACACAAATTACCAAATAGCCAACGGACCAAAAGTCTCACCAATAACAGACAAAGCTACAGAAAGCAATAATGCTAAACTTTTCTCAGACATTTGAAAATATTACTTGCATACCTCTGGAGGTTTTTATAGTTTGCACTTTGCCCATACTACTACTTGCTGCCATATCTTGTTTAGGTCTACGATACGTCTTCAAATCCAACTTATTTTTGTTTTCCTCACCACCATTACCACTTTCGATTTTAGTATCAAAAACGGAAGTAGTTTGCTGCAATCGGACACTCTTCTCGTGTTCTTCCGCCGCTGCTCGGATAATGTCGTCTATTTCTTTCTTCACCTCATTCTGACTGTCGTCCTCCAAAAGTTGTGATCCGTTGGATGTTGAACTGATTGCGGATGTAGACGTGGCGGGTTTTGGTTCTTTGACTAGAAAACCCACTTCGATTGGAAACAGATACAATAACCTAGTAAGCATTTGATCAATCATAAAATACTAGGGAACTTTTACAACCACTGACTACTTAAGAGTATAGACCTATCTATATACATTTGGATTTTTGCTATGTTGGATCATGTCCCTCAATGGAGGCGAGGAAATCTTCGAGAATACTTTCTATCTATAGTTGGTATTCAGTACCTATTGATAACTTAACACCAGGTAAAGGTATTCCAATGTACTTAGTAACATAAATTAATAATTGTGGAGCACATAAGCCCATAAGGCAGAAGAGCATGTGTCGTTTCATAGGTAAGTATAGGTTATGTTTATGCTTTATTTTCGGTTCGTATCTTTATATTTAAGGTGATTCTTGAACCCATTTAAAGGGAAAAAAAATCATATGAGCATATTTTTGTAAATGTCTTAACCTTTGAGATAGAGGATAGTAAAGCGTTCAGAAAAAAATCTGTTTTATAATAACTATGATACTATTGTAAATATCTTTATGAAATCAGGTACACATGTTCTATGCATAAAGGTGCATTTTCTGATGTACAATTTTATTTGGAGAGAAAAATGGAATGCTAATACTCACGTTTTTTAATTTTCTTTTCGCCGCTGTTTTTCTCTTTCTTCACCTTAGTTTTATTTATCAACAAATCATCTGCAAGCAATGACTTCATCAGGTGAGCCGCAGCATCTTCAAAATGTTCATCTTCTATTGGTTTCACAATTTTACCACAGACCTAAAAAGAATGCACATTTTCATATTAACAATATAAATTAAATAGACAGGTAAGATTGAAAAATGAATTACTATGAAGTGTGAGTAAATCATTTACCTTTTTATCTTTCCTATCACATTCAGAATAAAGCCCAGTAAGCTCATCGTCATACTCTCTCTTAATTCCAGTTTCTGAGTCTTCTGCCTTCCGCTTCTTTTTCTCTTTTTCTTTATCCTTGTCCTTCTCATCCTTCTTTTTCTTCTTCTTCTGGAAGTACTTCCTGCTCTTCTTTATGTTATAACCTGCATCACAAACTGACGCATCTTCTGCCTCTGAAAGTAGAAGAGCAAACAGAGTTCACATAACTGCATGCAATACTTCCTTGCATTTATTCAGGTGAAGTTTTGGTCGGCATAGTTTCAAAAAAACTGGATCTAACAATTTTTCATTAATAAACTAATGATTCAGTTGTTCTGAACTTTTCTGACTCTGGACTCATACACATTTATGGTTGTTTGTGTGGTAATGTAACAATTATGGATATGTTTTAGCAAGTTTGTCTTACCAATTTCTCCAGCTTTGAGCCAAATATCTTCTAAAACCTCCAACTGTTGCTCATCAGGAGGAATATCATCTGTGGGAAATTCCATCTGGTCTTCTTGCATCAGTTCCATTTGTAAAGCAGGTGGAAATTCAGTGAGATTGAATCTTAGAAGGGAAGAAATGAGATACAGAATTTTCATTGACTAACGGGTGTACGAGGGCGGCCCGACAAGTACTTAGCGTCGTCGCCCGATAGCGCCACTATCGCAAGAGAAGTTTACTATCGTGTAGTGCAATCTAGAAGACGGCTATTCTCAAAATTTCGGCCGAGTCGGACTCGCAGTTCTGTTTTGACCGCGTGTGGCAGCGACCGTGTCCGCGGACAAAATTTACGTTTTTCTTTTGTATGCTAAGTACTCATCGGACCGGCCTCGTATATACACAGTAACATCATCTAGGTGGTATAGATGAGAGAATTATAAATAAGGAATTAAAATACCCTAGTCGCATACTTACTGGTTGAATGCTGCCATCTTGCCCTTCTTAACCTTTTTACCTTCCATATAGCTCTGTGGCAAAGTCAGATTATTTTTATTGCACAGAATATCCTGGGGCAATGGCAAGGGTGCTGCAACTTTTCTATCTGGTTCTTCTGGATGAGGGCCAACATCTTCACCTTTCAACCAATTTTCATATCTGAAATAAATACACGAATGAGTTTCCTTTGAATAAACTATTAATAGTAACCTGTCTTTTTTAATAGCATTATTGGGGGAGTGGAATACACAATCATTGATTTTATGTTTAAGTTCAAGTTATATTTACCTATCAGGTTGAAATCTCTTAACAAACGTGTCCATAGAAATCTTGACCATATCTTTGCTACATGTGCATTGTGATGCTCTTTTTCCATATTCTACCCACCTTTCTTGAGCAAAGTTTGTAGATTCTGCACAGTTGAAGCCATGGTTGAAACCTGAAAATAAAGACTACATCAGAACCGAATTTCATGTCATAAGGCTTCTGAGCTCAAAATTAATATTCTTGTTTAAAAATATATACCTGCATGATATCCATATGGAAATGTTATCATTATTTCCCCAGCTTCTTGTGTAATCTGAAAATTATGAGACATTTAGCTATAATAGAAAGATAACCATAATTACACATAAACATAAAAACTGATCAAACTCACAATCAACAATCACAACCAATAAAAAACTATAATCTAGCAAATGATTCTTTACATAAAAATAAATCATTAATAGACAAGTTAATGGAGCTAGAGGAATGTATTTATTTGATAATAATGAATCATTGAGACAAGTTTATTATTAACAGGGCAATGATTAGTTCACAATGATAAGTATTTTTACCTTATTGTATGGTATGGAATACTGTTTCAGGATCTGTGGTGATATCAATGTCATTTTATGCCTCAAAAAAGCCTGACATGTTTTATATGAACCTGGAAAAAATCCATTTGCCAGCCTTTCTAACCTTCTCCCATGCTCTGGTGGAATGGAATACCTAAATAGAAAACAGGTGATTCAAGTTTCTATATTTGAAAGCATAAAACAGTAAATTTTTTTTTTCATTTCCATGTTATGTTTTACAAATAAGTAAATGTATTTTTGAATAATCAGAGAACTTGGTCAAGATGGATTTTAGAAACATCAAAGCATGTTTTTTTGCGCATAATGCACTGATCAATGACAGTACTAATGCTTACCATGTTTTTGGAGCACCAAAGTGTAAGTAGTTAATAGAATACAGGTCCATATCCTCAGTGTGCCAAGCAAAAGTAGTTTTCCACATGCCAAAGTACAGATATGCAGTATTTACTCCTTCAATGGAAATGCCATAATCTTCATTTACATAATCCAGAATGGTTCCCAGTCTATTTATGTTCCATTCCTTAAAAATCATAGTGAATCTTAATAAGTGAAAAAATGTGTTACTAAACAAATTCAATTCAATACACTTGATCCATACATGTTTATTTTTGGTTCATACGTTTTATGAGTTTGTTTCATAGGAAGCTACATATTAGAGACAAATTCTTACATTAACATCATCATCTGTCAAACTTCCAGAAACATCAGCTCCATAAATGGGAGCAACATAGGTGATATTCTTCCAATACTTCCTCTCAAGATCTTCGTAATCAAAGTGTTTAGGAGTAGCATATCTTTCAGAATTTGCCAAATCTTTATACTGCTTTACAGTCATTTGTTTCTTTTGAATGTTGATCTGTTGGTATAGGCCCTGTTTACCTGTGACCACTTGACAGATGGGAGCTGGGATAACAACACTAAGATTATCTACATCATATCCACCCTTTCTGGGAACCCATTCTGGTGGGGGAATTACCTACAGAAGAAAAAAGCTAAAGTAATGAGAACTGAATTCTTACTATTATGTTTATAAATATCTAAGGCAAATGGAATATGATCAGAATGTACGGAGATTCATACCATCAGTGTCAATTGACCTTTACCTGTAGATGACTTACTGTGAAAAGGATTCAAATATTTCTTCTCTAATGTCTATTTTAATTTCAGACATTGATTAGTTTAATTTAAATGTACATTATTTCAAAAAGGATTGTATGAATTTGATAAATTAAGTAATGATATCAAGATGTGTGCCAATTTGAGAATGTTTAAAGGGAAATTGAAAAAATAACTCATGGAAAACCAGGATTCATAGTAATATTTTGAAAAGAAAATATGTAGACATAAAATGTTATGTGGCATATTGTGTAACACTGATATTGTAGCATTAATGCTAGATAAATCTACAACAAACAACAATTAAACAGGTGTCAAAAAGGAATTAAAGATCCTTGTGCCTTGAATGAGACAAGAGCAGAGTCAAACAATATTTTTTCAAAATATATTTATAAATTTTATTGTGGTCTGCTTATCTCACAGATGCAGAATCTTTTAAGTGTCTTTTAGGATGCTAATAGGTAGGTAGGTATTTTCAGACAGAATATACTATAACTTAGTTTTCCGAGTAAATTGTGTCATTCTGAAAATTATATACAAGTTGTAAAGTTTCTCAAACAGGATGTCAACCTGGATACAACCTTCAATATGATTGATTAAAACAGACATAAAAAAAAATGTAATTTTTTTCAAAGGTGGTAATGTATTTTTAACCCTATATTTGTATGAAAATTAACCTTTGACATTTTTAATTTTGTGCTGTTCTAACTTTGCCTACAAAATGAAGGTCAAATCACATTTTTCTAAATTGATAATGTATGTATGTAACCTTAAATCTGTATGAAAACTACCCTTTATTGTCAGTAACATTTTGCTTTATAGTTTCAAATATATTTCAAGATATCTTAAATATTATAGTTAGTAATGTAATACAGATTTTATTTTGACAACCCTCTATATTAGCTAGTGGCCAATTCTGGTAATAGATGGCACTTTGTGATGCCTCATTACAATAACCCCCTATATATTTGATATCATTGCATCAGGCATGAAACCTTATTTACTCAATGCAAAATGGAGCTAAAATATGTTTTAAAATCATACACTAGGAATGCATGTAGTAAAAGTGGATTATAATATATCTTTAACAGTAAATACAATATTTTTTATAAATAAACAGGATGTAACCCCTATATCCATGCAACCCCTATTATTAATGAGTTCATGATTGGGTGAATGAGTCATCAATTTTATAATTGAGTTCAAATAGCTTGCCACAGGAAGTTGATCTAGTTTGAAGCTTTAGCAAACTTTCACCATGTTTAAAAAAAAAACAAGTTTTTGAAGTTCTATACCTTAATACATCTACTGACCTACATTATACCTAAAACAAAATAAATTACCTTTGCCAATCCAGCTTTATGAGCCCCTTTAGATTCCATGTGTTTTATGCACTTGGAGAAATCTTTAAATTCTTCCCACGTAGGTCGAAACACCATAATTCTATAAAATTAATTTTGTTTACAAGGGTTCTTTCATGTTATACAACATAAACACAGCTAAATTATTACCTTGGTACACCAGTCTTCGATGGTTCTGCCATTTTCTAGTTAATGTCTATAACAATGCACTGTTCTAATAATTCAGAATATGAAAATCCACGTAATACACTCAAAATTCAGGTATATCTTTCGAAAAAACTATTTCTGTAGCCTATTTACGTGGGGTTTCCAGGCGGCCATGATTGACACACAGAAGATCACGTATGGAAAATAATTCACATATTTCACCAAAAACGAGCAATCCGTGGCTATGAAGCCATATATTGGTTCTAAAATAATTTATTGAATTATTTTTTCACTCAACGGCACTGTAATTATTGAAAATTCACATATTTCACTAATAAAAAGGTAAACATCCACCCAAAGATTATTTCTACTTCACGACCGCCATCTTCACTCTGCGCGTGCGTACGCCAATCAAAAGCCGGTCACAAAACAACAAATTAATGCCGCCAGAGACCAGTGTCATGACAGAATGAAAACATCTTTCCTTTTTTTGAGTCCTTCAGTGGTGGGTCCACCGAATACACGAAAGGGTGCAAGCGTCCAAGTCTAATGTAATCTTCGCTAGCGCTGTCAACATTGGCGGATTTAGAGAGCGGCAGAAACTGCATTGCAGCCCGGGATCCCCTCAAACCATTCCTGGGCCCTCTTGAGCCCCTACATTAAAGTGTGTTCAAACATTCACGTAAGAATTGAATTAAATTCGAACACAGTTTGTAACTTTTTGATGGGTCATAAAGTATAGCCATAATCACGAAAGATGACTATTACGTTATAACATAAATTGTACTGAAGTAATCAATGGACGTACGTAAATGATAAAATCACGATGTCAGGAGCTTAATGACAACAAATTTATATTATGATTTTGCGAAGTTAGGTTATTTCATTGTATTTTATTTTATGGTTTTGAGTGATACCTTAATAATGATTTTAGTGGGGAGTTTTTGTTTTGAAACAAACAGTTATACATATTTATAATGAGGCAATGTGGTGAGTCTGTGTCTGTCTGTGATCTGTTGCTCGCCCGTTTCACTCTCGCGCTCGCCTGTTCTCCGGTTCCGATTAGTGTCGGTATTTTCGATCGAGTCAAAGGGTGTATAGGGTGAGAAAACAGAAGAGTATTCGCTGAGTGTAGACACCTTCTTGCTTCTCGCACAAATTCACGGCGAGAAGTCTCGCCCAGACTTCTCGCCGTGAGTCTGGAGGGCTATGAAAAGTCACATTAGGTCGTTTTTTTTTGACATAACGTAGATTTTTCTATAAAGTCGAAATCACGAAAGATGACGATTACGTCATCATTTCAGTCTATAGCAAAGACAAACGACAGCGATTCGTGAATATTTTTACTCAAGTTTCAAATATGTTAGACAGAGACCAACTAAACAAACTGTATTGCTAATTTGCATGTATCCGACAAATAAAGACGATGTTTTCATGTTGCATGATTGATCATATTGGAGAGATGAATAGTTAGGTTGTGTTAAAGCAGGTTAGGTTGTTTTCCAATAATACATTGATCTTTGGTGTTCATGTCTTAAGGTATTCTACACATAACTGTTTTTTTTCAAACAAATCTCCCCACTAAAATTATTATTACGGTATCACTCAAAACCATGAAATAAAATGAAAATAAAAATAATCAGTGAAATAACCTAACTTCGCAAAATCATAATATAAATTCATGACATAGTGATTTTATCATCGACGTATGTCCATTGATTACTTCAGTACAATTTATGGTATGACGTAATAGTCATCTTTCGTGATTTTGATTATAAGATGTTAACTTAGCACTAGCTGATGGACACTTGTTGTGAACTCGTTTTGTAGTTGTACGTGTGATTTCAGAGATGTCAAGTAACATCTATTTCAGAGATGTCATTATTGGAGGTCTAAGCTGTAAGTTGTATACTATAGCTGGAAGGAAACGGCAGAGCATAGGTGCATAGTGATTTGTGTGTTAATAATATATGTTGATGATAAATCCATTGGTTTCTTGTCTCAAATACACTTACTTGAGATTCAAAGCTAGAAATTAGTCAAGCATGCACTTCTTATTCACTTTGGAAATTACATATGCAAATTTGCTGAATTTAAAAATGATAGAGATGAGAAAATATGCTACAGACAGGAATAGTGATTAAAGTGAAAAGGTTATTACATTATTTTTCATTTCCAGTCATTTATATTGTATAGAAATTTATTTTGCGATGTCAATAGAAAATACAAATCAGCGCCTAGATGTAAAACGCTGCGAAAAAGTTTGAAGTGTGATGCGTCATTCCAAATTTTTCTGTGATGTGACTCAATTGCACACAACGCGGGCGCGGAGGCGATTTCCCGTATTGCTCCTTGAAGTTTTGGAAAACACAAAAAAACGGGAATATTCGTAATTTATATCTTTGAACATAAACCTGTCTTCAGAAAGGACAACATATAAATAACCCGTCAGGCACAGTTAATAGATATACTTCATTGGCAACATATTCAGTAATAATTTTCTCACATAGCAAATATCACTGATTTTATACACATGCAGACCAATAAACATAATCATCCAGATACGATCTTGCTATTCAACCAACTTTCTTTTAGATCTTTTCAGAGATAAACACGACAGACTACTCGGCTTCACAAAAGATATATGTACGTACTTGCTTTCTACAGCCAACAATGCGTGTAGTTGAGTCACTCCTCCATAGATAGACGCTCACAGCGATCATAGCGATCAAACGTGGAATGAACTATTTGCACCCTAAGAACTATCTAGTCTGCAAGATGACATTTCGTTGGTGCTTTTTGAAGTTTTATAGGTTTTTTACATAAAAGCCGTGCCGTTTGTCCTGAGCTCTTCAACGTGTCGTCTCACATGCTGTACTATTACTAATTTCTTCACTTTCCGTAAGGTCTGAGATTGGAAGTTTAAATTATTTGAAATCCCGTACGCGTTATCACATTTGTTCAAGTACCCAAATTACTTAAACTTAGTTTAATACGCACAATCATTTTAGGTACTTTCATTCTGTTTTATTAAATCTCAATGCAAAACAAGCCGAAAACATCCAGTTGCCAAGAATTGACAGGTCCCGAGTCTCGAATAATTATCACGCACACAGAGAGTAAAAGTCAACATAATGTACTTCAAATCAAACATGTTCTGTTTATGAATGATTTATTCTTAGCAAATATTTATGTAGATATGTGACAGCAAAGTAATTCAAAACCTCTTCTTATTTACCGTTTCTAAAACCGCAACGATATACTGGAGTGCGTTTGTAAGTCACTTGGTAATTTAATACCCTACAGTAAAGGAATATGTAAATTGACAAATGAAATTTTACTCTGGAATACAGTGTAACTTTTTTTTCAGAACGCCCAAATTATTACAGGTAATGACACTTGATAACAGCCGACTAATTTCTAATCACGTTTACTGATACCACTGTATTTTATTTAACAATGAACCATAAGAGAGATCAGTGACAACACTTTTATCACCAAGGTTTAGAGCACGAGAAGAAAAGCGCACTTTTACGTTCCAAAAGGATTACTTTGTTTTATTTCCGAACGCATGGCAGAGGTACGTCAAGCAACTACGAACGCTAAAATTGTTACAATGTTGTACAAAGTACACTTTGTAACAATTTACGAACGCATCCCTGTAGAAGCAAATTTAGTATTCCCAGTGCTGCTTTCCAGTGGTTTTTGGTTTGAGAGTGATACGCCCTCGAACTGCGTCAGAAACAATGCATGAGAATACAACGTGCAGTCTAACGGTATTTGTGCTTGGCACTACTGCGTTACTCCCAGTTACTGAACAGGGTCACTGGAAAACAGCTCACAGTGAGTGACATATACTTGGTTACGCCACTGACTATCACACACACGATGCTGCTATTATGCGTTTGTTGGTGTCTATCTAGTGAATAATCCATCTATGCAAGTTGCTGTTTTATGACAAATAACCTCAATGAAAAATTAGAAGTGTCATAAATTTTAGGGCCGTCGACCGTGCCCGGACATCCGTCAAAATTTCTGGTGGAAATAACTTTCAAATTTAAAATGATTTTATTTTTATGACAAAACGTGACATTGAATTCAATTTTTTTGACGTTATCACTTTCAGATGTCCTTGGCTATCATTTGAAAATAATCCGCAGTGCCAGTTCTCACAATGAGATTCATGAACTCCTCAGCTATCTAATTTAAATTAAAGAATTGTCCCCTCCAGTGCTATAATTCATAATAATTGTACTGCATACTCTGCAATTTTTCTGATTTAACAGAACGTGCATACACATCGCCATATACATTGGTAAGTCCCAACAAGGAATATACATACATGACCCTCTAATATATTAACTTAGATACACATATATGTGGTATAATACAGATACTCTCAGCTAAGCAGAAGAATATCTAGTAGATGGTATAGCTTAAGTATTATTCAATATTAAATAGAAGAAAATAAGTAGAAAATGATCTTTTATTTTCCATTTTTATTCTATTATGCCCAATGGCTTTAAATATTATATCTAACATGTTAGGCGTGTGTCATGTAATTTTCTAAAGCTTAAATACAGTTTTCTCTATCAAGAAAATTACCTATGGTTTTTAAGTTTGGATATAAAATTCTTGACATTATATTCCATAAGAATCATAATTGCAAGTTCAAACTAATTTTGGCACCATCAGCCAGTTCTAAACTATATTTTTCCTGTGTTGAAAACTATAAAGTGCCATTATCTTTTGATCAGAACACTTTATTCATGTTTAATCAGATAGACCTTTTTATTGTTTGAATATGTCTGAATGGAAATGTTTTGCTATAATCAGATAAAAGAATATTGTTCTAGATAATGTTTTCTTGTCCAATTAACAAAAGCCTTGTTATCAAAACAAAATTATGTAATATGTCTTATTAAGTATCCTTACCTCATCAAAATGTGTAAATGTAGTTTAATTAAGCAATAACCCATATTAGTTATCAAAAACAATCAATTGGTTCAATTATAATATTTATGATAAATTAATTTTTTACAGTTTTATTAGAGAAAGTATCTGTGATATTTGCTACCTAAGATGTCTTATATAATAGATGCATTAGAACCATATACAGATGTGGTAGCACAGGTAGCCAGTATTGTCACCATAGCTCATATGTTCACTGGAGTCTTACTATGCAGGGATATTTATAATAAAAAGTCAACTCAAGGAACCCCTGCTATGCCCTTTATTGGTGGTATTGCAATGTAAGTATAAAACATGATAATGATTATCTACAAGCATTCAAGTAACTTAATCATGTCTGATTGATTAATTTAGGTTTTAGGTGAATTTTGAGCTTTGTTTATAACCACAAAGATGTAACAATTGTTTATTCAGATATTTTTATAGTTAAAAATTCCACAGCATTTGGAAAGCACACAGATATAATAATAAATGTCTACAGGGTTATCCAAATTAAGTGTCCACCATTGGTAACTTTGTTATTAGTAAAAATACAAAGTTGTTTAAATTAGCAAACTAGTAGCATTTTTAACGCTGGTAAAAATGAGAAATAAAAAAAAACAATTGAGAGTCGTTATTTTGATTTTTTTCAGTAAAGTAACATTTTTTTAAATGGAAACCCCTGTATATTATATTTATTTCTGTTAAAGCATCAAATTTTAAACAAAAAAGTTCATAATGACTTTTCCGCTAAAGTCAAAAATAAAGTCAAAATAACGATAAATATTTTTAATTATTTGCAGTATTATAATATTAAGACGGCTATGAAAACAACATGGCGTTCGCGATTTGACAGCATTAAGATAAGCGACAAATTGTTAAACTGGACATACTCGCAACTAGAAGGCTTTGGAAAACAATGATAAAATCAAATAATGTCAAACATTAGTGTAAATACTTGTTTATAAGCTTTATTGTGTCATTAATTTAAAGAAAAATGTTCTCCCATGAAGAAAAGTGTGATATGTTAGAATGCTATTTAGTGTGCAGAAAATCCTCCTTGAGAGCAAGAGAATACTACAGTGAATTATATCCCGCTCGCATTCAACCGTATGAACGATATTTTCTGAGACTTTATCGAAAATTTAGGGGCAACGAAAATGTTTTTGCTAAAACAAGGGCAAAAAAAGAATTCATAATAAGCGAGGCCACCGAAATTGCAGTTATTGGATATTTTGAAGCTTATCGTGAGAATTCAATAGCAGATATTCTCAAGGACTCTAATTTCAGTTATGGTACTGTTCAAAGGATTTTAAAAAAATACAAATTTATTCCGTATAAGTACCGACCAGTTCAAACGCTTTTGGCAGGGGATCCAGAGAGAAGACTTGTTTTTTGCCATTGGTATCTTAGCTTCTGTCGCCAAAATGTAAATAACTTTCGTTACCTTTTATGGACAGATGAATCAAATTTTTCAAATTCTGGAATGTTTAATAGAAAAAACCACCATTATTGGTCAAGAGAAAATCTTTTGTTAGTACATCCAAGAGGCCCACAAGTCCGTTTCAGTTTCAACGTTTGGTGCGGTATAATTGGTTCAAAAATTGTTGGCCTGTTCTTTTATGAGGGAACCCTAACTGGTGAAAGGTATGTGGAATTTATGTCAGAAATTCTGACTAATTTCTTAGACGAATTGGATCTTATAAGTAGACATCATCTGCATTTTCAGCAAGATGGCGCACCTGCCCACAAATCCAGAGGTACTTATCATTTTCTAAGTACTACTTTTAATGATCAATGGATAGGAACAAATGGCCCAATACAGTGGCCTCCCAGATCACCAGATCTAAACCCACTTGATTACTTCTTGTGGGGTTACTTAAAGAACCAAATTTACAAGCGAAGGTACGATAACCTTGACGCGTTAAAGACTGCAGTTAGGGAAAAGATAACCCAGATAGATGGTAGGACCATACTTAAGACAGTTCGAGCAGTTGAAAAACGTGCCCAAAAATGTATTGAAGAACAAGGTGGTGTTTTCGAGCATCTTCTTTAAAAAAAATTGTTATTGTATTTTGTAAGATTATAAGTTGGTGTTGAAAATAAAGTTTGTCGATACAATTTAATTGTTTCAGATTGGAGGCCATAACTTCAACAATTTGTAACCTAGGAGAAAAGTTATTGTAAGCTTTTTTGTTTAAAATTTGATGCTTTAACAGAAAAAAATATAATATACAGGGGTTTCCATTTAAAAAAATGTTATTTTACTGAAAAAAATCAAAATAACGACTCTCAATTGTTTTTTTTTATTTCTCATTTTTACCAGCGTTAAAAATGCTACTAGTTTACTAATTCAAACAACTTTGTATTTTCACTAATAACAAAGTTACTAATGGTGGACACTTAATTTGGATAACCCTGTATATTAATGCACATCAGTGAGATAAAGTTTAGCAAAAGGCTTACTGAGATCTCCAAGTAATTTATCCCCACTCCCAAAATTTGGTTGTGCATGATTAATAATAATAGCTTTTATTTCCGGTTACAAAAAATATACATTGGCCTTAAAAAATCTTGAAAAGATAATAAATACAGGGTATTAACATTTACCCTAGCTAAGAGCCAATTATCAATAATTCACAATTGTAATAATAATGTAATGTATTTGAATCTCTTAAAAATTTAATATTTTCTAACATCTGCTAAGTCTCCAGTGCTATGTCTTTCATCTCATATTTCGAAGATTAACTGTTGTACTACACTACATTCAAATTATTTATCAAAATTCCAAACAGACTTATTGAGCTTAATAAGAGTGCAAAGTCAATCTAATGAACACCATTTTTTTAAATAGCTGAAAATCAGTTTTATTATTTTACACCCTTTCACTGATAATCTAGTAATCCATTGGGGAAATTTTGTTATGCTCTTGTTGTCAGTATTTGATCAGGCAGATCCCTGTTTCATAGCTAATAACTCAGTTGGATATGGAATGGATATTTTATGATAGAGTACTTAGCTATTAGATGAAGTTCTTCCATAAGTAAGTAAAAGTGCCGACCGTCTGTATGTCCGCTAATCCTTGGTTCATCTATAACAGGGAAAGTATTTTGACGAAATTTTCAGACAAGGTTGCTATTGTGCCAAGGACGAAAAAGAATTGTGGTTTTTGAAAATCGGTCCATGCTTAGCGGAGCTAGGGAAAAAGAAAACGAAAAACAACAATCGTTCGTACTTGGTTTTTCGACGTCGCAGAGGCTTATGATCATTTTCAGAATTTTTTGAAGCAGTTAAAAATTTGGGATTGTTGAGGCCATGGGGGGGAGGTGGAGGGGTGTCCCTGGAAGGTTTATATCAATTTTGTGACTTTAAGGCAGAGGTGGTTGGTTCACACTTTGTGCTTGGTTCATAGCATTTTATTGACCAAATGCCCTACATATTTAAATAATAAACTATCTTTGAGAAGTCAACATCATGCGGCAATCCTCCGCTTCGTTGGTTACACCCTTAACACGCCCTATCATAGAACCACCCTATTTACTAAGAGTTTCTCTTTTGCTGCACCATATCTCTATAATAAGCTCCCTGTCAGCTTTAAAGTTTTACTAGTGGCACATTTTAAGTGAAAGTTGTTTTTGAAAATATGTCATAATTCTTTATATTGTCTAGTTTTTAACTTGTGTAATAAATAACGTATCTGCTAGCTGTGACTATATCTAATTTTTTGGGTCGAATTAAACTTTTCCCTATTTTTATTCTTTGTTGTTCTTCATCACAACTGTATACTTATTCTCAATCTCCACATGTATATTTTAGCATCTTGGTGTTAGCTGTGAGTTACTCTTAATAGGTTTATTATTATTATTTATACAGGGTGGAGCATCGAAAACGAAACAGACGCATTTACTGGCAGCTCAGATTTTTTTTGGAAAAACGCTCGGATCCGTCGATTTTGTTTCCGAGGGGGCCACAAGTTTGGCAAAAAATCACGTTAACACGTGTGACACAACACACAACCCTAAAATCTTAAATGGAAAATACATGAGCTTCAGTTCAATAGTTTTGAAGATTTGTTGATTTAAACCTTAAAGTAGACTTTAATAGGTACATCAGATTAGTTTGTACAACTTTCAGAAGAAATTTGACTAAAACAATTTACTTAATAAGTAAATGCTTTTCTTCACTACGCCCATGGTTTGTTTTTGTTGTTGAAAATAGCTATTGGAGCGTTTTTTTGTGGCAAAAAAGTTATTTCTTGAAGAAAGATAAGGAAAGATCTGGTACTTATTTTAAATAGGAATTTAGCACATAGTTAACAAACTTTGTTGCTAAAATAACTTGTAACGCTTTATTACATAAATTAACCATGCTATATTCCACAGCAGAAAGAGTTGAAATTATCGAAATATTTTTCGGAAATAATCATTGCGCTAATATAACAGCAGAAATATTTAATGAGCGACATGAGAACAGTAACGTGCATCGAAAATATGTTCTAGAACTCGTAGCTAAATTTCGGGAAACTGGGTCAGTCGCCAATAAAAAACGCAACATTGAAGATCCCATAAGGAACGAAGAAGTGGGGGTTTTAGGACAAGTTTATTGAGATCCTACGTTAAGTACCCGCAAATTGGAGACTGTGTGTGGAGTTAGTGGACGTACTGTCCAACGGATTCTGAAGGCCCGTCGTTTTCATCCGTATAAAATTTATCTTAATGAAGACGATTTTGATCGGCGATTACAATTTTGTGAAGATATGAGTGAACGAATTATAAACGATGAACATTTTCTATTCAACACTTGCTTTTTCGACGAATGTTCCTTTTTCTTAAATGGCGTAGTAAATCGTCATATCTGCGATATTGGTCCGATTCTAATCCCAGAATTTATCATGAGGTTCATATACAGCAGCTACAAAAATTTAATGTTTGGGCTGGTATTTTTGGCGATCATTTAGTTGGTCCTTTTTTCTTACCTGGAAATTTGACTGGTGAAGTGTATTTGGAATTATTGGAAGACGCCATAGATCCTGCATTAACAGCCATAATTGAAAATCAGAATGATCGGCGGTACATTGCGAATAGGTTGATGTTCCAACAGGATGGTGCCCCACCACATTACGCATTACGAGTTCGAAAATATTTAGATCAGACGTTTCCAGATCGATGGATTGGTAGAAGAGGTGCCATTGAATGGCTCCCAAGATCGCCAGATTTATCACCATTGGATTTCTTTATGTGGGGTCATTTAAAAAGCAAAATCTATGCTACTCGGCCAACATCATTATAAGACCTGCGACAAGGAATTGTGAATGAGTGCCTTCAAATTACTCCTCAAATATTGCAAAATGTGTGTTTTGAGCAAAGTCTTTATTATTGCATGGAGAGTCATGGTGGCCATTTTCAACATTTACTTGCCTAACGGGTCAGTTCTTTCTTCATTTTTAAATTACTTTGCTGTCAAATGGATTGATCTCCACTAATGATGATGTATTAGTTTTATTTAAGCTTTAAATCAATAAATCTTCAAAACTACTGAACTGATTATTGCCAAACTTGTGTCCCCCTCGAAAACAAAATCGACGGGTCTGAGCGTTTTAAAAAAAAACTGAGCTGCCAGTAAATGCGCCTGTTTCGTTTTCGATGCGCCACCCTGTATATTCACATTGTGAATTTCCTCAAAGTTTGTATTTTAATTTTGTTTGGCTGGTTGCTATGAAAAGCAGCTTTCAGCTGACACCCCCCAGGGTAAATAAAAGCTATTATTTTTATTATTATTTATACATTTCTCTCGGTCTGTAAATTAAGTAGTGATTCAAATATAGTTACAATTTTATATTCTGAGCGCAGCGCTGGAGACGGTTCTTCCACTCCTCATAGCACCTGGACAGTATGTTTTCGACTGTCCCAAAATGAGTTCCCTTGCGTTGATTTTTCAACTTCGGGAAGAGAAAAAAGTCACGAGACTTCAAGTAGAGCGATTAAGGAGGCTGAGGAGCCACATGATCGGTTAAAAACTCGTTTATTAACATTGCTGTGACACAAGGAGCATTATCGTGATGCAATTCCCAGTTGTTCTTGATCTGATGAAGGGTGGTGTCAGTCAAATTTAACTCTTCCCGGATCATTCTGATATCTATCTAATATCTGTCGATATTTTTATCGTGGTTCATCTTCAATCGACCTTCTCCCTTCTGAAAATGTCTTAAACCACTGAAAAACCTGTCTCTCTTCCAAGCCCGGTGCCTCTAGTGTTGTCAGATCGAACGCTGCGTTGCCGGTCTCATCACTTAATTTACAGACCTCGTACCTGCATCTTGGTCTGACTGCAGTGGCTAGCGAGCGGCGAGGTTAATCATTATTACGTTGCCCGATCGTCGTGCTACATTATGTGAATCTACTTGACGCCATTTTTTTAGGGGTGCTATGGTATTGAAGCATGGCTTGATCCTAAACGACACCGCTATGCTGCAAGTGAACACTGTAGGTATCATACTGAATTTGGCATATATTGGTGTATATTACCATTACTCTAAAGACAAGTACAATGAAGTTCTCAGACCACTTGGAATAGCTGTAGCTATTGTTTCTGTGGTTATTGGATATGCCCATGTGGAGAGTGCTGATAAAGTCGAGTTCAGATATGGAATGGTCGTCACAATACTCATGCTAATGTTGCTTGGAGCACCACTACTAGATGTGGTAAGTGGTTGAATACCAATACAGAATGTTGTTGAGAAGTTGTAAAAACGGATCATTTTCAATCGTATGATTATACGGACCATTTAAACGGCGCTTATAAACCTACAAAGCATGGCGAAACGTAAGTGAAATGCTCATAGAGATTGCGGCAGGTTATATCATATTTTTCAATGCGCAGATGTCATGTTCAATATGTCCACTACATTTTCGAGAGAAAAATCACCCTTAGCGAAAGGATTGGCTTCATACATCATACACTTAGTAGTTTAACCTCCTATCGCTAGTCTTCGTGGTTCGATGCTATCTTGACAAGTTAGCTTAAGAGAAATGTATCATAAAGTACAGTGTATATCCAGAGCCACAGATAAATAACATTCGAGTTACTTTTTTCAATGATCTGTTGGTCCCCGATTTCTTACTCCAAAACATAAGTGAGCACTTATATAATACCATATAATGTCAAGGGCGCTCATTGAGCGGAAGGCGCGCGACATTGTCACTCGACAATGTTTGACTCACTCCTACTGCGTCGAACATTATTTATTGTTATTTCCGCGAGGCGCAAATTGTTTCCCTTCATCTCGATGGGCGTGCACCTTAATGCATGACAGGCTATCTGATCCTCCCATTCGTGGAATTGCTTCCGTCTGAATCAGGTTTCGTGAGTTTGCCTCTGATGTCATCGGGAGAGAGGCTAGTGACCGCCCACGCTCGGTATCAATCACGTTGGATTTTCAGTCGAGATCGAGGCAGATCGTAATCCGCATTTGCAATGTAAGGTATGTATGTAACCGCAGGTTGCTGATTCAGTGTCGAACCCGTGGACTTGAACTCTTTGACCCACGATCTGATCACACTTTCACTAGGATATTGATTTAGATCATATAAACTTAACTCAGAGCAATAGTGGACGAATCTCCATTTTTGTGAAAAGCCTTAACACAGAACGCACGCTTCTCACCGGTGACACGCTCCTGTCGACCGAATTTCCGATCACCAAGATACTTATCCCCACTACCTGTGTCCGTGTCACGAGCAATGAGGTTTTGAAATTCGTACGTCTTTCTGGTCCACCTTGTATATCAGATTTTACTCCGAACTCTAAGCACAATTATCAATCGGAAGATCCTTCTTGGTCGGCTTCTTGAAATAAACTGAATCGTGATCGCGTGAACTGTTGACCCTCGCCGTTTCGCTTTTCACTCGTCACCAAAGACTCAACCTCCAAATTCACAATTATTGCGAAGACTAAATTTTTACTTCATTTTCAGAGAAACATTATCGAGAAAAAGGATGCGTCGTCGATTATTTTTTCTCTAACTGTAATGGCCGCACTAGTGACGTTTCTATGGTTGTTGTATGGTCTTGTCATCAAGAATGCATTCATCATAGTAAGTATACAATAGTAGGGTACATACGCATAGTAGCTCGCTTACCTTGAAGTATTAGATACCTGAAATATATCAAAAATGAATTATGCAGTAAAAACAACGAGCGACTACTTTTCTTATGTGGTCTGTTCTAATGAAATGGAGCAACTGAAAGTGGTGAGGGTCGATGTCAATTCATTTGGAGATACCGTCAATGTCGTCTATAAAATCCTACTAGAAGATTCTATGTTTTTTTTGCATCAGGAATATGAAATATTTTTTGTTGTTTCAGTTCCAAAATGGAGTCGGCTTCACGCTGTGTTCCATCCAGCTGTTCCTACTGTTCCTTTATGGAAAACCAGCAGGTCAGAAAAAACGAGCGAAAAGATTAGCAAAAAAAGAGTGACCCATAGGACAATTTTCGGTTATATTACAAATTGTATTTATTTGCTTCTTTTAATTCCAGATCATTCCGATTGATCGATTGTTGTACACGAAACAAGCAGTTGTTCAAGACATGTGGCTGTTAACTTGTAAAGATATTTTTTAAGAAATTTTTTATATTGTAAAATATACGATTTGGTTGCCAGTTATTTGTTTTATTTCAAATATATCACATTACAGTGTTTTCTCGTCAAGGCGATATCCAACATGTTTCAAAATAGCATACTCGACTAGAGTTCCAAATAAGCTATTACTAAAGATGTAAGAGATAGGATTTTATACTTATTTTATTTATAGATACAAAGTTCATCATATTGAAAAAAAAATACACATCAAAATACATAATCTTCATCAACCCTATCGTTAGGGATCCAATCACTTGGAAGTGACGCTATTTGGAGCAACACTATTAAAAAGCCTATCTTTGATCATCTGGGCCATCAATCCATGGATGATCTCAATAGTAGTTTTGCAACTGTCTTTTGTGGCTTTGAGTAGTTTGTCTTCTGTCCTCTTTTCGTGGGGATCTGCACCGCCGACTATAAACCCTCCACGACCTAGTTAAAAAAAGTGGTTAAGGGGAGGCTATATAAACCCTATTTCACGAGTATTCATCACGTTTTGACGTCTACTGAGGTGAACAGCTAATAAAACTTGCTTGTAGCGTTTTTTTATATGCAAATTAACTTTTAAAAAGAATTTGTAAGCAGTACAAATAAAACAAAACAAAATACGTCTCTGTCTATCTGGGGTTGACGGATCCGTCAGAATTATGTCCTTTATGGATACCAGTGAAAAAGTCAATAGATTATGACTGACAACGCTGATTGGTCATATAGACAATTCGAGGTTAGAAAAAATTGAATTGCAAGCATACCCCATTTCACGAATATCTATCACGGTAGAATGACAGCCGATTATCTAGTAATATCTCAAAATTCCCCATATCGGCACAGGACACATAATTCTGATGGATCCGTCAACGCCAGGTAGACAGAGCCGTATTTTGTTTTGGTTTTTTGTACGCTACAGATTCATTTTGTAGTTGCTAAAAGCTCTTTTATTTAGAAAAGTTCATTTGCATACAAAAAACAAAACTCCCCAAACAAGTTTTACTAGATTTATACCCGATTCATTATTGCCGACATTGCAGATTGTCACTTGCTGATCAGATGTTCACCTAGTAGACGTCAAAGCGTGATGGATACTGGTCAAATAGGGTATACGTTATCTTTTGTTACTAAACTGAATCGTGTAAAATTCTGCGTAAGGCCTTGAAATTTAAATAGCTACTGGATGACATACAGGTTTTAAAAATAACTTCTGTTTTCATGAAATTATAAATCGCATTTTTCGCGGGTGCTACGACGATTGGTCAAATGAGCAAGATCTTTTTTCTATTTCAACTTTGCGCCACTGTTTATTAGCATTTTCAGGAAAACTATAAACATACATAACATACATACATTGAAATCCAAATTGGTCTGACGGCTTGAGTTTGTATAGACAGATATGTTAGAAAGGGATAGAGGCCAGCTGGATATCGAAGCTCATCGCCACGTTGCTTAGCTCTTCTGCCGACTTTTATCTCTTTCTAAGATGTGTTGATACACGCGCTTCTCTTGTACACATTGAACTGAAGTCGTTAGACAAGTTTAGTTTTCCCTGTATAAGCAAGCGATAATTATGCATTGTAATGAAAAACCCACAGAAACGCGCATAATTATTCATCACTTATATGTAATTTTGTAGTTTTCCTGAAGATGCTAATACACAAAGCTTGAAATAGAAGTGCTAAGTCGAAAAGCACCGGTGAAAAGTGTTATTTATAACTTTATGGAAACAAAAGAGATTTCCAAAACATGTATGCCATCCTATAGCTATTTATTTCCACTGGAAACAGCAACAGAAGAGCGAGTTCTGGGACTAACAGAATAGCATTGATACAGAAAATCTGTTAGGGACTATTCACACCAAAAGAAACTCGATTTCGACTTCGATTGCGTTGCCTTTGCGTGCCCATTGTTGCAACTACCTAGCACCTGTCAGTTTTTTTTGAGGTTATGATTGAATGAAATGCGAATGGCTTTCGCGGCCATCATTCAGTGTTATTTGGTTGGTTTTTGGGTTCTTAGGCCGTCGTAAAATATTTTTATTTGACAATTTCAACCACTCATATTGGCGAAACCTCAAATAAAAATATGTTATGGATGAAGCTATATACTTTCATTACTAATTTCTTGTTCAGTGGAAAATAAGCTGAACTATTTTTGGCAGGGATGTTCATGTCATGATCTGAGGCTCAGTTGCTGGTCCTGGTCTTCTGTCGATGTCTCTGCCTGGAACATTGCCTCTAGCAGCAACGAATTGAACATGCTATACCCAGATGTTCAAGAATAAAGAGTACATAACAAGGGTGTTGAGCAACGTGAAAGAATTCTGATTTTGTAAAAGAGAGCTCAAAAGAACCTTGTTCATGCAACATTGATTCTGCATGCACAACTGTCGATACTTAATTTCTAATTTTCACTGAAAGTGTATAAAATTTACCAATTGCAGCTTCAGACTGCTCCAACTTCTCAGAAAGGTCGAAAATCTGCCCAGTAGTATAGTCAGCATTGGTAAGTAGACTAGATGAACTGAGAGTGTTCACCCAGTATTTATTCCATAGGGAGTCGAGCAGCCTTCTATCCAAAGCCGACTTAAAATAGGAAACCTCCAAGGAATAGTACTGTTTACAGTGAACACCAAAATCTTCAATTTTGTTTAAAGGAATTGTCTGATACTCTGAGGGTTCCTCATTTGCTGGTTTATATCCCTACAATGACGACAAAAATGTACCATCAAAATGATGATAAATATTGCACTTTACGTGCGTTTATTGCACCATTTTCAAGTTATGGGTTAAAAAGAACTGAGAATCATATCAATAATGTTATCGACATATATTTTAAGAGAAACAGGTATTGTTAAAAAAACTACATTTTTGGCTAATTCCTCAATTTCAATAACTTTGCCAGTCAATCTTATATTAATGTTAGTTTTAATATGATTTCTTAGGCCCGTATCGTCAGTCGTCCCTACAATTGTAGGGCGCCTTTGTGGCCTCCTTGATTGTCATAGTTTTCTACTTCTCCGTGTCAGCGCTCTATTTTAAGGTTATGTCACAAACATCTATTTGCATCAAATTGTGCTTGCTTTTGAGTTATATCATGTTTTATCAGCCTGAAATTTCCTACAATTTAAAAAGAAAACATATACAATAGGAGAGCGCTGACGCTGACGGGACAAGTGTAATCTAGAAATTTTTGAAGGAGAGAAAGCAGTATGACAATCAAGGAGGCCATAAACGCGCCATACAATTGTAGGGATGACTGACGATACGGGCCTTAGTCCTTTAGGAGCAACAATTAATATAGATTTAGATGATTTAACTGAATATTATGTTCAGTGGCATAAGTTTCAATAGATTTCAAATCTGTTCTGAATTTCAACAGTATTGATCAAGCCTGAAATAAAATTGTGATTCATCTGCAAAAAAACGAATATTGCAGGATATATCCTGCATTTAAACATACTTACTTTAGGATAGGTCCTAAAAGCTCCTAAACATACTTTTCCTGCAGATATTGTTCTGACTGGGTCAATAACAATAGCAACAAATGGCTCTTGAAAGTTTTGATTAAGCATTTGTGTACTGACATCAATTCCTGATAGCCAACAGCCATAGCCAGGATGGCTGTGATACCACCCTATTGCATTTTCTTGTCTTCCAACCTTAAAATATAAGATAACATAAGAAAATATAAGAAAAGATCTTAAGGCATAAGTAGAAAAAGTAGTCTTAACACAAGGCAGACCATGCACATTCAAATAAAAAGTAATCTATCTGGGTAAATCCAGACATGTTCAAATTTTTTTACAAAAGTTGAATCTATGGCCACTTTTTTACATATTTGCAGGCAACCCTCAATTTTTTAATAAACAAAAGAAGTAAAAATAAATAGGCTCTTTTTCCTAAATATTTGTGGTAATTTAAAAAAAATCAGCTAAGGCTATCTATTAATATGGTTATAAGAATTAATATTAGACTACAAATGGAAGGGTTTAATGTAGAGGAATATTACAAAATTCTTAAAAAAATTTTTTAGACAAAAAATCACTGCTTTCATTCAAACTGTTTGCAGCCCAAAAAACAGACAACTTATGCAATAACTACAGTAATTTTATTGCAAGCCATGTTACAGTTTTCATTAAAAAAATGTATGAACTTCTCTCCATTACTTTCATAGACCTGAGATTCTAGGTTGTAACAAAAAAAAATTAATGAACTATGTGTGTACGGTTTACTTAGGGGCAAATGAGGGCACTGTGGAGTCTTAAGATCTTAATAGAACTAAGACTTGGGCTATGTTTTTTCGAACTACTCACTGTAGAGCAAATTTTCATAATTCAATTTGTCTTAATGGTACAACAATAACAGTGTCTGACAATACTAGATTTCTTAGTCTTTAATTAGATAGCTACTTCAGGTGGGACAATCATATAAGATACATATGTTATTCTATAAGAATTATTGCTAAATATTTGGATAGAAAAACATTGAAAGTTGTGTATCACTCAAATTTTGAATCTAGATTAAGGTATGGAATTATTTTATTTTTATTTGGAAGCTGTAGTGACTGATGGAATTTTTTTAATACAAAAGAGAATATTGAGAAATATTTTAGGTTTGAAGTCGAATGAATCATGTAGAGGCAAATCAAGCAATTCGGTATATTAACAGTTTTTGGAGTGTTAATTCAAGAATGCCTCATATATCTGTTTAAAAATAAGCGAATGTTAGTTAATGAGCCTTCAAGTAACCATACTAGAGTTTTGACAGATTTGAATATGCTTTGAAGCAAGATTTTAACCTTAATTTTGTTTGGTTGATACTATTTGTATGACAAGTGGTATTCAGCTGTTGTATAGCATTTGTATTTGTAAATAAAGATTATTGTTATTATATAGAACTTGTTGTAAGTGAATTAAATCAAGCTTGCCATTTGAAGAGTCAGTTTATCTATAGATCTTTTCATGCTTGTTGTTTGGTCACAGTAAAACCTTCCTCACACATTCATCTCAATTGGCATATCTGCTATGTAGGGAGCTACCTGTTTTTAGATTTGTTTCACACTGTGTGTTTTGGAATCTGTAAAAGCTAGACATTTACTAATCTCTGAATACTTATACATCTGCAGTGTTGACAGCCTGTATTATGTTTATGGCATTTTCAGAAGCTGAATGGAAACAATGGACTTTTATCAGCTGTTTTAAAGATCAGGTTACTATTTGAGGTATTTCAATGTTTATAAATTAGTATCACGTTTTATTGCTTTGTTTACCAGTTTCGCTGCTTCAATGTAAGAACTCATATATTCATAAGCCTGTGCCTGGGCATTCACTCTAGTCTCTGTTCCTTCAACTGGAAGGGCAAAAGAGTCCATGACATACATTGTGTTCCCATCAACTTTGCCCAAAATCAACCCCATGACTTCCAGAGTTCCACCGGATCTTGCATGCATCACCATCTTTAGTAGAGCCAACGCTGATATCTTTATGTCTTTGAAGAAGTGAGGACTAAAACGACAATTTTGCTTAGTGTATGCATAACTTTATGACGACGTGAACATACTCTTTCTCCCATGGTTTAGCAGCTAGAATATCCTGTTGCTGTTTTTTGTCGTAACGATAGATTTCGTCCACCGAGCTCACCACTTCTACATTATTGGCCATTTCCCAGTTCTTCTGGGCTGTTTGAGCCTGCGACTCGGGTTCACTTGAGGATCCTGGCTTCGACATAGCTAGGATTTTAGTTGATCAACAATTTTTAACAGAAATCACAAATATAAGAGAAAAAGTTGCTATTGTTTTCACTTTTCTGTCTGCTATTCAGTACTTTGACAGTGACAAATGACACGTAATTTTTCACAACACGATTAATCTTATGCAACACATGATGCACATGATACAATTTTCTGGCTACGTGCAGATGATTCTATAACAAAGATAACACGATTTCAAGATTATTAAACAACTTTTGCATAATTAAACAATTTAAACACATATTAGTATTGATATGAACTTTATGAGCAATATTAGCCGACTTATTAATTTTAAGTTGTTTCCTATCCTAATCCCCACAGAATTCGTGAAGAAATCTAGGTCTTCTTTGTATCGTAGTATCGACCAACGTTATCAAATTACATTCAAGTGTATAAGATAACCGCATGTTACGTTACGAAAAAAGTTCACACAGTAACTCAGTAACATTGGTCTGATTCGATATATTTTCTAGCATCATCTCCTCAATGCCAGAACCATGTAGTGCAAACCGCATCATTTCCGCATAAAAAAAACTTGAGGGGCATCTTTTTTCACGTACGACTTCTTGCGGCAAAGAGGAATGGATTTGATTTTAGAATGGCAGATCCAACAATTCAAACGTTTTGCTGCCACCCAGCAAATGGTACAGATGTAGCTCTAACCATAATGGATGAGTTCAATACGGACACATACAACTGTGTCTGCATTTTTTCATCTGCGATGGGGATTTTGGGTGCTATCTATCAGGTAAATCAATGTTTATCTTTTTTGTTTGCATTGGCAAACAAACTTGTATAGTTGCTTTCCTCTGCGTTGCCTCATCTCTCACGAACTGGACATTTTGTATCAAGAATTTGAACTGCAATAATTCTTTGATATGCTAAAATGACATCCTCCTCGCCCTTTTTGCTTATTAAGGATCTGTCATAGGTACATATGATTTTTTGGATAGAATAAATAATATGGTATTTATGAACGTTTGAATAATGTGTGGTTTATATCTTGGAAGTTTTGGTTTTAATAAACAAAAAATATTTCATATCGTGTCATTTTTGGACCAGTGTTATGCCGGCTACCAGCTTACAATAATTGTATTAATTATTAATGTCATCAGCCGGGAAAATGCGGTGGCATGCCAGCATGGACTTATGCATTAATATTTTCAGATTTTACCCAGAGAAGAATTTTCGAACAATCATAGATGGTTCTCATGTTCTGCACTAAGAGGACGAAGGATCATAATATGGCTGGCTGTTGCCGATCTTTTAGCATCTCTAGGTATTATGAACATTGTCCTAAGATATTTCGCGCATTTAAAAAGTCTTGTTAGGATTAATAGTAGGGATGCACCGAGTGCTAGTGTTTTCATAAACCCAAGGTACATCAAGGTTAAGATATTTGCGTCTTTGAAAGGCCACTTTCTTCTCAAAATTGATTTACTAACCTAACGCATCACAAAAAAACAATTGAGAAGCTTAAACTTTTTTTGAGAGAGGATCGTTATTTTGGCGGTATTTTCAGACGTTTTTTCTAATATTCGAGACTTTGAAAGTCTTGTAACACCTACAGGTATACATTTTTGCCTGAGGAATTCAGTAGCTACAATATTATTTTGGAATTGAAACCATATCTTGACATTATTCATATTTGGAACGTTTTTGATTTTCTTTCCAATCCTTCCTATAATAAATGAACCACATTTGTAAGACATTCAAAAGGTATAGGGTGTTTAGTAGGAAAGTTCACATTTCAAATTTGAATTACGCGGCAACCTTATACGGGAGGAAGTGGGGAGAGATCTTGATCGACGCGTTCGGCGTGAGGGCTAAATAGTCACAATGGAACGTTGGACCGGAGCGCATCGTGCTTTTGCTATCGAAATTTTATACACGATACAACATTCACCGACCAAGAAACGCCTCAACTAAGAACCTATTGGAAAAGTGGATTAAGAGGTTCTGTGAAACCCACTCCTGGCCCCGCACCTACTGTATCAACCGGAGGCAATGTGCGTCGAGTAAGTGATTCGGTCACTGAAAATTCTCGGCGTTCTATACAGAAGCATTCCGCTACTTTGGGAACCCTAGGTCAACGCTGCATGCCACAATGAAGAAAAAAATGGGGTTTCACCCTTATAAAATCCAATCAGTCCATGCTTTAAAGGAAAGTGATTACCTATTACGGAAATCTTGTGCCGAACGGATGTTGAACCTTTTTCCTACGCAGCGCAGACTCGAGATCGTTGTTTTCAGTTGCGAGGTCCATTTTCCCTTAGACGGTTATGTGAACAAGCAAAATTGCAGATATTGGGCACCAACGAATCCAAAAGAGAAACATCAACAACAGCTTCATAGTCCAAGGGTAACTGTTTGGTGCGCCATATCCTCTAGTATACTAAGTGACATATAAATCCGAACACCCAGTTTAAATGGTTTTATTTTAATAAAATTTTGTATAAGTACTTAATGAAGCATAATAAGTAAATGATAAAAATTTCAAAATGCTTGCACTGCTTTAAAGCCCTTTGACCTTTAATAATGTGTGGATGCACCCTGATGTGCTACGCATTCTCCAACGCGCCTAGGCATGCTTCTGATCAGGTGGTCAATGTCCTTCTGTGGTATCTCATTCCAGGCAACCACCAACTCCTCTCGAAGTGCTTCTAGAGTCTGAGGAGGACGTTGCAAATTGAGCAATCTCCTACCCATCATATCCCACACGTGCTCAATTGGGGATAAGTCGGGAGATCTTGGTGGCCATGGTAACAATGTGACATCATTATGTTGAAAGAAGTCTATTGTGACTCTTGCAACATGTGGTCGGGCATTATCTTGTTGGAAAGTTGGATCTGCCAGGGTGTCAAGATCGGGTAAAAGATGGGGTTCTAGAACTTCGTGGATATAACGCTGCGCGTTCATGTTACCTCTGATGAAGATTAACGGTGATCTGGAACCATAAGCTATAGCACCCCAAACCATAACTCCAACAGTGTGATGAACATGTCTTTCAACAAAAAACTGTGGATTCCTCCTTTCACCACGTCGCCTTCTAACCCTGGCACGACCATCGTGCATGCCTAAACAAAACCGAGACTCGTCACTAAAGACAATACTGTTCCCTTCCTGATCCCAGAGTGACCGTTGTCTGCATCACTCAAGGCGATTACGTCGGGGTTCTCGAGTTAAACGGAGGACCCAGTGTGGCCGGTATGAAAACAAGCCAAAACTTCTCATTCGTCGGTAAACACTTTGCATGCCAATAGGTCTTCCGTGTTCTGCAAACCATTCATTTGCAATGGACCTGGTAGTGGAGAAACGGTCCCTTAAGGCCAATAATCTTAGGCGGCGATCTTCACGGTCTGTTGTTCTACGGCGGCGTCCAGTGCCCCTTGCTCTTTGCGTACGGCCTTCTCGAAGCCATGCCTGACAACACCTAATCACAGTGTCTACACTTCTTTGCACTCTAACCGCAATTGCCCGAAAAGAAAGTCCAGCTTCCCGAAGTCCCACTATACGGCATCTATCAAACTCACTAAGTTGACGAAATCGTACAGGTCTCCGTACTCTAGGCATCGTAACCGATCGTAAAGGATGTCAAGAACCAAAATCCGCCAACGTTGATTCTTTACTGCGGCTGAAATATTCATTTTTAGAGCGTTAGTGAATTAAAAAAAAGCAGTATAAAAACCGGAATGTCCAATTGATAAGGCTGAAAATTTTTTCACTTGTTATTTACGGTAATATAAAAACATTCACCAACTTTTATTAAAATAAAACCATTTAAACTGGGTGTTCGGATTTATATGTCACTTAATATATTATTGAGCCGTGTCTTTGATGATGAAAACGGTCATGCATTGACAGTCAATTCCGAGTGAAGGACATGATTGACACTTTTTTTTGCTCCTATTGTAAGAGCGAAACGTCGATTTAACAGAAACACATGGTTTTAACAGGATAGGGCCACTGCCCATACTTCCAGAGAATCGATGGATACGGTGAAATCACTTTTTCCTGGAGACATTCACTGGCCTCCTAGGTCACCCGACCTCACGCCATACGATTATTTTTTGTGGGGTTATCTAAACTCAAAAGTGTATTCCAATAATCCACAAACATTGGAGGAGCTTAAAGACAACATTCACGAGAAATAAACATCACTCCGGAACTCTGCAAGCTTGTGAAAAAAAAAGTAAGCTACGCAAATATCGTGAATACACTAGCTTCCTGGAGAAGACTGTCGATCTTTTCTAAAAGAATCATCCAAATCATTTCCCTTATTTCAGCAAAATTTGCTGTAACCTTGGCTACGAGCATTTTTTTATGACGCGTTAATTTTTTATTGAGAACATATCAAGATTTGCGAAAGGCATATGAGCTATTTTGCTCATTTATAAGTATTTGATTTACACAAGTTGTGCGTCTTGGATTTAGACCGAGTAATTTAATACTCTGCAAAATCGGGTACTGAGCAAAATGGGCTGAGTACTGGGCGTATCCATAAAAAAACTATATATACGAGTCCGGTCAGATAAGTACTCAGCATCTCGTAGTCTTGTTTTGACCGCGCGTGGAAGCGAGCGTGTCCGCGGATTTTAGGAAAATGGAAAAAGAGCAATATCGGTCGGTGATCCAATTCTCTTTTTTGGAAGGGAAATCGCACAGCAAAATCAAAGAGCGCTTGGGTGCTGTGTTCGGTGACCCTTCTCCTTCAATGAAGAAGGAGAAAGGTGATCACCACCGTTTTCTGGAATTCACAAGGTGTGATCTACATCGGCTACCTGGAGAAGGGCAAAACAGTCACACGGCCGAATTATTGGGCAGATTCGACGCCGAATTGCAGAAAAAAACGGCCCCATTTGGCGAAGAAAAAAGTGCTCTTCCACCATGACAAAGTACCGGCTCACACCTCAGCCGAATTAGGTTAAATCCACCGTATTCTCCAGATTTGGCCCCGTGTGACTTCTTTTTGTTTCTAAACTTGAGAAAGTCACTCGAAGGCCTACTTTGCAGACCTCCAAAAAACGTATTTTTCAGACGGCTTAAAAAAGTTGGAGCATCGCCACTTTTCCAAAATTTTCGTTTTTCTTTTGTAGGCCAAGTACTTATCGGACCGTCCTCGTATCTATAAAGTCGCTATCAAACTATTATTCAAATTAAAAACAAATATTTTTTGGTTTTTAGGTGTATTTACGAGAGCTACGTTATGGATAAATTACAAAAATATAATGCCTGCAGTCGATGATCAATCAAGTGTCCTGTTTTGTGCTGTATCTTCGGTAAATATTTACTTTATTTGAGTATTCGCCAATTCCAAAGATCATATTTATTTATTGTAGGTCTTTTTGTAGGCTTTCACACAGTACTTCTACACAGCTACGTGGATATGGACCCTTTGTTATGCGGTAGACATGCGACTGGTACTTAGACAGAAGGAAAGCCGTATAAAATTATACCACCTAGCTGCATGGATTATTCCTGCGATTCTTACAATCACTGGATTATCCCTGCTATATATTCCTGATGCAAAGTAAGCGAATATTTTCAATTATGTTAGACATCTTGATCGTAGGATTTTCAAAATAGTCGAGAAGGACAGATCCCTACAACTTGTCTGGTTTCTGGGCCACCAGACCTGACAGATTAACGACAGACACTGATATTACAGTTACAGTGACTATGACCTAAATGCTAAGGTTCTCTGGACACCCTTGAAGCAAGGACTAGTAGTAGTGAAGACAGATAAACAGGTCGATTTTTTATCAATATATTTTCTTCTTGCATTTCAGCTATTTTTAGGTGCTTTTAAATATCCTTTTTCAGTTGTCACTACGAGTCAAGTTTGAGTCACGCGGTCCTGAGGATACTTCCGAATTACTTTGCAACATATGTACCGATAACTGTGGTTATGATAGCAAATCCTTTGTTATATCGGTATTCTACTGAAGATTTGCAGGCAATCATCACTAGTACAACAGGTAACTTTCATAATAGCAGATCGAATTAATATCTATTTCATAAAAAGTGTCAACGACATTGTAAAATCAATTATTGACGGGGATCCCAACCAATGTCAAATTAGCTCAGATTATAATGCATCATTCAGTGGGTTTAGAACAATAAACATTAATAGTCTCAAGAAGATTATATCAAAAATTAAATCAAATCAAAATAAGAGTGAGATTTTGTCTAAAAATGTGTTTAATGGATGTTTTGATATTATTGGAGCAAGAATATTAATCTTAATAAATTACTGTTTAAAATATGTCGAATTTCCAACAAATCTAAAGTGTTCTACCATAACTCCTATTTCTAAAGTTAAGAATTCTGAGTTTTACACCAATATGCGGTCAATAAATGTTCTGCCTGATGTTGAAAAAGTTTTTGAAGAAATTATTTACGAACAGATCATCGAATTTATTGAGGGAAATAACATTTTAAAGAAATATCAAGCAGGATTCAGGAAGAAACACTCAACTGAAACGGCAACACAAATGGTTTTAGAGGACTGGAGGAGATGTATGAACAATCGAAAAGATACAGTAACAGTGTTTTTGGACTTCAAAAGGGCGTTTGAGGCTATTGACAGCGATAAATTACTTAAAAAATTGCATCACTACGGATTTAAAGGATCTGCATTCAAAATTCTATAAAACTATTTAATTGACAGAAGTCAAAAAACCAAAATTTTATCTACATTATCAAGATCAAAAAATATTTCTGTTGGTATACCACAAGGTAGTAAACTAGGTCCACTAATACTTATTTTATACATTAATGACATTTGTAATATTTTAGATTATTGTAAACTTCAGATATTCGCAGATGATACATTAGTATACATATCAGATGAAAATATAGACACAACTTTAAAAATGCTAAGTTCTGACTTGGCAAAAAGTGGACCCACAAATTAAGAAAATCTCGTGTCCGCATCTTTAGAATATCAAAGATCAAACGACACAAAAATCGTTTTTTGCAAATTTTTCGCTTCCTATTGCTTTAATGTCATTTGCATTTATTACGAATATTATAGAGAATGAAATTCTCTATAACTTTTTATACAAACATTTTTTCATTCATGACCGTTTTTGAGCTAGAGGGAGGAGAACATGCTGCACTTAGCTATTTACAGCATAATGCAAGGTTAACCGTTAATCCCGATAAATAATACGCCGTATTGTACGTTTTTAAATGAAATAATTGTGTACCTAGCTGTATTTTGTTACAATTAGAAAAAATGCTTTTCTGTTGGGACATGCAATCAATAATGCTGATTTCTACGGTTTGTAGTGAACAAAATGAACATTTGTTTCTTTGTTATGTGACTTGAAACCAGAAGGTTGATTCTGAGACACTTTCTGAGATCAGTCCTAAATCGGTAATATTTGTTGACAGGTCAGTTCACAAGCAGAGAAAGAGATGTCATGGATGCTATTAAGATGAAATTTGCTGTGATCAATGTAGTTTTTTATATTTGCTGGGTGCCGAATTTGATAAATGGAATTCTACTGTGGACACTGTGGTTCCATTTGCCAGTTACTTGGATTATTACAATTTGGTACCTTATGGTGAGTATAAAAATCACCAATCAGCAGACACACAGAAACGATGTTTAGGGATGGTCACAAGTTTCGATTTCTCCTCATAACTCTGCTCCACTCAACTCCTCAACTGTTGTCTAAATCATATCACAAAGCATTTTGTTTTCTGAATCATAAAGATCCTAGTTGTATTTTCCAAGTTACATAAGTGTTAAATTTTGTGGACAGATAGATCAACGGAAACGAGTAACATACGGTTTTTCGTGATGTTTCCTGATTTACATGTCAATAAGCACTCAAAAGCCATATAAACCGAATTTTAACAGCTATGTTAAAGTGGGCTCGAACAGTAAATTTTTATTAACGTTTACCGTTTTTATTACATAAAAACGATGTAGTTCGATTACATTTTTCCTACCGAGTTCGGAATTCTTCCATCAGCAGTTCTAATTTTAGGCTCTGCTGAACCCATTGCAAGCTCTTTGCAACTGTCTGGTTTACCGAAGATGGAGCAGCGGGTCAGAACGGGTGATTCTTCCATGGAGGATTTTGGAAAAAGACGGTAGAAGTGAAACAGTATCATCCGAAAGCTTTACAGAAACAATCAGGGAAGAAGTTTATCCACTGTTGCAAAGCACACCTGCCAATAGTGTTAATATGTACAGGAGTATTTCCTCCACTACTTAACCAATTTTGTGTCATATGATGCATAACACATAGTACAGTTTGTGATTATGTGGATGCAATTATGATTTTATTATTGTCACCTTTTGTATCTTTCTTCATGATGTATAAGTGTTGCATTTGTCCATTTGCCAAATGCGTTAAAAACATTTAAAACCTCTAATAAAAACCAACATTGTCTCAATTTATTTTGTACATATAAGTGCTTTTTTAAACTGTTTTTTTATCATAAAATAATTGTGTGCGATGATATTTACATGTTTATCTGAAATATAAAATTTTATATTATCACTGTTTTTGAGTTTATTAACAAAGAAATAGGATTACCATTTGATTTTGATAAATATTTGATTTATGATAATTGGTAGATTACAATCAACTAAGCACTAACTGCAAACAATATGCAATGTCGCACTGCATAGGTTGCGATTAGTATCTTTTACGCTGTTATTATCTCAGTCTCAAGAGATTCTCTCTGCTATTCGTCTCGTTTACGATGCATAGCGAATAGCGACATATCTGGGATATTTTACAGCGCCCTCTCCAGGACATATTCATATGGTAATAGCGAATACCTGCTATTTGGATAATCTTTTCATACCCATCTCTAACAGCAAACATCGCCGGTTTGACATTTAAATGTCAAGTTTGTCAACACGGAGGAAGGAAAGTGTGTTTTCAAGTTTTGAGAACCCGAAAAACAAAAATAATAGCAACAACTTCATACAGTTCTTGCCTTTCGGCGAAAATGAACTTGTTACCACCGTAGACTTAATTGTCAGTGAATAAAATGCTTCGGTTTTGGAAGAAATCACGAAAAAGTACGATACGCAATTTCTATTTGGGAGTGCTCTTAACTGTTGATTTTTTAATAATTGTAGGTCATGAGAAGAATGCACCGAGGACGTCAAGTGAAACAGGTAAAGATCACGATACAGTTGGACGATGCACCTTCAGGGATCATAGAGTTGAAGAAAGGCTGCCTCCATTGGCTGGCATTGATGATGAAGGCCTGTTTGATATAGGTAAGGTTGGCCCTGCTTCACTACAGAATTTAGCAACATCAGGATCGGAGCTTCCTATCATAAACTTGAAAAAGACACAACTACCATGATTGTCCTGGTTGCCCATAAATAGCTTTGGCCTTTATGGTAACATACAACAATATTATGCAGTTTTGATCAGAGTAAAGAAGTTGTATCCTTTTTGAATATCCTGTGGATTTCCATCAGTTGAATACATGTCAAATCTAAATCCCACAACAAGTTAATGACTATTCTAGACTACTTAAACATTGGGTCTTGTAGTTACTCGTTTATGCCCATAACTCCTCCCAATTTAACACCTTTTTGCTTGATCATCAGTCCCACATTTGACCATTAAAACAACATTTTGCAATTCTTTCATATTATCATTTATATTTTTCATTTTAACATTTTCTATATATTTATATCTTCTCTAGTTGTCTTATCATATTGTTGAAATTGTTTTAGGTGACTTTGAGCTTCTGAAAGAAAAATCAAGACTATCTAAGACATTGCAAGATGTTTTGTATGACAAAAATGCCTTGACTTACTTCTTGCAATTTATGGAGTCTAGAGATGCATCCCCATACATCCTTTGTTGGTTGGACATTGATACCTTTAGGTAAGATATTGTAAAACATATACAAATATTGTCTTTTTCACAATTATCCATTATAGTAGAATAACAGCTGATTATCTAGTAATATTTCAAAATTCCCCATATTGACAAATAACACATAATTCTGATGGATCCATCAATGCCTGGTAGACAGAGCTGTATTTTGTTTTGGTTTTTTGTATGCTTCAGATTCATTTGTAAATGCTAACAACCCTTTTATTTAGAAAAGTTCATTTTTATTGAAAAAATGCTTGAAGCAAGTTTTACTAAATTTACACCTGATTCATCATTGCCAATGTTACAGACTAATGCAAAGATGTCACTTGCTGATCAGCTATTTACCTTGTTGGATATCAAAATGTGTTGGATACTTGTGAAATAGAGTTTATGTTACACATTCATTTTTTTTAGTTCTAATTTGCATCAATATATAATAAAGAGTAGCTACAAAAACCATACCTTCCACCAAGTTTTCCCTCCAAGAATTCGTTTTCAGATTTGAAAGCGCTTAGAACTATAGAAAAAATAATTTTCAAGCATTGTTTTTCTTGTCTAACAATAATTTTGCTGCTTGTCCAGCATGGGAGTATTGTTCACAATTATTATTCTGGCAGAGTTAAACCAGCGAGTTTTTGATTGCCAGGAATTGTCAAATACAGAAATCTGAGCAAACCAATTATTTACTAATTGCTTTTGATATATCAAACTTTCATCTCTACAAAGTCAATAGGCTAGTTGACATTTTTTAGTAGGTCTTAAATAGTTTATATGCGTTTTATTAGACCAAAAAAATCAATACTATATATTTTCCAGGTCTATAATACCAAAAAACTTGAATTTAAAAATATTTTTTTCTTAGACAGGTGAAAACACTGTCAGCCATGTTTGGCCCATAGGCTCTCACGTCGTACCATTTGTAAACAGCAGCATAACTTTTCAAACTTTTAAACATGTAAGCACAGTTTACATGAAAAATTTAGTAATTATGGTGGTTGTATCATCCAAGAATGTAAAAACACATCTATAAAAAGCCCAGAAAAGTTGTGGATTAGAGTTCCCGAAATGAATATACAAAACGCTGTGTATTGCTTGGAGCACACCTCACAATCTGCGATTACAAACGATCACGCGAGAACGAGCCTGTAGAGGGCATACTCGGCTGTACTCCCCGATGATCGTCTATGATCAGCTTCGACCAGTGAATTGTCGGTTTTTCGGATACGCATCAAAGGGAATCGCCGGGTGGTTACTATTACTGACGCTCGTGTGGATGCTTGCGCGATGATCGTGCCTATTATGAACGATCACGCGATCAAAAATCATCGCCGATAGTGAAATGCAGGCATTACGTTTGGGACATATTTTACATTTTACTGTACAGATGTTGTTGTCTCGTTTAAGTGGAACGTAACCTACGGCATCATCACCGCATGATTTAACCTTGCAGATGTGTTAGAAGAAATACAATATTAGAGAAAATCTCAGATGTTATGACGAATGAGCTTAGTTTTGAATCACTTCTGAAAAGGAAGATTATGTATTATGCTTTCTCTTTATGTGTATCACTATATCAGATAGATTATACGAGTCCCTTCACACTTCAGTTGGCCCAACTATTGAAATCTTAGTTTTTTTCTTATCAAACACAAATAATAAAAATGTAGCAGGGTGTTATAGGTTTAAAATATTAAAAATGAATATTTTGATAATATATAGTAGAAAACACCAACTTTATCACTCCCTAATCAAATTTGCAGCATAAAAATAACACATGTTGCAATTACAGCATATCAACCTATTTTCATTTCAATGCAAAATAAGTCTATAACGCATAGGTGGCTGTGAAAACTAAAAGCCATGACAATTGTTTTTATTAACCACAGCTGTCAGAATACGTTTAAAATAGATTTGGGTAGTTAAGGTTTTCAAAATGGGTAGAGGAAAGGTTATTAGTGAGAAAATTCGGTTACTGATAATTAAATTTTTTAATTCTGGGAAATCAAACTCAGACTTATCGCGGTACAGTGTGTGAAATATTGTTAGAAGATATAACGTAACTGGTTCAGTTAATATTAAGCCACGATATGTGAAAAATGTAATATCACAAATGCCGACCGAAGAGCATTAAGAAGAATAATCGTGAAAAACAGGCGTGCCAATTATTTACAATTCAGTGCTCTGTGGAGTGATGCTGTTGGAAGGAGAATTTCGAGGTCCACAACTCATAGAGAGGCCCACAAAGTGGGATTTAGCACTTGCAAGGTAAGTTTTCTTATAAAAAAAAGTAAAAACCCTAAAGTTGCACAACTTGTTTATAGGCCAAAGAAAAGCCACTATTAACTCCACTGCAAAAGAAAAATCGGCTTAGATGGGCTAAAGAACATAGACAATGGATACCTCAACAATGGTGTACAATACAATGGAGTGATGAGGCCCGATTCGAAGTTTGTGTTGGTGACAGTCACAGTAGAGTTATTCGCAAAAAAAATGAAGCATTCCATGTTGACTGTCTGAAGAAAAAAGTGAAATTTCCAGCATCCATTATGGTCTGGGGCAGTATGTCATCAAAAGGAGTAGGAAAACTTCATTTTATTGATGGAAATGTGGATACAAACAAATATTTGGCAATTTTAGAAGCTTTCACCAGTGATGGAAGAATGTTTGACATCCGGCCAAGATTTTGTGTTTCAGCAAGATGGTGCAGCGTGCCATACCTCAAAAAAGGCTATAAAATGGACGGAAGAAAATAATGTAACACTTTTGAAATGGGTTTCTAGCAGTCCAGATCTGCCACCTATTGAAACTTTGTGGCACGAGATGAAAAAGGTTCTACGACAACATACTGCTCGTGCAATGACCGAACTGAGACAAAAGCTTCAAGAAATATGGGATTGTTTTACACCAAATTTTTGCCAAAACTTGGTTAACACTATGCCTCAAAGAATTTCAGCCATAATAAAAAATAAAGGTGATGTTACCCAATGGTAATCTTTCAATTGTTGCTTTGTTAACTTCGCGCATTTGAGAAAATAAATTGTTTTAGAAGTAAATAGTTTCGTCGTGTTTAGTTTATAAAGGCATATTTTGGTACAAATCTTGAAGTGGGCCAACTGAAGTGGGAAGGGGCTCGTACTTACAAAGAAACCTTGATGTTACTCACCACCTCAGTAAAGCAGACATTTGGGTTGAAGGCAACAAATTACCAACCATCAATGTGTCAATTTTCAGCAAATTTGTGCTTTCTGCTTTTACGAATCCAACGTCCATGATTGTTTCTTCAATAAAACGAGAAAACTATAACTTTTTACGTTCATTAGGAGTTTTTCAGATGTATCCAAAGAATTTTAGTCCATGAGTGACATACGGATGACGTTACTTTGTTTACAGTATGTATGACGTCACATCAAGGCCGGTAGTGTTTTCACCGTTTCGTATTAAAAATAAATGTTTTTAAATTGAACTTACATATACAGTAATGGACAAAAGTATATAGACAAATTAATTTGTGCTGTATTTCTTTTTTAACATGTTTTATTAACCTGTATACATAATTCGTTATAGCATAATACTCACTTATACATAAGTAAATTCATTAGACTCCCTTCAATAAAAAATTAAATGAAAAAAACTGGAACTATGAAGGACAAAAATATATAGACAAAGCAAAACAATTATAGAAAACGGAAGCAAAGTTCATTGAATTATAGAAAACCAACCATGTTTGTGTTGATATTTTGTATCATAACCATTATTATCAGTCACCGTCTGGCATCGTCTCGGCATAGATTGTAGAAGTTTCTTGATATGAGATTCATCATTCTGTCTCCACTTTTGCTTTAAAGCGGCAAAAAGTTCATCCTTGTATGAATAATTTTTATCTCGTATTTGCTTATCTAAGTATTCCCATAGATTTTCAATGGGGTTTATATCGGGAGACTGTGAACGCCATTTGAGAACTGATATTTTTTCCTCCAGAAAGGGCATATTGTCTTCCATATAGGGTAACATGACATGCTTTAGTATGTCTGTGTATACAAACTTATCCATAATGCCATCTATTCTATGTAAAGGCCCCATCCCAAACCCTGAAAAGCACCCCCAAATCATAACAGACTCGCCTCCATGTTTGACAGTGGGCAAAGTGTATTTGGGGTTCAATCTTTGTCGACTAGGAAGTCTAACGTAATGAACACCATCTGATTCAAACATATTGAACTTGGATTCGTCTGAACACCATCTGATTCAAACATATTGAACTTGGATTCGTCTCTGAAACATGCCCTCTTCCAGTCACAGATGCTCCAATCAAGATGCAACCGTGCAAATTGTAATCGGTCCTTACTGTTTTTCCTCGAGATTAGCGGATTCTTACTCGGGCGACGTGCAAATAACGTCCAATCATTTAATCTTCTACTTATAGTTTTCGTAAAAACACTGACAATTCCTTTTGTCTCGATTTCGGCTTTTATTTGTCTTGTGGTTTTAAACGGATCTTTGGACGAAATTACTTTTATTAATCTAACTGATCTAGCATTTAGTTTTCTAGGCCGACTACTTCACTTAGAGGCTTCCAAGATACCTTTTTGTTTATATTTGTTCAATATTGCCAAAACTGCTTTACGCTTCAGCTTCAAATTATTGGCAATGTCGACTTGACGTTGACCATCTTTGTATAACTCAATGATCTTAGTTTTCACATCGAAAGAAATTTCTGGACCACGCGGGATGGTCTTAAAATCACTCAACTTATTCCACAATACTTGATGAACACAAACTAATCCTCTTCTCATACGAAACTGTACCAAACTAATGTTGAAAAGAATTTGTCTACATATTTTTGTCCCTCATAAAAAAGTGCTTATATTCAGACTTGCATTGTGTTCATTGCCGATAATGTAAAAACAAGGAATTTAGTTTTTCTACTAATAACCCATTTGTTTATGGAGCAATGAAGTATGAATTCGTTTTCTAAAGGTATTTAGGTAAATATTCATATTTGTCTGTATACTTTTGTCCATTACTGTTTATCGGTCTTGAGATCGACAATATTTAGTTTTCACAAGTCTAATACTGTAAGAAATACTCACTTATTTTATGAAATTAGATATGAGTTAAGTCGCCTATACTAAACCCCTAGAGAGGGAAAAACTCGTGTAAGAGTATAAACTAAATCCAAATTCAAGATGAGATGTAAATAATAACAGTTAGCGCGTGATCTCTCGGTAACAGGTGGGGACAACGCCTCTTATTGGTCAATTCGCCATTAAATTTCAAGGGGTCGCCTGGCGGAATAATGCGCGGAGCAGAGGCAGGGCAGGCAGAGTTGCACTCGGGCCACCGTCCGTCGCGTGTATCACTGCGTGCTCGTGTTTTCGTATTCACCTTGTTTGGTTGTTGCTGTTAAGTGTATTTGAGCAATTTGTTAAGTTTCTGTTAAATACTGTCATCTTTGTTTTACAACACGTTGGTGGTAGTCCATCATTCGGAGGTAGCCACTATAGTGTCAAATTAATATCGAAATGTCCTAGATATCCAATTGGAATCTTATGGTTTTGTTGTAAACATCCCACAGCGAGTGGTTTCTGCAATTTTGCCCATTGAAAATATTGTAACTTTTCAGGTCTGACCTGAAAGCCTGCCCCAGGAAACGTCATTCTCCCATAGATCATGACAGCCTGTCAGTGAGCACAGACTGCGACTCATATACTGCAGACTCGAATAGTCTGTGCGACTTTTCGACAGAAGGTGCATGTGATAGAGAACCTAGTGATAGTAGTTGTAAGTCGAAAAGTGATAAGAAACCGTTTGTACAAAGTTTTGTAGATATAGCCGTTAGTATTTTTAAAAAATATATAGCACAGGAAGCTCAAGCTAACATCAAATGTACGGAAGAGTTGAGGAAGGAGACAATGGAAAACGTTTGTAACAATGACAAGGTGCTTTCTGGTACTTGTTTTGATTTGGTGCAAAAGTTTGTTTATGATGCGATGGAGAATGAATATTTTACAGCATTCTTAGATAGCGATTATTTTTGTAAATATCAAATTGATGTTTTGACAAGTGGGAATGTTGTGTTAGACGATATTTTGTACAACGAAACAGCTCTCTTTTACCTTATGGAGTTTTTGGAGGTAGAAAATCAACGCAGTCTCCTAGAATTTTGGATGGCTGCGACGAATTTCCAACAACAACTTCATAATCAAAAGGAATTTCTTGATCCTGTAGAAGCCCAGAACGATGCTATGGTATTATATGATAAATATTTCTCCTTACAAGCTCACTGTCCTTTAGGGTTTAGTGACAAAGTAAGGTTAGCTGTAGAGCAAAGTATCTGTGGACAAGATGGCCTTATATTAGATTGCTTCCATGTACCACTAAAAATAGTCGAGAAAGTATTAGAAAAGAACTATCTGAAAGCATTCCTTGCATCTCAACTTTTTTACAAGTACCTCTCAGATCTGATTAACACAGTACAGACCAGCGGTTATATGAACAACATTGAAAGGAGGCATTCACCTTCAGACTGTAGTAGTGAAAAAAGCTTTGGCCAAAACACATTTTTGGCTTTGGAAATGCCCAAAACCACGAAAAAAGCTGATATGACCATAGACACAAGGGAACTGTATGATCCCGACACATTGTGGAAACGCAGAAAATTCCATAAGCTGTCAATTGGTCATGTCAACGAACTCGGGAAATACGAAGCAGAATATGAACCAGAACCTGATAGCAATGAGTTCAAATTAAGAAATGTACTAAGAAAAGTGGTGAGTTTAGAAGAAGAGCACAAAAAGAAAGAAGACATGGCTTGGCAAGTCGCAGAAATGATCGTAAAGGACATAACAAATGTCACATTGAACGACCAAAAAATTTGAACTATTCATGTTTTTACGTGGTGATTTCTATGTGATAATGGTACTGATAAGAGAAATTATTGAAACTATTTGCATTTAAAATGCATTTAGTTCTCAAGTTCTACGTACGGACATGTGATGAAAAGAGAAAAAAAGAAAAGAGCTGAATTAAATCAGTAATATAGCTTTCGTTTGCCTGACAACTGACATGGGTAGTTTTGTGCTATTTGACAACTCATCAGCATCGTTTAGGCCTGGTCTCAAGTATTCAGTGGTCGTGTCTGGTACTGTCTTATTTCAAGAGCAGTATTAGTTCTTGAACGTTAACAATGAAATCTGAAATATAAAAAGAAAAAATAAACGGTCTTAATAAGATAATTATATCTACAAGATAGTTAAACATGACTATGGAATAAAAATTCTGTCTTTTGAGCTAAGGAAAGGTGGGATCAAAAACAAATTCATTCATAAACTACTACTGGAGTAAATTTGGCAAACACCTGGAAGACTGTGCAATCATGACAAACATCGTATTAGTGATGATAATGTTGATTTTTCTTTAGTTTTTGTTAACTCAAAATGTTCTTTTTGATAACATTTTATTTTTGTTTAAAAAATACATATATTATGTTTAAACCTCTATTGATTCATTAATTTTATAGTGAAATGATATTTCTGAGAGTTATTTGTACAGCAAATTATCGTATAGAAGATATTCTACACGGTGTTCAGTTGAAAACGTCAAAAGATTTCTCAAGGGGGACATCTTTTTTACCAAAAACTACTTCACCCTCTTTCACCCGTATTTTTTAAAATCGGTCGATTCGTTTTCAAGAAAATTAGAAAAATCTTTATCTTAATTTGTTTAGATAGAAAACAGAAACACACGAAAATATCACTTTTATTTCATTACGTGTTCAAAATGTTGCCCTTTATGGGTCAAAGAATGATGAATGAATGAATCTTGAATTTTAGAGGCATCCTGGCCACCATAAGGAGCCAGTGCATAGGCCGCTTAAGCGGGCCCTTATGCACCTCTACAATACTTAAATCACAAGCCTCGCCCTTTTAGCGAAGTTGAGAATCGCCTTGAGTCCAAGCTCCTTTACGTCCTGAGGGTCCAAAGTAATGGACCCCAGTATAGTCTGCCTATAGTAGCTCAGAGCTTCACAGCGACACAAAACGTGCGCCGAGGTCTCTTCCTCTACTCCGCAGCGTTCGCACAAGGGAACCTCAGCCACCCCCATCACGTGCAGGTGCCGCCTTAACGTGTTATGGCCAGACAACAGTCCCACCAGCAACCTTAGGTTGGCTCTACCCAGAGATAGGCAGAAGCGTCCATCCTTAGCACTGGGCCCTTCAATGAGCTCTCGTGCCTGGCGGAGATGTCTAGAGATACTTCTCCATTTCTGAGAGTGTTGTCTTGCAACCCACGTCTCCATTTTCCTCCTAGCTTTATGCGCGGTTACTCCTAGAGCTGGCTCAGGACCAACGAGCTTGCTGGCTGATCCTGTTTTCGCCAGAGTGTCCGCCGTCTCATTGCCCCTTATCCCAGCGTGCCCCGGTACCCATATTAACGATACCGGATGCCTCGCTGCGAGGCAATCCAGAGCCTCCCTGCATTGCAATACAAGACTCGAAGTAATCTTACATGCACTTAGTGCTTTCATTGCAGCCTGGCTGTCGGATAAGATTGTTATTCTTCTCCTAGGCCCACCCTCCTCCAGAATGTGAGATACACAAGCCAGAATCGCAAAGATTTCCGCCTGGAAAATGGTGGTGTACTCACCGAGAGGCAGAGATAGCCTAGTTCTAGGTCCAGAGACCCCAGCACCTGAGCCCTCTTCGGTGACCGAGCCGTCCGTGTACCAGACCTGCCCGCTCACTTCGGAGAGTCCTCGGCTACCGGCGTCCCACTCCTCCCTCGTTGGGTACTCCACAATAAACTTGCGGTTGAAGCGATATTTAGGGGTAATACGATCACCCCTGCTTAGAAGGACGGGGTCCTCCCTTTCTAATTCGACTAATATGGCAGTATGCCCCTTGACCGGATTCAAGAAAGCCCAGCCTGACTCCACAGTCGATGAGCGACTACTCTCGCTTCACCGCGGATCACCAGATCCAACGGTGGGAGATCCAACAGAGCTTCCATTGCACTCAATGGCGTTGTTCGCACTGCGCTTGTAATGCTAATACAGGCCAAACGCTGAATTTTATTGAGTTTGGCCTTAGTTCAAAGAATGATATAGGCGATGTTCAAATTGCTGGCGGTCATTTTCAAAAACATGTGGGATATCATGATAGTGTTCGATGATGCATTGACGAAGTTCGTCCAGACTTTCAGGTTAGGGAGTGAACACAACATATCTCAAATGGCCCCATAGAAAAAAGTCTAATGGCATCAAATCGGGAGATCTAGCAGGTCATTCTATAGGCCCTCTTCGCCCTATCCATTTATCTGGAAACTCGTCGTCTAGCCATTGCCGAACCGGAAGAACATAGTGAGGAGGCACGCCGTCTTGCTGGATAGGGCGAAGAGGGCCTATGGCCTGCTAGATCTCCTGATTTGACGCCATTATACTTTTTTCTATGGGGCCATTTATATATTTATAACCTGAAAGTTTCGATGAACTTCGTCAACGCATCATCGGAAGCTGCCATGATATCCCACATGTTTTTAAAAATGTCCGTCATTTGAAAATCGACTATATCATTGTTTGGCCAATAAAGGGCAAAATTTTGAACACTTATTGAAATAAAGGTGATATTTTCGTTTGTTTTTGTTTTCTATCTGAACAAATTAAGATAAAGGTTTTCTTGAAAACGAATCGACCGATTTAAAAAATCAAAAGTCAAAATAAAGCACTTTGAAAGACTGTTCAAACAAGCTATTACATGATACCCCTTGTCATTTAAAATTTTTAAGGGGATGACCCTGGGGGACAGAGGCTGAAAAGGGGTGAAGTAGTTTTTGGTTAAAAAGTTGTACCTCTTGACACATCTTTTGAGCTGTATCGGAGTTTTTTCGATAAATCCGTTTTCAAATGAACACCCTGTATATGAAATATGTATAGGTAACTCATCAAAGCGTTTGTTTTAAAATAAATGTTAAGTGATAAATATTCCTTATTTTTGACACATAGCACCGCTTGTTCAAGCTTTAGCTTGTTGAAACAATATCGCATATTGGATATATGCATGAATTTCTTCGTGCGAATATCTTTTTCTACACTCTCTGCATTTTATAAGAACGTCTGAAACATTCGTTCAATGATATCGTCTTTAACCAGCAAACTGTAGTGCCCTAGTCAACAGTAAATAGTATGTAAACTATAAGAATGGAATTTTATATATTTTTGTATCGGAAGATAATTATTTGATTTATTCAAATAGTAACTAACTACTTAAGAAATATATATCTGCAAAAGTGCGTTGTAAGTATTGTAATTTCTCTATATTTGTATATGAGACTCAATGATATAATTATTGATGTAAATATGTTAATAATAATTATTTTGAGTAAAGTATTTTATTTATCATTCCATCTCCTAACGTGATCGATTATTTGGGTTGTATTTGTTGACATCGAGGGAGTAGATTTATTGCGGTACAGTAACTTAAAACTGCAACCTAAGGTCAACAGTTACAGATAGATGATAACCAATCCCTTTTGGGTCAAATTGAACGATACAGACTTGAACATCATGCAATTCTCTGCATGAATGCGGAGGTTACTTGAATTGGTCACAAAGTTCGTGCGATTTTGACCCGATCGGTCTTTTTCTTGTGGGGTTTTTGGAAGCGCACATTTATGCCAAAAGCCACAAATTATTCTTGCCATCCATACATTCTTTCGCATCTCGTACAGATATCTTCCGAATCCGGCACTTTCCCAGACAACTGGAAATTTGCTCATGTCCAACCCAACCCAAAAAATGGCGTCAAATAAGTTGACTCTGTACTTACCACGCTTAAGTTTTGCATATAGAAACATAGTATGCCGCGCCGGATCGAACGTCAGTACTGAATCTTAACCTCACTCTTTAGCAAACTTAAATTCAAAGTTTCACAACAATACGTGCAGTGTTCTCACTACAGTGATTTTTTAAGTATCACCAAGTCATTAGAAAAACGGAACTCAACCGAGAACATTTCCGCGCCATAATTTATTACAACTTTCAGAGACAATTATCGCAACAAGAATGCCTTGCTGAGTTACTGTCTGTTTTCGGCAACGGAGCGCCACATCAGTCGACAATTTCCCGTTGGTATGGAGAATTCAAACGTGGACGGGTGAGTCTCAGCGACGATCCCAGGGTGGGTGCACCAAAAACGGCAGTCACCCAGGAAAACGTCGATGCTGTGCGCAAACTCATCATTGAAGATAGACATGTGACATATCGCGAGAATGAGGCGTCCTTGAAGATCTCAAAGACCTCAATTCAAAAAAATTTACATGAAGAATTAGGAGTAAGAAGATTAGTTTATCGATGGATACCCCACCTGTTGACTGAAGAGCAGAAAGCAGCCAGGGTTAATTGGTGTCAAAAAACGCTTGACCGTTTCAATTCCGGAAACACAAAAAATGTGTACAGCATAGTTAGTGGTGATGAATCGTGGATTTACTGTTATAAACAAGAAAATAAACGACAGTCGGCTGTTTGGGTGTTCCAAGGTGAAGAAAAGCCAACAAAAGTCATCCGTTCTCGAAGTGTTTCGAAAAAGATGGTCGCGACATTTGTGTCAAAAGCGGGTCATATTGCAACAATTCCTCTTAATGAGCAAAGAACTGTTACTGCGGATTGGTGTACCACCATTTGACTGCCAAAAGTCATCACCGAGCTTCGAAAAATCAACCCCGAAAGAAGAATCATCCTCCACCAGGACAATGCAAGCTCGCACACAGCCCAAAAAACAAGGCAGTATTTAACGGAAGAAAACGTGGAATTATTGGTCCTAACTATATGTTTACTTTCCCGAAAATTAAAAACAGACTGCCTGGTCAAAGGTTCCAGTCAGCAAAAGAAGTAGTTGACGCATTCAAAAATGCCGTTTTGGATCTGGCAGCAAACGAGTATAATAAGTGCTTCGAAAATTGGTTCGAGTGCAAGCAGATGCGCATTAATCTTCGTGGAGAATACTTCGAAAAACAATAAAGTCATTTAAAACTACCCACCGTGTTGTTTTATTTCCATATGTAAAAGTATGCCGTCATCAAATTTATGTTTGGCCCTCACACTCCCCCGAACCCTCCATTTTTTAACAGCTACACATTTTTTTTCCGAAACTGATCAGGAACTGAAACGCCAAAAAACGATCGAACGATTTTTATTTTTTTGTTTTTTACCGATTTTCAAAAACTACCAAGCTTTTGCGCCCTTGGAATAGTAGTAACATTGTGTGAAAATTTAATCGAAATCCTAGCGGTACTTAGTTATCGTAATATCTCATTTTCGAAACTTATCGCGATTACAATACTTTTTTATTACTAACATTGCATCGCCCTGTACGAAAGCACTAAATACCATTCGTGAACCTGAACCGGTGTTTCAGTTTTGAAAATGAGACCAGGAACCGTTGAAACGACGTTCTCAGGCTAATAATAACTGGCGAAGTTGTGATATTTTTAGTGCCAAAACACAATATTATGTGTGAGTGATTATCTCACATACACATAAAGCAGCGATTTAATGGCCGCGCAGTCTTGTTTTAGTGAAAAAAATATGAACAGTGGTTGCTGGAAAACAAATGAAAACGATGAAGGTATGTTAAGACGTTCGTTTGTCACTGTTTGCCTATTCTCGATGATGACTTTCTAATCAATTAATGGTCCTTTGGTTGCAGGATAATATCTATGAATGCAAATTTAAAAATATCTTTAGAACTCTAGAAGAAGATTTGTATACGTATTACTGTTTTTCTTTTTCATCCTCGAAACATTGTATTCAGTTCGTAAACAGACTCCTTTAGAAATTATTGGGAAACATACAAATAATTCATGTGCAATTAAACGCATTCATAAGTTGCCGGCTGTTATTTTCGTCTTATTTCTGTACCGCAGCGGTTGCAAGAATTGACATGCTACGTGGAGCTGTTCAACATCTTCTTAGACATATGAAATCTGTGTAGTTAAAGTAAAAAATTAATTATCAAATAGGCCTCAATCAGTAACCATACCAAAATCATAAATAAAGGAATGTTTTTATTTGTATACCACAAGGTACAATTTTCTGTCCACTGTTATTCAATATTTATTGGAGTATATTCAAAATTAATAGTACTAGTGAAAAAGTCAGTTTTGCAGACGGCACTGCCATACTTTATAAGGGACCGACTTATGTTAACGATTTAGACGTGCTTCAAAGAACAATTTTAAACTATGTGTTTGGTTGATCAAAATTATACCCCACTAATGACTTGTCAAAGATACTTTTAACACATTAAGCAGATTTTTAAACATACTCGCCACATGAGGATGCAACTTTTTTAATTTTAATTCACTTTCATTTACTTATTACACAATTACACTTCCTATACAAGTTCTGAAGTAATCTGCAAAAGGCTGGAAACCTCAATGCTTCCAAACAAAAGCGATATTTGTAAAAGATTAATCCCAAAAGGCATTTATTTATGTCATAAGTTTATTGAACTGGAGACAAAAAATTACGTCTTACCCCAACTTTTACTCCATCTAGAACTTATAACAATACGTATACAGGGAGTCCCGGAACTCGACGTCAAGTCGGAAACGTGGGATAGGCCAAAGTACATAATAAACTGGTGGACAGTTGGACTATCTTAAAAAAAGAAATTTCTCAAATTTTTCGAAAGTTAACTCAAATTATCGAATTTTAAAGTAGTGTTACATTTATCCCGAAAGGGACTTTTTTGAGGTTTCTCTTGAGAGTGGGTATTTTTTCTCATGCTCTGGCTTAAAGTGGAATTTCTTGCACCCGAGAAAAGCTCATTGAACGTTATTGCCTCCAGTGGCGTGCAGTAAAAATTTGCTACTTTGACATTATGTACACTAAGTGACATATAAATCCGAACACCCAGTTTAAATGGTTTTATTTTAATAAAAGTTGGTGAATGTATTTATCTTAGTGTAAATAACAAGTGAACAAATTTTCAGCCTTATCAGTTGGACATTCCGGTTTTTATACTGCTTTTTTTTAATTCACTAACGCTCTAAAAATGTTTCAGCCGCAGTAAAGAATCAACGTTGGCGGATTTTGGTTCTTGACATCCTTTACGATCGGTTACGATGCCTAGAGCACGGAGACCTGTAGGATTTCGTCAACTTAGTGAGTTTGATAGGGGCCGTATAGTGGGACTTCGGGAAGCTGGACTTTCTTTTCGGGCAATTGCAGTTAGAGTGCAAAGAAGTGTAGACACTGTGGTTAGGTGTTGTCAGGCATGGCTTCGAGAAGGCCGTACGCAAAGAGCAAGGGGCACTGGACGCCGCCGTAGAACAACAGACCGTGAAGATCGCCGCCTAAGATTATTGGCCTTAAGGGACCGTTTCTCCACTACCAGGTCCATTGCAAATGAATGGTTTGCAGAACACGGAAGACCTATTGGCATGCGAAGTGTTTACCGACGAATGAGAAGTTTTGGCTTGTTTTTATACCGGCCACACTGGGTCCTCCCTTTAACTCGAGAACACCGACGTAATCGCCTTGAGTGGTGCAGACAACGGTCACTCTGGGATCAGGAATGGAACAGTATTGTCTTTAGTGACGAGTCTCGATTTTGTTTAGGCATGCACGATGGTCGTGCCAGGGTTAGAAGGTGACGTGGTGAAAGGAGGAATCCACAGTTTTTTGTTGAAAGACATGTTCATCACACTGTTGGAGTTATTGTTTGAGGTGCTATAGCTTATGGTTCCAGGTCACCTTTAATCTTCATCAGAGGTAACATGAACGCGCAGCGTTATATCCACGAAGTTCTAGAACCCCATCTTTTACCCTATCTTGACACCCTGGCAGATCCAACTTTCCAACAAGATAATGCCCGACCACCAATTGCAAGAGTCACAATAGACTTCTTTCAACATAATGATGTCACATTGATACCATGGCCACCAAGACCTCCCGACTTATCCCCAATTGAGCACGTGTGGGATATGATGGGTAGGAGATTGCTCAATTTGCAACGTCCTCCTCAGACTCTAGAAGCACTTCGAGAGGAGTTGGTGGTTGCCTGGAATGAGATACCACAGGACGGCATTGACCACCTGATCAGAAGCATGCCTAGGCGCGTTGGAGAATGCGTAGCACATCAGGGTGCATCCACACATTATTAAAGGTCAAAGGGCTTTAAAGCAGTGCAATCATTTTGAAATTTTTATCATTTACTTATTATGCTTCATTAAGTACTTATACAAAATTTTATTAAAATAAAACCATTTAAACTGGGTGTTCGGATTTATATGTCTCTTAGTATAATAAAACCGAATTCATAAATTATACTATGCAATTAAACAGCTTAATGAACAAATCTGAGTTACTACTCTTAATATAAGGGTATATTCCAGTGGATTTTTTTAAAGCCTATAATTTGAAAAGTACAAGAACTTTTTTTCTGATACTATTATGACTTGGCCTATCTCCCGTTTCCGGGTTGACTTCGAGTTCTGGGACACCCTGTATAAAAATCGATTTCAATATATTAGAAAGCATCATTATTGCTTCATTTCAATTCCATATCAATCAATTCATTGTAGGTTTCATGATTCTATATAGACTTCTCATTTGTATCAGTTTTGCTAACCACAGTAACTATGTCAATTGAAGAAGAATATCATCTCTTACCTATGTACTCCATATACGACGTTCGAAAAGTGTTTCTCAGAAACAAATACTTAGCTAGACGTTGAATAGTAGGACTTTTCTTTTTAACCGACGAGGTTATTTTGTGATCAAGACGTTATTTTAATAGTCTCATATAAATGAAAAGAACTTAATGATTTGTATTGCAATGTTCCGGCTCGTTAATGGCTTAAAGAATACCTCGGAAGGTCATCTCACAATGGTCACACAATCTATTATTCAATATACAGGGTGTAAACGTTATGATACTCATTATTTAAATGGGTGATAGAAGCAAAAAGTTTCATATAACATGGGGGTCAACACGGCATTTATAAATATTTAAAATAAAATCTGACAACGCCGCAATGCCAGACGCAAATTATGACGGAACGCATTGTAAATAAAGATGGAGTTTGTTATTTTTGGCTCTTAGGTATTATTTCATTATTTGATAATGTACTGGTAAAATGCAAACAATTAAAAAAAACGGACTTACCACTAACTGTAGCAGCGCTTCACCTGGTGTGTGAAAGTTTATTGAACGTAATAAAAAATCCCCATATAAATAGGGACCACAATTTTGATATATACATTGCTTTTCTTTTTAAAACCCACACTGCACTTTTTTTTGTATTTAAAGGTCTTCCAAATGTCGTCCTCCACTTTTCACACAAGCTTCTTTACGACCTTCACGAATGGTATGGGGATTTTCTTGGGCCCACGTGTGAGTGTTATGGAAATTTAATATCCCGTCTCGCGTAAAAGTACATATATACATCCGTCGCTAGAATGTTTTTAAAATAAAACGGATTTTCAATGTTTTTGTGCAAAAACCACTGATAGAATGTTAGTCTGCGAGGATAGTCTTCTGGTAACAAGGCCTGCACTCGTTGTACATGGTAGGAATATAGCAAATTTTCCCGTAGGATTCTATGGACTATGGTATGCGATAGTCCTACGCGGCGGCCTAATTCCCGAGTGCTGATATCTGCATTGATTTCCACGATATTTAAAATTTGTTCCTCCTGCTCTACAGTAACATGTCTTTTACGAGTGCGAATATTAGTGGGCTGAACACTTCCTGTATCTCGAAGTCTTTGGTACACTTGCACAAATGTCCTTCTGTCTGGGTGTACCCGTTGGCGAAATCTGTCTACTACTAACTAACAACATGTCGGCGAACTCTTGATTCGAAAACAATAAACACGACGACGTACACGAACAATAATTAACCACTGTTACCGTTTGCGATCGATTGCCGGTTCGATAAGAGTAATGAAAGATCGCCGCGCTGCGCTGTTGTGATGTGTGTTTTAAATATTTAATTTAATGAAACTTACTTACTGACTACAAATTTTTGCTTAACTTAGAAAAACTTAATGCCATTTATTTGTTAATTACCCAATTTAAAAACGTTTTAGATTAGATTATGAAAATTAGTAATGCAGCAGACGCTCGATAATGTAAACTAATTTAATCCAAGTGTGGTTCACATTATCGAAATGTTTACATTAGCGAACGTGATTTATATAATATTTGATTTATTAAAAGAAACGTTTAATACATACTATTTATAACAAAATAAACAAATATTCTAACAGCGATAAGTATTTTTTTAATTAGAAGAAAAATAATTAACAATTTTTTCTGCGTAAATTTGCGCTTAGCATTGTCTTACAGTGCCTGCGCCCGTAATTTACGAAGAACTAAAATATCCGTGTATGAAACTTCTTTTCTTTCAGCCCAATCTAAAGCTTGGTTAAAAACTTGTATAGCTTGCGCGTCAGTCACTACACTTCTGACTTCAATGGGATCGTTCTCATCATCCTCACTGCCCATATCCTCCTCCTTATCAGCATCATTCGTCTGCTTATCTTCGTTCCATAAATTAATATCAGCAGGAGTACAAACAATGTTGGGATCCACTGTTTTCAATAAATCAACAACATCCAATGACACACTAATAACATTATCATTATTGGATCGCAAACGTTCCCTAATTACGCTTAAGGGGACATCGTCTTCTTCATCATCTTCATTATTGGTACAAAAGAGATTGTTCCAACATTTTTGAATAGTTTGCTGGTTAAGTTCATTCCAGGCCATATGTAAATCTAAAACAGCTTCTCGTAATGTTACTTTTTTTAAAGCCTCAGATAAGTTTTCAGGATTCTTTGATAAGACAGACGAAAGTAGAAACTTCCTATAGTATAGTTTGGTGAGTCTCATTATATTCTGGTCCATCGGTTGAATTAACGCTGTTACGTTGGGCGGCACGTACATGACGAAAATTGACCCATCCCTGCTCCTCATTTGTTGCTCGGGAGGATGACTTGGTGCATTATCCAATAGTAACAACGCTTTTATTGGAAGCTTCTGTTGTTTTAGGAAACCTTTTACCTACAAATTGAAAACACATCTTCAAATTATGAATAGAGCATTTGTGATAATTGATTGTCATACCTGAGGGACAAAGCACCTGTGGAACCATTTCAGGAATATACTGCTAGTCATCCAAGCGGTTTTTGAACAGTCATAATCAACAGGGATTTTGCTTTCCCAATTACCAGTGGCTTTATTTTGTGTGAACCATTAGCATTAGTGCAGGCTAGAAACATTATTCGCTGTTTCTCCGGCTTTCTGCCCGGGGCAGATTTTTCAAATGATGCAGCATAGGTTTTCTCTGGTAACATTTTCCAATAAAGGCCACTTTCATCTGCGTTGTAAATTTGTTCCATTCTTAAATCTAGCTCGGTAATTGTCTTCATCAATTTTTCTTTGAATGGTTGCACTAATTGTGGTTGTGCTGATAATTTTTCACCAGATATAGACAGCAGTCGAATTCCATATCTTGTTTTGAATCGTTGTAGCCAGCTATCACTAGCTACGAAATTTTCAGTTTCTTTCGGTTTTTCATTTAACAGTCTCGCTCTCTGTTTAAGTACTTCGCCACTAACTGGGACATGATTTTCCCGTTATTTTAAAAACCACTTATACAGGTAGTTTTCCATTTTAGGTGCCTTCGCATTTTTTAAAGTTTTTCTTTTTCCCGGACCTCCAAATGTATTGCACGTTCTTTGTAAAATTTGAGTTTTCATAAGCTTAATTTTACAGATTGTTGCTTTCGATACTCCATATTTTTTTGCTAACTGTGTCACTCCCGCACCTAGTGCAACTTCGTCTATGATTTTCACTTTCTCACTCAACTTTAAACACTTTCTTTTTTAGGATGTGGATGCCATAGTCGTAAAATATACTAACGCGTGCAATGTATTCACTTAAGTTCAAAAATGAAATACATACGTACGTATAAACGTATCCTAAACGATCATACGACTGACCGAGTTTGTCGCATTTTATCGCAGAGGTGAATCCCCTACAGTCTACATCATAAATCGGGGGTCCCCGACGCCCGACATAAATCATCGAGGCTTCAGCATTTTACCGTCGCGCTGTTTCCGTGCGCCGAGAGTTGTTTACGTTATCGCGCGTTCCGTTTGATCCTATAGAACGAAGTTTGTGCTTACATTAGCGCAAGTTTTCATTATCCCGTGTTTACGTTATCGAGCGTCTGCTGTATTGTGGTCGATATAAAGCACTTAAAGTTGTAACTAACTAGACAAAAACCTTTTGGACCATGGGTCATACGAACTTTTTGACTTGTTTTGACCCCCCTATTACCCATTTCAATAACGTTTCCACCCTGTATAGCCGGACATGTAGGTACACCAGAGTCCATTTACTTTATATCAATAGATAAACTCCAATATGAAGAAATTACTTGATTTTGGAATAACTGTGGATTTTAAAGTCGAAGAGCCATCGCCAGAATACAAGAGTTTTCCTTGATCAATTAATGTTTGCCTGATAGTATTTTTCATACCATCTTTCAGTTCGACCTCAGCACCTGCTCATATATTTGAACACCCTGTAGATTCATTTTTTCTACTATATGTTTGTAGCCCGGAATGCAAAATCGGACAGACACCACAACTTTTCCAAAGATCTCTTTTATAAACTATACGCTACAAAAGCAACAGGCTCTAAAGGTATTTCCTATGTAAACGTTTGTGACAGAAATCCAATGTATTGCTTGGAAAGTTGTTTTGGGAAATGTGTGAAGAAGACAGACACACTTTTTGTACGTTAGATAGACGTGGGTGTTTTGTAGGTGTGTAAATTGAACTAAAACAAATAAAAAATGTGGTCCCAGTCGAGAAAACACAACCTCAAACCCGAAGTTTGGGCCGAACGATACAAGGAAAAGAATTTGTCTGGATCCAAAGGTATATAGCTCTGTTACTAGAGGTCGTTCAGATATCCTCAGATTCACAGTGTTTTTTAAATTGTTTAACAACAACATTGAAATAATAAAACAACACAATATTTTTGTCATAGTTTTCAATCTGAGGTTTGGGGATATAAAAACGACTTCTTGTACACTACTTTACAACTGCTTGTATTTCGCAGATTATTTTGCATATTTTATGTTGACTAACAGCTCATGTGATATGTATTGTGGTTATTTGACATTTTGGTATATTCACACATTAATTTGGGCAATATTTCTCAATTATTTTATGAGCACTTTATTAATTCTAGTATGAAATATTGTTAAAACTTTGATGTAACTGCTGAATTGGCGGGAGACATTTTCGTCATACTTCAGCTTATTAAAAAATATCTGTAAGCTTCAAAGGATGAGATTTTTTTAGAGATAGGCGGATCGGAATATTTTATAGTACAGACATTTATTTAAAAGTGAAGGTCATTTACAAAAGGAACTCTATCCGTATTTTACTCGTATATAACAGAATGTTATTTAAGCGTATATAAATACGCATACACAACTTGGCAACGGATGATTCTTCCGTTTTTCCAAGACCAGCGATGTAGAAAAGTAGTGACAGTGATAAATTGCCTATTGATAACCGAGTTTTAAATAAATATCACTTGCAACTTGATTGAGGAATCTACCAAATCTCATTTCGATATGCTGTACACAGTATTTCAAAATAAAAGTTCACTGTTTTGTACGAAATGGTAGCACATCTACTTGCAATAAAATTAACATACAAAGGGAAGCTTGAAATGACTGAGCTGGACAAGTGCAAGAAAATAATTTTGAGATTGCCAAAAGTATTTAAAGCATTCATAATTAGTATTTTGTATTGTAGTTGTACATAATAAGTTCTAATTTAGATTGTCCACTAAACGAGGATTCCAAACCGATATAGATTTTAGCATTATTTTTAGAGATAAATATTCAGTAGTAAATGTTTGAGATGCTGTGTAAACATGATGATCATAATTATTACGAGTGTGGTTATGGAGTATAATAAGTGCCTATCTTATCCTCTTCAGCATACAAGCGACTGCATTATCGTACTGCGATATACCACTGATCAACATATTCCATCAGAAGATACCCAATCCATGTGAAAGCGGTATCTGCTCGAAAATAAGCATACAATCTTAGCGACATCAACGATTTATGCTTACAACTATGTAACTGTTGATCACCGTCTTTAGGTGACGTCAGCCTTGCTACCTTTGGATTATTGTCGCAGGTTATGGAATTTCCCTGAGAATTCCAGTTTTAGGAACAATTACGATGTTGAGGATTGATCTTTCCTCAAAAAGTCGAGTTTATGTTTAACAATAAATAATCTTTTTCAAAAAGGAAAGTCAGGTCTGTTTTTATTACTTCTCGGCAACATAGCTGTGACAATGTGAACTGTAAGTAAACATGCAAATACAACAAAGCCTTGGGCATCTTCTTGAGGAATACGTTAATCAATGGTTGTACAACTGTCTCGAAAGCATTCATTTTCCTTTTTTAGCCGTTTTTATAGATCTAGAAGAGGATAGAGACGATGATACAAATAAAGTATATTCTAAATGGTCAGAACTACCAGACTTGCTTTTGGAACAAATATTTTCGTATTTGGGCATAAGAGAGAAATATTACGCCAGCTTAGTATGTAAAAATTGGTATAGAGCCTTTCATTTGCCTTATGCTTGGAAATTTTTCACGCTGGATGATAATACGTTAACTAGAAGTAGGTTCAATTATTATTCCGGATGGCAGGTACGTGAAAAATGAACTTTTGATATCGATAAAATGATTCATGAACTCCCTTGCGAATGGTTTTCATGAATAACTTTGTGATCAGATATTTTAAGATGCCGAAAATTTTCGTTTATGAAACGAAATGATACGGAAACCACGGATTTATGATGTTTTGAGCTAACAAAATTCATATGATTAGATTTTGAGCTTTCAGCAAGTTTTAATTTTTTTTCAGTACGTTCTGGATCACGTCAGATGTCAAAGTTGTATGGCGAATGTAGGAAAAAACATAAAGCACCTGACCATAGAGCCGATGTTGAATTTCTACAATCTGTACGAGTTCATGAACATCGTATCATGGTACACCGAACAGCGAGAAAAGAAAGAGAACGTTGACGTGGGCATTGGGAGTAAAATAAAGTATTTGAAATTCACGTTTCCTTGCAATATGACAAACAGAGATGATTCTGAAAGGATACGTCTGTTTGGCACTGGAGGTAAATCCTTTAGTCTTATAAACTTGCAAACTTAATTTAAAAAAAAAATTGTCCAAAAAACAATAAAACCTTTGAAAAATAGGTTGAAAAAGTTTTTTGCCAAATGAAATAAACTGTTAGAAGAGGGTGAATTATCCCAACGTTAATCTGAGGAAGAACATTTTTCTGTTAAAAACGTACTAATTTAGAGTCTTTTTTAGGTAAGCTACTTGCGGCTCTGAAAAGACTGATGGGTAATCTTAAAAAGTTAGAATATCTGCAACTGATAGACTTGATGCTGGAACCAAAGGAAGCTCAGTATCTCTTGGACGAAGTATGTGAAATCTGCTGTTTAACGTTGAAGTCTCTCAGAGTGATAAATGCCACAAGGGTGCCGTATCAAATGTTGCATATGGGCGTGTTTTTGAATCTATGGGTAGGTATTCTTGGTAATGTTCATCCTTATTTTACCATGTTATTTTGTTTAACATATTAATTTTTGTATGGTGCGTTAGATGATTTAGGGCCGTATTAACAGCCGTTTCTACAATTGTATGAGGTCTTTATAGCTTCCTTGATTTTCATAGTCTTTTCTATCCTTCAGAAAGGTTGGGGTATTCCTAGGTTTCTCCTATTGTGAGGTTATGCTTTCTTTTTGAATCCTAAGAAATTTGAGGCTGATAAAATAGATGATAAAGATCAAGTTTTATCAACCTGAAATTTCTTAGAATTCATAAAGAAAATATAACCTCAAAACAGAGCTCTGACACGAAACAGTAATATCCACTGCCTTTCATTTCATAGGAAAATCAAGGAGGCTATAAAGGCGCCCTACAAGAGAACTGTAGGAACGACTGACGATACGGCACTTAATTTTGATTTTTATCCATTTTGCTCATCGTAGGAACTCTACATAAGCCCTCAAAACTTGGGAGACGACTTAGTGGTTCTGTTGGGTGATACCAACTTGAAACATTTGCATATAGTTCAAAACCGCTACACACCTAATGACATAAATATAAGGCCAGTATCACCAGTCGTGTGGAAAAAATGCCGTAAGCAAAATAAAAGGCTGAATGTTCACCTACAAGTGGAAAGTTTCAAGGAGAAAGCTCTTATTTGGCAAGAGAACGCTCCTGTTCGAACTGTACTTTATGATTCGCCGCATATCGGGGTTGGTATAATATAATAATAATAATAATTAATGGCAATTTCTATGTCAAATATGTGCTCTGTCATCGCAGTACCCAATTTCAAAACATATTTTTACATAATTTTATGAAGATAATAAGAATAAATTGGGAAAAAATTAACGTGTGATACAGTTAACAAAAAATCTAATCTTTTTAGCTAAGACCAGATGCACTTGTGACAGCAATAGACTTCTACAGGGAAGACCTAAGAATATATGGTCATAAGAGCATCCCAAGATTCTACAGATCTAAATCATTCATAGATAGAATTGATGAACATCTGGTTATGTTAGTGCAGAGATGTACATATCTGTCAACATTGGTGAGTGTCATTTTCTTCTTTCTATTTAGTACAAACACTGATAATAGCTTGAAATCTTTCCACACTAAATCAACAACTATCGACTTAGTTTAGACATTTGGCGCCTACGCTGTGTAGTTAAAGCTGATCGTACATGCTAAAACACGCAGGTAAACATGGGTATAAACCTTATCATGTATGGATTGCTTAAATAAAACGCTCTTTGTTCCTCAGAGCTCTCCTCCATGATGTCGCCGTGCGATGAGTCTGCCAGACAGACGAGCCTGACTTCGGCCTCCCACCCGAACCGTGTTGAATAAAAATAACTGGCCGATACGACCGCTCGCTTGTCCCTAGGGTATCGAAATTGTGTAACATTCTCCCCGAGGGGGCTTTTCCCAGTTCTACTAACCTTAATCAGTTCAAAAATCGGATTAGCAGATTTTCTTTAAGCTTCTCATAGCCCTGTTATTTAGGCTTCTGGCTGGGCGGCTGTTTCGGTAAAAAAAATATTTCTAGAATAAACATCGATTCATTTATAATGCCTTTCCTTGTTACAGGTAGTGACAGAACGGATATCAACAGCGACGGTTCTGTTATTAGTTTATTATGGCAGAAATCTAAAATGGTTATTCATCCGAGGTAACGCTGTGATAATTAGAAATGACTGGAAACATCACGGGCCTGATTGGACAGATGAATTTGCTGCTTGGATAAAAAACAGCAGTCGGTCTTACGCTGCAGTTGAGAAGGAAGTTTCACAAATACTTGGTTACAGATGGAGGTTTCTCACTGACAAGGAGTTTAAGATGCTTAAAGTTAATGTACAGGACTACTAAAGTTATGGACTATCACTTAGGTGTTTCACAACAGAGCCTGACGTGCTGACGATTGTCCCGCGTATCACCGATCACTTGGAGACATACGGCACTTTGATACAACAGACAACTTAGAGCTATGTTAAGATACCTATCAAATAGTTTTCGGTATCAGCCAAGTAGATCAGATAAAAAATAATTTTTGAGTAGAGTGGATGAATTACATAGACGACGACCAGAAATAAGAAAAAGATAAGATACGAGGGTTGTCTCAAAAATAAGGTTTCCACGATTTTTCAGGCACACTGAATTTTTTATTTGAATAAACGAATTTACCATTGGAAACGTTGATCTTTTAGCTATTATTCTACATAGTCGCCATTTTTTCTCCGACTTTTTTTGTACTTGGTATCCAATTTTTCACTCCCGCCTGCCGAATATAATATATTTTGTGTAATATACAGGGTGTTCCTTAATGATACGCGAATATTTTTTTTACTCAAAAATGGCACATCGAAGGAAAACAATTCAAGAGAGATCATTTGTTTTAAATTGAACGGGAAATTCAAAAATAATTGTTATTGGGCAAAAAATCATTGGCGTACCATTTTTTTCTTAAAAAATATCGAAGTCAATACCCGTACACACGCCACTGTTAAAGCTAAAAATTATTTTTGCATTTAAAAATCTACAACTTTATTAACTTTCACTACGTACTAAATATCAGTGAAATATCTGAAGAGGTTCTGAAAATATTATTTAATTTCCATTTTTTTCCTAAAACTTCAACACCCCGAGTTTTTGTAACGAAACATTTTTGGACCATAGTTTATAAAGCAAACTAACATTAATTTTTCATGTAGATTCACACCCTTAAATATTCGCATATCATTAAGGAACACCCTGTATAAAATTCCTTTGTGTATTTGGATTCCTGTACGGAGTGGAAGCAGCACTGTGTCTATGTAATAACGGGACTCAATTCACGATATTATCTATTATTAAATTTAAGAGATACTCTACCATTGAATCAATTAATTAGTTTGTATCATGCACAGGTTGACTCTATCATAAGATATGCATATCATTTTGGGGGATCTCTACTAATTCAAAAGATGTGTTTGAGAAACAGAAAATAATTATTATCAGATGTATAGCAGGTGTTAGTGCTAGAACATCGTGTAGAGAACTGTTTAACAGATTCAGAGTATACATCTTAATGGATTATATATATATATATATATATATATATATATATATATATATATATATATATATAATTGTTTATACATATTTAAAAATAGAGAAAAATTCCCAACACATGGCCAAATGCATTCAATTAATACGAGGATTAGTGAAGACTTTCATATACCACCCTACAGAACTAAAGAATTGCCAGTCTAAACACATTTAAGAATCTCTTAAAAGACTATTTCATTGAAAATAGCTTTTATAATGTGGAAGAATATTGTTATATATGCCGTTAAATCTTAATTGACTTCACCATTTGAGGACATGTTGAATACTTATGCGGTGACGGAGATGAATGGCTCCATTGCGCATGGCTGGCAGGCCGGTATTGAGCGTCGTCAATAGGCGCTTCTTGTTGGGACCGGTTGTGACAAAATTCACAAGCATAAACAAGAGTTGTTGATTTGTTTTTTGTGAAATTGAATTGAAGTGCAATTACAGAATTTTGATAATTACAAATACCGCACACGTAAACGTTAATAGGATCTGTTTGCTTTCCGTCTCTGCGACCATAACCAACCATATACAATTTTGTTTCATGTTTTTCAGTACATCATCAGTACGGTATAGTTGTAGTCATTTGGAGACAGATGATAGAAAGCAAACAAGTGAATTTGGGTCTACTGACAAACTCATTATTGTAGTATTTGCTTGTTTGCTTTCCGTCACATATGTATTTCCAAAAGACTAGACCTATATCGTACTGATTGCTGAAAATCATGAAACAACGTTGTATACAGTTGGTTATGATCACAGAGTCGGTGATTGTTAAAACTTTGATCATATCTTAATATCTTCATATTTTTTGTTACTGAATTTCCAGATGTCTGGATAATAAACTGTGTTAGCTTCGCTTTGAAAATTTTCACATACATTGTCTTTAGACAAATCTGCAATTCCGGATGCAACCTGCGTTAAACGCAATCTTTTGTGCTGAAAGTTTATATTCAGCACTGTTAATTCGGGGTGTCCCACGTACAACCAATACTCAAAAAGCAGACGTAATACAGTTATGAAAATTTGGGTTAATAATATAACTGATGAGAGCAAGTTGGATCAAATATTCTCAAAGTGATGACACTTCCGGTTGTACCGTAAGTTGCTATTGCTTATTTTAAATAGTACACCCTGTATGTTATTCAATTTTTGAATTCTACGCGAGATGTTAAATACAATTCAAGTATATCATCCTTTACCTAAGTTTAACCGTTATTGAGATATTTCAAATTTTGCATAAAAATGACAAATGCAGAGGATTATAACAATTTTTTCTCGTATTTTTGTCTTCACCATGTGATCTGTAACCGGCTTCTTGTAGTAAGGAACGTACTTTAGTAGATTTTTTCCTGATTTGGATAACCAATAGTGCAGGGCAGTCAAAAAAGAGAATGGAAATTAGATTTTATAAAACCTACGTCAATTTTTACACATAGAAATTACCTTTTTATGATTTCAACGAGAACAAGGTTAGTCTTAGGTTTAGGAGGATATATGTATATGAAGTGATGAAGAATACGCAGGTTGCTGTATATAAAATAAGCAAGTTGGTATTAAATTCCGGTACAACTGGAAATGCCACTATATTGAAAAGATTTTATTCGAATTGTTCCCATTAGTTATACAATGGACTGTCTTACGTCAACTTTTGATAAATCGATCATTGAAGTTCTACATTGGGACGCCCTGTATTCGAGGTCTGTAAATTAAGTGATGAGACTGATTTTTAAATTTTTTTAATTCAAATGTAATTACAATTTATCACCCTCAAAATAACTTCCTTCTGAAGCCGGACAGTGCTGGAGATGGTTCTTCCACTTCTCGTAGCAGTGCTAGAACTCCGATACTCGAATCGCCTTCAGCTGGTCGGTTACCGCCATTTGAATGTTTTCGACTGTTCCAAAATGAATTCCCTTGAGGTCATTTTTCAAGTTCGGGAAGAGAAAAAAGTTGCAAGGACTCAAATCAGGCGAAAAAGGAGTCTGAGAAGCCACTGAAATGTTTTTACTGGCCTCGTTGTTCCCAGTTGTTCTTGAACCGATGAACGGTGGTATGTGTGAAATTTAACTCTTCCTCGATCATTCTGACTGTCAACCGACGATTTGATCGCACAAGATCCCCGATTTTGTCGATATTTTCATCAGTTCTTGAAAATGAAGGCCTTCCGATTCGAGGTTCATCTCCCCTCTGAAAGTGCCTTAAACCACCGAAAAACCTGGGCTCTTGACAAAAGAGTTTCCATTGCACTGTCCGCAATTCTGAAGCAAAACCTGGTAGCAAATCATTGCTTGAAATTCATGTCACTCATTTTTAGAATAGAGAAAACTCTTCCATAAAAAAATTTCTACGAACAAGGAAACGACTCGAGCGAGTTCAAACTTATACTGAATGCGGATCACACATTCACCTGTCCCCCCTCCAAGCCCGGCGTCCCAGTGTTGCCAGATCGAACGCTACGTTGCCAGTCTCAACACTTAATTTACAGACCTCATATGTAAGCTTTGTTAATGATTTAGATGTCATGTTACATTACAAAAACAAAATGGTTGTGATTTTATAGAGTAGCAATGTATTTTTTACATATTCGTATAGACGTAAATACTGAAGGTTCTTCATGGACAATATTTTAAGAACGATTGATATTTGAACATATTGTAATTATGTCCGTGTTTCAATAAAGTTCATTGCAGAATTTACCAACACTTTCTTATCAAAACTATCTACAAATTGCTTATACATTTTATGAATTAAAAACTTAATGGAAATGTCAAAACTTTTTCAACAAATGCCAAAAAATAACGATTTTTATCATACATGTTTTCCGTTCCACTGCGATCTCATCACCCACAATTCACTATATAGTCTGTTCATTGAATGGTTTAACCTAAAAATATATCTTTCTTCTCCTAATCATGCCTTGGAATATTTATGAACATTTGCCCATAAATGTGCCCCAATGATTTAATGTTCCTCTGCATAATGATTCTTAGGGTATTCGTATAAATGTCAGGTGCTCGTGCAATCACAGGATCTCTCCAATAGATGTCGTTAGCGTCGCGGCCAAACAGTGTCGGTGAAGGAATGTGATCCTTCATGTAGCTCCAAATGCAATCTCGTAGTATTGAGACGATCTGAAATATATTATATGTATCTCCGATCCATTTGGAGTGTGGCATTTTGACCACTTTGCTGTTATTGAACTTACCTCGTAGCATTTCAAATAAGGGATCACATCTCTGATACTGCTCAAAGGAGGTGGCAGCAGTTGTCCCAATGCCATGATGTCTATTACCTTTACTGTCATATCTGCGGAAATAGATTGTCATAGATAACAAATCTATAAGATGTAACGCATAGGTTATAATCAACGCTATAATTATATAGACTACATATTTTATGAATATATGTACAGGGTGTCCGCAAAGTTGGGGTTTTCCTTTTCAGAAACAACTACCCTTGAAATAACAAAGGTAATGTGTAGTGAAACGAGGGCGACCAAGTAAAAAAAAAAAAGGAAAAAGTACTCACTCTCCAGTTGACGAGAAGGGCTAAGTACGTCTCTGCCCGAAATCATACCGCTCCAACAGAAAATGAAATCAGCTGATGCGCTACCGAGCAGACGCAGGCAAACAAGGAAGGCAAAATGTTGCGTAAAAAGTCTAGGTATTGCATCCCGTCCAATCGATTTGGGAGAATAAATGGTCCAATGAGCATACCGTTCACCATGCCAGCCCAAACATTCACCGAAAATGTTTGTTGAAAATGTGCCCGACGGACAGCGTGCGGATTTTCTACTGACCAAACATGAGTGTTGCGAAAGTTATTCACCCCATTACGCGTGAACGTAGATTCGTCTGTCACCAATATGCACTTCAAAAAGTCATGTTGATGCAACAACCACTCACAAAACCGCACTCTTGCTGGAAAATCGTCAGGTTGAAGGGCTTGTACGCGTTGGACGTGAAACGGATACAGCCCCTCTTCACGCAGCGTTTGCCACACTTTAGTTTTTGATACTTGCACTTCTCTAGCCACGTCTCTAGTGCTTGTTGAGGGATTCTCGTCTACGCGATTACCTCTACACACGTGACCGTAACCGTCGGTTGAAGGTTGCATACTGACCTGACACACTGACCCCGACCCAGTTCTGTCGTCGGGTTGAGCTAGTGTCCTAGTACCACTCGGGGATATCGTGGGTCGCGGCTACAGGACGGTATTCCGATATTTTTGATGTTGCAGAGCCCTTTATCTCGGTTCCCTTAAGACATTGGTGTATATGGTACTAAGAAAAATTGCTTATGTTTTCAAGATCTACACGTCGTGTAAAGGAAATCCCCAACTTTGCGGATACCCTGTATGTATTAACATAAGTGTCATGTTGTCAACATTAAATGTTTTCAAAGCCAGACCTAAAACCATATACATAAATAGCAAAGATATGTGAAAAGATTCACAAGTCGTGACCAAAACTGAAACATCATTCACATGACCGTATTTTAAGGGGGGTCTTCTATGCAACATTTTTTTAATATCCTCAAGATCGTCAACTGAAATGAACTGAAACTTGGTATGTGGATTTACCTAAGTATTGTCCACATCCAAAAGTCTTTACTTGAAATTAACGTGTACCAGTGGTGTAGATACAGTGGCATTATTTTTCCAAATAAAAAAAGTACACCACTGTTTTTTTTTCGAAACGCGCAATTTTTCGAATTTTACCTTCAATTTGCTACTTGTGTTTTTTCCTAGAGTACAAACTCGTACATTGGCCTGCGAGGTTTCCTGATTTGAACCCCCTGGATATCTTTTTGTGAGGCGCTTTTAAACAACTAGTGTATGCTGAACAAATTAATACTGTTGATCAGTTACAAGAAAGAATGCGTTACATCAAATTCAAGTCACAACAAATTTTCGAAAATACGTTTTGCCTTATTAAAAAGATGCCGCGCTTGTATCCGTCAGAATAAAAACATTTTTTGAATATATATATATTGAAATAAAAATTGCTTATCTAATTTGTTTTTTTTATTTTTACGAAAACAATGCACTCTAAGAAAAAACACAAGAGTAATTATTTAATTATTTGTAGCAAATTAGAGGTAAAATTAAAAAAGTTGCGCGAAAAAAAAACAGTGGCGTACTATTTTTATTTGGAAAAAGAATGCCATTGATCCCCTGTAACTCTGCCACTGGTGCACATTGAGTTTGAGTCAAGACTTTTGAATGTGGACCATACTTCGGTAAATCCACATACAAAATTCCAGTTCATTCCAGCTATTAAAAAAAATGTTTTTTATTTATAAACTTCAACACCCCGTATCTTGCTACATAGAAGACCCCCTTAAAATGCGATCCTGTGTATGATGTTTCATTTTTGGTCACGAGTTGTGAATCGGATTTTGTTTCACCTAAAATCGCGCCCAATTTAAATTTCTGCTCCGGTTTAATCAGGTTTCACTTACCCATTAAACTCTTGTAGTTTTCGCTTTCATCGGCTTTACTCTGTTCGCCCATACTTTTCCACTGGTGAATCAAAGTGGCAGTTAATGCTCTCAACAGTACGGAACAGTAACATATAGCTGGTCTATAGACTGCTACGAAACTTAGTAGGTCCCACAGTAACGGAGTTGTAGCAAACAACCTTTGGATGAACAGATCTCTTTCCATTGTAACCTGGAATGATGGTCAGCCATAAATTTAATGAGATAGCAATCAATTCGCATAATTTTCCGACATAAATATGGGAGAAATGGAAATAAGGTGATAGAAATGCCATCTACTGCCAAATGAGTCAATGTAAATATGAGCTAAATACTGGGTGCGCCATCTATTACTTTTTTTTACCTATAAGTTTATGTGTTACCATGTGAGTCAACAGTCATGTGGTATGCCATTTATAGTCATGGATTCGTTTACAACACAACAACGCATTTTGGTAATCCAAACTTATTATGAAAACGGTCGAAATATAAAAAATACTTTTCGCAAACTTCGCACTAGTTTTGGCCGACATGGACGCCCTACAGAGCCTGGAATTCGTTGGAATGTTAATCGTTTTGAGGAATCTGGTTCAGCTGAAGGTCGAAGACCATACCAACATGCTCGTCCAGCTCGTACTCGTGAAAACATAGCCGCAGTGAGTGAAAGTGTGCGGGAAGATCCAACCACCTCGACTAGGCACCGTTCGCAACAATTGGGACTTTACGCCGGATTTTACACCTCCATCCATACAAAATCCAACTAACACAAGAATTGTAGCCGGCAGACCATCAACAGCGGCGTGTTTTTGTTAATTGGATGCTGGAAAGAGAAGACGGATTTTCGGCCAAAGTGCTCTTTTCTGATGAGACTCATTTTCACATCAATGGGTATGTAAATAAGCAAAATTGCAGATTCTGGGGGGCTAAAAATCCACACCAATATCATGAACAACTCTCCATCCTGAAAAAGTGACTGTTTGGTGCGGATTAGGGACTGGTGGCATCGCGGGACCATTCTTCTTTGAAGATGCCGAAGAAAAGGCCATTACCGTCAACGGGGAACGTTATCGCGGCATGTTAACAGACTTTTTGTGGCCACAATTGGATCCGACGATCTTTGGTTTCATCAAGACGGAGCAATGGCTCACACATTTCGCCAAACAATCGCCTTATTGCACACGAAATTTCAAGACAGTATAATTTCACGAAATTCAAATGTCAGTTGGTCCCCGAGATCGTGCGATTTAACACCTCTTGACTATTTTCTTTGGGGAAAAGTCTATGCGAATGGCCCCCGGACAATTCAAGACCTAAAGCGCAATATTCGGACTGAAATTGCGGCCATCGACCCGATTATTCTAGGAAAAGTCGTTGAAAGTGTTGATGTTCGGATGTTGGCGTGTAAGCGAAGCCGCGGTGGTCACATGACTGATGTTATTTTTCATACATAAATGGCATGAACCAACCTTCATTTATCAATAAAAATAGAAAAAAAAGTAATAGATGACGCACCCTGTATACGTTACAAGTCGAAATCTGACAGTTGCAATTGCACTACAGCCATTCCAGGTTCACGGACTGACAATCAGACGACATTTTTCGAAATTTTCTGTCACATTGATTAAAAATGACGAGAGACACACCAACAGCTTCATCTACGATAGTTTTAGCACATTCTTTTGACCTAGTTTTGAGGAATAACGAATTGGTTTAATATTGAATTTCTTACTGTGAAGATTTGTGACGGTAAACATCGAAAATTTGACTGTTACCATCATTTACATAATTCTATCGATAGAAAGAAAAAACAAGTTCTGTGAAATTTCTTATGTAAATGAGAGCTCATTCTTCAAAATGATATAAACATACGATATATGTATGTTCAATTAAAAGCTAGTTGTCAGCAAAAAACATGTATGTTACGGACTGATCTAATGTCACCGACTGACTTCTTTGAGGGCGGTTTGTCAGTGATACAAAATCAGGCACCTGTCACCGCTTTTTAACGTTTTTTGCAACAAAAAATTAACCGTTACTGCAAACTGGCCCTGTAAGGTCTCATTTTGAATGTATTTTCATCCTCAGTAACTTTTTTGCACCAATCATTCACAAGTGCTTGAATAAACGCGAGAAAGTGTTTTTTCGAACTTTGCCGTTGAATAAAACATAAAACAGTTAGCCTGGAAAGATTTTTGTGTCGACGAGGCGCTTTTCTGTATACCTTCAAAAATTAAATTCCTTTGTAAAAAAGTTTATTACAATTTCATTAATAATAAAGATAATATCTTTTATTGAAATTTCTTTGAGGATATGAGACGTCAACAGGAAAAGGTCAGATTTGATAAGTAAAAGAAAAATATACATGATTAAATTAGAATAAAATAGGTGAAATAAGTTAATAAATAAGTAGCAAAAAAATTATGTTCGTTGAGAAATATAAATACCTAAAGAATAGAAAAAGTATGAAGTATAATAAGTGAAATAGATAAATATGTAATTATTCAGAATTATAAAACTCTTGCAGAGAGTAAAAACTTACTTATGGTTCAAGCATGCTAAAAGTTGTTTTTTGACGACTTTTACATCGCTAATGGTTTTTAACTCGAGGGCAAATTATTGAAGATAGATCCAAATAGGTAGTGCTGAGCCTATAGTTGTTCAATGAAGCGTTTTACTATTCCTTAGACTGTATCTCTGGGACTCTTTCAGGTAAAAGAATTTAGAATGGGTAATGATGCAATGAGAATAAGTCTGACTATTCTGTTTCGGAGGATAAAGATTCGTTGGGCCGCAACAGACGATCCCCAATATAGCACTGAATATATGAGGTGGAAATATACAATAGAGTAGTAGACATTTATTAAGCGTTTTTTATTCATTATGTATTTCAAGTTCTTTAGAGCAGAAATGCCGAATTCATTTTTGGTCTACTTTCCAGCTCAAATTTTCATCCACTATAAGACCTGGTACTCTTTCTGGCGACTTTTGTTTATTATAACTGCGATGTTCTTCGGCCATCGTATGTGATACAATATGTATTTGGTTTTATCTGTATTAATTAGTAACCTATTTAATACTACGCATTTTTGAAAATTTCGCATTACGATGTTATATCGCTGATACTGTTATAACGGGTGATTTTTTAAGAGGTATAGGATTTGATTTTCAAAAAAAAAAAACACAAAAAATTTGAAAAAACGATTAAATCTTTATTTGAGTCGATAGAACGGTCGATATAATTTAATGTTTAAAGATTATTTCATGTAAATGTTTGCCGCGGCTCCGCTTTAGATGGCCCATGCGCAAGGTCCAATTTTGACACACTCTCTCCAACATATCGGTCGGTATCTCACGAATAAATGCTTCAATATTGGCTTCCAGTGCGTCAATCGTTGCTGGTTTATCCCTGTAGACATTAGCCTTAACATGGCCCCACAAGAAATAGTCCAACGGCGTTAAATCACACGATCTAGGCGGCCAATTGACGGGCCCCAAACGTGAGATAAACTGTTCACCGAACTCGCCTCTCAATAGGGCCATTGTTTCGTGTGCGGTGTGGCATGTGGCACCGTCTTGTTGAAACCACATGTCAGCCAAGTCCAGCTCTTCCATTTTGGGCAAAAAAAGTTTTTATCATCGCACGGTAGCGCTCGCCATTCACAGTTACGTTCCGGCCATTATCGTCTTTGAAGAAGTACGGCCCGATGATGCCTTCTTTCCCTACTGGCCGATACGACCGCTCCTTTGTCCCGAGGGTGTCTAGATTGTGGAACAATCTACGGGAGGAAGCTTTTCCCAGTTCTACTAACCTTAGGCAGTTCAAAAATCGTATTAACAAAATTTCTTTGGGATCATCATAGCAGCCGCGGTGTTCCGGCATTTAGGCTTCTGCCTGCGCGGCTGTTTCGATATAAAAAAAAAAAAAAATGCCACAGGCCCATAATCTACACCAAACAGTGATTTTTTCGGGATGCATTGGTAGCTCTTGCAATGCTTCTGGCTGGTCTTCACTCCAGATGCAATTTTGCTTGCTAACGTACCCATTCAATCAGAAATGAGCTTCGTCGCTAAACACAATTTTTCGATAAAAATGTGGATCTTCCTCCAACTTTGCCAGCGCCCATTCACCAAATGGGAAACGTTGTGGGAGGTCGTGTGGCTTCAATTCTTGCACCAGCTGTATCTTATAAGGTTTTACACCCAAATCCTGTCGCAAAATTTTCCACGTAGTGGAGTAACAGAGGCCCAATTGCTGCGAACGGCGGCGAATCGACATTTCACGGTCATCACTAACACTGGCGGATACAGCCGCAATATTTTCTCCAGTCCTCACTCTCCGTCTGCGTGTTGGTGGTTTAATGTCCAATAATGTAAACTGGGTTCGAAATTTAGTCACAAGCTTCCGAATAGCTCCCTCAGTAGGCCCACCAAACTGCCCATAAATTGGAAGCAGTGCTTTATGCACTCTCTTAACCGAGCACGAATTTTGATAGTAAAACTCAATAATTTGCAAGCGTTGTTCGTTCGTAAGTCGATTCATGGTTAAATTATAGACCAAACTGAACAAGTTTGACAATGACACAAGACACGATTCACGCATCATCTGTCAAAAACAGTGTTGCCAAAAAGATACTAGCAAATAAATCACCATTAGTATTCACATCAGCATAGGTTACCAGGAAATAATCATTATCAATTATGTGTTTGTCACAATTAAAAAAACAGAATTTATCTCAAATCCTAGATATCCTGATCTATCATCTAAAAATACCAACCTTAGAAAACTCTTCTTCTGGCCACGGTAGTCCATTATACATAACATCAGGACTAACAAACTGCACCATCAACAAACTCAACAATGTCATACCATCTCTGGACAAGTCCGAATACTTCTGTTCTTCTTGCAGAGCACAACACGCTCTTATCGAACCGATCAAGTGTTGAGTGTTAGCAGCTATAAAATCTTCCGGAAGTTCATCAACTGCTACAGATTTCCGCTTCCCGGAACCTATGATTCCTCCGTTAAAAACAGAAGAATGTTTTGTCAACGGTATCGTTTTATTAATTTTGTTGTTCTGTTTCAATAAAGCCTTTTCGCTTGCGTCGCCGTGCTCCGTACTTTTCGCTCCGAATAATACATTATCGCTCCTGAATAGCGACCTTTCAAGCAATTCTCTCAAAGCTAACACTCTAGCTACTTTGGAATAGGTGCACAGTCTCTTCAGCATCTGCCGGACTTTTTTGAAACCTCTCAGCTTATTGGATGTACCGTCATCTTTGCAACAAGCAAAGAAATAGTTAACTGTGGACTGAGTCAAGTTCAATACAACCTCTATTCTAACATTAGAAGGCTCTTTCAAACTTGGCAGTTCCAATGCGTCTAAGATGTCTGACATGTCGTGGATGTGCAAAGTTTCTGTCGCAAACAATGATGTGAGTTTTATCAAGTTGTCCTCTATCGCTTTCGAAACAAGTCTGGATTGTAAGATAGACGTTCTTCCCGTTTTATTGAGTTGTTCTAGTACCTCTTTGGTATTGCCGCTGACTATCCTAGAACCAGCCAGTGATATTACTCCTTGTTTCTCCCATCTGGAAAATCCAAGAACAAAGGTGAACTTCAATTGAATCGTTCGGTGCGAAAACCTCGTAAGTAATTTGGAGTTTCCAGGAGACAATAAAAACTGTGTCATTGAGACATAAACCAGTTTACTCTTTTTGGGACTAGTGTAGTATTTGTAGTTCAAAACATTCACATTACGAATAATCTTGACAGTTTAATAATGGTAGTCATGGAAAAAGCATGGAAAGCTGTTATGGACTTACGTTGTTTTAGCAAGAAATAGGATTAGTGGTACGAGAGCGGTCCGATAAGTACTTAGGACTCACGATGGCGCCACTATCGTGTAGTACATTGTTGTAGAGGGCTACTGTCGAAATTTCAGTCGAATCGGACACGTAGTTTTGTTTTGACCGCATTTGGAAGCGGGCGTGTCCGCGGAATGTAGAAAAATGGAAAAATAGCAATATCGGTGGATGATTCGACTCTTGTTTATTGGAAGGGAAATCGCCCAGCGAAATCAAAGAGCGCTTAGATGCTGTGCACGGTGACTCTTTTCCTTCGATCGCGACCGTTAAAGATTGGTTTAATGAGTTTTAACGTCGTCGTCGGTTATCCCGTTACGGAGGTCTACTTTGCAGAAAACGAAAAAATTTTCAGACGGGTTAAAGAAGTCGGAGCATCACTGGGTCAATGGTATCGAGCTAAAAGGCGATTATGTTGAGAAATAAATCGCTCTTTTTCCAAAATTTTCCTTTTTATTTTATAGGCTAAGTACTTATCGGACCGCCCTCGTATATACCTTGAGGAAAAGAATCATACTAATCATATTTTGCATTGCTTATTAACTTATTATTGGAAATTACACTTCAATATTGATTCATCATGCCGCATGTTTTAATATCTTTAAGGGACACAGGTGCTGCACGGGAGCAGTTGCAAATCGTTCGACAAAGACAAAAATATACGAAAAATTCGTAGGCCTTTATGGACCTGCATTTGTGATTTTTTACAAAAAAATGGATATTTCTCAAAAATGGTTAGTTTGGTATAGGACGTTATATACCTAGTAAATACTAAGGCAAAAAAATGGAGAAGATAGGCGAAAGGCAGATCTACAACATCAAAAAATGATCCTAGTAAGAGTTTCATTGTTTTTGAGATATTATTTTTTTGTCTTTTTCGAAAAATTTCCTCGTTTGATCTACCTTTTGTTGCTGATTAAGCAGGTAATTTAACGCAGTACTTTGCAGTAGCAGTCTAGTACATTTTCATTTCATTGCTGAATACCAAAGTTGAGTAACATAGTTTTCTAAAATAAAAATTTCGAAGAAATTAGTTTGTCAAGTTTACCTACTTGTATTTGTCGAGAATGATATTTCAAATAGCAGAACAACTATCTGAGAATATTTTGCAAAAAAACAAACAGATATCCTGTTATTTCTAGACACGGCAACAAAAGATAGATCAAAAAAATTAATATCTCAAAACAGTGAAACTTTTACTAGCGTCATTTTTTGGTATGTTTTGTACCATACAGTGTTCCATTTAAAATACGCAAATTGGTTTATACTTTCCGTATAACCGAAAGTTCCACGATCTTGAAAATATTTTAGCCGTCTTTGCATGAGTTATACCATAACCTCAAGTTTTCATAATTATTCAATTTTTCGAGCAATCTATCGTTGCAGTTCTACTTGGGACACCCTGTATAAAAATCACCCATCACAAACTAAGACAAGTCGGTCTGATTTTCACTTAACGTTTCTCACTTGGTACTAGCAAATCTGACCTCTACTCAACCCAGCAGATACCCTCGCGCGGAAAATACATATTAACGCTATTCAATGCCTACGTTTTAGGTTTGTTCGAGCAGTGGTCGGTGACTATTTCTCACGAGTATCCATCACGGTAGAATAACAGCTGATTATTTAGAGACATTTCAAAACTCCCAATGTCAACAAGTGACACATAAGTAATTCTGAGAAATCAGTCAAGGCCAGGTAGACAGATCCATATCAGATGTACGGAAAATAAGAAATGTGTAACAACCCTGGGATCTTGGACTATATATACAGGGTGACTTGTAATGTCACGTATTCCTGTTAAGGGGTGATAGATTAGGTCAAAAGCAACCGATTTTGTCCTATCATGTCTTATCTAAAAGTTAACCATTTTTGAGCTATTTGAATTTTAAGTTTTTTATTTTGTGGTTTCTTTATCATCATGGCAGACGCAGAAGATCCGCCAGGATCTCGCCATAGCGAGTACGGGCAAACTTTTCAAATGAAGAATACGCACTTGACTTTGTAACGGCGATTCTGCAGCTGCCCGCCGTGAATATCGGCAACGTTTCCCGAATCGCCGAACATCTCATGTTACTGTAGTTGACTCTGTGTATCGGTGCATCCGCCAAACCGGACGTGTTCAAAGGCAACATAGTGATGCTGGACGTCCCTGAGTCTATCCTCCTGAAGATGAAGAGGAAATCCTTCGTGTGTTTCAGGAAGACCCTACTACGTCTACGCGCATTGTGGCTGCTCAGTTGGGTATATCACAATACAAAGTATGCTTTACTGTGCATACTGCAAGATTATACCCTTATCACTACACGCCTGTGCATGTGATTGAAGAGGGCGATCCTGCAAGACGATTAGATTTCTGCAGGTACATTTTACATGCAGATACAGAAGATCCAGACTATTTTAAGAAAATTCTGTGGACCGATGAATCGAAGTTTGATAAGGACGGGATCACTAACTACCATAATGCTCATTACTGGGCTGATAAAGAAGCTTTAAACCCCCGAAAAATAAGACCGAAGGGGTCTCAGAGCCGGTTTTCAGTCAATGTGTGGATGGGCATCATTGATGGATATTTAATTGGACCTCATTTTCTGCCCGGGGGATTACAATTTGAGCAGAATCTGTAAAATACTAAAAGAAATGTAATTAAATAAAACTGTAATTAAAATAAAAGCCTTTTATTTATCCTACGTAATTATCGTTCGTGCAACTTTACTCATCTTTTTTTAATTTTATGTCTTTGTACTTGAGTTAGTTGTAACTTTTATACCTCAAATGAAAGCTTGTTAGATAGATATTATTTACATAATTTGCACATTTCATTACTAGGAGATTTTTTACAGAAAATTGCATTTTTTATCGAATAAGTTAGTAAAAAAATAAGAAAATCACACATTTCAAGAGCGTAATTTTAAAGCTTTTGTAAGTTTTCAACATTTTATTACTTATTATAAACTATTGGAATGTTCGCTATGCGACGGTAACAAAAAACTCAAAATCAAACATGTAGTTTTTTTGTATTTCAAATTTAACCGTCTGAAATCGGAATAAAAAATAAAAAAAGTAAAATTCAAATAACTCAAAAACGGTTAACTTCTGGATAGGACATTATAGGACAAAGTCGGTTGTTTTTGACCTAATCTATCACCCCTTAACAGGAATACGTGACATTACAAGTCACCCTGTATATTACTCTTACAAAAGCTTTGCATGATATTTTTTCAACATTTCAACCATGAAGTATTTCGAATTACCTTATATATACATATATCTCTCTTCTTCGCATGTTTGTTTGGTCTGATACTTACTGTAACAAGGTATATAGGTTGCTCCACATTTTACCCAGATCAGTCTTTTCTTCGTTACCACCGTAGAATTTCTGCTCGTACCTATTCAAAATTTGCTCCAAAACGATAGACAAATGGCTTTTATTATCGTATGGGGGTAAGCTTTTGTCTATGAGGTCGCTCGACAGGCATTTTATTAGTAAGCTCAGTTGGCCTGCATTGGAAGCATTTCTCAATATGTGCTCGATGGATTTAATCAGCACTGCTGGTTCTATATGGCCTGTAAGGTAGATTGAAATTAAAATCTATACGTTTCAACTTTTTCATATGTATTAATCAAAATAAAAGTATTATTCGGTTTCTATAAAGACCTGTCCAAAAAACCGTTTTGGGTTGTGGTGCCGTGTTGTAGATTCTTGAGATTTGAAAGCCTAGCCATTAGATTCTGACAGAACCCAAACGGTAGAACTAGAAAGGAGCCAATACATAACTGTTTCAAACCAAGTGAGTTAATGTACTGCCTTAGTATTTGCCTCTCATTTAACGTTTTGTATACACTGAGAACCAAATTTATAATAATAATAATAATAATAATATACGCCTTTATTACAAAAAAATATGTACATGGTACATACTGAAAGTGGGACTCAACTGGCGAAGTTTAGCAATGCTACTCTTACACTTAATCAGCTGAATCAATAAATACAGTGATGTTAATTAAATTCAAAACATATATATATATATATACATACATGTACATACATATACATACACATACATACATACACACATATATACACATATACACACACACATACACATACCTATATATACATATATATCATGCGCCTAATAATAATATTAGCTTCTCAACGTAATAAATATAAAGTCTGATTGGATGATGAATGTGGAAAGGATAGTATCAGTCAAGCAGCCTGATCCTTACATGCTTACGAAAACTTGCTAAGCTCATACATTTAAAGGAATATTCCAACGAATTATATAGAACTGCCGAATTATAAGAAAAACTGCGGGTGAATAAGACTGTAGAGTGAGGCGGAATTCTGATACTCAACCTATCTCTAAGCAACCGATCATGAACAACAAAGTTAAATAGAATTTTTTCTCTCAAGTAGGCAGGCTTTGAAGTGGTTATTACTTTGTGAATAAATATTAGATGGTGATATTCGACCAATTTATCAAATTTGAGCCATTTCAGCGTACTGTATTTCTGTGATACATGGTCAAATTTTCTCAATCCACATATAAAACGGACACAATTATTCTGTATAATTTGAATTCTATTTTTCGTTATTTTGTCAAGGCATGGGAAATAAAGGATGTTACAGTAGTTCAAACAAGACATCACTAGCGTTTCACACAGTTTTTTCCTGAGCTTATAGTTCAGTAAGTACCTACAAGAGTACAAAGTGCGTAGGCGGAGGTAGGTTTTTTGAGCAAGACAGTTGATATGATTATAAAACCTTAACTTCTCATCGACCTCGACACCTAAAATCTTGGCAGTAGTACCAACCTGAAGAAGATTTCTGTCAATAAAGATATTAAGGTTACCTTTTACGTAGTTTCTTTTATTATCAGAACAGAAAACTATGATTTTTGACTTCTCAGGATTAACTAATAAATTATGATCGGCTGAATATTTACAAACCATGTCAATATCATGTTGTAGCTCTATATTGGCTGTTGGTAATTCACTAGCTTTAAAATAATGTACTATTTGGGTATCGTCTGCAAAAGATTGCATTTCAGAATTTTCCATTACTGCATATAGATCGAAGGTGTAGATGAGGAATAAGAGAGGACCTAGGATAGAACCCTGAGGCACTCCAGATGGTATGACACTTGGGACAGAGCTCTGTCTAGATAGAGAAACTTCCTGAACACGGTCGGTTAAATACGCACAGAAAAATTTAAGTGAGGTATTATCAAAGCCAATATATTTCAATTTAGCTAGAAGAAGGATATGATTGATTCTATCAAATGCCTTACAGTAATCAACCGATATCAAAGCTACTGTGATCTTTTTATCAAGCGCACGTAGCACATTGTCGCATAGATTTAATAAGGCAGCTGTTGTACTATAGTGTTTTCTGAAACCAGACTGATTAGTGGATAAGATTTTGCATTCTTCAATGTAAGCAGTTATTTGAATCTGAACGATCTTTTCTAAGATTTTTGATAACACCGGCAATAAACTTATTGGTCGTAAATCTGAAAGCTGGGTTGGTTTGTTAATTTTAGGGATAGGAATAACTAAGGCATGTTTCCACATAGTGGGAAAGTAGCCTTTCTCAATACATGAATTGATTAGATGTACAATATGAGCAAACGTTATAGGCAAACTGACTTTAATCATGGTTAAAGATAAGGTATCGATGCCCTTAGCATCCGACTTTAAGCTTTTTATTGCCTGAAATACTTCAAACGGTTCGGCAATTCTTAGAGAAAAGTTATTGTTTGGGTGAAACTTATTTCGATTATAAAATTGAATTACATCTTCGGGAATATTATTAGCACAGTACACGCTCATAAAGTAGTCATTAATCGCATCGGGATCACAAAAATTTGACGGTGTAGAGGGTTTACTACTAATATTTATATCAATATTTTTGAGTCCATTCCACAACTCTTTCGCATTACCTTGCTCCGTTAACAATTCAACGTACGCTTTTTTTTGTTTGCGGATCTCTAAGAGAGCTTTATTTCTTTTCTGTTTATACTTAGCAAAATTTTCTTCCGTTCGATTCTTTCTAAAAAAAGCCAAAGCTTCATCTTTTTCCTTTAGTAGTTGTTTAAGGTTGCTGTTCAACCAAGGAGCAGGTTTTTTGTTAACTCTAAATGTTCTGATTGTATACACTGAGAACCAAATTTATCTGACAGCTTGAGTGCAATGTGTACGAGAGAGAAGTGTGTATAAAAACATATGTGAGAAAGAGATAGAAGCCGACTGGATATCGATGCTCACAACCGCGTTGCCTAGCAACGCTGACGCGGCAGTCTGCCAAGATGCATCAGTTTATTCTATTTGCTCAAATCAGTTTTAGATCGAAAACTGCTTTATTTCGACTAACTTTTGTTTTAGATTTTCTGAACAAAAAAGGTTCTTATAAGCCCATCTTTAAAAATGGCAGTTTTCGAAATGTAAGCTATTTATTATTTTAAAAATGCGGAAATGCCATTTTCGGTCCCGGCAAACAATAGGAAAAAACGAAAAATTCTATGTTGCCAAGGTTCCCAAACATCCATTAATAATTTTCAAATTCTTTAAACAATTTTTGACGCAATGTTGGGCTTAACAACACACATATTCGCGTAAAGGGGTCCTTTTTGAATGAGGATATGCAAAGACCCCTGAATGAGAATATTTGTCCGAGCAGATACGAAGATTTTTCTTGGACTAATAGAAAATTTCTATGAACTAGCTAACAAGAAAACAGAGTATAAACCCGCGACATAATTACTTTTGACAACGCTAAAAAATGGAGAAACTCATGCAACATAAAAATACACGATATAAAAATTTGGCAGCTTCAAGTCCAACAAAATCGGAAAAATTTGATGAAAACTACAGACTAACCAAGATGTTAGACATACCTACACACCAGTGACTAACATATATTTATTAAAATTTTGATCAAACCAAGTTTGCAATTGCTGAACTGATACGTGAGATGTAAGTATTTGATCTACAAGTAAAAATACGTTTATTATACTTTACCTAAAAAGATAACGATTCGACAAGCCGTATCGTATGCAATTTTTTCATTGCTAAAGAGCATTTTGTTGATTTTATCATGTTCTTTTTTGAACGACGACACAATAGCAACAGGGTTATTTTTCCTTACTGATCCGTCAATTTCTTGGATGACAGTTACTAAAACAAAGTCAGAATTATCTTTATTTTGTGAATATATCGGGCACTGTTCTTACCAAGAATTTCTTTCGATTTTTCAATTATATCTTGCTTCATCTCATTTGTGCCTTTACAATCTCGAATTTGTATACAATCCAGTAAGAGTTTAATTATGTCCACCCCTCCACTATCACATCTTAATATTAACGAAACTATCAATTCCTAAAAAGATAAGTCATATTTTTTAATAAGGAACTACCGGAAAATTTTATTTCAAATACCTCCAGAGCTTCAGGAGTTCCAAAATATTTTATCCAGTCGCCTAGTAAGTAATATAGCATCGCTATCACTTCCGGGGTCACTAAAATGCAATCATTATATATTTCAAAATGACACTTTTAAGACAACTTACATGTATTCTTAGTATCAGAGCAGACTGATCGCAGTAACGTTGGTGAAAGATGAATTAGCTGCAAAATATATGGTACTGTGGCTTTCTTTTGCAATCTGGTACTTTCAGTATCATCCAATCCTTCGCTTAAGCTCCACTGCAAAACAGAAAGCAGTCTCTAATACACATTCTATTAGTAGAAGATCCAAATTAGAAGTGATATTCACCGATCTGTTTAAGTCTAGTTAGAAGAACCAGAGTTGTTGAATGTAAAAAATTTAATCTGTTACTTAGTTCTCGTTTTCATATTCAAATTAAAAGATCATTTATTACCACCACATTTATAAAACTTCACAAAATTAAATAGTCATTATCATAACTATGAAACTAGAGCCAGTACAAAGTTTCACCTGCAAAATTATAATAGCAGCATAACTAGCAAATTTGTATTTCAAAAGGGAGTATTTGCATTTAATGAATTGAATACTGACATTAAACAGAGTTCGAATTTAAAAATGTTTGAGTTGAAATGAAAAAAAAAACACTCAAAATCTGTAGTGATGTAATTTTAATAGAGAAGAATGTAAAATTTCAGAAAATGGATTCAAAAAAATGTGTAAATGAATAATTATACAAAATTGACATTGTAGCATTAATGCTAAAAAAAACTTCAACAAACAAAAAATCTTGTGACGGTTCTGGTTTTTTCCTTCTACCGATTTTGTCCTTGAATCTACCAAATTTCAACGGCACTATCTACCGATTTCGTCTTTCTCTGTGTGGCAACACTGATTCAGGCCTTAGGTGTGGTGGCTCAAGTATAACAAAAAAAGAATCAATAAATTGCTGCTCACGTCTAAACCTTATTACTTGAAGGAAAAAATTTCATTTAATAATGATGTTCACTGTAGAACTCTCAGAGAAAATAATATTAGAATACCCCTGCATACGTCTACACTTTTTAAACGCAGTTTTTCTTACAATGTTGCTATTATCTATAATGACCTTCCTAAAGTAGATAAAGAATTTTCATTACCTGTCTTTCGACAAAAAGTTAAAACATTATTACTCAACCCTCCAAACATATAATTTACGTAATTATTCATTTCTTTTTTATTCCATCTTTAATTCAGATTAATAATGTTTTGGTGCATTTGGGTTTGGGTACTATGCCTTTTTCTCTTTTTTTTTTATTTTTTTTTTTTTTAAATTTTACTTTCGATGTAATGAACCAAATCTGTTTGTGGATAGTGTATTCTTTTGAACATCTGCTAGAGATTTTATGGTTAAGTGTAAGAGTAGCACCATGCTAAACTTCGCCATATAAGTCTGACATTTGGCTATACTACATGTAATTGTGCATAAATAAAGACATCTATTATTATTATTATTATTATTATTATTATTATTATATACCTTGAACATTTCTAAAATAGCCTTCCTGATATCTTCGACATGACTGCCTGCTAGATGTCCCAATATACCGACTACTGACTTCAATTTTGGTGAACTATTGACTTGTTCATAGGATTTGTGCAGGGAAAAGTCCTTTAGACCAACAGACAGTACCCTTGTAATCACAGTATTTGGAAAACAGCTTCCCACATGTGCAACCACCCAGTCAAAGTGTGGAGAATGTTTTACGGAAGCATCTTAAAAAGGAAAAAAAAACTGTAAAATGAACATAATTTAATGTAAAATAACAAACCTAGCAATGCACTTATACATGCATCAGTACCAGAGTGTATCAAGCTGGAAAGGCATTTGGTGTTTATGTCAACCAAAGATCTAGTAGCTCTGCAGGTCATCCACACTTGCAAGGTTTCATTTAAATCTAAAATGCATAATTTGTAAATCTAATCAATTCATATTTCAAAATAGAATAGAAGTTCTTCAAGAATTTTTATTGAAATAACTTGGTTATTACGGAATTTTTGAATTGCCTAAGCTTAGTGATGGTAATAAATTCCCTATTACTTTATGTTTTTGCTTATATAAAATTAAAGATATTACTAACTTGCTGAAAAATGAGCTCGCCCAGCATATTTTGTGGAGATCTCTCCTAATAGCTCCAAAGACCATGTACTTATGCATGGAGCCCATGCTACTGGATTTTCAGATATTAATGCAGCAAAAACAGAGTGTATATCGGAGATAATATGCTCATCTGATTCAGAAATTGGAACAACCTTTCCTGTCTTGATTTCAACCTAAAAGATGTCAGTAGGTGAATCTTACATCACTATTCATCATGACCATGTAGCCAGAATGTCAGTAATTATTGATGTATAAGGTTACTTAGAATTCCACTGATACAGAAAGATCAGTAAATACTGTGGTATAGACCACAGTAAATTCTGATTGTGCGACATTAGTCTTAGTACCTTAACAAAATCTAGAAAATATATTATTATGTATTGCAGAATCTAGCAAAATCATATTTCCCCCTCAATTTCATGCTGTGAAAGGGCAACCCACTCCCCCTATAATTTATTTTGAATAGATCGATGGATGATACTCATTGAAATACCTTACCTCTACTCCTTCAATGTAATTAAGGGCTGCTGAATCGAAAACATTGCGGAAGTACTCAAAAACTGCTATTCTAGTAGCTGGAAGACTCTTTAAAAGGGTCAAAGCAGACTTGGTGAGGTCTAAAGGACTACATTTTTCCTTTTTTGTTGATCCTTTCAAGAAAAAACGAAGCTCACTTATCAGGTCTGTTTGAGGAACATTCCGCACAACTGGTTGTAGACTCATTGTTCAGTGTTCAGAGATTTCACACAATAGTAACAATAATACTTCATTAATGATTAGTAGGTAAATAAACATTCCTCGAACTGCGACAAGTTAAAAGTTGGGTTATGTATCACAATCACTCGTGCCACAGTCACAGTTCTTATGTGATAGTGATGGGTAATGTTCCTGATATCATTCAGTGCCGAGTCTTTTCACGAAATATCGAATTTCTCCAAGACAAGAACATTAATAAAGCGCAACAGGGCTGGAAACCATCAGCAACTTTCAATTGAAATTATCCCGTGGTCACGCCAGACAACTGGTGGCCAAATAACTTGCAAACACCAGACAGTTTTACTTGCAATTACCTACTTACAAAGTTCAAAGTGTTTTTATTCGTTGAGTAATGACAAGTCTCCAAATATTATGAAAGTACAATTCTATCGTTGAATGAATTTTTTTGAGATCCTGTTCTATGGAATCTCACAGCTAGCAGATGCTCCTGTTAACAACGGGATCTCGCGAAAAAATCTCTGTTGTGTTGTGACCATTGACGTCTTACCAGGTAAGACGCCAATGGTTGTGACAAACGTTCAAAAGCTGATGACCTACCCTAATGCGGGTACCACACGATGTTTCCTACGTTGTTTACAACGTTCGACACCCCGCAATTGGCAAGTGTCTCTCCTACATGATGGGATGAACTTTTTAGTCTCAGACGTTCGACGAATAGTGGTATTAGTGGCACCAACGTCTATTATCGGTGTCAGTCAGCGCTTGAGCCTTTACAACCGAAGGAAAAATATACAAAATGAACGATGAAACAATTTTTTCGAGCGGCGAAAAACAATTTCAGATATGTCTTCAGCGCCCAAAACTTAAGTCTATCAGAAGCCTTAGAATGTCGAAAAACAAAGTTTGACCGTTTTTTGTTTGGTTTTTGACGCCGCCACTGTACCGATTTTCAAAAACTGCAGAGCTTTTTCGTCATTTTCATAGTAGTAACCTAAGATCAAAATTTCATCAAAATCCTGATAGTATTTTCAGAGTTATCACTTATTTAATCGTTTTCGCTAGTTCTGAAATGCAAGTCAATATGTTTCTCGACTAGTCTTGCATCGCAACAGGACATTGTAATGAAACAACTGTAAGCACTTGATAATTTATAATTGGCTAAAACGTACAAAATATTAGCAATATGAAAAAAGCGATGTTATGGCAGCCTATGCTTTGGATGTATACTAATTTAATTTATTCTCCTCAAAAGTTAGTTACGGAACATACATTATTATGAATAGGTAGGTATTCAAATTAAAATACTTTCCACATACCACTACTTCACCACAATCACAGCGTACAAGTAAATAATGTTAACGTTGGACACATGCAATCCGTCAGCGCTCTTCCACACGATCTGGCGAATGCCTTACAGCGTTGGACACATGGCCATGGGTTTTAGGTTAGAACCAGTAACGGCGGAAAACATTATTTACTGGTTCGCTGTGATTGTGGTGAAGTAGTGGTATGTGGGAAGTATTTTAATTTGAATACCTACCTATTCACAATAATGTATGTTCCGTAACTTTTGAGGAGAATGAATTAAATTAGTATACATACAAAGCATAGGCTGTCATAACAACACTTTTTTCATATTGCTAATATTTTGTACGTTTCGCAGGTGAGTTATGGCTAGCCTAATGATATGTATTTTAGAAAATTATAAATTATCAAGTGCTTACCGTTGTTTCATTACAATGTCCTGTTGCGATGCAAGACTAGTTGAGAAACACATTTCATAATTAAGTAAAACGAGTAAATAAATGATAACTCTGAAAGTACTATCACGATTTTGATAAAATTTTGACCCTAGATTACTACTATGAAAATGACGAAAAAGCTCTTCAAATCTTGAAAATCGGTACAGTGGCGGGGTCGAAAACCAAACAAAAAACGGTCAAACTTTGATTTTCGAAATTCTGAGGTTTCTAACAGACTTAAGTTTTGGCCGCTGAAGACAGATCTGAAATTGTTTTCGGCGCTCGAAAAAATTGTTTGATCGTTCATTTTTTATAAATTTTCCTTCAGTTGTAAAGGTTCAAGCGCAACACTGACACCGATAATAGGCGTTGGCGCCACTTTGCGTCGAACGTCCGTGACTAAAGTTCATCCCCTCGTGTAGGAGACACACTTACCAATTGTGGGGTGTCAAACGTTGTGTACAACGTTGGAAGCATCGTGCCGGACCCGCATTAGGGTAGGTCGCCAGCTTTTGAACGTTTGTCACAATCTCTGTCGAGTGAGTTCTATCGACAACTGTCAGTTAAGTTAAGGCCTATTCATACTCAGCCGTGACATGACAGTGCTGTGACCGGCACGTGATCCGCCCGGCGAAACTAAAAAGATTCTTCCTGGAATTTGGATGAACTGATTCACACTAGATCGGCACGTGGAAGTGGCCGTGTGCCGTGTTCTCAGTGCCCTCGACGATGCCGTACCTTGATCACCGCATTGTTTTGGAACTAAATTTTTCGATTTTCACGACCGTGTTTTTACGTAATTTCGTGAATGTTTTGATATATTTGGTCAAAAACATGAATGATGAAAAACTAATTGAATTTATGCGCGCACATCTTGTGCTGTAGAACCAGTCAAATTCAAAATACATGGACTTCCGTTTTCTTCTCGTTTCTTCTTCTTCTTCAAATTTTGCCATTTCGACTTCACGTGAACACAACTGCACTGAGAAAAATACCAACCGGTGTGAATTGAAAACACTGTGAGCTCACGTCAGCAAGAATCAATGGCACGGCACTCTGTCACGTCACGGCTGAGTGTGAATGGACCTTTATGCTATCAGCTGCCAGTGTCAGGCAGTGACAGTGTTATGTTTTGTGAGTTTCATGTACTTTGTGATATTTTGCTTTTGATTTCAATCTAAAAAGCATTTTTACTTCAAAAATAATGAGTAACACCAGTTTTATTTTTAACACCATATTTTTTAAACCCGTCTAATTTTATACTCTCATTCAACATTGTCAAGGATGGCGGCTAAGCTTTCTAGAACCAAATGTTTACCTAAGCTGCTCCTGAAGAGGACTAGTATTTTCAGTCAAAAGACGAGAGTGACCAATCTTGCGGGCTTTTTTAAAGTTGACGAGGTGCATAATTGCAAATTTAGCGTCGATACGACTCTGCGAGGTACAGCTGGACACGCTGAGACCACCTGTACAACCCAGGGGCTCTCAAAACTGCAGGCTCAGGAGCTGATTCTCAGATTGAATAGTGTTGAACGCAATCACCTAATGACTGCTTTGCAAGAGTACAACTCAAAAATTATAAAAGAAGAGTATGAAGGTAAAATGTAGAAGGTATTTGATGTCTATGAGTGATGTAGAAATGATGAACTTTCAACCAGAGGAAATCCAAATGATTCTTTGCTTTACAATCAAATTTTGAAACTAAAATACTCCTATTTTACATTATTACTTCCCGATATCCGGTAAATTCTATTTTAATTCTACCCAAAATAAGACATAAATTGTGTAGCTAATTTCTATGATGTAACTAAATTATAATTCATGTAAAAATTGGCTAGTGTCTAAAAAAATCATTTTTTATAGTACTGAATCTAATTATACCAGGAGTTTGCTAGAGAACATAATTTGAAGCATTTAAAATGAATAAGTTTTTAGAGGTAAAACATTCAGTTACAGGCATTGTTTATAATTTAATAATACATTATGAGAAAAAACAAAATAATAATTTTCAATTGTATTACAGATAAGTAAGATAATGGTTGATAATTCATTGTTTCCCAAATGATTTTTGTGAATAATATATTGTCTCTAAACATTTATTTAGCCAGATAACTATTTTATTATAATTTTGATTACTTACACTGCATATTTTTGTTGGAGACATAAGCTTTTAGATGTTAAAAGCACTGCATTTTTTAAAATATGGCTATGCCACTAGAGTTGCTACAGAAAATTAAAACATACATAGAAGCAAATGCTTCATTAACAATTTATCTAATGAGCAGTATCAAACCACATGAACATTTATTATATGCCATATACTTCATGTGTTTGTTGATATAAGGAATAAGGGAACAAGGGTCATTCTGTTTCGCATCGTGGTAAGCAGAACAACGGACCGGCTAGCGGGACGTTGTAGTTAATTTTTCTAGAGGACATAGACAATAAATAATTTTATGCTTCAGTATACGTGGAAGTGCGTAGTGTCTGCATTTTCGTGTGAGTTAGGTATGTGAATATCGTCTGTTGTCTTGGATCTATTGCAATTTCTACATAAGTAGTTATACACTAAGGTCTATTTTTGTCTGCACTCCATCTATATTTTTTTTTTTTTTGCTCTGACAAAAATTCCACGAAGCAAAAACCTCATCCACGCTGTACTAATAAATAGCTCAGGGAAATTGGGTGTATGTTTTCGTCATGGCACCCGATGTCGAGCTGTGTAAGGTATGCGAGAATAATTTTATAGTGAGTACTAAAGCAATTAACTGTAGTATTTGCGCATCTAAATTCCACACTTCTTGTGTCTCAGTCAAAGACAGCTGGATAAAAATAATATCAGAGTGTGAAAATCTGCTCTGGGTCTGTGATGACTGCCGTTGCTTCCTATATAAGAAATGTGATTCATCTAAAACTGAGACTAGTATCTTACGAAAAGAAGTTGAATGTCTAAATAGGGAAATGGAGCTTACAAAGCGATTGATGTCGGAACTGGAGTACTCCAGTGAACTACAGAAAACCTTATTGAAGTCTTACGAAAATAATGTTTATGTGACACCAAAAATTGCATTGCAACCAAATCCAAGCACATTTAGCGATATTTTAAAGAAACCATCTACCGCTAGTTCATCTGTGTTGCTGATCAAGGCAGATGCAGTGGAAAATGCTGATAGCAAGAATATTTTCCAAGAAATCACGTCATCTGTTAACCCAGCTAATCTGAACGTTTGCATCAACTCCACTAAACGAATAAAGAATGGTGTAGCGGTTCACTGCAAAGATGACAAATCACTTAACACGCTCAAAACCAGTCTCAATAACAAACTTGGATCAAAATATTCCATTACCCAAGCCAGGAAGCTGAATCCTCGCATGCTTGTCAGAAATGTAAATTTGGAGGGCTTAAATTCGCCTGAGGACATAGTAAACAATATTATTTCCTTAAATAGTTTCGCAAACATTCAGCAGACTGACATAAAATTTGTCACGAAGCTGAAACACTTCAACAGTGTCAACATAGTCATTGAAGTTACACCGGCAGTGCGGAAAGTTTTACTTCAAGAGGGCTTTGTGTTCTTAGGATGGAAGAAGTCTCTTGTAAGCGATCACCTTCATATTGTGAAGTGTATAAAGTGCCACTCATTCGGTCATTCGGCAAAGGAATGCAAATCCACGGAAATAATATGTTCAAAATGCTCGGGAAGTCATATGTTAAAGGATTGTAAGTCTGATGTTTCAAAATGTATAAACTGCCTGAACTATAACAGAACAAAGAAGAAAAATATTCAATGTGACCATGCCACAAATTTTAGAGGTTGTCCAATGTACCAAAACTATGTACAAAACCTAAAAGAAAGAGTCGACTATGGCTAATCTATCTACTGATATGAATAAAAATAAAAACCTTAAAATAGCAGTATTAAACATCAGATCGCTTTTAGTCAAGTTTGTCGATTTCAAAAACACTGTGGTCAATTCCCAGGATTGGGACATTATTGCATTAACTGAGACCTGGCTCAATCAAAATGTAGACAATGATCTCATATCTTTGGATGGATTTACTCTTTTTAGGAACGATCGAGTTGACTCCAGAGGTGGCGGTGTTCTGATTTATATCACTAACAAAATTAGATGCAGCGTTATTGACATCACCTCTTCAGTTGAACAATTGTGGGTTACATTCAAAATTAAAGCGACGAGTTTTTGCTTTGGAGTCGTTTATCGGCCTCCTAAGTGTAACGTTTATGATTTTATCAATCAGTTTCAAGATTCACTTAGTTTGTTATATCCGAGATATGACAAAATGATTTGCACTGGCGATTTTAATATTGATTTTCTCGATAAAAACAGTAATGCTGTGAAGTTATTTGATGATTCGTTGAATAATTTTGGTTTGCATCAAATAGTAGCTACGCCGACCAGATTTGGAGTCTCCTCCGAAACGTTGCTAGATCTCTTTTTTTGCTCTGATGATATTCCAAGTACTTGTGATGTATGTAATGTACCAAATTTGTCTGATCACAGTTTGATATCTATAGTCCTTGAATATGAGGTAGAAACCAAACAACCTGTACTACGTAGCTACAGAGATTTCAAAAATATCAACCAAGAATCTTTTAAGACTGCTCTGGATGAAGTAGACTTTATGCAGATAGTTTATTGTCAGGATATAGATACGAAATTAAATATATTTAATCAATTAGTTTTAGAGCTATTTGACAGATTTGCACCCTATCGAATGGCAAGGTTTACGAAAAAACCAGCTCCGTGGCTGACTGATAACATTAAATTTCTAATGAAACTTAGAGATGACAAATTCACTGCCTATAGGAGATCAAGGTGCGATCAGAAATGGGAGGAATACAAAAAGTTACGTAATATAGTAAAATTAGCAACTGATAATGCTAAAAAGATTCATTTGGAACATAAAATTAACAGTACGAACTATAAGACTCTATGGAAAGATTTAGAAGCTATGAACTTTGGCAATAAGACACCCAGGTCATCTATCCCAGTTGATTTAGCTGATGTTGACAAAATGAACCGGTACTTTACGTCTTTATCTAGTGCAGGTATAGAACCTGATGCTGATACATTTTCTTTTTATAAAAATAATGTCAAACCAAATGTATCCCTCTTTGAATTCGCTTTGGCGTCCACAGATCAGGTTAAAGATACTTTGTTTGGCTTCAAAAGCAAAGCATTTGGTGCTGATTTGATAAATACCGAAATGCTGTTGTATTGCTGCCCCAAAATTATTCCTTTCATGACACATATCATTAATGAATGCATATTGCGTCGCTATTTTCCTTTTTGTTGGAAGCACGCTTTGATTGTGCCTTTGCCTAAAGTTGCTCAGCCATCTGAGCTCAAGGATTTGCGTAATATTAGTATATTGCCAACATTATCTAAATTGCTTGAATCAATAATGGATGTTCAGATAAGAGAACACTTAAGAACGAATAACCTCATTATAGATACACAATCAGGGTTCCGTCCGGCGCATAGCTGTACAACAGCATTGCTGGGAGTGGTGGATGATGTATTGTGCAGTGCTGACAAAGGTAACCTGACTGCCTTGGTGCTCTTAGATTATACGAAGGCATTTGACAGGATACATCATGACCTACTCTTAGCCATGCTCCACTTTTACGGATTCTCGGCCGATGCAGAGTCTCTAATGCGAAGCTACTTCAGCGATCGACAACAGCAGGTAATGCTGAATGATAAGTACTCTGCGCCATTGAAAGTGACCATTGGTGTTCCTCAGGGCTCCATTCTGGGTCCGCTAATGTTCATTATTTACACCTCTAATCTATACTTCAGTCTTCACTCTTGTAAAGCTCATTTTTATGCAGATGATACACAAGTGTACTTATCATTTCCTCCAGCTCAAACATTGCCTGCTGTTGATCTGATAAATAAAGACCTTGATCGTCTCACTAAAGCTTCTCGAAATATATGCTTAGACTTGAATCCGGCTAAAAGTACAGTCATGTTATTCGGGCCAAAAAATTGGAGAAACCATTGTGAACCTCTGGTGAAAATAAACCTCGATAACAATACTTTAGAAATAAGCTCGATAGCGCGTAATTTAGGCTTATACCTTGACAAAAACTTGAGGTTCGAGGAACATGTTAACAAGTGCTCCAGAAGGGCGTATTCTAATTTAAAGACGATATACGGTCAAAAATCTTACATCAACCAAAAAACTAAAGTCATACTGTGCAATTCTCTTGTTTTGTCGCATTTTAACTTCTGTGATGTCGTCTATGACAAATGTCTAACTAAATTCACTTCAGATAAAATACAACGCGTGCAAAATTCTTGTCTGAGACTTATTTTTGGTTTGAGTAAATTCGATTCAGTGTCAGCAAAGCTTACTGATGCTGGCTGGCTGAACATGAAGCAACGCAGGCTGCTTCACAGCCTCGTACAATACCATAAGATTATTATACAAAAACTACCTTCCTACTTACACGAAAAAATTCATTTCCGTTACTTAGCTCACAATCGCAATACCCGCAACAAAACTAAACTGACACCGCCTTTTCATTCTACCACCTTATTCGAAAGATCTTTTTCGTATAATATCAGCAAACTTTATAATAATATCCCGCGAGAGTATACTTCTCTTTCTATTGATTTGTTTAAAAAACGTATACGCTGCTACATTGCAGGGAATTGCATGGTATGACTTTGGAGGCATTATGTATTTTTATAGTACCATTTTACAAATTAGCCGCTAGGGTCCATTCTCTGATACTGCTTATACATGTATGTATGTATATGTGGGTATATATGTGTATATGTATATGTATGTATATGTATGTGTATATATGTATATGCTCTTTATCTCATTTTTATATATATGCTTACCTTATTATGATGTAACCTAAAACCAGGGGTTAAGTGGAAGAGCGGATAAGCCGAACTTCGCCCCTCCCACTATATGTTCTTATAAGACTGGTTTTTCAACTTGTTTTGTATTTTCTTTGGTGGGAATAAAGACATTATTATTATTATTATTATTATTATTAGAGCATTTAGCTATAGAGTTATAACATTAATACTAATTGATTCCTTAAAGGCTATATTTAATCTTGCTTTCAAGAAGAAATTAAATATTACAAATTATGATTTGTGCTTCTATTTGCTCATGAACACAAATGAATATTTTGTGGTAACTCTAGATAGTCTACAAATATGGCTATTTCTTTATGTAGTGACCATTGTTTGACCCCATCTAAATATCAAAATATTTGAAAAATTAGTACAATATTTCATAATACTATTTTCATTTCTATATATCATGATACTTTCTTAGTATTTTTGAAGTTAATATTGTTATTGATAATATTGAGGATGAGGAAAAGCATGGCAGTATCAGTGTATAATATCCTTAAACAATTTTATCAGGTTGATTTACCACATATACCCATATATATACCTTATATTTATTTAAGAGTTTATGTATGTTAGTTATTTTGGTAGACCTTCTGAAATATTGTACTCTTTTAACAAGTATTGTTGTTTATATTATTTATCAAAGTAACTCACAACATATACAACACTGACAAAAGACTAATCTAAATTTGAAATATAACATTATAAATAAACATAAATTCACAACCAGCATTTCATAATTCTTGAGGGTAATGTTTTTGGTTTTTCTGTTTACTACTTATATTTGTTTCATCATTTTGATTCTTAAGGTCAGTAACTCATAATGAAAATTTAATTTTATAGTGTATTTTATGAAACATATTTTTCTAAGCATGTACTGAGTATAGATAATTAAAGGTCAACTAGCAGCATCTAGATGGAGAAGTAAATATGGAAGGCCAAGTAAACTACCAAGATTAGGTGATGTAGACCCTACGGGGTCATATTGCACTTTTCCTGAGGACTGGCTGAAGAAGAAAATGGGTAGGGTATTGATCATTTTCACAGGGAACGCTGGTGCACTTGTAACTAACAACAGATTCACTCTACATCTCAGTTTGCTTTTGTAAATCATGTTATACTGGCCAAATCAGTAGAAGCATGATGTCACCATCTATCGCGATATTTTCTCGGAATTCGTATGTAACACGTCACCATTCAGGTAAAAAATGTATGATCCTTTACCCTCTCTCATCCTTCCCTACCCAAATGTTATGAGTATGAAGGATTTATAAATGTTTCAAAACATTTCATACTAAAATGATTATTTGGTATTTATATTTTCTTGGGTCATTCACAAACCAGAAAGAGGAACTTTTGAGGAATTTCTAATTTTTGCGTAATTATTTTATTTTCAAATTCTTAGATATACGAGCTAATTGGAAATCTACACATGGTGCTGGAGTTTTTATAAACAATTGGAGAATGTAACTTCAGTTTGGTTTTGGGATGAAACTAATAGTTTTATGAGAAAATTGCTTATAACAATTTTAATAACAAGAAGCTTTTCACACACTGCATTTTTATTGAACATTCAATACTACATTTAACACAGCTATTTTTCTAACTTGTTTGCTTTTTTATTCTTGTGCTTCAGTAGTAAGAAGTAGGCATGCATACTCCAAAACCCTAAAATGGTTGTATGTTGCTTCATGTTGTTTTTGATGCTGCATGTCATTGTTAGGTTGCCTCCCATAAAAAATGGCAAATTCAAATCCAATTATAAATTGATTAATATTTATGTTACATTTTAGCACAATCTGTTCCTAAGCCAACATCAAGGGACTTATTAAATAGTAAGTACGAGTATATCAACTTATTTTATTTTTAATAATATAAATAATATATAAAATATAAATAAGACTCTTCTCCTTAAAGCACCATAATATCTTTATACAAAGCTATCCGTCCTCTGCCAGTAAGATCAAAAATCCTCTAGGAATAAACACATCTTACTTATTCTGCTGCATTCGATAGCATTGTTTACAGGTAGCTTCTCATACTGGGCATCCAAACTGTATAAGTACCACTTGTCAACTGAGTGTAAAGAACTCAGCCTAAGTAATTTTAAAAATAAGTTAGAGATGTCCTTAAAGCAATCGGATGGCTAGAACTTAACATCACGCATCTCTACAGGCAAATTATTTGTTTCCTTTTTCTGAGAAGTGTAATATTTTAGGCTTATCAGTTGTGTCTGTGTCTTTCGGTCAGCGTCAGCTGACATTCCACCTTGTCGTCACTATTTTTTTTCTCCCTATCAAATCTTTCATTTTGTAATGCTATGACGAATTAAGGCAATTTATTATTATATTCATCCGAATTTATTCGCCACAATTGTAAAACATCAGTATGCTTTATTATAAACTGAAGTAAAATCAGTAAGAAAGAGATTTTTTTTACCATTACGTTTATAAATTTATCTGAAGTAAATTAATAAATAATCTGTTATAATTGGCGTGAGGATAGCTCATCTGTATTTTGTTGTAAATGATAGCAAGCAAAAAATGTTGACCTGATTTTTTTTTCAGTATCAGTAGCCAACTCCATTCCATTCATAGGTTTTGGGTTCCTAGATAACTTTTTCATGTTGATATTCGTAAGTTACTGAATATTACGTGAAGATTTGAATTTTTGGTGAACTATTTTAAATTTCAGGGCGATTACATTGACTTATACTTGGGTTCCTACTTTTGTGTAAGTACCATGGGTGCAGCTGCCATGGGCAATACTATTTCAGATATATTAGGTGAGTTGCCAAAAATAGTAAATGCGAGATTTGTCTGAGTACGACTCCTGCCTTTGCCTAGTTTTTACCAAACTCTCTCAGAAAGAGGGTTATGTTTCTCGCGCGTATGGACAATAAATTATATTTCACAGACTACAGGTTGATGGTTTTTGACATATGAGGTGTTGCTAGATTGGTCTTGGTAGTGCCAGTGACACTGTTTATATTAAAATTGATGAAATAAAAGTGGCGGATTTTAAACGAAATCGATATTGACATACAAGACATCTCTTGAATTATAGGACTTCAAAAAATTAAAAAAATGCAACAAAGTAATCGCAGACATATCTTGCACCTAAATTTTACAATTTGATTTCTGCTAATATTAGGAATATTAAAAAATAATAAAAAATTGATTGTTTCGTTTAAAATGTTGTGAAGGGAAAATCGTGAACAATTTATGCGTTTAAGCTACTTTGAGGTAGAATAATCTGAATATTTGTTTCTTTTCTTTTTTGTGATATAATTGTGATAAGTTTTTTCTGTGATCTCAAGTCCAATCTATGACTTACAAAAGATATAGGATTTTCTTTCATTTTGTTTATACTGTGTTTCATGTTTTGTTGGTATTTTTGAGTAATTTTGTACAAGAATATTATATAATATTGTACGATATTTATTAATTAATTACGTTAAGTAATAAATGCTATCTAACATGGGTCAAAGTATACATAAAAATGACAAATCAAAGTTTCTTATAAATAGTTTGGACATGTTTAATGTTACAAAAAATTCTATGGACGGACGAAGCAAAATTTACGAGGCAGGGGATCATAAACCATAGAAACGACGAATGATCGACGGAGTTTTAGTCGGCCCAGTTGAGCTACTTCCAAGGTTAGGTGGCCAGGGATTTTTGGACTTCTTGAGTACCGAGTTTTCAGATCTACCACTTATCAACCGCAGCAATATATGGTTGGAGCTCCCACACACTTTGCGCGAATTGTACGAGAACATTTGGATAGGCAACATTCTCCATGGATAGGACGTGGAGGCATTGTCGCTTGGCCACCCCGATCACCCGATTTAAAGCCCCTAGATTTTTTCTGGGACACAATGAAGCAAAAAGTCTACTGTCATGTGTCGACGACACGGGAAGAGCTCGTGGAAAGGATCCATACCGCTGCGAACGAAATTAGGGCTGTCACGGATATGGCCCGCTGCTCAACAGGACACATTGTTTTAATAATGTGCATAACCAATAATGGAGGGCATTTTGAACAGCTTCTGTAACATCAAACATGTCCAAACTATTTATAAGAAACTTTGATTTGTCATTTTTATGTATACTTTGACCCATGTTAGATAGCATTTATTACTTCACGTAGAAGAAATTTGGTGTCATTTTGTAGATAACATAGTTAGCTGTAGAATTAGCACAAAAAAAGTACAACTTCGCAAACTAGTTTTTGAATGGTTTGCGGAAATGCACAAAATAATCAATTTTCTTGCTTTTTTTTCAGTTTTTGTCTGTTTTTAAGTATGTTTGACGGTTAGTATCAACACAAGTTTTTCAATAGTCGCTAGAACAACATGTTATCGTTCAAATGACACCAAATTTATCATTCTGTGACTCTTATGTTCTCAGTTATTACAATTTTCATACACTCACTAGCGTAATCGTAACGTAAAAATAAAAATGGCTGCCATTTCAAGGGGGGTGAGGTAGGACATTGTAGGGGGTGGATTTGTCGATAAAAATAGCTGAAAAATACCCCTCTTAAATATCGGTATGTCGTGACCAAACAGATTATATATATATATATATATATATATATATATATATATATATATATATATATAACTTGAGACGTGGTCATTGTCGTCTAGACCGGTTAGGTGAAAAATTAAAGCTTCCGCCTTTTGTTGGGTACTTCGACAAAATTTAAGCAAAGAGGACTCTTTATACTTTTTTTTAATTCTCTCTAGCTTTCAATGGACTTTGCCATCATCATCAGGAGCTGCAATTACAATGATAACAGTAGCAACAAAAGTGTAAAATGAATTTAAATTGATTCAGCTTACAGTAGTATGTGAGGATGATTTTATATAATTTTGACCATTGTACCATGTATCCAGCTCTCACCATGTTACTGGACGTTTCCCTCATCCTATACGTAAACAACAATTAGCAACATCCTCGCATACTACTGTAAGCTGAATCAATTTAAATTCACTTTACACTTTTGTTGCTACTGTTATCATTGTAATTGCAGCTCCTGATGATGATGGCAAAGTCCATTGAAAGCTAGAGAGAATTAAAAAAAGTATAAAGAGTCCTCTTTGCTTAAATTTTGTCGAAGTACCCAACAAAAGGCGGAAGCTTTAATTTTTCACCTATATATATATATATATATATATATATATATATATTTTTTTTTTTCTACCCAACTGGTCGTTGGCTTTGGCAATGACTACCGCTCACGTACCGCTCATACATATATATATATATATATATATATATATATTATTTTTCTATTTGTAAAATTGGGTTTTCCTAAATAAATGTGGTAGAGTTCAGGGCGTACTAACTGTTCTCTCCAACAACAACGGAATGAAAGCATCACTCCTTAAGGTTACTTTAATGCAAAATAAGCATTTTTTTAAAAAAATGTTACATGAAACCTCCTTCCACTTGTGTCTTCAATTATAAAAATGCCTAAAACCTGTTAGTATAAAATATGGAGGATATTAAAATGACAAGTGAGAAGTTTGTTCTGATTTTGAAAATATTTGGTTGTTGGTTCATAAAATCCATAGCTTCCGACATATTCGACAGCTTGCCGACAAAGAACTTCTTGATTTCATTGCTGCTGAGCATGCTGAGTTTGTCGATTCGCAAGAAAAGTCGAGCTTCTTGCTAATTCAACCTTAAAGGCATCTTGTACGAGTCAATTTATTTTGTTTTTTTCCCTGTGAATTTAGGTATAGGATCAGCATTTTACGTGGAAAGAATAGCTAACCAGATAGGTTTCAGACCTCCACAACTTTCACCCTTACAGTTGGATATGAGCTGTTCAAGGAATGCAGCTAATGCTGGTAGGGTGCTAGGAGTTACTTTGGGTTGTATACTAGGCATGTTTCCACTGCTGGTATTAAGAAAAAATAAAAAAGAAGCAGCCAAAGAAGACGGCACCCCTGAAGTTCCTGAAGAATGATGAACGAGTATACGTACTTTTTTGACTGATTAGCGTATGATGAAAGCTATCAGGACCAAATAGAAACTTAATCATGCTAGATGTTAAGGAAGATATCGTAGGTAGCAAGGAACATGAATGATTGGTAGGAAATTGTATATTTGATGAACTAGAAAAAAAGTATACTTATCATAAAAAAGTTGACTATTTTCAATATATTCTATAAACTATACAGTCAGCGCTGTACTGCAGTAAAGAATTTATGAAATATAATGATACTAGATTGGGTCAAATCTTATATCACACTCCAAAAATTAATACTTATTCTTCACCACTGGTGATATTTTTCCATAAAGATTTACTACTTCAAGTCTAAGGATTTTTATTCTTTTGGTTGCAGTAACTACTATAATAGAGTCAAGGATTATGTTTCTAAGTTTCTATAAACTCACTATCTAGCTACATGTTTACAGCATTTAATTAAAAAAATGCATATTTTTAGCAAGAGTGGAGCTTCTATAGCAAGTTTAGATTCATTCGTCATTTAGTTTTGTTATTTGGATTTTTTCAAATCTTTTTCGAATGTTCATTATATTATCTATTCAAAATAATTATGAATATCACAGCGCTGCCAGTAGGTGCCATTATACTTTGTTAAATAAAATTAAATATTTTCGTTTTTATATGCAGAACTGCGGCGATCAATCAATCGGAAAGTATGACACCATTACGAAAATTTGGGGTTTCAGTAAAACTAATAATAGCAATCCAGCTAAAATATTTTCAATAAGGTGGCACTTCAATTTTTGGATTCTATCATTGAACGTATTCTGCCTGAATATAGGTAACCACGTGCCGTATTTCGGAGTACAAAAAAATATCCGAGATGAAATTATATATCCTGGCATTATATTTGAGAATTTGTCGCAGACATGTCTTTCCTCTCCGCAAGAATTAGAAGTCTTCTTAGGAAAGGTTAGTTTCTTATAGATGGCATATAACTACTACTAACCACCACTAACCTTCCGAGAGTAATAATTGTTGCAGGGAGGAGAAACATAGCTTTGAATGCATCGTTGTCTAACTTCATGTAGAATCTATGATTCTATGCAAGATTGTAAATAAATTTTGTATATATTATAAAATCGATGTTTATTCATGTGTATTTTATCTTCTTTTTAACACAGAATTAAAGATATTTAGAATTAGGAATCCGACAATATAGATAAATTGAATTTCGAACGTTGCATAGAATACAAAAATTTAATAATGTACAGGGTGCCCCATTTAATATAAGCAAGTCGGTATCAAACTTTGGTATAACCAAAAATGACAGCATTTTGAAAATATTTCATCCTAATCGCTGCCATCAATTTTACCAAAACCTTGAATTTTCGTAATTGTCTAGAGCATAATTTCCAAGTAATCGATCGCCACCAAAGAGTATTTATATCAAGAGAACACATTTCGTGAAATGCCTTTATAATCTGCCGGTGGGTCCCATTGACCTTGGGAGTCATCTGCATTATAGTAGGGAAGCCTATCGCAAATTTTTTGTTCATCATGGGGTACAGATAGTATATGACAAAAACTGGCCCAGTTTGCTGTTTAGCATCAAAATACGTAAAGTTTAACCATGTAGCTTTCAGAACTTTGTAATCGGCTCTTGGACTATTACTGGTACAAATAAAAGTAAATTAATTATTATTATTAATTAAATGCGTTGAGTACAAGTGATGGTCAATGAATTAATGTAAAAAGGATTATCTATCTGGCAATAAATCATTCATTTCAAGTGAGAACAGGTGAGTTTAGTTGCTATCAGCTGTTTTGTGGACGCCATGTTTCTGGAGTCATCTCATATCTCGCCTTGTCTAACTGTATTCTCTTTATATAACTACTCTTTGATTAAACATAATAAGCAATAATTTTTCGCATTTGTGTTAAGAGTATATATTACATGTTATGTATATGTGTTGATAATGTATATTGTAAATATTTTTTAATTCTATATAATATTTATTGTTCTTCTGAAGCTACTATTACTTTTATTGTTACTTGATTTAAATGTATTGCTTATTTTATATGTATGGTGTATTTAAATCCATAGAAAATCATTTTTACATAAAAAGATACACCGATTCTATAATGAACTGTTGAAGATTCATTGAAATATTGGATTTATTTTTTTGTGTTATTAAAGCGCGTGAGAATGTTAACTATGTTGTTGTGGTCATTTATTTTCTACGCAATATATGTTATACTTAAGATAACTAGGTAATTGAGTGGTGTTGTTTTCTAAACGTTTATGTAATTAAGTGCAATTTATCCAAAGTTTTTCAAAAAGATCAATTCAGCGTAACTCCGTTCGTGTTTATAGTTTTTTAAAACAACACTTTTCTTTCTGTTCCATTATGTCATATTAATTCGAAATGTATGAATATTCTGAATCTCTCAAATGATTAACCACACTGTAAAAGTAACAACACATTTCCTATTCTAGATCTCATGTTAAGGTAGCACAGAAATACTCATTTGGCTCAATAACATTCTTCAGGATACAGCTATGACTCAAACTGTGTGCTAAAAATTCTCATACATATATGTTATAAGTCTTGTGTATAACCCTCAGGGGTAGATAAAGTATACTATAAACCCTCCATATTTTCATACTTAGTGATCCACTATTTCATTGATTCTATATATTTCACGATTTATTCAGACAATTCTATGCAGTCACTTCTTTCCAAAATACTTTCCCCGTCATATTTTTAGATACGATGGCGTTACTGAGAAAATCAGTTTTTAATAGGTTTCATCAGTTATAGCGGAAAACGGAGACGGTATATGTGGAACCTCCTACAGGGCCATGGAGTAACAATTTAATCATATTGGCAGGCCATATTTACAGTAGTGCCAACAGGGCCATGGCTTGGGGCGGCAGGTTGCGAGGGGCGGACCACCTCGAACGTCACAGCTTGATTAGCCACAGGCAGTACGGTTTCCGGCACCAACGATCTACAGGGGACCTCCTAGCTTACGTCACGCAACTGTGGAGTAAACTCATCCAGTCTCATGGTGAGGCTCATGTCGTTGCTCTTGACATCACGAAAGCGTTCGGTCAGCTGTGGCACGCTGCCCTCTTGAGCAAACTTCCATCCTACGGCCTCCCAAAAAAGCTTTGCAGATGGGTGGCTGACTTTATCTCTGGCCGCAAGATGTCCGTCGTAGTTGACGGATTCTCCTCTTCATCCCACGGCGTCGGCGCGGGTGTTCCCCAGGGATCGGTCTTGGCTCCAACACTGTTTCTCTTACATATCAACGACCTCCTTTCCTGCACGATCAACCCAATCCACAGCTTCGCTGATGACAGCACTCTACATGCAGGAATTCAGAGTGACAAGCCGATCTCTGCCGCTGAGCTGGAAAAAAGAAGACTAGCGACGACTTCTTCTCTGACAAGAGACCTGGAGGCTATCACTGCTTGGGGACGCAACAATCTTGTACAGTTCAATGCTTCCAAAACACAGTAATGTACTTTGACGAACAAAAAGCGTCCTAGTGCTCATACAGTTTCGATGGACGGTCGAGTCCTACCAAAGGGCCATTCATTTCGGCTGGTCGGAGTCCAGATCACCGAGGACCTGATCTGGCACGAACACATCTCTTCAATAGCTGCAGCTGCTGGGAAAAAGCTAGGCTATTTGTTTAGGGCTAAGAAGTACTTTTCTCCGCATGACCTTCTCACTCTATACAAGGCCCAGATAAGGCCTAGCCTCGAGTATTGCTCACACATTTGGGGTGCTGCCGCCCCGACTACATTGTCCATGCTCGATGCTGTCCAGAGGAGGGCGGTCCGACTGATCGATGACTCTTCTCTAACAGACAGTCTCGGGACTCTTTCGCACCGGCGGGCCGTCGGCGATCTAGCTCTTTTCTATCGCTACACCAACGGGCTTTGCTCCTCAGAGCTCTCTTCCATGATGCCGCCGCGCGATGTGCCTGCCAGACAGACCCGCCTGACTTCGGCGTCCCATCCTAACCGTGTCAAACTTCGTACATCCAGAACTGGCCGATACGACCGCTCCTTTGTCCCGAGAGTGTCTAGATTGTGGAACAAACTACGGGAGGAAGCTTTTCCCAGTTCTACTAACCTTAAGCAGTTCAAGAATCGTATTAACAAAATTTCTTTGGGAACATCATAGCAGCCGCGGTGTTCCGGCATTTAGGCTTCTGCCTGCGCGGCTGTTTCGATATAAAAAAAAAGCTGCTCTATTGTGTGCGTTTTTGATTATTTTCCGTTCCTTCATGGGACGCAAAGGCAAGTCCATTGAGGGGAAGTCATCACCCCTGACGAATCGAGATTAGTCCGCGCCAAAGCCGCCTCCCTCCCTCCGCTCTTTAATTTTTAATCGGCGTTAGACACCAAACCCCTCCTCTCCCCCGGAGACGAACATCTTCGAGGATGACTGTCGCGCACTTGATGGGGCGGCAACACTTGAGTCCCAGGGTGGTGAATCTTAAAACAGGCCTCTGTATAATGGGCACCTTTTGTGACTGCTTTCCTCTTCACAACCCTGCAATGTTATTTCTTCTAAAAGAAGAAATGCATTAGTAATGAAGTATCTCTTAGATTTTGTCTAGAATAAGCTAGATACACTTTGGCCTCTGTACTAGCACCTTGCATATTTAATCCAACCTATGACTATAATCATCATCTATTTTTTCACTACCTTTCTATTATTGTGCGATATTAGGTAGCAAAGTTGGTATCATGTATGGTGACATAGTTTATTCGATTGATTGTGTAATAATTATAAGCTGAATAAACTTGAACCATCTACTGCTATTTAGACTATAATAAATGTTTACGATAAATGTCCAAAATTCTGTAATGAGATGTGTTCAAATAAAATGTGGTCCCATCCAAAGAATGAGCTTCGCTTTGTCAAAAGATTAGACAAAATATATTAAAATACATGCAAAGAATATGTGTAAATGTCGATAATAAACACTTGTTATATATGACATTTTTTATTTCACCTGGTGCTCTGAAAGTATACGGCTTTGATTGAAAGTTGTTTTTTTGCTCAAAAAAGGTCCAAAGCTCCATGGGTATCAAAAGCATATTGATCCTATAAACGTCAACTATCTAACGTCCACTGTACCCAGGGAATTTTGAATGTTAATTATTGTAACTACATTTATCTGAAAAAATTTCGCTGGTATTGTAAATTGGCATGTTAGTTACTTTAAGTGTTGACGATTTTAACCTGCACATCTGCTTTGTGAAAATGTTGAAATATGCTCAATCATTGGGCCAAAGCTAATATAGAAAATGTAGGAATAATTGCAAGACCATGTGCTTTTTTAGAGAAATCAAAATTGAGACATTTTGAAACCAATTGATCTTTGGACTTTACATTATTAGGGTGTATATAGTGTTGGTAATAAACTAGCAGCTGCTGAGCTCGAAATTTCCGATGAATTATCACAAGACCTTTCAACTATTAGGTGTACTGGAAAGTTCTGTCCATTCAGATATCAACAATTTTCCACAAATATACGTATCTACAAGTTCACGTATTTATTTGAGGGATACCTAGCTTATTCGTTTTACCAGTTCTTGCAAATGAACCATAATGAAAATGATTCATGTTAGATTTTAGAGTGATTCGATAGTGTACGAATATAAATGGGTATTGATGAGGACTATTGACGCTATCGACTTTTGTACGAATTCCAACAAGAAATTATACAGAAGCGTATACAAATCTACTAAAAGTATTTAAAGAAGACGCAGTTTCTAACAGAACATGCCATTTTGGGATAATTGGGGCCCCTCATCTAGCCGCGGCACTTGTTTTACAATGATTTGATGAAGTGGCGGACAAAAAGACTATAGGTTTGTGCGTAAAGTGGGGTCGGTGACTGTCCGGGATCCGGCCGTGTGAATCAGCGTATCACAATGATCGGAATATGAATGGCGGGATCTTGGACAAGGTGATTGACAGGCGACTGCTGTACGGACAGGGCTTAGATAATAACGCTTTCGTTTATCCGACCACTGCCGGCTAACAGTGTACAGCTGTTTTGTGCTATTTGGCTACTCCTCCGCATAGTTTTGGCTTGGTATCCGGTAGGACAACGAGCAAAAGCTGAGCAACCGTGTATACAGAGTATAAGGTCTATCGAATAGATGGACTTTTGAGCTGTCTTATTTCAACAAAAAGACTCGTAGATGCCTGCTGGTATTTTTCTCAGACGGGGTAAATTTGATAAATACAAGCACAATGACTGGATGAAGGTAAAGGGTAGAAAAGTGATCTAGCCAGTTCCTGTAGACCAAAACTGACTGATCTAACATCTATGATTCCTGGGCTATAAGTGTATAAGAGGTTGCATACTTCACTCCCACTGTCAGCGTGAAACTCCAACACGCCAACATCATCGGTCACGTGACCGGTGCCGTGTGCTACGTGTACGCCAAATTTTCAGTTTCTTCGGCCACACGCACTTTGAAAGGTACCGTAATCGTAATTTCATCCGAAAGTACCGTCGACGTGACACTTAAATCGGGTACCACGGGATCGGCTCCGTAAAAAAACCTTTTCCGTCCCGTTTAGTTGTTGAATCCAGTCTGGAGAAGCCGACAAAATGGGCAGTAAGTATTTATTTCCATAATTGTTTAGCTTTTATCCATATATTTGTTGGTTAAGTGGTACTAGGCCCCTAAAGGGCCTGAAGATGAGCTGTTTTATCATCGAGTATGGTAAGAATGAAAAGCTGACTGAATTATCTTTGTATTTCAGTAACATTCTTAGAAGTTATAAAGCCGTTTTGCAGTATTCTGCCAGAAATCGCGAAGCCAGAGAGGAAGGTAAATATCTCTTATTTTTCTACTTTTCTCAATGATATTTTACACGGTAATCAAATTACCGAGTCGTTCCTATATCCTAAATGCATTTTTAGACAAAAATCTGTTATAATTTTCAAGATTTCATTCATTAGCAGTCGACCATCTGCTTATGGATGGTATGTACATGTGGCAGACTTGATGTGTATGATACACCTCTTGAAATCCTTTCTCTGATTACAAGAATATTAATTCCTGTTACAGATCCAATTCAGGGAGAAAGTACTATGGACTGCCATCACCTTGTTCATATTTTTAGTATGCTGTCAGGTAAGTTTACCTTTTGTAGCTCAAATAAACACAGAGATAATAAATTCCTCACTTATGAAATGATGTTTCAGCTGAAATTATAAGACCTGCAAACTTCCTGCGGTAATTTTTAAAATATTTGGATTTTCCAATTTAAGGAATACTTAGGCAACAAGTCAAAATAGCTATAAATAGAAAATTTAAAAGTTATTTGTGCATCATATTGCGTGCAAATATTTATCTTGGCTCTAGTAGCCACAGTAAAATTGATTATTTCTTTTATGAGTACATTAGTTGTGATTTTACATATAACTCACATTGTATGAGTATAAGCCGATTGACTGTCTTCATATATTATACTGATTCCAAATTGGCTACCATAGAAATTAAAGGCAATTATACAAAGCTCACATCTGTTTTATGCAACTGATGACTCTTTGGCAATACACTACAAACATTCTTCAAATATGTTTGTCAGATGGCATTACCATCCTAATATACTACCAGCAATTTACAATGTCAAAGTCCACTTCAGCTCGAAAATAGAACATATTTATGTTTATCCCAGTTCTCAAATGTTCAAATCAGTTTTTTACCAAAAGGAATAGACTGTCATGAATTTCTGAAGATTGACAATTTATGTAGAATTAAATACCTTCTTTAAAAATTACCTTCTGTAGGGGCTAAAATAGGCCAGTTTCTGCACCACTTGTGTAGCTGGGTGACAAACATTTTTGAATGTACTGGTTATGCTATTTGTACTACATGAGCCTAAGGATATAATTTCAAAATCAATAACTTCAACACCCAATATCTCAATATTTTTTGTGTAATATTTGATCAAGGGAGTTTTGAGTAACAAAATCTTTGATGAATTGACTGTGGTGTGAAATACTGACTTGGGTGAAATATATATATTTATTAGGAAATCTAACTAGTTACTGAAATAAAAATATTTACTCAAATCCTTCAAGCCAGAACTGTATAATAAAAAATAGGTGGATGCATTGATTGACTAGAATCTGTTTTGTTCCAGATTCCTCTTTTTGGTATAATGAGTTCAGACTCAGCAGATCCATTTTATTGGATCCGTGTTATTTTGGCCTCAAATAGAGGCACCCTCATGGAACTTGGTATTTCTCCTATTGTCACGTCAGGCCTCATCATGCAGTTGCTAGCTGGAGCAAAGATTATTGAAGTGGGAGATTCTCCTAAAGATAGAGCTCTCTTCAATGGTGCACAAAAATGTAAGTATCACTTATTTTAACACATCCTTTGAATGCATGTCTGCTTTCTAGAACATAGTGTAAGCCAGGGAAGCAAAATATTATTAAAGAGAGTTTGGAGATAAAAGGGAAGATACAATTGCGTAGTTGAAAAATCTTGGAAATTATTTATTCCTAACTATATAAAGTTTTTTTACATAAAAATTGTTTTTTTTCTTACTTCTGCACATTAATCATGTTGTCTTTGAGCAACCTGATTTCTTATCAATATTGTTATAGGGTTTCAAGCTCCAAAAATAGAGAAAAGTGAAATGTATAGAAAAAGATAATTTTTTTTTTAATTTTTTCTATATTTTCTGGTGACTGTTGCTTGGTGAACCCTCTATTTTATTGAAGGATGAAAAGCCTGTATGTTTGAGGAGCTGTATTTCATACCCTTATACTGCTCTTTGTATAGTACAGGTAGAAAATATTGAAACAGGTACACTGCTATGGATCATGATTTTTTCTGTAGCCAGTTCTAATTGTTTCATACAAGCATTTTCTCTTGCATTAAATGGGAGTCAATAAGATATTAAATCAAATTAAGACATTTTAAAAATATTGCCTCCCTATACATCCATGGTTGGTTTATACAGTAACAAAACATATGCATAGTTACCATTTTAGTAACATTTCTTATATGTTGCTCCAAAAATAAAGTGGCAGATTGGATTAATTCTTTTGTTCCTCTATGTAAATCTGAAATATCTTAGGCCAAAGCCATTCTAAAAGTTCATCTAAGTATAAACTTTACAATTTTTTTTTTATTCGGGGTATGCTGGTAGGTACGTTTTTCTTATTTTATTTTCCACAATACGTAATAGGATTGTAATAGCGTAAAATTTTGTTTGGATTAGTTGCAGCAGAGCTAAGAGTGAACACTGAAAAACTGCATATTGTTTTTTGATTTTTCGCGAGTTTCTGATAATTTTTAAATATAGTCAAAACAGAGTTCAAGTTTTTAAATAATAGCTTTATATTTTACTGGTCACTTTATACTGCAGCCAGACATTTTACATTGATCTCATTATTCGGATTGCAGTAATTTTTGTGTACAAATAATCGTTAATATTTGAGAGATTTGAAATTTGTATATATAGTTCAAAGATAGATCTTCCTTGTGTGAAAGAACTGCATCTGTCAACTTGATTTTATTTTAATCATGAAAAAATTAAAAAATGAGATGATAGGACATGAACATCACAAAAAATTGTTTTTTCATGTTTGATCATTTTCAGAATTTTTTTGTATGGATTGAGGTTGGACGTTGTGGCGGGTGGGGGAGGGTCTATGAAAATGTTTTGATAGTGTATTTATACGCACATGTTCGTAACTCAAAGGATTTAAATTGCGCTGAACTTGATTGATTGCACAGGAAGTGCAGAGTCAATCTACTTGATGCTGTATATGAGTATATAAGAGAAATTGCAATAGTATATATTCATTCAGTGTAATACAATCAAGGACCTTAGATAGATTCCTCTTGACATGTTCAATGGATTGTATTTTTGCTTTGCAGTATTTGGCATGGTGATAACAGTTGGACAAGCTATTGTCTATGTCATGACAGGAATGTACGGTGACCCAGCTGAAATCGGCGCTGGAGTTTGCCTTCTCATCATCATACAACTATTCGTTGCTGGCCTCATTGTACTGCTGTTAGACGAACTTCTTCAAAAAGGATACGGTTTAGGATCAGGAATATCACTTTTCATTGCCACAAACATCTGTGAGACCATCATCTGGAAGGCCTTTTCCCCAGCTACTGTCAACACTGGCAGAGGAACAGAATTTGAAGGCAAGTATCTACTTTATGATTGGTATATGATTTAGATAAATATTTTCCCCGTTCTATTTCATGTTTCTTCACGCTATTAAGGTACTAATTGCGTTTGAGTACAATTCATATAAACACAAAAATTAGTTTCACTTTCTTCCTGAGATAATTCCTATAAGATTTACAAGGTTTTTTATAAGTAACTGGATGGTATTCAAATCATTTTAATTATTTAAGAAACATTTTCAGAAACCCCTTAAGCTCATAATATGATTTTATAACTGAAAAGAAGAAAATCTCCACATAGTATTTGAAATTTTTGGTTCAAAACTTGATAAATCCATAGCACCTCTGTATTATTTATTTTGAACTTCCTTTTATATAAGGAAGACTCCTACATGTCTATAAATCTAACATTTGAATCTTGAAAAGCAACCCAAATTACATTGTACATTAACCCTTAATTTAGGTTTTGAAATATTTTAGGACAGCTCTAGCACCCATTGTATTTGACAGCTTGGTATGGAAACAAAGTACATTTTGATTTCATGCAATTAAGTGCCTGAGATTCTATCCCCAAGCTTATGACAAACTAATAAAATGTTTACATAGTTGATTAATTGAATTACAGTTATTAGCATCAGTGCCATAATTTGAATTTCAAGTAGTACATTACATATTGGAATTCTGTTTCAGAGTAAGTGTTGATAGTCATAAACAAATTTTGTACTCAAAATTCTCTTGCAATTGCACATGTTAATCATTAATTGGTTTTGAAAGAGAAAGTTATAAATAGGTAAATAGATAGAAGGATATGCTTTATGGTCTGCAGAATACAATAATTCTTAATGGCAAAGCTAACTTAGAACTAAACTATAACATAATTGCATTTGTGGATTTTAAGTAGGTGAACTGGTATAATATGGTTTACATATTGTGGCGGTTGTGACAATGCCCTAAATTAAGGACCTTAAGTGGCCAAGAAAAGGATAAAAAAAAGAAGGGTGGTGAACCATGTGGCACTAAAATGGTGCTTACCTTGATCCTGTGGTAAAGTCGAATTTATGATCATTGATCAGTTCCAAAAATTTGATTGTGTATGTTTTGTGTATCGATTCATTATTTAAATGTATAAAATCGCGGGAGAATTTAAAAGTCATAAATTTTGTCTTATTAACATTGAAAGTCAAGAGATTGTTGTCACAATTTTTTTATTGATTGTATATCACCATCAATTTTTGTCTTGATTTCATTTATATTTGCGTCTTGCCCAATTACTGTGGTATGGTCAGCAAAAACTACGAATTTACCATTTATGTCCAAGTTGATTAGGACCTAATACCGATCCTTGAGGTACCCCTGCGTTTATGTTTAATTTATTTGAACTATAATGTCTTGATAATTTTTCAATTGAAGACTGATTATTTAAATATGTGTTTGACTAATTGAAGGAAGCTCGAGTACAACCAGATTTGTTTATTTTTGTTAATAATATATCATGATTTACACAGTCAAACGCTTTGGAAAAGTCGCACTAAAGAGCTATTGAAATTTGTTAATCATTTAAATTTGAGTATAATTGATGGAGCAATGTGAAAATAGCATCCATGAAATTTTTTTATTTTGGAAATCAAAATTGGTTGTCACTTATAATTTTGTTTTTTTTAGAAGGTCTCTTAATCTAATTTGAACTATTTTTTCTATTATTTTTGGTATAACAGTAATGAAACTTATGGGTCTATAATTTTCTGGTAAATCGAGTGGACCTCCATCACTACCACCCCTCTTTTGATGAGTAATTTTGCTATCATATTTTCCTCAAATGGTCAATTATTTTTGTTAAACATTATTGATGAAATTGTCTGGTAAAGGGGTCCAATCTATCAGGTAGATTTAACAAAAAATCAGAATTATTTGAATGGAAACGACCTCATTTCACCAGTTGAGATTTCTTTAGTCTCAAAATTACACAGAAACTGGTAACAGTAAAGATTTTAACACTTATTTATTAACTTCCAGGAGCTGTGATAGCACTCTTCCACCTGTTGACCACCCGCCAAGACAAGATTCGTGCTCTGCGTGAAGCATTTTACAGACAGAACCTGCCCAACTTGATGAACCTCTTGGCAACGGTACTTGTATTCGCCATAGTGATATACTTCCAAGGATTCCGCGTGGATCTTCCAATCAAAAGTGCCCGGTACAGGGGCCAGTACAGCAGCTATCCAATCAAATTGTTCTACACTTCCAATATTCCCATCATCCTACAATCTGCGCTGGTGTCTAACCTGTACGTCATCTCACAAATGTTGGCTGTCAAGTTCCAAGGAAACTTTTTGGTGAACTTTCTTGGAGTGTGGGCTGATGTTGGCGGTAAGAAAACAATTAAAAATAACCAATATTGGTACAGCTCAAACATTAAGCTGCTATTTTTAACCTGATGCCCCTTGGTTCAGACCATGGTCAAGTTAAAATTTTGTTTAGATCTTCCTGATTCTTATGTTTTATGCTGTCTTCAGAAATTCTTTCATTTGGCGCGACTTTTATGTGTAATTCCAAACATTTTTCTTTACAGGTGGTGGCCCAGCGAGGTCGTACCCTATAGGCGGCCTGTGTTACTACCTCTCGCCTCCAGAGAGCGTAAGCCATATTCTGGAAGATCCTGTGCACGCGGTTCTATACATAATCTTCATGTTGGGATCTTGCGCGTTCTTCTCGAAGACGTGGATCGAAGTGTCGGGCAGCTCAGCCAAAGATGTGGCCAAGCAGCTTAAAGAACAACAAATGGTCATGCGGGGACATAGGAATGAGTCTATGGTGCATGAACTTAACAGGTAGGTTTCATTGATATATATCTAACACAAATTTGTTGTTTTTTTACATTACATTATTTTTAAAAAACTACAAAAGTTAAATAACATACAAATATTCAGAAAAACAAAACTTGTTTCTCTAAGAATTTTCACTGTCCATGAAATGTTTCTTTAATTTTCTTTTAAACATCTTCAAATTACATTTAACCAATTTATGATTTTTGCCAAGTCAGAATTTAGCATCTTTAAAGCAGTGTCTATATTTTCATCTGTTATGTATATTAATGTATCATCTGTAAATATCTGAATTTTACTATAATCTAAAATATCGCAAATGCTATTAATGCATAAAATAAATAGTAATGGACCCAGTTTACTATTTTGCGGTACACCAACAGACATATTTTTTGAGTTGGATTATGTAAATGCAATTTTGTTTTTTTGACATCTGTCATTTAAGTATTTTTATGGAATTTTGAATTTGAAATTGAAAACCGTTCCTCCCCGTAAACAACAACAATAATAAAAAAAACATTTATTTTTCATTCTCATGTTTCGAATTCGAAGTGTGAGCAATTTTTTTCCAAAAACTACAATGCTTTTTATGTGAAAATTTCATCCAAATCCAAGCAGTATTTCCCAAGTTATATCCAAGGATTAACGCACAGACCAGACCGACGGAAATGAGTTACATGGTTTTTCGTTTCACAAAGCAAAACAACGCCAAAACTATCTAAAATATAATATTTCTGCGATTGCACCTCACAAATGTAAATTTCTGCATTTTCAAGCAAAATAATCTAAAATGACTCAGGGATGTGACAAATTTGTGTTCAGTGATCGATTATTTTTTTGACTGATCAATTTACTAGTGGGTAATGTTGCTTCTTATTTTGGGGCTTTTCACAATGGCGGCCATGTAAAAATCTAATACAGACATTTTTTTACAACACTTCCTCCGTTTTTGTTTTGTTTATTAGGAAATGTGCAAATTACGAATCTTTTTTTTAAACGATAAAAAAGTAGAGGCTGAACTGCATTAATCTTAAAAAATCGATGCGAATGATGTATATCGGCTATTAAAAATACAATTACGTCTAGATGGAAAATAACTTAGCATCATTGACCTTATTGTAAGTTATAGGAATTTATAGTTCATTTGGTGAAAAATATTTAACAAATAACAACTTGAGATTTTTGAAAAATGGGCTCTGGCGGGAACCCGCATGTTCTCTCAAGCTGCCTTGGCGCCCTATCTGTCGGCGTTCAAGTGAAACAACTAGATTGGTAAGAGAGAGACTGGCAACGTAGCGTCCAATCTGGTAATACTGGAGACACTGGGCTGGAGGGGAGACAGGGGAATATGTGATCCGCCTTCAGTACAAGTTTGAATGCGCTACAGAACTTCGAGCAATGGTGTGCTATCAGGTTTTGCTTCAGACTTGTACACAGTGCAACGGAAATTCTTGCTAAACCTCAGCAGGCCTTCTGAGATGACGTTTTGAAAGAGCCCAGGTCTTTTCGGAGGTGTAAGGCATTTGACAAGGGAGAGAGTCGATTGAAGATGAACCACGAAGGGAAAGGCGCTTGTGCGTTCAGATCGTCGGTTGACAGTCAGGTTGTTCGGGGAAGAGTTCAGTTTGACTGACACCACCGTTCACCAGATCAAGAGCAACTTGATGTTGCATCCGATAATCTTCCTTGTCACACAGAAGTATCAATAAACATTCTTGTGGTTCCTCAGCGTCCTTATTCGCATGACTTGTGTCCTTGTGATTTTTTTCTCTTCCCGAAGTTGAAAAATCACCTCAAGGAAACTCATTTTGGGACAGTCGAAAACATTCAAACGGCTGTAACCGACTAGCTGAAGGCTATTGTATCGGAGTTTCAGCACTGCTACGAGGAGTGGGAGAACTGTCTCCAGCGCTTTGTGGCATCAGAAGGAAGTTAGTTTGAGGGTGACAATATACAACTGTAATCATATTTGAATAAAGAAATAAAAAAAAATCATCGCTCAATTTATAGACCTCGTTTCTACAATCGCTTTAATCGCACCACGCCGCCTCATGGGCACAAACCACGGTATAGTATTTCCAATTCTAGTTGAAAACTCATAAAAACCAGAGCGGTCGACACCTCAAAGGAATATCTGCCATAGGCGTCACATTTTATACAGAAAAATAAGGATCAATACCAAAGCAGGTTTTTTGTAAACGACTGGTTTTGTATTTAAAAAACGCAATATGAATATATTTCTGTGGGTGATTGTTGAGTGATAAATGGCTTAGGGTGGTTCTTCATACTGCATAAATCCACAACTCAATAAGATAGCCCGTAATGTTGCCAAGGAATGGTATTTGTAATCAGGATAATCTTCTAATTTTTTTTAATCATTTCAAGGGTTGGCACTACATTTTCCTTATGAGAAGTATAAATAATATTACGAATAACTATTTTATCGCCCTCATCAATATTCTTGAATTTTTCTTTCCTTTGTTTTCGTTTCATGTTGTGATCTGTGACATCCTCTTTTTTTATAATTCGACGAATTGATGATTCCGATATTTTAGTAAGCTGATGTATCCGGTTAATTATTTTATATTTCGGATTTCACACTTTCTTTCTTCAAACATTCATACATATTTAAAATGACTCTGGCACTGTACATGTAAGTATTTATTTTTAAATTCCGAATCCTCATCGACAGAAGTCGGTTCTATAATATTTTCAACACCGTCCGTCTCGAATGGTCTCCAAAAAGCTATGTTTCCGCAAACGTTCGACGTGACGCAGCGCACGGTGCTACTAACACTGAACTGACTGTGGGGGTTACGGTTAACAGACGTAGACTCGTCCGTTTAGGCACCTTTTTATGAAGGACAAAAATTTGTAGACAAATTCTTTTCAACATTAGTTTAGTACAGTTTCGTGTCAGAAGAGGATTAGTTTGTGTTCAACAAGTATTGTGGAACCAGTTGAGTGATTTTAAGACCATGCCGCATGGTCCAGAAATTTCTTTCGATGTGAAAACTAACATCATTGAGTTATACAAAGATGGTCAACGTCAAGTCGACATTGCCAAAAATTTGAAGCTGAAGCGTAAAGCAGTTTGGGCAATATTGAACACATATAAACAAAAAGGTATCTTGGAAGCGTCTAAGAGAAGTGGTCGGCCTAGAAAACTAAATGCTAGCTCAGTTAGATTAATAAAAGTAATTTCGTCCAAAGATCCGTTTAAAACTACAACACAAATAAAAGCCGAAATCGAGACAAAAGGAATTGTCAGTGTTTCTACGAAAACTATAAGTAGAAGATTTAATGATTTGAAGTTATTTGCACGTCGCCCGAGTAAGAAGCCGCTAATCTCGATGAAAAACCGCAAGGACCGATTACAATTTGCACGGTTACATCTTGAATGAAGCTCTCTGACTGAAAGAGGGTATGTTTCAGTGACGAATCCGAGTTCAATATGTTTACGTTAGACGTCCTAGTGGACAAAGATTGGATCCCAAGAACACTTTGCCCACTATCAAACATGGAGGCGGGTCTGTTATGGTTTGGGGGTGCTTTTCGGGGTTTGGGATGGGACCTTTACATTGAATAGATGGCATTACGGATAAGTTTGTATACACAGACATACTAAAACATGTCATGTTACCCTATATGGAAGACAATATGCCCTTAAGATCAATCTTCCAGCAAGATAATGACCCGAAGCACAGTTCCAATCTCACAAAGAAATTCTTTCTGGATGAAAAAATCTGGCCTTCACAGTCTCCTCCCGATATAAACCCTATTGAAAATCTATGGGAATACTTAGATAAGCAAATACGAGATAAACATTATTCAAACAAGGATGCACTTTTTGCCGCTTTAGAGCAAAAGTGGAGACAGATTGATGAATCTTATATCAAGAAACTTCTACAATCTATGCCGAGACGATGCCAGGCGGTGATTGATAATAATGGTTATGCGATAAAATATTAACACAAACATGGTTGGTTTTCTATAATTCAATGAACTTTGCTTCTTTTTTCTATAATTGTTTTGCTTTGTCTATATATTTTTGTCCTTCATAGTTCCAGTTTTTTTCAATTAATTTTTTATTGAAGGGAGTCTAATGAATTTATTTATGAATAAGTGAGTAATTATGCTATAACGAATTATGTATATAGGTTGGTGTATTAATAAAACAAGTTAAAAAAGAAATACAACACAATATTAATTTGTCTGTATACTTTTGTCCGTTACTGTATATTGTTACCCATGAAAACAAATGTAAAACATCGGATTTTGAACAAATTCCAGCATGTATAGCGGAGCTATAATACAAAATAAATGAGGGCAAAAATAAATACACAAATTTTGAAGTTGAAGTTATCTGAATCATAAATTAACGCGACGCACTATCCCAGTATTTTACTACTGCACTGGAGTCATAAATCATTTAAGCAAAAAACTAGCCGGTTCGGACGCCTCGAATGGCCCGGACGACTGACACACTAGTCGAGATAGTTGCTCTTCAAAATAATCTTTTTATTTCTTCGATATTCTCAGCCGTCCCGTTCAGCGCTGCATTTGAGCTACTGTAGCAAATATAGCAGTGGTATGCTGGATGAAATTTGGTGAGCTCTATGCCTCTATGCCTGGTACAATGTATTTACATGTCATTTTAAAATTATTTACGCGATCCTGGTAGATTTGTTATTTTCAATTAGAATTGGATAGGCACCCAGGATTGAATTTGCCTCTAACAATCGATCCTGTAGACTAATTGGTTAAGTTGGTTCCACGGAAGTGAGGAGATGCGCCAGCGCCAGTTTTTCCAACCTCTCAAGTTGTTGACTAAACATGCTCAGTTCCCTATATTTAATATACTCGTATTTGACTTTAATTTTTTTAATTTTATTCCAGGTACATTCCCACGGCAGCTGCTTTCGGTGGCCTGTGTATCGGCGCTTTGTCCGTGCTAGCAGACTTCCTGGGCGCCATAGGCTCAGGTACGGGTATCCTGCTGGCCGTCACCATAATCTACCAGTACTTTGAGATATTCGTCAAAGAACAAAGCGAAATGGGAGGCATGGGAGCCCTATTATTCTAAACGACTTAATAGAGTGAAGTTGAAAGGCGTTCTAAGACTGTTGCGTGTCTGATAGAGTGGAGTTATTTTTTGTTACTTTTTTACAAATAGAAAATAAAGGTTTATATTTAGAGTTGATTCGGCGAACTGGTTGTGGGTATTTGCAGTCAACTGAGTATTTTTCAGAATGGGTGTATCCAAAACTTAGGCGTTGGGTCACTTCACAATGACAAGTCCTAACTAGACCCTTGCAAATTTCTTATAAAATGCACTTGTCAAAAAGTGTTATGAATATATATTTTGTCATCGAAAATTCATTCATTTTTGCATATATTCTGCAATTTGATGCTAGAGATGAAACATTTGATTCTTTTGATACTGGCACTATAGCATGTCAATTTTGTATTCCTAAGTTCCTAAATTATTCTAAATGTGAAGTCGGCACTACACCTTACATATTTGAAATTGTTTAATGATATAAGCACCCTAACTACAGTGTAATTGAAAACACGGTAGCAATTCAAGTTTCAATGGGGGGTAATCTGGAAAGCTAGAAGTAGATGGCGCTAGTTAGGTTGGCGGTTATGTTTGAGGTTATCTGTCAAAGTCGTCCATGGTTTACAGGGCTGTCAAACACGCAATGAATCACGATTCGTTTGACTCCAACGACACTAGCGCCTCCTAGCAGGAGCAAAATTGGCCATCGCTGTAACTGAAAACTCTTGACTATCGCGCGCACCTTTCGTGGATTGTTTGTTCCGACTAAAAATGGCGTATCTTTGCATGTGAGATCACAGAATACAACACCGTGTATCATTTCTATATTATAGGATATTTTAGGATACATGTTTAGATCGCTTTTCCCTGTCATTTGGACCTACTTTCTTACCTGGAAATATTGCGACTGCTTTTTGAATCACTGAGTATATTTATGAGATAATTTCCAGTTACTGCAAATACACCTATTTCTCAGTTTGCCGGTATGGCCGATATTTCGATTTACTGATTTAGACTCGGCTGCCTGTATACGTAACAGTTTCGGACGTCGTTTTTTGTGACGGAATCGTTTTCCATTGTAAAGAACTGACCACTGTGTATGGAAAAGTTTCTCGTTTTGTTAGACATATGAAAGATGTGCGATTGTAAAGCATCAGAGATGTTGAAGTGTAGGCTAGAGAAATGAGATAATATCCGTGAGTCCGAAAGACTTGACTGGTATTTGTGATCTTTCTCAAGGTAAACATCGACCAAATCTTTAACTTTACGGTGATCATTTGGGATCCTGTGTTCCGCGAAATGTCTATCATTTCAAAGGGTATTAAATGAGTGTCAAAAAGTGAATGAACAGCAACATAACTCCTATCCGAGATAGATGATCTGATCCTGCGAGATATTTAATTCTAAAAACACCTTTTACTGACAAGTCTTTGATCGACATTAACCGCAGGGTAATTCCGTAAAAAACCTATAATTATAATGTCAAAAAATCATTAAAAAAATGCAGTAATTACATCCACATTCTCTGACAACATCGTTATTTACCGCCCACCTTTTTTAGCATTGCATTGTCTCGCTTGGAAGATAATAACTGCCATTTTTTTCATTAATCTTTATAGTTGTATGTATGCCTATTCTTTAACACATGATATACATTTTGTGGTATATGGGATGCTGGTGTACTATCTTGATGGTAAAAATGCCAGTGTTGTTAATTTTTTCGTCAATCCAACGTATACCTCAGAGTAACGGTGTTTTTTGTCGCTGTTTATCTTGATTCACTTTGTATAAAGTGTGTGCAAAGTAATTCTATATATTTTGTACTAAGGTTAAAAATAAGTTTTTTAATGTATATTTCTCCGAGATATTTATATTTTTGCGTGAATGTCCATTATTATTATTTTTTACACATTCGTCACTCGCCATCCATTTCAGAATGGTTGTTTTCCCGGTCATTTAATTGTTGTTAGATTATAATTTATTTTAAATATAGTAAACTATTCCTCGATCGTTTGAGTTTTATTTCAATCGTAATCCAGTGGTAGGTATTGTTTTTACTTCCTGTGCCAAAACGAGGAGTACTGTAATCGCGAAGGTTACTACTATAAATACCAAGAATGAGCTTTGTAGTTTTTGACATACATATATAGACTCTAGTAGCCCACTTAGCAATAACCCTTTACGGATGCCACCCTGGACGCCAAATATATATATATATATATATATATATATGAGTAGTAGCCATTGCCATTGCCAACGACCAGTTGGGCAAAACATACAAATTGGCAAACTTTTTAGGCTTTATTTAAACTCTTTTAACGGTAATCTCGAGCTTTCGGCTTTCTCTATGGAGTCATCTTCAGGAGCTGAAATCACAATTATGATGCTGGCAATTAATACGGAAGGGATTTAAATTGTCAGACAACTTACTCGTCGTTGAGGTTGCAGCCAAATGGTGTTTCAAAACGAACGCGTGGATGAGAGCACTTGTTACAAATATAAAACCAAACGGACGGACACATTTTGTTTATCGATAACGACGGAAACAATGTTATATTATACATTATACAGGGTGACTTTGAAGTTGAGTCATTAATTTTCAAATAATGATTGTAGAAGGAAGATAAACCAAAATATGTGTGTAAAAATAAAAAAAAATAAAAAAAATGTTACCTTGTTTTATAAAGTATCCTCCCGACAAGTATTTCAGTGCGGACCTGTATTTGATCGTGCGTCTTGTGCGGTTATTAACAGGCACGAGGGGTTGGTTGCACTCGATTGGGAAACCGATCTGCATAAATCCGTGATGCCGCGGCAGCATTTTGTAGAGACTCCCCCCCCCGTAAATAAGAATCATGTCCACAAGTTCAGCATTTTCGTAAATATGTGCCATTTCTTATTTCGTTTGAGCCACGCAACAAACACCACTATTCACTCACGCCGTACCGACTGACACATTGACTGAATACAACTGAATAAAATTGTAGCAAAAACATCGTGATAAGCGTTTCACATTCTTAAGCTTTTTTGCTTCCGATGCGATGAACCGATAAGGCGGATTATATCCGTTGTTGCCAAACACGAGCACATAATATTATTATTGAGACAGGGCGGTACTCAAACTTCTAAAGGGCTATAACTTTGTTACTTTAATTTTACCAGAAAAATGTTAAAGGAAAAAAACATTTCTTTTGATCAGATCTACTCACTGTTAAAATAAATGACTCAACTTCGAAATATCAATACACCCGAACACATTGAAAATTATCGAAAAGCAATTTTGGAGACAAAAACCGGCAAAGTCCCTTCTAACCTCCTACATCTGTTTCACGTGGTGAAAATGAGCGGACCGGAAGAATGATGCGTCGACAGATGACAGGTGATTGTCGCGAAGGAATGTGGAAATGTAAACATCATTGCCAACCTTCAGGTATCGTGTATACGAGGGACGCTCGGTAAAACCTCATCCTAATTCCCAAAATGCTGGATTAAGTTTGTTCTGGAAAAAAGGTGTTATTCATATGAGTGTACGTGTGTAAAATGGCGATACATGCTTGAAAAGATGGGTTGTATGGAAATATATTGAAATTTATTATTACCGTGAGGGCAATGTTTCAATTAACAGGATAAATAATTTAATTGTGTTTTAATTTTGGGAGGACGTTGAATCAACTTGGATACGTAGACGTTCTAACTTTTCGCAATTCACCAAGGAAGAATAAATGACACTAAGCTGCTTAACATCAGCCTTTTTATTCATGCAATGATCTGTCATGAAAATGTGGGGCATTTCTAAAAATAGACGTTTTGAGAGTTTTTGCTCCTTGTCAAGAACCTTAATACAACCATATCACATAGAATGATCCGTGGTGTTAACATGTGAATTTCTGAATTGTTCTCTCAAAAAATAAGTAGGGGGAGAGTTTCTTTTGAAAAACATTGTATATTAATTTGACAATATTTTGATTAGCTCTTTGATAGAGACTGCCGAAGCAGCCGAAACATCACTAACTAGTCTATTCAACATTATGTGATTCTATTTAATGACGAACGTAAGAGAGGCGAATTGAATATATATTTTTAAACAATCGCCCCAAGTATGCAACCTTTTACAGTAGATTTAAATTTAAGCTTTCATTGTTGCAGTTAAAACAAATGTAGTTATTGCTGGAGTGGTACTGGCGGTTGAAGGTAATGGTAAAATTCATATAAATTTTAATAAAAACATAACCCCACAGATACCAATGGTGCAGGTCGAATTTCAAACACCCGGTATATGCTAGCAGTGAAAATCCAAAACATACTGGATGATTGATAAGTATCAAGGGGTTATTTTCACTCCTATAATTTCTGTTAAGCGCCCACCCCAATGTATATACCCCTTATAACGATTTTCTGATATATCATTTTACTATTTTGAGATAAACTGATTATGTGCACGATACACAATATTAGCAAATATCAAACAAAATGAAATAAATGAGCACTTACCATTTTCGCGCCATTTCTGTATTCTGTATATGAGAAGTTCTCCTTCATTCTTCCCGTAATCCAAAGGTCGAAATCACTACAAGCACTCACAAGCACAAGCCAATAGCACATTTTCCGAGGTGCGACAGAGTTTTTCCTCTGAAAACACAGAAATTAGCGCTGCCGAAGAGCCCGTTTAAGAAGTCCGCGGTATCTCTGAAGTTTTCCTTCATTCTTCCCGTAATCAAAGGTGCAAACCACTACAAAAACTGGCAAACACTTAAGCTACATGCCACGAACATACTTTTGCTGGTGCCGCCGAATTTTCCCTTTCAAAACACTGAAAATAATGCTCCCGAAAAGCCCGTGTAAGAGGCACGCGAAGACTGTTTAAAATAATTGCAATATTGCGTACCAGTCGGCAGTCGTTTTTCTAGGATTTGAAGTTGCCCGTGGCTCGAACTCAGTTCTGAGAATTCTTCCAGACCCGTTTGCAGTAGCAATGGCAATTTCGCTCATTTTAATCATTAATGTCTGTGATATCAGGGTACCTACTGCAGTTACAAAAAAAAAACAAATACTGAAATTCGGTCTTACAAACAGTGTCAAGTAGGCTGACTCTTCATCTTACCTGAAGTTGAATGAAATTTGTTGCTTGTAGGTTTTCGTCATAGTCCAGTCATTATTGGTAACGGTATCGATCGAGATGCTGAACCTGCGCTCAAATCTGATTTTTTCAGTGGTAAATATAGCGGTGAGACTATACTTTAGCACATATCGAAAATACTTCATTTCTTACTTTAAAATGAAAGATTAGGATGTAACTTGCACGAAAATATCATTTTTTCTTTAAGGAACCCTCTGCTTGCTATTTTATAGAACTTCAAAGTTGCATTTTTGGTGGTAATACTCTAGAATGGAATACTGTTTTATACGCTTTTTTTGCTTTTTGCACAAAATGATGCTCTAAATTATAAGAATAGAATATTTACACTGAAATGATGGTATTTACTTGGTAAACTGTGTAGAGGTGTTGTGTTGTGATTTTTCAAAGTCTTCTTAACCATTTTTTTTCGCGTACTTATTATCATTATTATTATTATTATTATGATAATTGAGATGAGCAGAGTACATAGTACTATAAGCTCATGCAGTAAATATAGTGTACGGACACGTAACACAAATACATCAAATAGAAAAAAATAAAAAAAGACAGTTCATAGCTATAAAGTTTGTACACTCCTCCAGCTATCATACTGCACTTTGAAGCTATTAACTGAAGTAGCACCAACCACACTTTCAGGTAAACTATTCCAGGTGTTGAATATGCGGTTGGGAAGAAACCACTGTCGGACTGTTGTTTTAAATGGCTCCTTATGCAGTTTGAAGCTATGTCCGCGTAGATTGCTGTGCGACAGACAGTATAGATGCATGAGGTTGGTGCCCATCAAACCATGAAATATCCTGAACGTAACTATAAGATCGCCACCAAGTCTTCGCTCAGAGAATGAGGTCAGGTTGAATAATTCAAGGCGATCTTCATAGCTTGGTCTTCGTGCTCCAAAAGGGATACGAGTAGCCCGACGCTGTACTGATTCGACGAGATTTCTATCGCGCACAGTGTCCCATACCGGGCCAGCGAATTCAAGAATTGGCCTCACGAATGCCTTGTAAATGTAGGCGCAAGTGTTGACATCGGATCCTTTGAAAGACCTCTCCAGCATATATAGAAGTTTCTTGGCTTTTGATGTAACGTGGTGGATATGCTCTGACCAGGAAAGAGGATCGTTGACTACAACGCCCAGATCAGTGTGGCTGGAAACTGCTTCGATGTTGTGGTCAGAGATCTTGTATGTAAATCGCGGATTTGTCTTCCCGAGGTGAAGGACACAACACTTAGTTAGATTTAAGGGTAAAAGCCAACTGACTGACCATTGACAAACAATATCAAGATCTCGTTGAAGCATAGCAGAATTTACGACAGTATTGTAAATCTTGGTGTCGTCGGCATAAGCTGAACATGTGGAGGAAATCAATGCGGGCAGGTCACTTGTATACAGAAGGAACAGCACTGGCCCCAAGACAGAGCCTTGAGGAACTCCACTTGCTACATGATGAAGGTGAGACTGGCTATCACTGACGCGCACAGAGAAAGTCCTCCCGGTGAGAAAAGCCTTAATCCACAGCAACAACTCGCCTCTTATTCCCATACATTCCAACTTAAACAGAAGCCTTCTATGTGGTACGCGATCGAAAGCCCTAGAAAAATCTAAGTAGATTATATCAACAGGAGTCTTAGTGTCCAGATACTGAGTCCAATCGTTGAGAGAGTGGAGAAGGTTGGTCATTATTGATCGACCAGGGAGAAAATCCATGCTGATTCTTAGGGATAAGGACATTTTCGAAAGCAAATGACAGGAGCTTATCTAATATGATTCTTTCAGCTATTTTGGCGGCGATTGGAACGAGACTTATTGGTCGATAATTTTTAGCGGATGATTTGTCGCCCTTTTTGAATACAGGGGTAACAGAAGCACTAAGCCAGCATGAGGGTAGGGTATCAGATCTAAAAGACGATGTGAATATCAAGCTTAATGGTAGGGCCAGTGCTGAAGCGCAGTTTTTAAGTACAGCAGCCGTCATCCCATCTTTACCACGGGAGGAAGAGGTCTTCAGATTTCGCAGGTGCATTAATACATCTTCAGGCAGGAACTCAACTTCGCAAAGGCTGTTGGGACACCTATGGCAGATAGTGGTCGGTAGAAGGTCTCCATTAGGCTCATCGACGAAGTCATCACTAAAGGACTCTGCCAGTAAGTTGGCAGATTCGGTGGCATCCATGTGGAGATGACCGTCAGCGTCGCGGATCTGAGGTGATGAAACTTTGGAATTCAGGTTTGTTCTTAGATACCGAAACAGCTTCTTCTTATTTTTGGAGGTAACGAGTTTTCGTTCATAAGCATGTTTGGCATTATGTAACGTTCTAGATAGGAGGTTAGAAAAGGATCGATGAGACACGTAATCTTGTGAATGGCCACTCCTCCTAAACCGTTGCCACAAAGATCTCTTGTGACGAAGCATCCTCGATATGTTAGAGTTGATCCAGGGCTTTGAGGGGTCACAGTATACCTTCTTTTCATTGTCAGCCGTTTCGCTTAGGACTCGTTGAGCGAAAGTGTCCCACATATCTTGGGTGCTACGGTTGTTAAGCAAAGCAGGCCAGTTGACTTCAGACAGGGCTTGGTTAAGAGCATCGTGGTTTACAATTTTGATGGTTTTAAACTTTTAATGAGATGAAAGTTTTTGCGTTTATAAGAAATATTTGAAAGGCCAATTTATAACGTTCATTTCTTGACAGATAAGATAAATGATGTCCATTGTTGCCAAGTTGTACCTTTTTTTTGGGAGACACACGTAATAAAAAATGAGGTCATTAAAACTTCTGAAATTATTCTTAAACCATCAGCAAAATTCGTATAAACAAAGCTAAAATATCCATTTTTAGAGTGAGAGTGACCGTAAGCTTTTCAGACTAACCGCTCCGGCTCGCCAAAATAAAAATCATTCATACATTTTAAAATAGAACCAAATTGACAAACTTTGCGGTAATGAAAAAAACATAATATATCGATTTCGGGAGGACGTTCCGTAATTTCGGAGTTGTGTTTTATCCCTCGGCCGAGTTAATTGTGTTTATCTTATTAAATTTGTCAGAGGTAATGTTGAAAAGATCGTGCTAAGTAGCGACGACTTCAAAATATGAAACCGTGAAGCTTGACAACTCGACAAGTAAATATATTCAATACTTATTTTTTTCAAATTTGATTCAAACGCTTTATAAAAAATATTTGAGAGTATTGACTCAACGCGTAATCGACGGGATTGATAATGCTCTCGACGAGGAGCAACGCATTTTAAAAATCGTCAGGAGATATTGTAGGGCCAACGGCGTCACTGGTGGTAGCGCCTCCTTTAGTGAGTTTGATGGCACATCAGTGGAATCTCCTGAGATACCACATTGCACTCCAGCAGAGCTTCAAGGTTATATTGAAGACCTCAAGGTTACGCCAATAGGGACTCGAGCTTTATCATCTTGATATATGAAAAATACTTGATCTGGTCCAAGTATGGATGCTATGTTCTCTTAATAATGGATTGATGTTTCAGCGAACTTGCTATCTAAGTGGCTCTTGTGGTGATCAGTTTGAGCCCGAATGAGCTTAACAGGGACTGTCGATACATGTCTTCGTCCCTCTGCAGAATTAGATTTTCTGGGAATCAAACGAAGATATGTCCCACTGCAACTGATGTCAAATCCTATTTTACGTAATTCTTGTGTGAGTTCATCAAGAGTTTTTACGCTGCGAATTGATTCCGTTCGTCTTCTATCATCTGCTGCACTCCTAAATAAAGCTATATCCGCGATTGTTTTCAATAGTGAATGTTGATTGCTTTCAAGATTAGGACGCCCCACTGAATCCCTCAGAGATAGTCTTTTTTTATTTCTGGATTTTCATGACAAATATCTTCTAACTTTCTTTTTATACCATCCCTGTGTTTCTTCTGGGCAACTGCGTTTTGAACCTTCCTATTTAAAGACTATTTTGCTGTTTTTATTTCCTCGCGCAACTTAATGATCTGTTTATCAACTTCAGTACGGCTTTGCATTGTATCTCTGGCAGAATACAAAGCATTCAGATTTTTTTCAAGTAGAGCAATCTTATTTTTCATAGCTTCCTGAGAAGGTTTTGCTCTCTGCTTATCTGTATTTTCATTAATTTCGCATTGCTGTTGTGATTCATTACCGGGTTTTATTTTATCTTCTTCCTCTTTTTTAATATTTGAAGCTGACTGTATAATTTGTGTTTTTTCTGCAAGTTTACAGGTTGCCTAAAAATAAAAACTTTCTATGGCTTCTGCTGAAGATTCTCTTATTAAGCTACATAAATACCAAGTATGGCAATATATATGGTAAATACAAAACCCTGTGACTTTAAATCTAATATGTTTAAACGAACAATTCGTTCCGGTTACAAAATACAGGGTGTTAGTTTTCTGTATATATGTACAAAACTAACATCCTGTACTTTGTGACCAATTGACGGAATAAATCATAAGAAATAAATCTATAATATAATGAATATTACCTCTATACTTTGAGATAGTTCATAATATTATATAATCAGTAAAGAAAAACTTTTTGGCGATTTCTAATATTTATAGTCATAGGTACCTAAAATAATTCCGTCACTCACCTTAGAAAAAAAATTTAGTAGTAGCTTGGACTTATTCTTAGTCGCCGCTTGCAATTCTTCTTCGATTCTCTTAGATACAATAATATCTAGTTCCTTCTCGGATTTTGCTTGTGATTTGTAATTTCACCACACTTCGTTAACTAACTTTTGTACATTTTGTACTTTCGTACTTGTATGAGATTTTTTAAAACTTTCAAACAATTTTTGGTATAACTTGGATTTGTCTATGTGAAACGACATCTTATTTAAACATTAAACTTTGGCTAATGGAATCAATGGTAACACAAATGTTAACTTGCTTTACTGTGGTTACAATACGTCTACTCGCTATAGTATCTAAACGAAACAATACACTGATAGAGGAAATTTAGACAAGTGAACACCGCACGGTAGTTCGCCTACTCGGTTCTAAAGCGAGTAGGGGAATTACCGCGCGCTGTTCACTAAACGTATGCATTATTTGCGGGAATGCCCGAAAATACGTTTCGTTTTCAAGCAAAGACAATGTGAGGGTTGCCATTCGTGTAAAAAAGTAAATAACTACCGATGACGTAATCATCATCTAGACTCCCCTACCCCCCATGTCATCCAAAATAAGTAAAGCAAAGAACCCCCCGCCCCCCCATAGTGCTCACGTAATACTTGAACGGCCCCATTGGAGAAATTTTGGATCAAAAGATTGCTTGTTAATTCGACACTTCTCTCTCTTGCTTTACGAATACTAGTTCTTTTTTCTTCAACTTACTTATGCGAGCCAAGCTTTTCTGCTCTAGTTTTAATTAAAACTAAACATCGAAATCGTCTTGATGTCGATAGCGTCCTGATGATAGCTCTGGCAAAAACAGAACTTAGAATCAACCAAATGGTAAAGAACATGCAATCTCAAGTGTCTCATTAGTACCTACTCTTATTTTATTCAAGTTTGTCAAAAGATTTATTAGTTAATTTAAACTTTTAAAGCTTCTTTATTGGAATTAAAGTAAAAGTCTTTGTACCTATATAATGTGAGTTTTTTTTTGTATTTATTGAAAAAGTAAAGAGGGGCATGAAAATATAATTTCCAGTCCGGGGACCCTCAACAAAAAAAAAAAAAGGTTGAGAAACCCTGGTATAGACATTAACATCCTGGAAACTATAGAATCCGACAGCCTGAAATGGTATGGCCATGTTGAAACGATGAATGAGCAACAAATATTCCATCACACGATATAAACAATCTAATTAGAATCCTCGTCCATGATGCCATCGCGTCTTATGCCGGTATAAGTGAAGAGTCTTTGGAGCAACACATGATATTCTTGAAGCTCGGTGAAATTTAATTTGGAGACCACGGGGGGTGAGGATCTCCCAGTTTTCGTCGCGATTATCTACGACGTTTACAAGTAAGCGGCCTTAAACTGAAAAACGAAACAGCCTTGCGAAGTAATTTTGACAAAACATATATTATTTAAAACCTTGCGAAGTGAACATATTCCCATAATATCTACTGATGTCACAGTAATTTCACCTAAAGATAAAGAATTGGAAAAATCTCTCTAATCCAAAATATATTATCACCCGAGTTACTTTATCTACTTATTTCTCTGTTACGGTAACCTCTGACCCTAATCATTATTTGTTAACGTGAGGTTACACTTACCCACTTTCTTCAGTCGCCAATTAATGGGTTCACAATAAAGAACCCATTTAGTTTCCTTTGAATTTCTGTTAAACTTTCAAAAATGCACAGAGCAGTATTTCGCGTCTCTAGGCGCATGAATAAAAAATTGACGAGTGTAAGATGGTTAAGTGCAGCTAAAGCGGAGGGGCCTATGTTCCCCCAAAAAGAAGATTTTCCTGGCAGGCATATAGGACCTAGAGATGCCGATATTATACACATGTTGGATATGCTGGGATTTAGGGTAAGTACGATAAATACGACCATATTTCCATTTAATAAGTTTATTTCAAAACAAGGGCGTACCCAGCTCAAAACGGAAGGGGGAGGCACCTTAAAAAAAATTGTTGGTGGTTTCACAAGTCATATCTATATTATATCTAACCCTGATATTTTTCTTTCTATTTGTAATTAATTTATAGAAAGTCTCCCAAGACGATTTCACAATTCATACAAATATGGAAAACTACTAGGATTGCTGTTTTCAAACATTTAAGCAAGCCGAGCCTGTTGTAAAAGAAATTGTATAGAAGGATTTATGTATTTCTTAGAGTGAATGCAAATGCACCTCAAAATTAAAAATTCTGGGTAATTTTTTTTATCAAGCTTCAAAGCTTATAGAAGAATTCGGATAGGGACGAACACACTTTCAAAATGGGTATGTCCAGATTGTTACAACAGTTAGTCGGTTATTGCAGAAATCGTTTATTTTTTGCCAAAAAGTGCACCAGAGGAAACATGAAATAGTAGCCAAAATTTAAAGCCTTTGTCGAAAAACTGCAGCAACAAATTAGAGATACAGGGTCAGTTTTTTGTATCTAATTGGACAATATCTCCATTACTATAAAACATAATCAAAAATGTTATTTACAAAATATGTGAACTAAACGCTTCCTACTCAGAATATACCGCTCTCTACAGGGTGATTCATATCTTCATGGTAACAAAAACTATTTTTTTAAAAGGAACATCCTAGATCTTTTAGTTCATATCCACTTCAAAGAGCGACGTTCTTATATATCCGGGAATATAGCATATTATACTACGAGGGATGTCTTATAAGTTTTGCATATAGAAACATAGAAGGCCGCGCGGATCGAACGCCAGTACTGAATCTAAACCTCACTTAAATTCAAAGTTTCACAACAATACGTGCAGTGTTCTCACTACTGTGAATTTTTAAGTGTCACCAAGTCATTAGAAAAATGGAACTCAAATGAGAATATTTTCGCGCCATAATTTATTACAACTTTCAGAGACAATTATCGCAACAAGAATGCCTTGCTGAGTTACTGTCTGTTTTCGGCAACGAAGCGCAACATCAGTCGACAATGTCCCGTTGGTATGGAGAATTCAAACGTGGACGGGTGAGTCTTAGCGACGACCCCAGGGTGGGTGCACCAAAAACGGCAGTCACCCGGGAAAACGTCGATGCTGTGCGCAAACTCATCATTGAAGATAGACATGTGACATATCGCGAGATTGAGGCGTCCTTGAAGATCTCAAAGACCACAATTCAAAAAATTTTACATGATGAATTAGGAGTAAGAAAATTAGTTTCTCGTTGGATACCCCACCTGTTGACTGAAGAGCAGAAAGCAGCCAGGGTTAATTGGTGTCAAAAAACGCTTGACCGTTTCAATCCCGGAAACTCAAAAAATGTGTACAGCATTACTGTTGTTATGAACCAGAAAATAAACGACAGTCGGCTGTTTGGGTGTTCCAAGGTGAAGAAAAGCCAACAAAAGTCATCCGTTCTCGAAGTGTTTCGAAAAAGATGGTCGTGACATTTGTGTCAAAAGCGGGTCATATTGCAACAATTCCTCTTAATGAGCAAAGAACTGTTACTGCGGATTGGTCTACCATCATTTGTTTGCCAACAGTCATCACCGAGCTTCGAAAAATCAACCCCAAAAGATGAATCATCCTCCACTAACACAATGCAAGCTCGCACACACGTGGTCAAAGGTTCCAGTCACCAGAAGAAGCAGTTGACGCATTCAAACATGACGAGTGGAATAAGTGCTTCGAAAATTGGTTCGAGCGCATGCAGATGTGTATTAATCTTCGTGGAAAATACTTCGAAAAACAATAAAGTCATTTAAAACTACCTACCGTGTTATTTTATTTCCATATGCAAAACTTAAAAGACATCCCTCGTAATTCCGCAAATTATTTCTCTTTGTCTTTTTTTTTTTTATATCGAAACAGCCGCGCAGGCCAAAGCCTAAATGCCGGAACACCGCGGCTGCTATGATGATCCCAAAGAAATTTTGTTAATACGATTTTTGAACTGCCTAAGGTTAGTAGAACTGGGAAAAGCTTCCTCCCGTAGATTGTTCCACAATCTAGACACCCTCGGAACAAAGGAGCGGTCGTATCGGCCAGTTCTGGATGTACGAAGTTTGACACGGTCAGGATGGGACGCCGAAGTCAGGCGGGTCTGTCTGGCAGGCACATCGCGCGGCGGCATCATGGAAGAGAGCTCTGAGGAGCAAAGCCCGTTGGTGTAGCGATAGAAAAGAGCTAGATCGCCGACGGCCCGCCGGTGCGAAAGAGTCCCGAGACTGTCTGTTAGAGAAGAGTCATCGATCAGTCGGACCGCCCTCCTCTGGACAGCATCGAGCATGGACAATGTAGTCGGGGCGGCAGCACCCCAAACGTGTGAGCAATACTCGAGGCTAGGCCTTATCTGGGCCTTGTATAGAGTGAGAAGGTCATGCGGAGAAAAGTACTTCTTAGCCCTAAACAAATAGCCTAGCTTTCTCCCAGCAGCTGCAGCTATTGAAGAGATGTGTTCGTGCCAGATCAGTTCCTCGGTGATCTGGACTCCGACCAGCCGAAATGAATGGCTCTTTGGTAGAACTCGACCGTCCATCGAAACTGTATGAGCGCTAGGACGCTTTTTGTTCGTCAAAGTACAGTACTGTGTTTTGGAAGCATTGAACTGTACAAGATTGTTGCGTCCCCAAGCAGTGATAGCTTCCAGGTCTCTTGTCAGAGAAGAAGTAGTCGCTAGTCTTCTTTTTTCCAGCTCAGCGGCAGACATCGGCTTGTCACTCTGAATTCCTGCATGTAGAGTGATGTCATCAGCGAAGCTGTGGATTGGGTTGATCGTGCAGGAAAGGAGGTCATTGATATGTAAGAGGAACAGTGTTGGAGCCAAGACCGATCCCTGGGAAACACCCGCGTTGACGTTGTGGGATGAAGAGGAGAATCCGTCAATTACGACGGATATCTTGCGGCCAGAGATAAAGTCAGCCACCCATCTGCAAAGCTTTTCTGGGAGGCCGTAGGATGGAAGTTTGCTTAAGAGGGCAGCGTGCCACAGCTGATCGAACGCTTTCGTGATGTCAAGAGCAACGACATGAGCCTCACCATGAGACTGGATGAGTTTACTCCACAGTTGCGTGACGTAGGCTAGGAGGTCCCCTGTGGATCGTTGGTGCCGGAAACCGTACTGCCTGTCGCTAATCAAGCTGTGACGTTCGAGGTAGTCTAGAAGCTCGCGATTTATGCACCTCTCCATCGCTTTACTTATAACAGAAAGCAGAGCTATAGGCCTGTAGTTGTAAGGGTCGGTTTTAGATCCTTTTTTTGGGATGGGCTGTACATGAGCAAATTTCCAGTTTTCAGGGAAGGTGCCGGATTCATAAGATATCTGGAAGAGACGCGAAAGAACTGGAGCAAGCTCCGCTGCACATCTCTTCAGTACAATGGCAGGAATCAAGTCCGGACCAGAAGCTTTGTTGATGTCGAGCGACAAGAGCACTCGTCTTACGGTCTTATGCCTGAATGTTACCTCCCGCATAGTGTGGGGAACCCTTTTAATTGACGGCACTTGGGCGTTGGTGGGGACGTCCATGGTGGAGTCGGCAGCAAAGATCTTGGCTAGCACTTCCGCCTTGGCCTTTGAGTCGAATACAATAGTTCCATCCTGACACGTAAGTGGTGGAAGGCTACTGTGTGAGAAGTTATTTTCAATCTGCTTGGCCAGCGTCCAGAAAGACCGACTGCCATTGCGCTGCGACATTACCCTGTGCCTAACTTTTATATCATGCTGGTTTTTGGCATTGCGTACCGCTTCGTTATATTTGTTTCTGGAGGCGACGTCGGCTTGTCTGTTCTCTACAGTGGGGTTTTGTAAGTAGGTTCTGTGGGCCTTGATCTTCTGCTGGCGAGCAGTGTCACACGATTTGTTGAACCAGCCGTTGGGCCCTGGTTTAGGAACTTTCACTGTGTGAGGGATGTATTCCTCCATTCCGACGTGAATAATTTCGGTTATTGAAGAACAGACAGTCGACGCATCCGCGTCAGTGAAACAGACATCTCTCCAAGGAAAGCTAGAGAAGAAGTCTCTGAGCCCCTCCCAGTCGGCATGTCCGTAATGCCAAGTTTTGCGGCCTGTGCGAGTTTCTGCTGCCACAGCGGCTTCTGACCGAAACCTAACCTCCACAACACCGTGATCTGAGTTACCCAAGGGGGATAGGACAGCAGTGCTGTAAGGGGCAGGATGCGTGGTCAGAAAGAGATCCAGCAGGCTACTGGCGTGTGACGAGATGCGGGGGAAAAAAGTAGGGCTCGTCACCAGCTGGGTCAGCCCTTGAGTAAGAGCGAACGCTTCGACTGCACGACCTGCTGCATCGGTCTTATTTGAGCCCAACCAAAGCTCATTATGAGCATTGAAATCACCGAGAAGAGCTACCTCTGAAGCGGGGTGATTGACGTTCAGGAAGTCGATCTGGACGGCGAGGTATTCGAGTAGGTCATCCCAGTTATGGTTCGAGGGAGAGCGATAAAGGCAGCAAATATATTTGGGTGATGTTTTGGAGTTGAGGCGAAGCCACAGAATGTCCTTCCGGTCTGATTCCAAAGAAAGATCCCTGGAGCAGGAAAGACTGCTGCGGACAAAAGCCACAACTCCCCCGTTCTTTCTCAGATAGGAGTGCACCTCGTAGTTTGGGAAGTTGAGATGGTTAATCGTGCAGTCTTTGAGATTTTTGTCTCCGCCAAGAAAAGCACGGCGGGTCGATTGGATTGCAGGTAGTGATGAACAGCATCGATGTTGCTGTTGATCCCGCAGATGTTCGAAAAACAAATTTTATCTTCGATGTTGTTCCCTCGAGCCCACCCTCCACCCGGACATTCCGAGAGTGGGGTGAGTTTACGTCCGGTGTCGATATTTATTCGTTGTTTTTCTATAATTATTTGAAACTTCGTCATATAGCTAAAAATAGTGTTCTA